TTTAGTAATTAATAATTAACTAAATAATATATATAGCAAAAAGCTTTATATATATAAAATATATAACTAACTTAGTTCTATAAATCTAGAATTTTAAAATAGTTTAATATATAATAATTATAAAATTATTAATTATTAAAAATTGCTTTTTTCTATTTTTACTTTTAATATAACTTTATTAATATAAAATATTAAACTATTTTTAAATTCTAAAATTATAAAAAATACTTTTCTATATATTTTATATATATAAAATTTTTATATAGCTTTACTATATAACTAGTTATTAAATAAAAAAAAATTAGATTTTTAGCTTTTTTACTAGTAAAAAGTGGTTCATCGGCTGCCGCGGTTCATCGGCTGTCCCACCTCGGTATCGATTGCGGGTAACACAAACCACGCGTGAGAAAGGGAAACTACACGAGCATAGAAGTACGGACTAGAGGACTGCCTTGCTGACGGCTCGATGAGAGTACGTTCGAGCTAAGCGCAATAACACAGCTGCTGCAGGTGTTCTTCATCTCAATAGGAGCACCTCAAAGTACCTTCTGATTTCTACTGTGTGCAAGACATGGGGCATCATGTATTGCTTGGCTGTCAATTTTGCAAGGTTGTATGGATGTTCAAATCAGGTACGACAGTACTCAAACGCCTTCTCCTAGCCTGTTAACACCACCCGGAGAACGGCCTTTCATTTCGAATGACAGTTGTGATACACTTTGAGCAAAAATATGACATGCTAACCCGATAGCGTCTTTCTACCCTTTTCTGCGTCGTACTTGTCTACCCTCGCCGGAACACACAGCTTTCACTATCTTTAGTTTCGCCAGTATAAGAACTATTGTTATAGAATGATAGCAACTATTGTTGTCGCAGTTGGCTTTGAGATTGCCTCCTTGCTTGCAAGAAGGGAGGAGGCGGAAGAATTAGCGGTTCTTGATTTAGGAGAGGGTGGTGATATACCAATTACCGGCTAGTGGATAATAAAGGAATTTGACTTGGCAGTGCTTTCAAGCATTCGGCTTCATCTAATAGCACCATCTTTTAGGACGCGGACCCTCAGTATCCGCCACGATGCCACCCCACCGTCACGTTATCAATTGGAGCATGTCTTCGCAGTAGATACCAGATTTTCGACTATAGCCTCACCATCCCAACCCAATTCAATCAACGGGGCCGCGAAGCCATCATGAATAAATATGTGCAGGGCTGCATGTCCCACAAGAATACATTCGGTCATTCACATTCCCCTAATACCATGCTCAGAGCAACAGCCCGAGTTCCGCACACAATCCTGGAACTTCTCGTTGCTTCCTCGTGTTTCCTAACTTAGAAGATTGCAACATTAGTTCCCATCCCAAACTGCCGGCCCAGGAGCGGTGTAGCTTGTCGCAATCGGGTAGTATGACCACCTGAGACCTGGATCGTTCGCGTTATACGCCCCGGGAAACGAAACCAACGGTCCCGGCTTACCGTTCCCTCCGTCTATGACATCGACTTGCGCACAAGACAGATAAATTTGTGCGCCGCCGACATTCTGTGCTTGGTGGAGAGCGATACTTTCTACGCGAACAAGGTACTTGCCACTTGGAACGTTTTTGGGAATCGTGAACTCAACCTCAGACTTTTCTACACGACCATTATTATGTGAGGAGAAGACGATAGGGAAACATGGCGGAGGAAATAAGAAACAAACGTACGATAAGCGGGCCAAGTACTCGCACTACTCGTCAACGGACTTCCCACCGCGGAGATACTGGCAGCCTTGAACCACACATTGCCAACCGCCTCCCACGTGTTGATGTCCACACTGTCTGGCACCTTCGCCATGTAAAATTGCACAGGTCCGAAGTGCGATATACTTGCCGCGGCTACGAAACCCAACGGCTGGCCGGCAGCAATGGTGGCAGTACTAGTACCGGCTTTGTTTTGGAAGCATCGCATATCTGTGCTTGTGACGGAAGTCACACCAGCATTGGTTTGGTAGTTCTTGGTTTGCCGGACAGCGGTCCATTCTTTGGTCTCAGGAGTGCCACCCACGATGATCTTAGAGAAGCGGTCTAGGTGTATCAGTACATTCTCTTCGATTTGAACATGGGACTCACAGTGCGCTTGGGCAGTAGTTGCTAGTAGTAGGAGAGTTGTGATGAGATACATTTTGTTCGATTTCTTACTTCAGTCAAGGTTCAAACTAGTAGAGACGCAATCGTGAGGTTATAACATTCAAGCTAATATATATGACTCAAACCTGTTGTCACGCGCCATTTGGTAAAATTGCAGTGCTATTTCAGAACTCGGCACTTTGGGCGCACGAATAAGGCATGTTTAGAATGCTGATATGGAATTGATATATTAAACTAAGATCATACACGAACTACTTTAGATATTAAGGGTTTCGATTGGCTAGTACGTTCCTTGGGTCCCAGAGCGACATAATTAGCGTAGCGGCTGTTTTATTTCATAGGCGTACGATCACAGTTGAATTTTAGCCGTCGAATTATTTTTCTAGTAGGAGTTTAGAATTTGGGTAAGAGGTACATTCACACTCTGGCATATTTCATAATGTAACCACCTACATCTGAACTGTTCATCTTCGGCGAGTCAACCGTACAAGGGATTGTTGCTACGAGAGATATCCTCAAGTCCTCTATTTTTCTCTATAGTACTTTGATTGATCTTATAGCTATCATCTCAAATGTCAAAAGCGTAACATCTGTTAGTTAAACATGAACCCCTCCGCTAAATCGACGAACTCAATTTGAATAGCATTCGACAATCTGCTCCATAACCACACAGCTGCTCAATTAATTGGTTCGCAATGTTCCTGGTGTTGTTTTGATTCCTAGTATTAGCGTTACAAGTAACATGTAGATACGTCGTCTATCATCGATAGCTAAATGCCTTCATCCTGCCGTGTATATTACTAAGCGCTCTCTATACTCAACTTTATGGCTAATTCTTTTATTGTCAAGGTTTCATAGCACTTGTTTTGCTGTCTTCTTGGACATAGTTCAGCTTAAGCTTTTCGGCGTCCCTATACTGTTTGGTTGGCTATTAGCTTAGACTACACATAACCTAGCTGAAGTAAAGTATTCATCGGTTTTCCTGCTCTGAAGGTATCCCTCTGATAATCAGTAATAGCAAAGCAGGTAGTCCTAGGGCGCAGGCGCTTCTTAACGCCCTTGTTGTTTTAGCTTATATTCCTGTTAACTATACTTCCCATATCCATAAGCTACGCAAACTTCACCTTCACTGTTACTTGTTCATCACGGTGAATTTTATCAATCGGGTAAAAAATTCACAACCTTAAATACATACTCCGATTGGTACTCACTACGCCCGTACTTCTTCCATATGTTAATACCACCTCCCAATTGTCTCCCTCAAGCGTTGTAGCGCATCCTCACATTAGCATGGCTCCCCAAAAACCGTTCGCTCGTTCAGTACTGCTCAACGACTACACTATCATCGGTTCACAGATCAAGGTTGCAAAAAAGAAGCCCAAGGCACGCAACTCGTCTAAGCCTAGCCTAAGGCGTAAGAATGGAACGCTGAATGTTGCGATACGTGCTCGCTCGGAGTTGATGCAGATGTATGTTCTCTCTCCATATGTGCGGCATGCGAGTGAGCTTAAGACGAAGTAGCGCAAAACACAACTCCCTCAATTCACCACTGCTCCGCCTTCCAGGTGAAATTCGCAACAAGATTTGGAACTATGCTGTGGGATACCATCAGATCAACATCAGCCACAGTAGCTACGGAAGATCTTCGCCGATCGTATCTTCGTGCGAGGTACGTCCGCTATACACGAACGCCAACCTCCGCACTTTCATTCGACCGACCTTTCAGCTCTATAAGGTCTGCCGGCAAATGTATGTTGAGACTTCAGCCATGATCTATATGTTGAACACATTCGGATTCAAAGGTTCCGGTACATTTGATCGCTGGATCAAGAAGCGGGCAATTGGGCAGAGGCGGCTCATCAACTCTGTTGACATACCGTATGAGTACATGAGACTTTACCGCGGTGGATTCAGGAAGCTGTTCCGCGAGAAGTTACCAAACATCAAGCGAATTGGTGTAGACATGTTGGTGCCATACTTCAGCCAACATCTGGGGGAGGACAGCCTGGAGATGGCGAAGCAGAGGGTGATCGACTTTATCAAAGAGAAGGAGGGTGAGTGTGTCAAGGTTGGTTGGCATACTAGTATGGTAGGGTCGCCGCTAACCTACTAAGGAGCTTCAGAATGGAGTGCAAGGGTGTCCGTTGGTAGTTTCGTTGGACGGTGATCATCGTGCGATGTTATTCGAGCGATTGCTGGAGAATCATGAGTACATTCGTCAGTAGGAAGTAGATACCCGGCGAGCACAAAAGGAGCATGACCCCAAGAGCAACATAGCTATTCAGTGGCCGCCCACAGTATATTTCATGCTGTCCGAACCATGAGTACGAGTGTATAAGCAAGGTGATGCAGATTCAGCCTACTCACTTTACGGACGCAACGACAAGTTGACGAAATCAAATAAGATAGCCTAGACACCACAACCTTACAACTCTTCCTGATATTTCCATAGTCCTCAGTGAAATGTAATCTCACACCGGTGCGCCTTGGGTGCGATCAAGAAGAAATTTTCAAACTCCATGCTTTGAGGCGTGGTGCTACCCGCCAATGTAATGCCCTGGCATTCTCGAAAGAAGAACGCAACTGCATATCGTAACTCCATGCGTGCAAGATGAATACCAATGCATGATCGAGCGCCAGCACCGAAAGGATGGAACTAGAGTTAGAATGTTGGTATATGTTCCCAAGTCCGTACACTGATATCACTTACAGCGGTTTTAGCGGCGGGTGAAAGCGCTTCTGCGAGGCTATTTTCGGATGTGATCCAGCGGTAAGGGTTGAAGCTGTACGAATTAGATTGTAACGTGAAAGAAATTATACGTAAGACCTACATCAAAGGATCATTCCAGATGTTGGGATCGCGGTGAAATGTGTATGCCTGCGTATCGACCGTGACACCTTGAGGGATGTAGTGGCCTCCGAAGTTGGTTCCACCCTTGGGCACTACGCGTGGTAGACTACTAGGTGCAGCGCCATACAGTCTTAGCGTCTCCTCGATGACCGCGTTTAGTAACGGCAGGTTGATGAGCTCGTTTTCTGTAAAGCCTGCTTTCAAACCAGCAGTCTCAGTCTCCAACGCTGTCTGCAAGTCAGGCCGTTGGAGGACCGCCCAAGTTAGATAAGTCAGAGTGACGCCAGTCGTATCAGTGCCAGCAATGATAACATTCATGGCCTCAATCCTCACATCCATGTCGTCAATATGGCCGTCCCCTTCCTTCTCGCAGTCCTCAATCACCTTTGCGAAGATGTTGGCCTCGCCAGTCCTAGATCGCGCCATCTCGACCGCTCGACCTGCGCCTTTGAGAATGAAGTCATTTGCATTAAACATCTCCTGCACAGCCGTGATAGGAATGAATCGTAGGAGACGAAGAAAAGGCATCTCGACCATGATACCGGCTCCCATAGTGAGTTTTTTCAGTACTCGAATAAACTGGTTTGCCTACCATAGATCATTTAGTGGTCTCATAAGCCATAGGAATTGCAGTTGACTCACATGTCCCATCTCAAGCATACCAAAGGACTCCCCAAAGGCAAGATGAGCGCTGATATCTGAAGCCAGGAGCATCCACCAGTTATACACATCCGCGGTGCCTGTCGCGGCATCCGCCTTGATCTTTGTCACAGCAAGTAGTGCCTTTTCTCTTACAACCAAATCCCAATTCTCCACTAGGTATGTTCTGCTAAATGACCTAGAGAGTAGCTTCCTCCTTGGGCCGTGTTCTCGGGGATCTAGCATGGTGAAGACACCCGGCTTGGGAAAATTTGCTAGGCGTAGATACCAATCACTCTTCATGTATTTGGTACCAATTTTATGGATCTCTTTGAAGGCACTGAGGTCTGCGACTCCAACCTCAGTGGGAGATAATCGTACGATGGGTCCATATTGTCTGTGAAGAGAATCAATGTAGAAGATTCGTTGACCGGTAATCACTGCATGTTTCAGGCGAAGATGCGTAAAGCGAGTATACCAAGGTCCAGGGAGATGTCGGGTTGGACATGTGACACTAGTATAGGCAAACTGGACGATTAGCTTCTTTGGTGTTGTGGGCACTGTGCAGGGCGTAGCTTACTTTTGCAACGATAATCACAAAGACCAGTATTACAGCGAATAGAGGCTTGCCCAGTGGCAAATAATCGATATGAATGGGTGGCGTCATGTCTGCTTGATTTTGTGACCGTGGATTCCAATGTTGAAGCAAATGACAGTGGCTAAGACACCCTAACCAACCTCATATACGACCATAATGGCTTTCGGTTCCTAAGTACGGCCAACCTGGGGATCCGAGATGCTCATTCTCTGAGCTCGTTGATTGATAATATTCCCGAGTACCCTTTTGTAGTAGTTGTACTACACGAGGTAGCTAGCAAAGGGTGCAGCACCAATGATGTGAGAAGGAGAATCTCCGTACTAACACTAGTAACTAAGCTCGCCTCGAGAGCGACAGGTATTGCAAGAATAGCAACTGCTCACGCGAAGGACACATGGTCGTCTTTGATGGGACCCGTAACGTAACAACCGTTGGCTAGTTCTGGTAGCACGACGCCAAGATAGGTCATGAGAAGGCGCCGTGGAAGACCACGCCGAGCTTGACGAAGCTTAGTAGTACTAGATCCGATAATGACACGCAATCGTTGTGTTGAAGTTGCCCAGATAAGAACTAGTGTCAGAACCGACACATGTAACCTCGTGGTGGAGCCGATTGCGGAGGGCGGAGTGCGGGGATCCAGGGAAACATGAGCATCATACACGCGAAGAAACCCCTCTCAACTCTCTAGCTTCCATAGATCTTCTAGAAAACAAGGGACCAAAGCATTTCTAATCTGTCTATGATGTCCTAAAACCTGTGTTTCTTTTGCTTTCAATGCTACCGGAGGACCTGCCTTTTCTTAGCTTAGCGCAGGGTTTTGTGACAATTGTAGTAGAAGATTTTAAAAGCGCCTGGTCCAGTGTTACCTGTTGAGCTGTCTCGGTTCTGTGGAGGTACTTTGAGTGTGGAGATGTTTGTGATTGCTAAGGAGGATTTTTAAAGCGCCTACGCCCTAGCTGAGTTATCACTGGTTCTGTGATGATTGCTAAGGAACGAGGACAAGTTCCATGTCAACGAGGAACGAAAGTATAACCGAGGTACGCATAACAACGTGCACGTCCGCTCTGTGGAAGCATGGTGTTCGAACGCAATCATTGTAGCAGCTTTGGATGGGTACAATGCTCGCGTTTCGAACAGCCACTCACCAGGCTATTATAGCAAAACGAGCCGGCGAACCTAGATAGCTACCAAGAAGAAGGCTCCAGCGTCGCCAAGCCATTTTAGTCATCCATACCCATTCCCAATCTGGAATGAGCTTTGTCGGGAGCCACCAACACGAAATCCTTCCAAATACAACAATCTATTTAGTCCCAGCCCAGCGTTCACTGTGAATTTCAAGACATATCCCTAGCATTGTATCATAATGCAGATTTACGAACATCCCGCTACCAGTCCTATCCTACGGAAGGCCTTGAAAGCCTTGTTGCCATACAGCATCAATTTGATATATCGTTCGCAGCACCCTAGCCGAACAGAAGACGCACACATCCTCTCAACCTTCAGCCCCTCAGTTACCAAGGTCCCGCAATGCTGGGCAGCAGCCTACCTCGATCGCTCCATGCGTCCAGAAACCGAGCTTTGGATCTTCGCTGCTGGGGAAAAACCACATCATCATAGCAGTGCAACCCAGGATTTTTGCAGTACTTGTAAGCGGGCCGTTCTATTAATCTTAGACTACATGGCAACACTGTCTATCCCGCCATTACATCCCAACAACATTCCCGCTCTGGAACTCGCCAAACAGCATGAGAAAGAACACCCAACTCCAAGACCTGATGGATCATACGCCTTGTCAACCGGGACGTACATGCGGCACCTTTTGGAACCCAAAGTCGTCACGTTGGGATGTTGTCACCGCGCCGTTGTGCAGATATGTCGCGAAGTCGGCATCCTGCGGTTTGAATTTCCAGGCGTAGACGCAGAGTTGAACAAATTCATTTTCGAGATCACCGAGTTACCGGAGACGAAAGAGCTGCCAAAGGGTTTACGGTGGGGTGAAATGAGGGAGCATGACATCGCTGTGGTTAAGGAACGTACATCTATTCCGCGTTCGACAAAAACGCTACTATCATTGAACAGTGTGGGCGTATTTGAAGAAGAGATGGATACACCTGTGGCGTGGGCGTTCCTCGGGCTTGATGGGTCACTTACTGCACTTCACACGGAAGAGGGATATAGGGGTAAAGGCATAGCCAAGGCAGTTGCGGCGAAGATTTTCCGACAGTATGCGCCTGGCCTGGCGGTAAATCAGGAGGGCAATGCTTATTCACATGCAGATGTCTATGTGGGAAACCTGCAGAGTGAGAGTGTCTGTAGGAGCTTGGGAGGTAAACCAATGTGGAAGTGCTTCTGGGTTAGGATAAATCTGGAGAAGGCTAGATCACTTGCGAATAGTGCATAACGCAGCGTTGAGTTAGAGTGCGGTTAAAGCGCAGCGCACGAGTAGTGTCTAAAACCTGTTTGACAGTCAGTTTCAAATCCAGCCAGGCTTCAAAGTTGACAACGTCCAATATTGGAGAGTGCTCATTAAAAAATTAGAGTGTTGTTGTTGTTGTTTTTGATCCTCATCGAGGGATCTCAGGGTTAAAAAGAAATAATCATAGCAGTGGAGGAGCAAAAGAGGGTCGAGCTTACCTGAAAGTCAACTAGACACCGTTGCTTGTAAAAGCATCACGGATATAGCATGTCGGCTGCGAATATTCATCTGATCGTATTGTCGTTGACTGTTTTGTATCATGAAGATGTGTTTCGACAAGCCGCAGCCATGCCCCTATCTTTCAAGAAATGCCGTCGCAAACGTGACTACCTTAATCGAACAGACCGAAGCCCATGTCATCATCCTCGGACTCCTCCTTCTCCTCCTCCTTCTCCGCCTCTTTCGCAGCAGGAGCGTCGCCACCGCTGGTAGCGGCACCGGCGGCAGGGCCAGCGGAAGCGTACTTGTCTGGGTTCGCAATGCGGTCCTTGAGCTCAGCAATCTCCTCCCACTCGTAGTCGGTCTCAATGGCAACAGAGAGAACCTTCTTGTAAGAGTTGACAACAGAGTGCATAACGGAAGGCAGAGTCGGGAAGTTGGTCGCCAGGGAGATGCTGGCGATGGTGGCGATGGCCGACGAGAAAGCCTTGAGGAGCTGAGACTCCTCGATATCCAAGACGTGGGGCTCAAATGTTTGGCCGTTGTCGTAGATCTGATAGATACCCATACCGTAGGTGAAGGGAGAGATGTTCAACAGATTGAGAAGGGTAGCCTCGGAGGCACCGACCTTGCTACCGGCCTCGATGAGCTTCAAGTCGGCAGTAATTTCGATAGTACCACGGGCAATTTTGGTGGGGACACCGAGAGCCTGAAAGAAGGACGTCTTTCCGGGTTCCATACCACTGCCATATGTTAATACATTCCCACACGTATGCACAATGGGCCTTCTTACGTGTTACCAGCCGGGATGAACACATCGAGGGGGGCGAGGGCACCAGCACGAGCAGGGGCAGCGACACGGTTGGAGAGAATCTTGTCACGGGTCTCCTTGAGGTCGGCGTTGGTGAAGACGAAGCCGACGTTGCCTGCGCAAGATGTCAATTGCATGTACGTGAGCTGCGTAGTTGGGGACACGCACCCTTGACGTGGGGAAGCAAGCGCTCGTACTCGGGCGAGTCGTTGATGAGGCCCTTCAAAGCACGGCGGACCATGGTGTTCTTGCCCATGAGGACGACACCCTCGCCGCGGAGCGACTGGCGGATCTCGTGCATCTGCTGCGACGAGACATTATCGACAGTGACGATGAAGATGCTCTGGTACTCCTTGAGGAGCGTCTCGAGCTTGCCGAAGTAAGCGGCCTTGTTTTCTTTCTTGCCCCCCATTGTGTTCGTGTTGACGCAAAGGGATGTTTAAGGTCTTAGATGGTGGATTGGTGTTGTTGATGGTTTGAAGAAGCTTCGGGGCGAAAAAAATTGCAGCGCGAAGGTTGTGTGCGGGCGAGGCCCAAGCTCGCCTACCACGCTAGCCCTAACTCGACAAGGCCTCACAAAAAGTCATTGCCTGTGCAGCGCAGCCCCCTCCCAACGCAAACGTTATGGCTTTGCCGTATCAGTGTCTCGTTGCACGGGCTGGGAATGCCACAGACTCGGACGGCTGGACTCTGTTTGGTGCGAGCGGCTCCACGCTTGTCGTCCAGTCAAGCAATGGGGCGATATCACTATGGCCCAAGCGAGATGCCCATATTAGAGTGAGTGATGACCGTCAACGTTGACCCTAAAGATGCGTTGCGTATTCCATGCTTTACAGCGCGATGGGAAGAGAGTTCATAGCTAAGGAAAACTAGGACGACCAACCAGACGACTCCTCACAAGAGCCACCCGGAAAACGGGTCAAGTTGGAGCAGCCAAAAGAGCAAAAGCCTAACTTTACCAACCTGGTCCTATCCAACAGTGGACAGCATCTAGTCGGCGTAACCGGAGAAGACAAATGCATTCGAGTTTTCCAGGTTGATTCGCAAAGTCATCTACAACAACTAAGCGAGAGGTAACAGTACATAGAAAGCCACTTGCTGTAGTCACTGACGCTACGAAGATGCATGTCAAGACGGCCTTGCTCGGTTGCTCTCACATCTGACGACTCTACGATTCTATGTGCCGACAAGTTTGGAGATGTGTACGCTCTACCACTACTCCTACCACCAGAGGATGATCGGTCTGAAACCCTGGTAGCTGAACAACTGGAGCCAAAGGAGATCGACTACGTGCCTGCCGCAACTACCCTCACGGTTCACTCTGGAAGGAACAGAAAGACGCTGGAAGAGCAGCTGAAGCAGAAGGCCAAAGGCGTCCCAAAATCCAAAGAGCCCATGAAATTCAAGCACGAACTGCTCCTCGGGCATGTGTCTATGCTCACAGACATTGTCTATACGAAGGTAGATTCCCGTAGTTATCTCATCACAGCAGACCGAGACGAGCATATCCGGATATCAAGAGGTCAGCCTCAAGCACACATCATCGAAGGCTTCTGCTTTGGACACGAAGCATTCGTGAGCAGGTTGTGCTTAACACGGCCTGGACTCCTTGTCTCTGGTGGCGGGGACGACCAGTTGTTCGTATGGGACTGGCAGAACTATCGCCTCATTGACAAGCTTCTGATTCGGGATGTCGCTTTGAGTCATCTTATATCTCGTTCAGTGGCCAATGCCGCGGAAGCAGATGATGCGAAGTTCAAAGTCGCAGTTTCTGGAATATGGAACGTCCCGAGGAACAATGGCGAGGCAAGCATCACCAGAAAACAATCTCTTGGCCTAAGCTGATGCTGGACTAGGCAAATGAGATCCTCGTGGCATGCGAAGGTATACCAGCGTTATTCAGCTTTACGATTGGAGCAGCAGCGACAGGAGGAACTGCGATACCGCTTGGCGGCAATGCACTAGATGTTGCCTTCATTCAGTCATCCCCAGATTCGTGTGTAGTGGTTGTTTCTATCGACAATATCCACACACCAGGCTCGACGACGGAAGTCCGAGATAATGACAAGGTTCGCAACCCCCCAACCCCCCAACATTGCGTCAGCGGGCTAATAGCCGCAGAACCCCCCACGGCTGCAGTGCTTCTCCAACCAGCAAAACGGACAATGGCAGGAAGATGCGAGCACACAGGCGCTCCTTGGATGGTTCGAGAATGAAGGCCTGGAAGTGATTGTTGAGCGCGCAAGTGGTGGAGACGCGGCTGACAGCAAGTCCGGCAATGGAACGCGTCTAGGGTCGGCAGATGATAAAGCAGTGCGAGACATGCACTACTACCACGTGGAGAATCTTAGGAAGCGCCCAGGTGCCGAGGATTAGGTAGCGAAGCAGCAAGATAGCGCGACAGGTGACAAAGAGCGAAACCTAGTAATTACAACAAGTAACCAGCAGCGACTGAGTACCAAGATGGGAGCTGACGTGTGATGTGTGAGGCTCCAGAACTCGCATCAAGCGTAATCAGATGGAGACAGGTCCCGCCCAGCCATGCAAGTCCGGGACGCCATGGTGGCGCAAGGTAATCGAGACCAGCTTTTCGAGGCTAACGAGTCGGAACCGTATCATGGTCTGCTGCTGCTGTGTCAGTTTTCGAAGCCAAAGCCTGTCCGCGACTGCGGTACGCGAGTCTAGTACGCTATGATTTCTAAGAGACTACAGGGATCATCAGCTTGACCGACCGGCGCCGATGGCGTAGTAAAACACCGGCCAAAAATCTTTGATGCAAAACCACCACTTTCTGGCCGATATAGCACTCCCAATTGAAGTGTGCTCTCTTTACTCAGTCTCTTTGCATAATTTCCGCCGCACTGGGCAGCGCCGATATTAAGTCTACTCAAGGCTTGAGCACCATTTGTGAAAGCATACCCCTCTTGCCATCCTCAAGCACCTATCGCGGAACCTCTGAACCTCGACCACCATTGCCAGCGCTCGGTAATTGAAGCATCGCCAACGCCTTCCCGGCTCCTGCTGTGTCACTTGGTCTTTTGTGACAAGGCTCCTTCTGCGCGGCTGAAGTTGTGCATCACACATCTCCACAGCCCACTTTCCACTCACGCACGCCGACCACATCTACCCGCGAGACCCGCACACGCCGCCAAAGTGTTCGCGTCGGCCTTCAGAAGGGCGTCTTCCTCCCGGCTTGTATCTTTATCTTCTGTGCCTATCGCTGCTGCGGCATCGCATAATCAGCGCGTATCGCCTACCGCGGGGCTTTCATCCACTGCCAGCTTGACTACAACGCCAAAAGTTGACTCAAGAAAGATGCACTCAAGATTAGTTAGTGAGTTGTGCCAAGTTCTGTGTTACTAAAATCACGACTAACATATGCTATAGTCATTGGGTAAGTTCAGACGCCTCAAAATAAGAGTCAAGTCCAGGTACCTGTGAGATAGATACTAATAACCTGCAGTTCGGGGCCTGCAGGCCACACCGCAGCCATCTATGCGGCGCGCGCCGATTTAAAGCGTGCGTCCCCTCAATTGTTCCTGAAGCATCAAGACTGACAACGCGTAGCCGTCATGTATGAGGGCTTCCTCGCGCTCGGCATTGCAGCAGGCGGTCAATTGACCACTACGGACGAAGTGGAGAACTTTCCCGGATTCTCAAAGATCCAGGGAGGGAAACTCATGGTAATTTGCTCACCTACTACCTATCTTGAGTCTTACTGACCGTTCGCAGGAGCAAATGCGCGAACAGTCCGAAGCCTGCGGCACCGAGATCATCTCCCAAACCGTTGCCAAAGTCGATCTGAAAGCACGCCCTTTCAAATTCTGGCTACATCCCATGGGCGACGACGAGGAAATCGAAGAGGAGGAACACACAGCTGATTCTTTGATCATTGCAACAGGCGCAAAGGCCAGGAGATTGGATCTACCAGGAGAGAACAAGTACTGGGGTAACGGTGTCTCTGCGTGTGCAGTCTGCGACGGGTCTCTGCCTATGTTTAGGGACCAGCCACTGGTCGTCATTGGAGGCGGCGACTCTGCCGTCGAAGAGGCGTTGTATCTTACAAAAAAGGCGAAGAAGGTCACCGTTCTTGTGCGAAGAGACCAGCTCCGAGCGAGCAGGACAAACGCCCGACGGTTGACTACGCATCCGAAGATCCAGATTCTGTACAACACGAGTGCGTCTGAGATCAAGGGCGAGGACAAGAAGAACGGCCTCATGACACAGTTGGTAGTCAAGAACAATGTTACAAAGGAGGAACAGACTATCGATGCAAAGGGCTTATTCTACGCCGTCGGCCATGACCCTGCAACGGAACTTTTCAAGGGACAGCTCGACATGGACGAGGATGGTTACCTCATCACGAAGCCTGGGCAAGGTCTCACTAGCGTTGAGGGGGTCTTTGCAGCTGGTGATGTCCAAGACAAGCGGTATCGTCAAGCCATCACCAGTGCAGGTAAGTTCTACTCCCGGAAACACCGACAGAATGTGGAGGGGGATAGGTTGCTGACGTTCCAACAGGATCTGGATGTGTTGCCGCCCTCGAAGCCGAGAAATGGCTCGCCGAGGAGGATGACAGCGTCGGGAATGAACTGGAGACCGAGAATCAAACCGAGAAATCTCAGACTAACGGCGTCGTCCCCGAGTACCACTCCAACCCGCTCTTGTAAATTCTCTCGCATAACGGACCGCTAATCTACAACCCTCCCGTACTATCATATCCTATCGACTATGCCTAGGCAATGCCTAACACACCTTGCCTCGGAGGGGCATTTGCAGCATATTGTTTAGCGAGGACTTTGGGGGAGCAACTATAGACTCGGAATCAAAGACTGTTTATTAAATTTCGAATGATGATCCAATCCGACATTTGCCATGATGTAAAAAAAAGTATTCATTACTGGGTAGCTCCATTCAGCTCGTGCTATTGGACTCTCTTCCGAACCACCATAAGCGACATAACGCGAGCGACGTTCATAATGACGGTAGGCTCTGGACATAGCCAACAGTTATTCACATAATCAAACATCTCATGACATGCATCTTAGAAGACGCACAAGTCGGGATACTGGATGAACGCAACGACTGCCGGGCAGGCGATACCGCACCGCTCGACGCGACTAGTTGCGCTCGTGGGGCTGGCTGAGGCGGATAGTGAGCGAGGTATACGGCGCCTAGGTCGATGAGTATCAACCACCGAAGCTACTGGCCTTGAGGAGGTCAAGCGCACTTTCGAAAGCTCTCACAACATTGATATCTAGGCTGTATGAGCGTATATATTCTAGAAAGGCCAAGGCTATCCTGGCTCACAGTGGGTTCGGGTTCTCTCCAGTGTGGCCTCTGAGTGTTGGACGTGGGTCATTCGTGTTCGAAGGCTATAAGGACTAGTTTAGCAACCAGGGTGTATCGGTAGGCAATGCAAGCATACCGTGAGTATGTCCGGCCCGTCTCATGCTCATGCCCAGAATCTACCCAGATGCGGAAAAACTAGGTCAATGTCAGCATCTCCAGGATGAGATGGAGAATAGGGCACTACAGTCATCATGCTTTCCCACTCCTGCATCATCTCTATCTCCTGACCGTGGCATTTATTAACAGCTTCGTGATACCGCTCGTGCAAGCCGTTCCAGTCAAAATCAGCAACCGCGTCGGCCGGATCGGTTTCTTCCTCTTCCAGCTCATCATCGTCATTGGGGTCAGCTTGCTCGTCTACCTCTTCGGGAAGCTGCTGAGCAGAGGGCGGACGTTCGGTCTCTTCAGAGCTCACTCGCCGCAGCGGCGGCTGGCTAGAGTCTGCATCGTGGGTGAGGGGCGGCTCCGACTTGATTGCAAGTTTGTTATCCATAGCGGGAGAGGTAGAGCGGCGCCAATGGATTGGAGGCGAAGAGCAGATTGCTGGCACAGTTTGAACGGGAAGGGATGATTCTGATTCGCTGTCGGAGTTGCTGTTCATTCGGGATGCGTGATGGTGTTTGCTGTGGGTCAGTGCTGTGGGTCAGTGAAGCGCACGAGCAAACAGGGAGCAGCGTCTTCAATATGAGTAGTAGAGCGCGTTCGCTAGGTAAAGGACTTTGAAGAAGTAGCGCGATGGCTGCCGTATTGGTGAGAGATGCTGGGTTGTTTTGCATCACGTGCACTTTGGTAACGGCTGTTACTTGTCAGGCGCGGCATGACGTGGGGGAAGGTGTGACTGACTCGTGCTTGAGTTTGCTCTTCGTGCCTCTGCTGTCTCTGTCACACAGCTTGGGACTGATTCAACTGATCTCATCCAGGTGCCCAACACTCACCTCCTCTTCCATATTGTACAGAGTACCAACCCTTTTATCTTGTTTGGGGCAAATGCTGTTTAGCTCCATGGAGACATAGACATTCGCGAACCTACGCGGCGAAAGCACACTCACCATGGTCTCACAGTACCCTCTACGCCTACCACTATACGGAATCCCCGGGGGCGAAATCACCTAGCACCTGCCCACGATGGAGTGCGACATCTGTGGGAAGGCTGGCAACCTTACATACCCTCTACACTGCATGACCTGCGCCCGCTCTTACCTCGAACAGCCCCGCATCGAGCTCGCGAGGAGGCTGATAGACCGCGATGCAGTCGAGAAGCATGTCACAGCAGTCGTTCAAGGCTCTGAAGATAGGGCCATTCAACATGTCTCCCTGACAGACTCGAAAGGCGGCCTCCTAGTCGACCGGCACGAGTGCACAAACAACCTGAACTGGCAGCGGACAAAAGCAGAGACGGCAGAGATCCAAGAACGCTTACAGCTCATCTCAGAGCAAGCAGACCGCCTTCGACAGCACATGGAAGCTACAAGGAAACAACTCGAGGCGCACCGCGCCGCGAACGCCCAGCGAAAGTCTGACCTCTCCTCGGTGACCTACGGCATCGAGTCCCGACGCGCCAACGAGCTGGATAAGGTCCAACAAAACATAAAGAGACTTGATTACAAATCGGAAAAGATGCACCACGACACTATAGAGTTACGAATGCAGCTGTGTACAACTGCGGCGAAGCTGGCTGGGCTGAAGCTGAATAGACGGAAGACGAGGGATGGGGGCACCAAGGACGTCTTCAATATTGGACCGGGGACGCGCCTCCGGATATGGGACCTTAGAGATCTGAATGGCACGTCTAATACATTGCTTTCCCGACGGGGACATGCTGACTCGTAGCTAGATGCTCCCCCTGACGGACTATCCGCGTCACTAGCTGCCGTCTCTCAGCTCCTCGTTCGAGTGGCTGCCTATCTGGGACTTCGCCTTCCTGCCGAGATTACGCTTCCTCACAACGACTACCCTCAACCCACCCTCTTCAGTCCAGCTTCGTCATATCATGGCAAGAAGGTACCGTTTCCCGGCTACACCCCTTCGCACTCATCAAGCACGAGTCCAGAAGCCTCGCGTACGCTTGATCCGCGTGTGCACCTCCCGAAGCCGCGCACCTTATTCATCGATCGTCCTTTGAGTCACTTGTCTGCCGAAGATCCACCTGCATACTCATCGTTCATCGAAGGCGTGTCGTTGCTCGCCTACAACGTGGCCTGGCTATGCCGAACCCAAGGCATGAAGGACAGTTTCCAGCACTGGGAAGATGTATGTCCCGTAGGCCGTAATTTGCACCGTTTACTGGTTGCACAAGAGACACATGTCGTTCAGCGGCTCGAAAATCCACTTGATAAAGACATGGTACCTGCAAGGTCATCCAAGGCAGCTCTTAGGAAGACACCGGTAGGCTTCGGACAGCTGTCGCATGCCACATCACATTCTTTTGTGAACCTTGCCGAGAATGCGCAATACCTTAGCGGCTGGAGTCTATCGTGTACCAAGATTGTTGACGAGCTGAAGGCATTCTTGCTCGCTGAGCAGCAGGCGCAAGAATGGGACGTGGTGAACCAGAAGGAGTGGGAAGACATGGAGAATCTCATAGCCGAAGCTCCCGTGCTGGTGGGCGAGAAGCGGCGCGGGCATGCGGGGCTTGCTGCTGATGGGCGCAATTACCTTGGTTTGGCTGCAACAAAGGGAAAGACGTCGACGTCGCAAAAGGCGGTTGAATCTGAGGGGGAGCAGGGGGAGCAGAAGAAGGGGACAAGTGGGTGGATGAAGCTCAAGAGTCGACCAGAAGAATGAGTAGATAGCAAGCGAGCGTGGTTGTCGGCACCAGCGGCCTGGAACGACCAAGCTTCCTTTTTCACATGTGCATTCGAAACACTCTATTTGGCTCGTAATGGTTGTCGTGTGCTTACTTTACGTATTTCCAATCTTTTGATTATACACCCATGGACGGACCTTCTACAACGGGCCACAGGGCGCAGATGAGTAATACACGCCAAGGCCGTCGCAAGGCGCATCGGAGAAATTGATGACACCATCTACGCTAGCCCAAGAGTTCCCACTACTCACGAAACCAACGCGCCGCGGCATCGTTGTATTGCTGAGAAACGTCAGATGTCGTACGGCCGGCTATGCCAGCCTGTATATAAAAAGGCATCATCCCCGGGAGTCATGATGGAGGCACAGTCCCGCTCAGCAACCAGACCAGAGCAGTTCCGCGATATTGCGCCATCGGCCAACAAAGGCTCGGATTCGGACGGCGAGCAAACCGCGCTAGCATAATTATTTCCCAAGAGACGACGTTGGAAACACCTTTTGAGCGCCTCTTCTCTGCCTGTGAAGTCTCTTTTTTCCCTTCCTCGTATCCTCTTACCTACGCTCAGTCTCGTGCTGTCGCCCCTCTGCACCAGTCGAAATTTGGACCACAAGATTTCCAGAGACACCATCATGACCGTCGCCGAACACCCCATTGACACCCCGCCACGCGCGCCTTCACCAGTTCATAGGTTCGGTACGCTTGCTGTACACGCTGGAAGCCCCCATGACCCCGTTACGGGAGCCGTGATTGAGGCTGTATGTCTCTCTTTTTTTTTGGCTTAGTGAGACGTAGCCAATCGCTAATCCAAGTAGATCTCGCTATCCACGACCTTTGCACAGACCAGCGTTGGGAAGCCAGTGGGCGAGTACGAGTACTCACGATCCTCAAACCCGAACCGGTACGGTCCCTGTCGGGCCCTATCTTGATGTCTTTTTAGGGCTGATGAATTCCTAGAGACAACTTTGAGCGCGCAGTCGCCGCTCTCGAGCATGCTCGCTATGCCCTCGCATTCAGTTCTGGCTCCGCGACTACGGCCAACATTCTGCAGTCGCTCGCCGCAGGATCGCACGTTGTTTCCGTCTCGGACGTCTACGGTGGGACGCATCGCTACTTCACCAAAGTAGCGCTCACACACAATGTCAAGGTTACCTTCAGTCCGAGCATTGAGATCGACATCGCTGAGCTCATTCGCCCAGAGACGAAACTCATCTGGATCGAAACGCCGTCAAACCCTACACTGACGCTCGTCGACATCCGGAAAGTCTCGACAATCGCCCACCAGCACGGTATCATGGTGGTTGTGGACAATACCTTCATGTCACCATACATTCAAAACCCGCTCGACCACGGCGCGGATATCGTCGTCCATTCAGTTACCAAGTACATCAACGGCCACTCGGACGTAGTCATGGGTGCGGCTGCCTTCAACTCGCCGGAGCTCTTCGACCGCCTGTCGTTCCTGCAGAACGCCATCGGAGCCGTACCTTCAGCATTCGACTGCTGGCTCGCACATCGAGGTCTCAAGACGCTACATCTCCGCGCTCGAGAAGCCACCAAGAACGCCACAGGTGTCGCCGAAGCTCTCGAGGCCTCATCACACATTATTTCAGTCAACTACCCCGGCCTTCCCTCACACGCACAGCGCGCCATTGCGATAAAGCAACACCGCGATGGCATGGGCGGCGGTATGCTTTCTTTCCGTATCCACGGCGGTCACGCAGCGGCTGAGCGCTTCTGTCAGGCGACCAAGATCTTCACTCTAGCCGAGTCACTGGGTGGAGTAGAGTCACTGGTCGAAGTTCCCAGCGCCATGACACACGGAGGCATTCCCAAGGAGCAGCGTGAGGCAGCGGGTGTCTTCGATGACCTAGTCCGCATCAGCTGCGGTATTGAAGATGAGGTTGATCTAGTTGCAGACGTGCTGCAGGCGCTGGAGAAATCGGTGGTTGGTCCGAAAATCAAGAACGAACTTGCTTCGAATGGCAACGGCCAGGCCTAAAAACAATGCGGAGCAACCCTATATTTTCAACATGGGCCCCTGAAAAAACCTTTGATGGACACATACAAAGTTAGAACTGGCGTTCGGTGTAATTCACGACTTGATGGGACACATGCAGACAGTTTTCACTCGTGGCAGTAGTCTAATCTCGCATAGCGAGCAACAAGATAGCAAATGTTATGGTCAAAACACGTTAAACTCTTTTCTTCGGTCTTCACCAGTCTTCACAGCCGCCGTCCGTCTTCTCCTTGGTTCTTTTCTCAACAATCTCGTGTTGCTTTCCCACGAGTAAGCATACTCCCAGTCTCTTGGTAAGGTATCTGAATGATTTCACCACACGCCGTCGAATACCTGCACAAAATCCACTACTCAAACACCACAATCGTCTCCACACACACAAAGCTGGGAAAATTCTTCTTCCTTGCACGCCGCTACATCGTGCCGTACCGAGAAGGGCCCAGATTCGACCTATGCAGCTATTGTGATACATGTTCTTTCAAGATAGAACGAGTGACTCCCGGAGGTCTATAAAATTACTATGCAAGCTGATCCTATGTTTCATCATCGTCATTTTTCAAGGTCAAACACTCCCAAGGTCGGCATTCGTGTTGGAGTCATCCTCAAGAAGACCGTTCTATTCGCGTATCTCTATGCTGTCTTCCTGAGCGACAGGTTTCTTACACGAAGAAGGTTGACTTTGTTGCAACGTCTTCCCAGAGCCTACTACGACTATGCCTGGCACACCTTCCTTCTACGTCGTTTACTGGTTAGTAGCTTAGAGAGCGTGGGAAAGTGCCCCCCACTGGTAGCACACACTCAATACAGAAAGTATGACCCAAACCCGTAACGTCATTACCGATGACAATGTAGACTATGCCGCCCCCTACAGGAAGTTATCATCGTCCACCCCCATGCCCATAGCTACAACTCCGCATCTTCCACCCTACTTAACTCACCCCCCAATCGTCTCGATTAGCCACGTCACCTGCACATCGCTACACTACCGAAAAGCAGGGCGGCATGAAGCACGAAAAGCAGGCCCCCGATCCCGCTTCCAAGCCGACCCGCGAGGAGTTCTTTCAGCAAGACATGGAGAAGATCCTGGTCAAGCTGAAGAACGACCCCGGCAGCATCACTACCGAGGACGCTCGTCGCTTGTCCGAGAACGTTGAAGCCCGGGATGAGAAGTCAGCTCGCATCATTTCGGCAGTCGAATCCTTCGCTGTTGCCAATGAGGCACTGCATGACCAGGACCCTAGCCTAGGTCAAGCACCTCACACCTCCCTCCTTACCGTCGTCAACGACTTACATGCTGCCGTCGACACCAATCCCAGCGATATCACTACTGAGGTCCTGAGGACCGTTCAGAGTGTGGTTAGCAGTAAGGGCATTCCTTCTCTATCAGTTTGCCCCACCATACGGGGCACCCTCCGTCTAAAGACTCTTTGCAGCTGCCATTGAATCACTGAAGTCCTCGGGCTCGAGCTAATATTGTTTCAGAAATGCAGAAGGCTGTCGGCCACGCCAACGCCCCTCGCCCTGAATTAGAGGCCGAGCTCCGAGAGGAAATTGCTAAGATCGAACCCAAAGTCGTGCAAGGTACTGTCACTAAAGCCGAGGCCGATCACCTTCACTCTCTCGAAGCCAGGGCTCATGGTCATACGGAAAAGGGTAGCATCACCGCCATCGCCCAGTCAGTCGCAGCCAAGCGTGAACGCCAGATGTCACTGAGCAGCAGCTCTAGCCCCAGTAGCGGACGTTCTCGCGCCAGCAGCAAGACCTTCACAGGTACACCTCAGGAGCAGTCTCACCGTGACAAAGAAGCCAACCTCCACCAGGCCGAAGTCAGTACAAGGTCAAAGATTGAGCAGGGCACCGTCACCCAAGCGGATGCCGACCTTCTACAATCGCGCGAGACGCGCGCCCATAGCCACATTGACAAGGTCGGACTCGCCGCTACCACACAGTCCCTCGTTTCTAAGAAGCGCCAGGAGTCCTTGAGCGGCCGCTCCAACGTCTCCCCCCGCGCCTCCGAGGCAGACTATGAGCGCCGCATAGAGCAGTCTCACCATGACAAAGAGATCAACCTCAAGGTTGTAGAGCTTACTATCCAGCCCAAGATTATCGAGGAGAACGTTGTCGACTAGGTGGGCTATGAAAGAGAGTTCAGTCTCCAGCATGGCGGCCATCATGGTAGGATTATCTCGATAGATTGCCAGCCTGGCATGAATGGAACCAATATTAGATGGCATGCATTTAATCACTCTTTTTTTGTGCACGGTGAATCCTGGGACTTTGGCTTCTGGCAGAATGCCACGGTGAGATTCGACGTCGAGATATGGATCGCCTCGGGCTAGTCGATCATGACATGGTAGGTTCTTCGCTCACGTTTATAGATATCTGAGTCGTAAAGAGAAAAATCCGAACGCGAGAACTGGATCTCAGTCTATTATGGTATTCCCTCGTATATGCATGCCCCAGCAATAACACCAATTCACAATATGCTGGTTATGATTGAACATATCTCGTCCAAGAGACACAGGCAACTGGATCCTGGTCTACAGCTTACTTGATCTCTGTCTTGGCCATCAAATCCGCCAGAGCATCCACCTTCTTGTCTTTCTCTTGAGACACATTGCTCTCCTCTGCCCTCTGATCTTCCACAAGCTGCCGCGCTGCGCGCTCTTCCACCTCAATACCTTCTTCCTCTTCGTCACCGTCACCGTCTTCCTCTTCCTCGTCTTCGCTCTCCAACTCATCCAACTCATCTAGGCCCCAGTACTCTTCATCATCCTCGTGCTCCCCAGACTCTTCCTTCCTCGCCTCAAGTACATTGTGCAGTTTGCCAATGCTCGGATCTTCCTCGTCGAATTTATTTCCATTGAGCTCGACACGGCGGAGTGCGGGTAGAGCGGTCGCAGAAGCAGATGCGAGACGGGCGAGGCCCTTGGCATTGATCTCGTTGAATTGGAGTCGCAGGATCTGAATTTTCTTGTTCTTGCCCTCATCAAGGGCGGCGGCGAGGGCGTTGCCGCCACGGCCGCCAAGAAGGCAGTCTCCTACGCCGAGTTCGACCAAATCAGTCCAATTGCCGACAACCTTGCTCAAAGCACTTGCGCCCAGGGTTGTGAATGTGTTGTCTTGCAGATCTAGCGTTTCAAGCTTAACGAGGTGCGAGAGGCCATTTGCGATTAGGTGTGAGATGCCCTCCTGACGAATACCGTTTTGTGTCATCTTGATGGTCTTGACGCCCGTGTTTGCTGCGTATGCTTTGGCCCAGGCGACCATGCTGCCGTTCTCTAGACGATTGCGACCGCAGATCACAAGCTCGAGGTCTGGGACCGGTTTGCCTTGGCTGCGGGCGGATTCCTTCTTTGCGGCGAGGGCGGTGAGAGCATCGGCAACAAGGACACCGGCAGCGGGGCCGAGACCATTGTTGTTCAAGTAGAGGTATCGGAGAGGTGTATGTTGTGAGAGGAAGTCAACGAGCGGGGCGACAGTGTTGAGCCCAAACGCGTTGTCGGAAAGGTCGACGGTATGTAGGTTTGGCAGGGTAAGGAGGGAGGTCAGAAGATGTGACAGGGCCGGGGGAATCTCAGAGAGCAGGCGGGAAGTGAAGATGTCGGCGAGGTTTGCGACCTGTCAAGCGTGTCAATAAGTAAGGGCGCTTTCAAAAGAGGCGGGCCTACCTTTAAGCCTTTCTTGCCCTCCAAAACCTTGGCCAGCGCCTCGCTGGCTCCAATGCCCAGTGTGTTCCCCAGGAGCCTGACCTCGTCAACGTGGTCGTTGCTCTTCAACGCCTCGATATGCGGCGCGATGTCGTCGGCAGTGGTGAGCTTTAGGCCCCTGCCTTCGAGGGAAAAGACATTGGATGCCGACATTGTGTGCCCACGAGGACGGCCGTAGCACAAAAGCGGGGGTTAAGAAATGTTCCAGAAGAGACGAAGAAGGGGAGTCGAGCAAGAGGACGAATGCAAAATGGCGGGAGGGAGGGGGAGGGGCAGGTGGAATGTTTATGCGTAGTGGGCTACATCCCTGTGTGCTGCAGGGACCGACCGACCTTTTGCCATGGCGGCGAAGCGGAAGTGCGTGCCAAGCCTGGGGGATCTCTGAGGCGATTGCTAAGCAAGCACTGAACTGGACTGAACTGAAGCTTCAACTCACCACCACGCTATCCTACAAATGGCATCAGGTACGTCCGTAGCGCTTTGCGCCGGCTTGTATGCGACATGCAGGCGCTGATTGAACATGGCACAGCACCACCGACCGCCGCCAACATGGGCGCAGACGTCAAGACGCCCGAAGCCGCCGCCGCGCCGCCTGCGAAAGTAAAGGTACGCCTCGGTCACCTAGTCTAGAGGGAATGGATGGACTAGACTGACACAGTCATTAGCCGTGCTGCGTATGCACCGACCAAAAGGCCAAACGCGACGAATGCATGCTGTTCTCTACCTCCAACGATGCGCAGAAAGAATGCGCCACCCTGGTCGACCAATACCGCCAATGCATGGCGGGATATGGATTCAAGATATAACTGCGCTTGGAGGCGCAGACGTGTATGATAACGAGGACAACTTCGAGACGACTGTACAACACACAGCAGCATGGAAGGCGTTCAACATTAGACATTGGCATGATGCATTCATTTGTATTGCTTGTATATATATGTACATGAGCTGGATTCAAAATTCAAATCCATCTCGGCTCTAAACAGCTAGCTGGGGTATCTTGAAAATAAATATGGAAATGCAGCCACCACTTTCCAGACCATATTTCACTGTGTCTTGCTCTTTGCTCCTCCCACTAGCTCACTCTTGATGCATAGTCGCCACAAGCACCACAGGTAGCATATCCCAAACCCGCCTGTGCCCACAATTGCATTCGCAACAACCCACAAATCTGGCTTGTTTGCGGGAGGGGCAAAGACGGCTTCGACCACGTGCCATGCTACCATGGCGACGTACATGTTGACGTGTAGCATCTTGCTGAATAGGTTCAGCCCGCTCCTGCTCCCCTCGTGATATGCAGAGAATGAGACGGGCGGTAGTCCAAGAAGATAAGCCCATAGCAGAGACACGACGAAATAGGGAACTCCAAGTCCATCCCTCTTCAGCAAGGGGAACATGGTCCAGACACCGAGCATGTTTGCAAGGCCAACCCAGGCCCTCGTCGACGGCAGCAGACCCTCCTTTCCGCTGAGAAGTAGAGTCATGGGCAGTAGCGGGAGCAGAACATTCTTCTCGTGTACTTGGTAGGAGCAGAGGAAGAACCCCCAAGAGACAGCTGCGAAGGCAAGTGGCAGGAGCTGCTTCTTTGGGTTGAGGAAGATGATCAGACAGGGAGGAAGGATAGCGGCGAATGTTGCGACAAGTGCTAGTCGCTGGAGAAGCTCCATCGGATAGCGATGGAGCTTGTGGAAGGTATGAATTGTGCACCAAATGTTGGCGACTTTGTCCTCGAATAGCCCTCGGGAGAAGGGAAAGATGCGGTGGATGGATTGCGTCATCTGAAGGGCGATGGGATAGTACCAGGCATTCGAATCCCAATATGCAGAAAAAGACTCCATAAGGGGTGGGAGAGGGAGTTTGTCAGAAGAGACGCCTCTATACGTGTCGTACGCTACGCCTAGCAGGAATGGCAGATACAGCACGGCGAAAGCTGCGACCGTAGCAAGCGCAATGGCAAGGAAGCGAACCACATTGACCTTTGGGAACACGCAGATACCCAGAAGGTAGGCAAAGACAGCAGGCGCGTAAAAGAGGGCCATTTGTTTGAAACCAAGCGCTCCTACGAAGAAGACGCAGGACCAGAGCGGACGCCCGGCGACCATGCTCGACAAAGTGGCGACGGCAAAGCCGAGCATGACCGTGTTGTACTGGAAATGTCCATGATCGATCAAGATTGTGCCGGGCTGCATCAATATAGCCACTAGTGCAATGGACGACTCCCAGATATTGACACGTTCAAGCCTCGAATATCGGCGGAGAAAAATGACGATTGCGGGAATGTAGATGAGGTACTCGGAAACGAGGACGGTAGCGCGCATGTATATCTTGAGGGAGGGGTCGTCGAGTCCTCGCGATGCATCGAGGGCGAACCATTCTGGGTTAATCGCAGAGCCACTGAAGGAATTAGCATTTGGCGTTGCTACGCTGACTTTGTCAAGACTGCCACGCACAGCACACCCAAAACCCAACTATGATACGCGGTAAGCAGAGGATAATCCAATCCCCACCACTGCAACTCGTAGAAATACCACTTGCTCACGGGCAAATGCCGTGTAATCTCCATCCAGTGCCTCTGGGCCTCAAAATCCCCATGCATGGGCGGGCTCTGCAAGCCGGAATAGCTCCATAGGCTCGTCGTCCACCTGAACAGGCCCACAACCATCAGGATCAAGGGGATGGTGACCCATTGTGAGACTGTGCCTTTTGCAGGCCAGAGGAACGCGACGAGCGGGAATGCGGGTTTGTGGGCATTGGTGGACGAGTCGAGGTCGAGGGTGCCGTGGGTGACGTGGGCAAGAGAGCCTTCTTCGATTTTGCGGCGCCGCCGGGGTTTGTGATTTGCTGACGACGCCATGTTGAAGCTGGCCTGGAGCTTGAGGGGGGTTTTAGAGATGGTGGATTCAACGACTCGTCGAGCCGTCGTGTGTCCTCCCCGGCGAATGTGTCACTAGTGCAGATGAAGCTTAGGCCAACGTGGAGGACATGCAGGTGTGGGAGGTGTAGCCACAATTTAGTGCTCTATTTTCTGAAAACTGCAGCCTGTGCTTGCGATTTTACTAAGTCGCTTATAGCTGCTGCCTAATTTAATATAAATATATATACTATTGCCTTTAATTCTACAATTATTATCTATATAATTAAAAATGCTTTTGCTTATAATTTTAGTATATATTTAGTATTTTACTGCATTTTAACTGCGCTAATTAATTTTAGTATAATATATATAATACTTGCAATTAAGCTAATAAAAGCTTAAATTACTAATTTACTTATACTAATAATAATAATAATAATTTATAGTAGTGCTTGCAAATACTATAAAAGTATAATACTGCTAATATTGCCTGCAAACAAACTTACTTTTTTTATTTTATTTTTAATTTTTATTTACTGCTTTTGCAAGTTTTATGCCTAAATAAAATATTATAATATTTAAATAAGCTATTATTTAGTACAAAAACTATAAATAAAGTAGTATAAAAATAAAGCGTAGTATTACAAAGGCTAGAGCAGGGAGGACAACGTGTATCTACTATTGTGGCAAATGCTTCGCAATAAATTTGCAGTATGCATGGATCTATCATGTGAGAACGGTTGGCTCTTGTCCAACTGAACCAATCTAGCGAGCAAGATGGCGCCTACATTGTATACTTCTTTGGTGTCCATGCATGTCACATAGGCAAAGTCCCCAACACGTCGTCCCCATTGCCAGACAAAATAAACCTTTGAAAAGCGGTGCAAACAAACGTCAGGTTCAACTGCTACGGTGTCCTAGTACCGTAGACAGCGATCAGGTCCTAGGGAAAGCCTTTTGAACACACGCAACAAGGTAATACTCACTCACATCTGCTTGCCACGACGAAAGAAAGTTATTAATCGGTGGTTGGCCACTAGCGTCGTCGACACCGCATTTTGGCCGCGAGCTTGGGCCATGGGCTCCGCTGAAAAGTCGAAATCTTTCCACTCGCGCATAAAATCCCAACCGCCCGCCGCCATCAACGCACCTTTTTTCTTCCTCTTCCATCCGCTACCACCGACCTTTGTCGCATTACTTCCTCGAACACTATCCTGTTCGATCATCACCTGAGGGCTTTTTGAGGGCTTCTAGTGGGCTACTGAGGGCATTCGCATCAAGTACCAGAACATACCAAGTCAGTGGGCATCGTTGAGCTTTTCCTTCACACATCATGCAGAGGGCACGTCTGTCGCTCGTCAGAGCGCGACAAGATCAACCAGAGGGCTTTTCGCTACTATGAGGGTTTTTCTTCTGGCTTCTCGGCTCTTGTGGGAACACGGTGCCTTGAAGCCAGTTTTTCTGTGGGCTCTTGTGGGCTTTTCGTGGGCTTGAGGGACATCCGCCTCGCGCGGTCTCGAGAGATACCAGGGGGCTTTTCGCAATTTGAGACATCCAGACGACGCAGGCTTTTGGCGCACACGACTCTCCCTCGAGAGTCGGCGCATGCGCGACGACATGTTGCTCGTTTACTCTCCCCTTTCCTTTTGCCGTCGCATCAACACGGGCACCCTGTCGCTAGTCGCACAATACTGATACGTAATAGATCGAGTACTCTACCGTCATCATGTCCAAGACCAAGGTTACCGACAAGTCGTCCAAGAAGGACAAGAAGGCTGAGCTTTCGAGCGTCAAGGCCGGTCGCGTTACCAAGCCTGCACAGACACCCAAGTCGAAGAGCAAGGATATTGCAAAGTCAGTTGCCTCCGGTGTCAAGGACAAGAAGAAGACGAAGAAGGCTCCTACCCCGGAGCCTGAGTCTGAGTCCAGCGAGAGCGAGAGCGAGAGCGACGACGAGTCCTCCGCCAGCAGTAGCGAGGAGGAGGTCGTCGAGAAGAAGACTCCTGCCAAGGCTGCTCCCAAGGCTGCTGCTAAAGCCGACTCCGATTCTGACTCGTCTGACAGCAGCGAGGACGACAGCGATAGTGAGAGCGAGGAGGAGAAGCCCGCCACCAAGGCCAAGGCTAACGGCGCCACCAAAGATGCCGAGTCTAGCGATTCTGCCAGCGACTCCGACAGCAGCGCGTCTGACGAGGACAAGCCTGCTGCAAAGGCTGACAAGGCCGAGGTACGTCTACTTTTTGTCCTTGTCCTAGCCTTGACTATGCTAACCATCGCAGGCTTCTGACTCCGACTCGGACGACTCTGATTCCGACTCTGCCGCGAGCGAGGAGGAGGCTCCTTCCAAGAAGCGCAAGGCCGAGGCCGCTGCTGAGCCGGCTGTCAAGAAGACCAAGACTGATGCTCCCGCCGCTGGCGAGGGTATCAAGAACCTTTTCGTCGGCAACATGAGCTGGAACATTGACGAGGACTGGCTCCGCCGCGAGTTCGAGGGCTTCGGCGAGATCATCGGCTGCCGTGTCATCACTGACCGTGACACCGGCCGTGCCAAAGGGTGCGTCTTGTCGCTCCTATCATGCTTTTGCGCCTTGCTGACAGTAACAGATTCGGCTATGTTGAGTTTGCTGATGCTGCTGATGCTGCCAAGGCTCAGGCCGAGATGCACCAGTACGAGCTTGACGGTCGCCAGTTGAACGTCGACTTCAGCACCCCTCGCCAGAAGCCTGACGCGGGCAAGACCAACGACCGTGCCGGCCGTTATGGCGATAAGCGTAGCGCTCCCAGCAACACCTTGTTCCTCGGCAACCTGTCATTCGATTGCACCAACGACGCCGTCCAGGAGATCTTTGCCGAATACGGCAACATCACCCGTGTCTCTCTGCCTACCGACCGTGACACTGGCTCGCTCAAGGGCTTCGGATACGTCGACTTCAGTTCTCAAGATGAGGCTACTGCCGCTCTTGAGGCCTTGAACGGCCAGGATATTGCCGGTCGCAACATCCGCATCGACTACGCTGCTGCTCGTGAGGACAACGGCGGCGGCGGACGCGGTGGCGGCTTCGGTGGTGGTCGCGGTGGCGGTCGCGGCGGCGGCCGTGGAGGCTTCGGTGATCGTGGCGGACGCGGCGGTGGCCGTGGAGGTGGCCGTGGATTCGGTGGCGGTCGTGGAGGAGGTCGTGGAGGCGGTCGCGGTGGAAGCTTCAACCGTGGCGGCTTCGGCGACTTCGCGGGCTCCAAGAAGTCCTTTGACTAAACGTCTCTCCCATGGTCTTGCTTCCCTAGCATGCATTTCGTGTGTCTTGTCTTGATCGCGTGGAATAGTAAGTAACGAGCCACACCGTATGATGCCATATGGTCATGATGTTTGGATTTGGGCTTCAGCTATCTGCTGATGATGCTACAACATTCTCTTATTATGGGAACGGCGCATTACGGTTAAAAGTTGTGTTTCATTCATCTCTCCATTTCACTCGCTCTACACTAGGACGGGTCTTATGGTTAGTTAAGTCTCACGTATGTACAATGATGTCTCTTTATATCCTTTAATCCCATGGTCCTGTGATGTTCGCGTGACCAATCTCATTGCCTTTATCTACCGAATAATGTCTCCTTATTATGTTACATTCTCTTAGTAGAATAGCGTAAAAACATGTGCTTGGGACTATGCCCTACTTTGTCTCAAGGGGTGGTTTTACTTGGTTGGGGCCACTGGGTTTTTGGGTGTGATAATTATCAAGGTTAAAAGGACATGATTCATATGGAAACGAAACGGTTGCATGTAGTGGTGAAACTAGGTGTATGTGCTGGTAAGGGAGTGGCTATCTACTGCATGTCCAACGAATTCTTTGGAAATCCTGACTAGTCGGGGCTTGGCTTACGTTACCTGGATTGTGGGTTCGAAGGAGTATCGGATCAGGACCGAAATTGGCTGTTGCCAGTACCCAGCTTTCTATGCCTCTCCCAGGGCAGCGGTCGTTGGCACACCCAGCAACCCAACAAAACCGACTCTCCAATCGACCGGATAGGTCCTTGGACTTCACCTCTCGACCGTGTATCTTCACACCTATCAGCGATCATCACCACCTTCCTCTCGTGAGGGCTTGTCGCTTTGTGCAGAGGAAAACAAACCCACATAACATGAGCCAAATCAAAGTTTGGATTAGATAAATGGCATTGTGGCTGCTAGCGAATCGTTGAATATGGCAGGTAGATCCTGAAAATTCATGTAGATCTGATCGACATGATTGTGGCTGGCTATGCTTAATTTTGCTGGTACTAAATGCTGGTACTAATGCTGTATACGCATAGAAACGCGTCATGCAAATCTAACGTGCCAGAACAAACGTGAACTAAGGAAATATGCCGTACATATCCACGTGCACGAGACCGAGGTCGCGGCATCTAGTGAGACCCTCCCTACGCTTCCGTGATACCATGCTCAAACACGGTGAATACATGCCGCCTTGTCTCTCGATGAAAGAGAATATGCTTTTCCAGAAAATACCTCCCATGATTCGTCCAATGGGTATGAACCACCCCGCAAAGCGCCGCCAACCTGGTGTAAGCGAACGAAAAGATCCGCGAAGCATGTCGGAGATGTAAGAGTCGCTGGGATCTCGTCAAGTGGCTATTATGTGGAGAATTTTGAGCACAACATGAAGTTGGCTAAACAGACGCCGCTGCTTAGGAGTGACTAACGTGCCAGAGGACACGCGAATCTCCAAGGTCAAAGTCATGACACGAGAATTGATCCTTCTTAGCCGCCCCCAAAAAAAATCCCTCCCCCATCAGTCCCACCCAAAAGCTCGTCCCTCACCAAAACAAAGGAAATGACCACGTATACATCTGAAGCAGCTGCGGCAAACGCAGCGGCTACAGAAGGAATTAGTGTCGTAGCTGGATATCGAGGCTGCTATATATAAAACAATATCCGTAAATCGTGAAAATGCTGGCAATGTAGTTGTACACAGAACGATGGGCGAAGAAAACAACGATGAACATCGAAGCATAACGGGTGTGTCGTTTTTTTAACGATGAGGGTGCTCGTACGGTCGAATGCCACCAAATTCGACACCTTGCATAGCAGTGGGAGCCGGTGCTCCCCATTGAGTCGGCTGTGGCTGTGGTGGAGCTTGTTGTTGTTGTTGCTGCTGCAATGGCGGTAGCACGTTGTTTGTGGATGCAGGTGTGGCGCCTTGTTGCTGCGCAAGCATGCCCGTCATGCTCCCATAGACGTGCGGACTGGCGGGATCAACCCGGCGAAGAGCGTTCCAGACAGCGGCCAACTCGTTGCGCAGTAGTTCGTTCTCCTCTTGCGCTCGTCGACAGAATTCAGCGTCTGGTCGCAGGCGAGCATTTTCCGCGCGGGCGGCTTCATGTGCTCTGCCAAGGTTCTTGATATACTCAATGGCTGGCCTGGATTAGCGCAAATAAGAACGAAGGATAAGGAGTCAAGTTACCTTTGGTCAGAATCTCCCACTTGCTGGATTTGCTGCCAGGAGAGTTGGGCAGGATGTTGTTCAATTCATCGAAGAGGTTCTTCATCTCGCTTCTTCGCTTCCTTTCAGCCATCTTGTGGCTGATCCGCAGCTCGGGAGTGCGACTGTAGTTTCCACTGCCGGGAGATAAAGCATCCGCGTGATTCATACCCTGCAAGCTCGTAACGCTGCGATGTTGCATAGAGTGGTGGTGGGTGCTTTGTATATCTACGGATAGTCAGTACGCTGGTCGAAAGGTAAGAATAGGGATGCGTGCCATCGTCTAATCGCTGTTGTCCAGAGGGAAGTTTGGAGTCTGTGGTAAAGATGCTACTATTGACAGATGTGGCAAAACTGTTTTGGCGCGATGGGAGCGTTGAGCGTTCTATACTTGACTCACCACTGCTAGATACCCTTTTGTCGTCTAGTTCGGGCTCATCCGGGAAAGCCCAGGCATAGCCCTTGGTTGGGGCAGCAGCCATGGGGTCTGGCATGCCCGATACGCTTCGCGGATTCGGATTGATGACGGGAGCACGTCGTGGAGGGTGGTTGGCACGCGGGCCATTGCGGCTCATGGGCGACAAGGGCGAGGCGCCATTGGGGCGTGTGTCGAGGTGCGTTATTCCTCGTTGTTGCTGGAGGTTCGAAACAAGCGAGACTCGAGAGGCATTTTGGCTGTCATATGGTGAAGACGGGCTGATGGCAAGATGGTTCATTCCAGCGTTCATCCGGCTGTCAACACTGCTGCGTCGAGAATCAAAATGCGAGCCGGCTTCAAAGCTCAGCCGGTTATCGAACCCCTGATTGAGCGATGGGAGAGCATTAGACTAGCGTTACGTCAGCGTGTCTCCATGGCGGGGAGAAGGGCAGGCAGATGGGTGCATACCTGAGATGACTGGGAGAGGCCAGAGGGGTATCTAGCCGAAGAAGGGGTTTCAGGGATCGAGTTGCGGGATGGCAGCTCTTCAGAGGGGTTAAGAAGCGTTTGTAGCTGCAAACCCATACCTTGGGAGACAGTAGATGAGTCTGAGGGGGTGCATGTTAGAAGGGATCAATTAGACTAGTTTAAGTGAGGGTGTGGGTGTGGGGAGGAGAGGCGATATTAGGAGACTGACGCTTGCTTTGAGAGATGGACCAATTGCCTGAATCGCGGACCTCGCGAGCTTCAGACTGCTGTCTGAGGCGAAGGGGGCTCTGCTCAGACGGGGAGAGGGTACTGGTGAGGGAGGCGATGGATGGGAGTGCCTGTCCTTGCGACACGGTGCCGGGTGCTGGGTGCCGTTGATGAGAGACAGTATCCATGGTAGTAGCGAGATGAGGTGCGTGGGTCTTGCACACAGCCTTCAGCCCAAGAACGACGTTTGGTCGTTGGAGCGTTGGGGCTGCGGGTGGGTGATGCAGAGTCGCGCCAGTGAAAGGGGTGGCTAGCCAATGAGGTGGGGCAAGACGAGGGGTGGTCGCAGCGTGATAGGCCGGTAATGCGTTGGCAGTAGTAGAAGGTGGAATTGAGAACTGGGAGGAATAAAAAGAGGGTGGAGATTCTGGGGTGGAAGAATGACAGCAAGCGTGGGGTGGGAGGGAGAGAATGCAGCTGCAGGTGATGCAGAGGGATGGGGTAGGCAGGCAGTCGGGGTAAGGTGGTTGAGGGCGCACGAGGACTGCGGTTGCTCCTCTCTAGTAAGAAGCAGCAGAAGCAGCAGAAGAAGAAGAAGTAGAAGAAGAAGGAGGAGGAAGAGGAGGAGGAGGAGGAGACAGAAGGGCCAGTGCCAAGGTAGCTCTCGACTGTCCAGAGGAAGGCGCGATGCGCGAGGGCGAGGGTGAGGGCGAGGGCGAGGCGTGCAGTCGACGGGTGCAGGTCCAGTCTATGCTTGCTACTAGCAGCCAAGCTCGGCGATGACGATTTCCAGGGCACCTCTTTTGGCGGGCAGCAGCAGCACCAGGCCAAACAAGAGATGGGCGTGCCGCCGAGGGCCAAGCTACCATGGAGCTCGCAGCGTGGTGGCAGCCAAAGAGGACGTGGCTGCACAGTGGGCCACGGCCGCGTTTAGATGGGATGGAGAGGGCAGCAGTTCGAGGCCGAGTACGAGTGCAGACTGGAGGAAGTCTAAACGGAACAAAAAGGCAGAGGGAGGCTGGCTGGCTGGCTGGCTGGCTGGCTGGCTGAATGAACGAACGAATGTATGGATGGATGGATGGATGGATGGACGATTGAATGAATGAATGAATGAATGAATGGGGGTGGTGCAGGTCGACGTGCCTTGCATAGACGGGCCCAAGCAGTCCCAAGGGCGCGGAGGGGGAGCACAACGGGCTTGATGGCGACACGACTGGGGCAAAGCAGCGAGCGGGCGGCGGTCTGGACGTGTGTGCGACGCTCGGGAGGGACACTGGTCGTCCGTACAGTACAGTACAGTACTGTAGTGGTCGAGTCGTTCGTCGAGGTACGTTGGGGAACGGACGGGGCGAAGACGATGGATATGCGCAGGGCCCAGCGAGGGAGCCAATTAATGAGGATGCAGCCGCCCAGCGCTCAGCCGGGGCGCACGTGGGAAATCGTTCAATCGAGGCCTCGTGTATCTCAACCAGCCTCTCTAGCGGCGGCTAGCTGCACACTCTGCGGCCGTCGTCAGTCGTCGTCTACGGCAAAATTAAGGTAGAAGTGCACTTGTAGCCATCTGGTTTCCCCGAGATGTTGCGTTAGCCAAACTAGGCGTCGACTGCTGGCTTAGCCCGCCGCCCGCTGCAACACTACACGCCGCCACGAGGGCCGCGAACTCGTTCGACTCTCTCTCTCTCTCCTTCGACGCCCTCCTTTCGACGCCCTCCTGCCCAACTGCCCAAGCGGCGAGAGGGCAGAGCATAAAGCACTGCGCTGCACTGCGCTGCACTCTGTGCGCTTGCAGCCCTCTTCCGCCGACGATCCCTCATGGCCGCTTGCATCCTCTCCGGGCCCGGAATGGGCCCCACCCCCCTCGTTACAAGTTGCCTTTTCTCTCTCTAGCTATCCTTTGTTCCGTTTCGTGTCTCGTGGGGCAGAACCGGAAAGCTTCCTCCTCGACGGACGGGTACCATGATGCATCCTCAATACACGGGTACCATGAAATAAACATTCCCCCAATAACCCCGTGACAAGAAAAGTGTCCCCGCCATGTTCTGCACAAAGGCAACAATCTAAAATCATGTCATGCCACACACTTTGTCGGCTGCTTCGCGTCTTGGTTGCCAGGGAGTAACACAACCTCTCAAAGTCACCTTCGCATGACCTACCTTGGACCAAAGCCAGGGCAAATAAACGGGGAAGCTCTTGCCAAGGCGTTATTGGACCTTTCCAGCCATGCCAAAACCATACATGGTTCCCAGCTCTCTTGTTGATGTTTAGCCGCCCTGAATAGCATGCTATCATCTGAGACAAAGCCTGGAGACTTTTGTGCTTGGGTCACTTGGTTACACAAATGGACGGCTGAGCTCCCCCCTCTCCTCCCAATTACAGCATCAATTCCAAAGGTCCCAAACAAACAATTCTTTTCCGCCGACTATGCTGCTTCCACTCCGCAACGCTTCGCTCGTTATCCAGTCGCTTGGCTCGAGCTTGGTACAAATCAACCACACGCACATGGCCTGGTTGCCGAATGTTGCCACCAAACCTGCCTCCTCACACTGTACTCGACCTGGGCGGTGCAACCAGACGCAAACCCAACAACCAGGTCTCTGAAAGCAACCGTCTTGTGTCAGGTGCCAATGCATGTTCTGTGCTCCAGAGTCTTTGGTGCAACACGCAACACAGGCCGCTCAACCGTCGCCAGTACACCCGCAGTGCGCTCTGTGGTCGACCTTCCCATCGAGGGTCCATGGTCTTGCCAGCACTTTGCTCGCGCTGAGCACCAATTTCGTTTCTATATCATGTCGTCATGGTCGTTTCTAGGCTCCTAGTTTGTCCCACGCCGCCCTGCACATCTCGAGGCATTAGCCAGGAACACGACATGGCTGTGCAGTGAGATATAACGGTCGTCAGTGCACACAAGCTGCTGTACTTGCGGTAGGGTCAAGCATCATGGAGATTGGGCATACCTTTCAACTCTTGTTCTCCGATCCAAGCCACCATCCAACCTGCAGCATCGAACCCACCTTTGGTGTCATAGCAAGACGACACGTTATCTCATCAGTACACTGTCTCACTTCAAGACACAAAGCGAAGCACTCATGTCGTGCGCCGACGCGTCAACCTGCCAGCAGTCGGCAACCGTTCATAGGTGGAACTGTTGGGGGGGGGGGGCTTTGACCGTGTCACAACTGCAATACTAACCCGGCCAGGTCATTACGCGCTCAACCTTGGTCGACTGGGAACACCAAATCTTCGGCAGACGCATCTCCCAGCTCTGTTGTGATGCATTAATCGACCAAACAAAACAAAACAGTGGCATCGCGGGAAAAGACTCTCGGGTCGGCTTATTACCTAGGTATTAGGTAGAAACTAAAGCTGGAAAGGTACGGCGGGAGTCTCGCACCCCCGGAAGCCTTTGCCTCCCTGTAGGCTTGCTCAGAGTCACATGTAAGCAGAAACTAGCAACGCAACTGTGGCCTCACAAAAATGCTCAACGTGGTAACGATCATCTACGCATTGGGCAAACATGTGGCTCCCTGTACTGGTAGTCTGGTACGGTGATTTGAGTAATAACCACACACTTCAGCTCGGCCATGACCTCAATGCGCATTAGACATTATTTAGACTTGGCAATAACGTTTCGAACCTTCTTTTCCCCCGGCTCCAGAGTGGCCAGCCTCATGGCAGATCTGGAACGGTTCGGTATTTCTCCACAATTTGCATCCACGGTTCTCATAGTCGCGAAGGTCGCGAGAGGATTGCGTGGGCAAGGGCACACACACACTATGCACAAAGGACATTACAAAGGCACATTCGGCCTGCTCACATGATCCCTCTTTCGCTCCTGCCCAATGGAGCATTTTCGCCTGCTACACCGCTTTTACTATCCCGTAGGTAGGTGAGGCCCGGGGGTGGATGAAAAGCACATTGTCACGTGCAAACCCGGTCCATGGCGGGGAACGAAAGTCGGGTGGGTTGCCTGCGGGGCAAAAGCGAGAGCTTGGTCAAGCAACACGAAAACGACGCGTCGGCTGTGACGAGCGAATATGGACAGCTATGAGTCGTTTGCGCCTGGTGCGGCTCTTGTCGACGTGCAGAATGGAAATTTAAACGATACACGGCTGACGCAGTCTGCCTTTCCCTTCCTGAAGCTTCCCCGCGAGCTTCGAGATGAGGTAGATACCTCCACCCCACTCTCTGATATTCAAGAACACCGACGAAATGACAGTTTCTAGGTCTACAATCAAGTCTATAATATCCAAGACGACCGCAGCGAGCGCGCCCTCCGTATCGAACGCAGGAATTTGAAATACTTCAAGACCTCTGCCGCTGCCATCCTCCTCGTCCTCCATCACGAATACTTCCTCCTCAACCGGCAAATAGCCCGAGAAGCTCTCGAAGTCCTCTTCAAGAACCACACCGTTTTCCTCAGCTGCGGCCCCTTCGTACTCAAGACGCTGTTGGAAAGGATCGAGCAGCAGAATGGGCCGGGTAGACAATGGTTGAAGTGGATAAAGAAGATCGAACTCGACTGGGTGACATTCCCCAATCTGAAACTGTATCCGCCAGATAGGGAACAAGGGAGAGATGAGTGGTACTGGGAACACGATGAGGCTGAAGTCGATGTAGACTTTGTACGCGGTGCGCAGTATAACGGGCATTACGACGAGTATGATCACGAAGGCGGCCATTACGAAGACAACTTCTACGAACCTTGCAACACTTCACTCTACCCTTCCTTCCGCCAACCCACCGCCACTCAACCGACCAGTTCAAACGATCCCTTTGGCTTCGCGAACCATTACCCATTCACAGACCCGTCGCGAGAACCGGCCCAGGAGGCTTCAGCCGAAGACATCGCCTCAAAACTAGACCTCCTCGTATCAATGGAAGTAACGCCACTCTTTTCCTACCTCGCCTCCCCAACCTTTAATCTCACTACTATCACTATTCCATTGTACTTTATATCGAAGCAGTCGCACCACAATCGTAGCGTCACACGGCCTGGCTACGCACTCCCTCTCAAGATCAGGTACTGGGTGCAAGTCTGCGTCCACGCGTTACTTATGCTCCAATCACCTTCCTCCTCCTCCTCCTCCTCCTCCTCCTCCTCCTCCTCATTCCTCCCAACATTGCAGCATGTCCGCATAAAGTATCTACCTTGGGATATCTGGGCTTCTATGGATCCTGCCGATGACCTCCACCGCATGGGCGACAAGGGTGTCTGGTTCGACGCGCTCGAAGACGGCGAAGGGGGCGAGAGGGAAGGCGAGGGCGAAGCGTTCCGTGCTATATGGGCTAGTATGAGGACGAAGCTTTTGGACGAACAAAGGCAGAGGATGGGACTAAAGGCAGACGTCAAGTTTGTGCCGTGGGATGGGAATGTCGACAGCTGGAGGGTAGGGGATGAGCTTGAGGTTATCTTGACAAGGGCCGAAGGCGACTGAATCAATCACGTCTTCAATATCTAGGGCAGGGCTGGAGCATAAGATACTGAATGGTCCGAGATTTTATCATCTTGCCATCGAGAGTGACAGAGTCAAAAGACAGGCTGTGTCGGTAGCAAGAAGGAAGATATTTGAATGACGGCTCCATACATACATCTGGTACGCGGGCTTCGGTGCTGGCAGACTATATACAGCAACGCAGATGAAAACCGTACCACCTACAACTCGACCTTCTACTTCATCCAAAAAAAAAAAAAAAACAAAGAGAGCAAACTGAAAAGGGAATGAGACATTTTGGACATGGACTCGTGACGCAACAGGTTGAAGGTATCTACGACCATGTGTCCCCTCCAAGCCGTGTAAACTCGTAACAGACGGCCGTCATGAAGGCCGTGCTCATCGATCAGTCGTTGCCAAAAGCAAGCGCGACTGCCATTTAAAAGTCCCAGAATGAATCGCCATTCTGCTTCCCGCCTGACGCGTCCGTCGTACTCTTCATTCCACGCGGATCAGCATTCGTATTCTCCTTCTTCGTTGGGCTATCATCGTACAACGACCAGGCAGCCTCAGTACCCTTCCTCCCCCCCATTCCGTTTCCTGCGATGTTGATACCCTTATTCTCTGGAGAATCTTGATACTCGCCCCAGTGCGTGTTCATCGCCTTTCGCGTTTCGTGAGTGGGTTTCTTGGCTGCGCCCTTTTTGCCAAGTCCCGGGCTATCGTCTGTCATGTCCCAGTGGGCTCCAAAGTCTTTGGAGCGGTTCTTGTTCTCGACGGCTGTTGTTACGTCGTTCAACGGACGCTTGACGTCTTGTTCTTCTTCGGTGGTATGCGTGACATGATCCTCATACAGTCCCTGGCCCTTGTTGCTGGTGCTGCCTTTGGTGGGAGCCGACTTGCGCTGTGCTTCAGGAGTGCCGTCGTCGACAAGGTCAAAGTGTGCGTCGGCATCAGGACGCGCCTTGTGGATGATTGGGCGGCGGACCGGGGAGACCTCCTGTAGCGCAGGCATGTCAGCATATGTTCCCAAAGAGGAGAGCACAGAGACGAGGGATCAACCTCTAGCATCTGTAGCTGATAGAATGGACCAACCTCATCATCGCTCCAGCCAAAATTTCGCATAGCTTGCGGCTGTGTTTTGACTTTCGTCTTGTGCGGCGTCATGAAATCCTCAAATTCCCAGTGTGATTCATGCTTGCCTCGAGTAGCCGCGCGAGCTGTCTCTCGAACCTTCGGTGTATCCTCGCCGTCGCCAAAATCGAAGTGGTCGTACTTTTTAGCGTTCGTCTTTACGCTCATGGGCACACGCGTGGCCGACGAGTCCTCCGTCTCTTCAAAAAGGCGATTGGCCTTGTAATTCTTACCACCACCTGCCTTGACTGGGATCTTCTGCGGCGAGGGCGAAGGTGAGGTCGTGTTCTCCCCGACAAATAGCTCAGAGTATTCGCGTGGTGGAGGCTTCGCCGACTGCACGCGCGGCGCTGTCGGCTGCGAGCTGCGCGGCTCCTCTTGGCTGATGTCGCGAGGTTGGAAGAGTGATAGCGACGCGTGCGGGTCGTTCAGAGCGTTGTTCGTCGACCCTCTTGAGCGCGAGGTGGTGATGGAGACATCGTCTGCGCCTCGAGAAGCGGCCGTCGAAGGGCGAGAGGAAGGCACAGATTCGAGCTGCACGGCTGCTGCCGAGCTCGAGGCGATCAGACGGCTTTGTTCCTTGCCGTCGCGAATAGGCCAGTTGCGGGAGCGTGAGCCGATTACGTCGAGTTGCCTGAGGAGGGAGCCCTGGTCCCAGTATTGGCGGATTTGTGTAATCTTTCCTGCGGGATCGAAGTGTACCATGTGGACCTGAGAACATGGTTAGTACTGCAGTGTGTAAAGACCTGTAGGCTGGGCTATGATACCATTGGGAACGTGACAATGCGATCTGCCACGAAATTGTCATCTAGGCCTGGTAGATAGGCGCCGCCACCGCTGTTGAACTCAATCGTCGTCTCCACATCGACACTCAAGCCGCGATGGCCCTCTATCGCATCCAGAATCTTCTCCTTCGTCTTCGTCAGCAGCTTCTCCTGGACAGACAAGTGCTTGATAATGGCTGTGGCGTCGTGGATGCTGGTGAGCGTCGAGATGTAGTGCAGCGCGGCATTGTCGGCGAGCGCGCCTGTGGAGGGCGTTGCCAGAAAAGCGGCATACGTGTCGCGGAGCGTCATCGCGTACGCGACTATAGAAGTTGGTTACTGCTAGCTGCTGCTTGGCTTATAGATATGGGGTCGCGAGAGTGGGTAGGGCGGGGGTGTTGGAATGGTGGTGGTACGGAGATGGGGGGGTGTGTGTAAACAAATACTGCCTTGGGCGCGCAGGAAAGTGGAAAGGAGGGATGAGGGTAGAGCCAGGGACCAGGACCAGGCTCCCTTATGGTCCCCAGCAGCAACAACCCTGGAGCTCATGGTATGGTTACGACTGTTTTAATGCAGGGGCAGGGCATCCCGCTGATGCGACATCTAGCCTCGCCCGCATTGCCCACTTCTCAACGTCAGACTAGCCACGATTTGCAGTAGATGCCGGTACCGAGAAGCGGAGACCACTCACTACGAAACACTAAAATACCGCATGGGCAACACACTCGGGTAGGCCACAACAAAGGTTGCCCCGGACACCCCCCACCTTGGTATCACAGATGGACGACCGAAACGGCGCGTTTCAGATGATGAATGCCTGGATGCTTCCTTCTCACGGGCCAACCGAACATTGCATCACCTAGAGGGCACAAGAAACGAGCATTCTGTAATGATATATAGGACAGAGTTGGTTATTCATACATCAAGGAATGACAAGTACTATGTAGTCGGACGCAACGAAAATTGTAAAAGAACAAGACCACATAGGAAAAACACAGATGCTGCACCGTGAGTACATATTGAGACATATTGAACAGAGATTCCAACAACCACGTCGAATCCACACGTTGCCGTCACTCCATCTGCTCCTCAGCATCCACGTCAAAGCACGTCTCCCAGCAAAGCACCTCACTTGGGAAGTCTTTCTCTACGCTCGGTCTTTCCCTGACAAACCACGCGAGTCCAGCACCGAAGACGCCAAACAGCGCAAGACACGTCCACAGTGCCAGGTTGGTCGTCTGAAGACTGAGTTCGTCACTGAAGTAATAACTCGTGCCACTGACAGCGACAGCGAACGCTTTGAAGAGGCTGGCGACTTGCATCATGCCGACTACAGTACCAGCGGAGAATGCATCAGGCGTCGTGTTCAATACAAGAAGAGCGACGAGCACGGAAGCGCCACCAGTAAGGACATGTTTGCTAAAGATGGAGAAGACGGAAACGATGGATGCCAAGCCAGAGCAGGTTACGAGAAGGGTGAGGAGAGGCGTGATGACGTAGATTGCTGGGAAAAGCAGAGAGACAGAGCGGTAGAGATTAAGGACGCCATACTTCTCCATGGCGAAAGGGATGGCGTAGAAGATGGCTACGGCGGCAATGCCGCGGACCACCAGGACGACGATGCTAAGCCAATCACATGGAATGCCCATTCCGCCGTGTTGGGTGCTGCTGTGGCCAAGGTGAGGCAGGAGAACGTCGAAGCTTGAAGCGTGAAGGGAGAGGAGGCAGAAGGAGGACAAGAGAACAATAAGTGAGGGCGCTTGCATAAACTGGGCAATGGTAATGGGTTCCGGTCGGGCGAAGTCGACAAGGGTGATTGTGGTATCCTCGGACTCGCGGCTGAGGAAAGCGGCCTTCTCACAGTCGACGTCCACTGGGTCTGCCAATCGGTCGGAATGAAGCGGCAGAGTCTCCTTGAGCATGATTGACGCAGTAAGCGCAATGGCAAACAGCAGGCTTCCACAAACGAGCTCCGATCCTAGAATAGGGAACTTCTCCCACACCATCCCATACGCTTGTAGGCTTTCCGAGACCATGCCCTGCATGAGCGGTCCCATAGAACCACACAACGAGATCAACGGTAACCGAGCCACATTCTTCGCCCTCTCCTCCGCCGTTGTGCTCAGATCTCCGATCATGGTCAAACTGGTGCACATGATTGTTGAGCTGACTATGCCTGCGAAGAACCTGAATATCGTACAGCTGGCTAAGCTGGTTGCGAAGCCCATGCTCAAGCAGCAAATCAACATAGACCATAGCCCGAGGAGTGTGACGCGCCTTCGTCCCATTCGATCGGCGAGGTAGCCCCAGAAAAGGCCAGAGGTTTGACCAAAGGTATATGCGCAATCGAGAATACTTCGAAGATAGGACGTGGAAATGTTTCCGCAGTAGTCAGAGGAGGAGAGGAGCATTTGAAGCTGTGGTTGAAGGCTCGAGGCCATGATGCTGCGCGATAAGGGTTAGCTGAGACTTTAGGACAGTGTGCCGTTGGGGATGGGATGGGACGAGAGTGACTTACGCTTCAGCGAGAAAGACGAGGTACACCAGCATCATTTGTCTCTGACGCGACCTGTCTACAGCATCTGGGGCGCTGGCAACCTCCATCTCTTCCTCATCATACCATTCCTCCTCATCCTCAACCAGAGACACCTTGTCGTACTTGGCCAGGTCCTTTACCGGGATTAATGACCTTGTCCTTCTGTGAAAACCCAACATCTTCACAACAAGGATCCAACAAGAAAAAAACAAACAAATACAAGACAGAACGGCTCAATTCGATAGGACGCGATTACCGTGGAAGGACGGACAGTCGATAGAGGCAGGCACGACCAGCGTCACCTAACCTATAGAGAGTGCAATGGCCACAAGGGACCTAACAATATGCTGTAGAGAGCGATAAGAAGGGTTGTCAAGGGAGTGACAGACTCCGCCTCGAGATTAGAGGTTGCAGTCAAGAAGGCGGCGACGGCATGGTGAGAGGGGGGTTCTCAGCCTCGAGTGTGTGCAACCCGGGCCCTTGAAACAGCCATGCAACTCCCTAGTCCCATTGGTCTAAGCTCGCAGCGCGCTAACACCCACCATCAAGCCGCTTGACGCGGATGCTTGTGATGTCAATCGGTTCGCTACTAGTGAAAGCTGTCGTTCTTGATGGTTTTGGGTGGCGCAGCCTCCGCTAGCATGACTTGGAGTCACACATCCCCAAGGGTTCCGCAACAGAGTCACAACAGAAGAGTCACAGACAGTCACAGAAGCAACGTTTCAGGGCACAATCAGCTTCCTCCACACTATTCGTATTCTATAATATACACTATCTGATGATCTCAACCACAGCCTTGGACTCCATACGGAAAAGAAGGAGAAGGGGGGAGATCAAAATCAGTTGCAGCAAAGAAAACCCGTCAAACAAAGGCCATTTGTTTTGTGGATTTTCTGTTCTGTTGGGACCGTCGCACCACTCCAGTAGCAGAGGGAAGAAGCATCATAATCCATGTCCGTATTCATAATTCCATCTCTTTCAGGATCGTCCATCCTCGCTGTTCACAAAACAATGCCAGAACTCCAGCTCAGTAGCGCGGTTGCCGTAGAGAAACAAGAAATGTGAGAAATGGCTATTCAAATGCTCGCTTCATCGTATACAATGTAACCCACAGGTTACTGCGGGTTTCCGTAGTTGTTGCCCATCAAATCGTCCAGCGTAGTGGTAGGCTCAGCGTAAAACGTGTCAAATTGTCCTCCAACCTGATTGAAGTCAGGGAAGAAGTTTGCCGTGTTGTTGAATGACATAGTGCTCGGCGGAGCCGTGTCAAACAAGGTGAAGTCTTCAGTTGGCCGACTGAATGTCTGCATGTCCATGTCACCAAAGCCTTCATCCATATGCATCTCTGGCGAGAAGAGCGTGACGTCAGGCTGACCCATAGGCGAGAGGTGTGGTAGACCAGCGGTCATGGCGCTGTTGGAAGTGAATGGGAGAGGTTCAAAGTCGAACGTAGTGCTCAAGGCTGGCGTTGGCTGCTGGAAGCCGGTATTGAAGTTTGCTCCCAAGCCACATTGGTTGAAGACCACGTTATGATTGATGGTGGTGTCTTCGGGGGTCACGGCATCATCAAAAGACGTTGGCTCAGTGGGTGAGTGTCCAGACGAGTACGTGAAGTGAGATCCGTCCGTTGTCACTGAATCGCGGCGGAAGTCGTCCTGGTAGCCCTGAACGCTCAGGGCTGGAGTCCCAAAACCATAGTAGTCGAAAGTATCGATCATGGGCACTTGAGGCGACGGAACAAAGGGCGTGATTGGGGTAGTTAGAACTGCTGACTGGGGTGTACCAGTGAAAGGAGTGAGTGGAGTAGTAGGGCTATGATCGTTGTTTGCAGAAGCCCTCTTGCGACCGTTGCTCTTCGAACGAACGTACTGCCATCCGTGTGCCTTCTCCATGTGCTGCTTGCAGTTCGACTCTCGCTTCGAAGCGTAGGTGCATGGGGGATAGAGACACCTGTGCTGCGCAGGGGCCGCCGAGTGCTTATCGTTCATGTGCCTGTCGCGTTCCTTTTCGGTCGGCCAGCCGAGATCGAAGTACTTGCAGTTCTCCTCGGTGCACTTCCAAGGGCGGGAGTGCGTCTTCTCGTGCTTGGTCAGATCACATGGTCGCTTGAACTCCTTCTTACAGTCACGGCAGGCGTGCATGACATCTCCAGGCTTCTCCGACTTCCTTCGACGAGCCATGGAGCGCGTGACTTCGTCGTCATCCATGTCATCGTCGGACAGGGCCCGCTTTGACAAGCCTTTGTAGGCTTTTTCAGCATCTTCAGCAATGGGCATAACCTTGCCATTCTTCTCGCGGACCAGCTCGACAGGGCGGCCATTGTGACTGAGCCCGCCGCGCAGTGTGACCTTTTCATCACTATGGATTGCTTGATTAGTCGAGCGCGTGAACAGGAAGGCGGCGGCGTAATCATACCGGGAGTAGTCCATCTCGTCGAGCTCCTCGCCCTTCTCTTGTTTTTGTCGTGTGGCCGCCATGATTGCAGCGTATCGTCGGATCTGTTCGATCAAGTCGAGAAAGTAGTTGTTAGTGTACGGGCGGTCGGACGGTAGTCGTTGGTCTTGTTCGGAGAGGTACTCGACAGTCGTATGCAGAAGCTGAATTGATCGTTCGCAAAAGCGTAGGTACGAAGTCGCTGTAGCCGAAAGCTCCTTAAACCCGCGGAAAACGCAATAAGCTTTTGCACGCTCAGAAAGATAACGGATACCACTTACAGGAGCCAGGAAGATGAGCGTCTTTTCGAGATCACGGAGATTGCAGATGTTCTTCTCACCTATGCGTCGTGGGACGTCTTTGATCAAGGGATGGAAGTCCTTGAGTGATTCCTCAGCAAGGATAGGCTTGATGATGGTGTCGTGAATCTGTTTGCAAGCGTACTCGCCAAGAGTGTGCTTTTCCTCGGATGCGCCCAAGGCGGAGAAGGAGCGCGTGACAGCAGAGTGGGTAGAGCTGACAGAGGTGTTGATGGACTCACGGACGCTGGAGCGTCGGGTGCAGGCGTCGTCTTTATGTATGTTAGCATGTGGGGCGTCCAAGACGGGTAGCTGCCATGCATCCTTACCGTATTTCGACCCGCTGATGCTGGATCCCAGACCGCTGTCCGAAGCGTGCTCGTGGGGGTTCTGTTCGACGACAGATGGCTTGGAGTCAATGTCCATTGGCGTGCTGTCCAGTGTAGCGTTGTCAAGGACAAAGCTTGGTACAGGAAGCACCTCGGGATCGTTGAGGATGTTAGCACCAGTAGCAGAGGCCGCCCTGTGCCCAGCAATCTTCTTGTCAAAGTCCTTTAGGAGGTTGGCGACACGACGGACACTGGAGTCTTGGAGGAGCTCCTCAAGGCTCTCAGTGCTTGTTGGCGACCGTCGGGGCATAAAGTGTTGGTTCTCCAGGTCACAGAGGTCATTGGACAATGACTTGGGTGATGAGAAGGTGCCGCTCTTGCGAAGGTGCATGCCATGGGTGCTGAGAGGGGAGACATGGCCCTTAATAGGACGGCGGCGGGGGTGGCAGTTCTGGCCGTGGGGTGCAGACATGTTGGCTATGACTGGTTCCGGTTGAGCTTGTATTGGGGAAGGAGGCCTCAGGTTATGAGTCACGGCGACTGAATAGTTCACAGAGCCCGAGGGATCCTGTGGACCAAGCGGAAGTGGTTGTGCAAAACCCGTGATGACGGTCTCATTGACCGGGGGGAGTGGGCGGAGAACAGTCGACTAATTGGCCGGAGAGAGAGGTAGAGATGTAGAGAGAGAGGTGGGGAGACAGAGGGAGACAGAGGGAAGGGCGCGCGGCGGTAATCCTCTCTGGTCGTGCTGGGGGAGGGAAGTGATGCAGTATATAGGAAGGCGCAGCAATCGGAGTAAGACGGGCTACGAGCGGCAAAAGATGATACCAAGGGCGGCGGGGGAGAAGGGTGCAGAAGGAGGGGGGGCAAAGCCTGAGGACGCAAGATTGAATGCAGAGATGGAGGAGAGGAAGGTGCGGTGGGGAGTGGATTGAGAAAAGAGAAGGAACGTTGGAGCTGTCAGCCGGTGACAGGAAGTCGCGTCGTGAAGCGCCAAGCACTGCTGCCTGGAGGCTAAGCCTCGACCATGGATAACCCGTATTCGCAACGCGGGTGGAGGAATACCGCCCACTAACTCGCCCCGTCGTTTTGCGCATGTGCGTTGCGGAGTGAAAGCGCGACGACGACTACGACGACGACGCCGCCGCCTTTTGCTCGCCCACAAGCCCGTCACCACACCAAAAACGGGCTGCAAAGGGCGGTCAAACCAAACAACCCCCCCCCATCGACCACATTGTTCCCGCAAGTTGCCACCTGAAAGGACTCGCGCCATCCATTCCCGACACAACGGGGCTAAACTCATAAGAATTCCGGTCAGCAACTCGTAGCGTCGTCTGGTCCACTCAGACGTCGCGCTATGAGCCGTTCCTGCTGCTTGAGCATGAGGGCGGTCGGTGGCTTGCGAGGCTGTGTGAGAGGTCGAGGTGAACGCAGGGGGCCTGCGCCATCCATCGCTGCTCCTTCTGCCACGATCCGACGGTTAGGCCAGGTCAGCCCAGCCCAGCCCAATGCGTCAATCATGTTAAAAAAGGCCAGTCCTCTCTTGCACGAATGCGCACACGACAATGTGCAGTGTCCTGTCCGACTTTCCCGGAGTTCGTCCATGTGCACAACACCGTGTCTTTGATATACTGGGTGCGAGCATACGTATGCACATGCCGTTCGATTGGGCGAGTGCAGTAATCCACTCACCGGAACCGTGGGGGCCAGAAACACGTCCAACACGTCGGACAATGGCGCTTACAATGTGAGAGCTGCGGGGCTGCGATACACAGGCCGGGCACCTGTTGTCGTAGAGGGAGGGAGTAGTATGGGAGTTACTTCTACTAATACGCCTTGAAAGAACGCAACACTTCCGCCATGTCCAGGTGTTCGGAACATTGGGAAGGGATGAACCAAGGTAGGGTGCAGTCACGTAATTGGCTCAAGGGGATTTTTGTTTCTCGTCACGTATCTACTAATTGTCTACCACCTTCAGCCTTCCACACATCATTCTCATCAAACCGTTGCAATAACCCAACATGCCATCCCTGAAACCTTCTTGTCGTTGGCGGCAACCATCCTTGACTCTCTTCTAGCACTTTCCCCAACTCTTCATACAAGTCCTGTGGGAACTCCACGTCCTCGACAGTCGCACTCTCTGGCTCACCAGGCTTGAGCGGCTGCCAAGTCTGCTTTTGGTAGAAGACTTTCATCGAGCGCACAGGATCGTGGCGATTCGGTGAAGGGACCGAGGATGAGAAGAGAAGGTCCGGCGTGAACACCCAAATGAGCAACGATGGTGTTGATATTCGGGAGTCAGGCGTGCACGATGGGTCGCTCGAGGGAGTCGTGGTGAGGGTGAGAGGATGGATGTGAAATTTGCGCACACCAAAATTCTCAATGAGATAGAGAAGGCGGGCTGCGATCCATCTTTGCATGGTGTATGTGGTGGGTGAACTTGGCCGAAGAGGAGTCGCAACACCTGTGTTCCATTTATGTATCCACCAACCATTGGTGGCTTCGTCTTGACTACCGAGTGTGTGGGCACAGTGCTTGCATACAATTGAATCCCTTCCTACGTACTCTTCAGAAACAAGCTAGGCAATGTCAGCATGAGCCGTGGTATGAGTAGGAACTCAGCATGTAGATATGTTGCCTGTGCTTTATCCTGCCAATCTCAAGGATCTAAGAGTATAAAGACAGTGAAACGCCAGGCCGCTCGCTCACAAGCACCGGCGACCCATCAACCAAGAGAAGAGGATCCGTCCGGTGCTGTGAGATGGTGTATGAGTCTATTGCTATGGGGCGGTTGTATCGACGATAATGCCATGGGGAGGGCTAGATCGCCTTCTTTGCACCCGGCGACGTTTGTGTTCTGGGAGCGGAACATTCGGCGTTGGCCATATCAAGGTTAGGGGTTCTCTTACCTGGGCGCCCTCACAGTCCTGTTGCTTCAGGAGAAAGCTTGTGAGATTTACAAACCCTACACCTTTCACTGCCTCCAAGCGATTACCAGCTGCATAGCCTTTTCGTTTGACAACCTCTTCTTGCATGTCATCGTGCAAATCATGTTCATCAGGCTTATGGCAGTGCCAAAAATCCATCATCTCGGCCCAGTTTTCGTTGGGCAAATCCCTCCACTGTCCCACCTGGCCTCTCGGTACTATCACTTTCTCACAGCCCTTGCAGGTGATTTCCAAGAATTGGATCTGGCTGAACGATGCACCGTCCCAGGGTACGATATTCACTTGTCGCTCCTCGCCCCGCAGTGTTCCAAGCAGATCGCTTCCTTCTCTTTCTTCCATCTGTAAGCGCAGTGTCAACTCCTTGCTCGGCGGCTGCGATGGCAATGAGAGAGTGGCATCGCCTTCTCCTTTGACGTTCATGGGTAGACGGATAGTGGCAGACTGGCCCTCATGCGAGACGGTGATGTATGCTCCATCAGCAGATAGCTTCGCGCTTGTCTCGTGGGAATAATTTGTGCGCAGAGACGCGAACAGAGTGATGGTCCGGATATGCAGCAGTAGCTCGGCATATAGCGTTATCCATGTCTCGTTCGGAGCCAGAGGCCGTGCATTGTCTTCGTCACTTTGGAGGAGGTTCGGGGCAGCAGGCTCGGTAGGCTCGTTCGCCGGCTTCGGATTCATCAGGTCTTTCATGGTATTTGGGGATAGACCGAGAGCTTCGTATGCTGAATCGGGGAGAACCGGGCGCGACATACTTGGTGTTTTCGCGCCATACTGGCCGGATAACGGTGGGGGTTGGATATGTTGCGAAAGTCGTTCAAGGCGAACTTTGTGCTTCGCCGGAATGGACCCGGGCTGGAAAATCTAACCACTTCGAGCAGACTATCCGCACGTGCAGAGACGTACCTAGGTAGGTACCACCCAGTGAACAATAATCAAGTCATTGAGTGCATAATACATGTGAATATAGATTGCATATCCTGGGCGAGATAAGCAACTTTTCTCTCCGGCGCAAGACCCCTAAGCAATTGTATATCATATCAGAGTCGACAAAACTGCAGTCAAGCCAAGCCAAGCCAAGCCGTGTGGCATGTTTGATTACAATATCTACAGCGGAGAGATGAGTTGGAGAGGCCTTAGAGACAGATGAACTATTTCTCCATGTAACCGCCTACCGACGCTGTTGAGCATTACTGGCCCTTCTTCTGACCCACCTTCTCCTCCTGTTCCAAAATGTACCTCACACCCCTTCTAACTCCCTCATCCAGGCTAACAATTGGCTCATAACCCAGCCTCTGCCTAGCTTTACTGACACTATGATACTTGCTCATACTACTATACCTAACCTGCGCCCTGGTCAGGTTTGGTGTCTTTCCAAGCGCCCAGAACGTATATTCCAGAACTGTGCCGATCATCCACGCCACATCTGCGCTCAAGTGCCACACGCTTTTCAATGGTAGCCTGTCGCCGGCTTCATGCCACACCGCGCGCGCAAAGTCCCAGAAGTATACTGGCTCGCCATTCGTGACAAAGAAGGCTTCACCATCCACACGCTCGGTATCGAGGGGTACGGTGGGGAGAATCTTGTGCGTTTTGAGGAGCGCAACAACGGCGAGGAGGTGCCCGTGGGCGACGTTTTCGACGTAGGTGAAGTCGAAAAGATTGTTGTTGTCGCCAACTTGGAACTTGGTCTGTCCCTTGCGGTAAGCAGAGACCATTTTGGGAAGCAACTGGACGTCGCCCTCGCCGAAGATGCCTGCCGGACGGATGGCACAGGTTAGGAAGCTCTCTGGCTTGCGATTCGCTTCCAGCACGGCTGTTTCTGCGTATGCCTAAACGTCAAATTAGCATAAAGCTTTGTACTGCTCTCAATTGATCTCTCACCTTCGTGGTGGTGTAGTATTCCGGCTGTGCCTTTCCAGTAACAAGCGGCCACCTCTCATCCGCATTGACCAGTTCTGTCACAGCATCGAGGACGACACCCGCAGAGCTTGTGTATACGAATGCTTTCACTCCGGCATTTTGCGCCGCCTGTAGTAGGTTCTTGGTCCCTTGTACGTTGACTTTGTCGAGAATTTCCGGCCCCAGATTGAAATGAGGAGAAGCAGTGTGAATGACGGCGTCTGGCTTAAGTTGAGAAAAGAGGGCCTTCATAGAGGCAACGTCGGTAACATCGCCATCGTGGTAGGAGACATTGGCACTAGCATTGCGGTTCGAACTAGTTCGGAGGTCGAGGACAGCGACTCGTGTCTGAGGGTGGTGCTTGACGATGTAGCTGACGATGTGACTGCCTAAGAAGCCACATCCGCCGACAACCACTACCTTTCCTAGTGACGGTATCGACTCCAGACTCGACATGATATATGGTGCAACTGTAGCGCAATTGGTTGTAACTGGGGTGAGGTGCAATGCGGAATTGTTTTGCGGAGAGCTCGGTGGATTAGTCTCCGCGCCCAGGGGTAAGGCCCCCGCATTTCTCACCAATGGTAATTTAGCAAAGTTTGGGCTACATAGTTGAGCATCACGTCAGGCTTCTTCAGAGCGTAATCAGTGCTATGAGCTACCTCGAAGGGACTATCATGTATTAACGCCATACTATGAGGCACTTGTGCCATACCATGCTCATAAAGACCTATAACGCCGAATATGCGAGCCGTGAGACCCTTTTAGAGAAGTCAGGCCAGGGGTATCAATTACTATCATGCTTAATTCCGTCGGGCTGTTGAAATCATGATTCCACCGCCAGCTGCTGCCCGGCTCTATCAAAAGCAGTTCCTGTTACATGAGTGTTAGCATAGGAGCCGTATCCCTCAATTCGTACAACAGACACGATCGGCTGGTTGCGTATGCCACTACCGTGATCGCCAGACTAGGCATGGTTGAACCCGGGCAGGGGATCAGAGGCTAAACTTACTCGGCACTATCCTGTACCGAACGCCTTAAGCGTCGATTATAGATCTTCTTCTCGTCGGGAGCACCCCAGAACAGCTTAGCTGCTTCTAGGTTGACGAGGGTCCTCGGATCATATGCAGGTGATTCCTCCTCAATAGCAGCGATAATAGCCTCGATATGCGAACGCATGTCATCTTTGCGGGTAGCATCGTAGCAGAGGATCCCGTCAGGCGACACGCGGTGGTGAAAGATTGGAGTATCGAACTTGACGCGTGGAAGCACGTCCGGAAACCTCGGGCTGATGTAAAGCATAATCCTGAACATACCGCCGTCAAGGTTCGTCATGGGCCTACCAAACAGGACCAGTTGCCACACGAAAGGATTCTTATCCACGAGATCCAGGTCGAGAGTGACTGCGTCATTCTTCTTGTACTTTTCCACGATCTGCTCGTACTGACGCTGGAGATTGCTGGCGATGCTCATCTCCTTGTGAACCGCGGACATGCCCTCTACAGCCCAGCCCTCCATCTCTTTGTTGAGCGATTTAAATATCGTGACGAGGCGCTCGCGGAGGGCCGTGTATTGAAAAGTACCCTCCATCGTGTTGCCAGGACCCTCGAACGGCATCTTTTCGAAGCGATCTCCATCCTTGTTCTTTTTGGCTGCCTCGTCGGCGCGAGCCAGGTACGATTGATAGTACCACAAGAACCGTCGCTTACAGAGGTCCTTGAATGGCTCGAATGGTGCATCTTCTCGACTTGACTGATAGTCCTCCTCGGCGTTGTAAACCGTCACCCCAGGCCGATCCTGGTGGATGCCCAAGTACTCTTCTAGTCTCTCAATTACAGATACGCGCAGCGACTCATGCCGAATCTTGGCGACATATGTCTCCTGGTTCTTCTTGTCATAGTCGGAGTTTGCGTCTTCGAAGCCAGGTTCGTTCTCGTAAGGGTTTGTAGACATGAGGCTCTGTATGGAAATGAGGATTGATTCAAGGCCTTGTGCCGACGACCACTCTTCGCCCCGCTCACCCCGCCATGTCCTGGAGCACAATTAGACCGATTCATGGTAGCATATGCTCATGCTCTACGCACCCAAGAATTGACAAGCACACCTTGCCTCCGGCGTAGATGTTGGGATTGAAGCGCGTGCGTCCACCATTCGTTGTTATCGCCGTCACATTTGGTGCCTTTGTGGGGTAGTCTCGCGTGAACTTGACAGCGAATTCAAAAAAGCCAAATTCGTACGGCGTATCTGGTGGGCCGATTATGAGTGCCCGCACATGCCGGACGTCGATATCACGACAGGCGACTGCAAGGGAGAGATCAGATCCCCGCTGGATTTCGCTCAACTCGCGAGTGATCCGGAGAATAGATTGATTCGACATGAAGCTCCGAGGACCTTCAGGCTGCTACTTGGGTCGTGAGCTCAGGCGGGTGCTCGAACAGTCAACTGCGGAGGCGTGCGACAGCTCGAAATGCTGAACCGGCGTTTACGGCTGAGTGGTTTGCACGAAGATTTTGATACTGAAGCGGCCACGATTAATAAGTAGAGAGGAAGAGAACAGCTGGAAAGGTACGGCCGGCCGTAGAGAGAGAGTTTACGGCTGTTGAGCTGTCAAACCGCCTAGAGCTTGGGTTGCATGTTGGAGGGGCAGAATTCGGGGGCGGTCAGCCTCCAGGGCAGCTACAAACACACAGCCATCGTGATAGTCAGACGTACGCAGGGAGTGAGAGATTGCCACGTTACCCACGTCATATTACGCAGCTAGACAACTACTGTGGGCAGACTTCCTTGCCTCGCGCCGGACTTGCGTGGACAGCTAGCTGCATTCTACCGGACTGGAGCTCCAAGAGATTCCGCTGTCACTCATAGTACTAGGTCTAACAGGTCAACATGTATGAAACTTCCGTCGTTATCTTCAGGACCCTGTCTGATGGTGCCTAGGGTTGTCTTCGCGCTCTTCGTCATTAGCAAAGCTGGCGGTCTTATCTACAATCGCGAGTTTCACACAGGCATGAGCAAGCTCACCAGCAACGACTACCTTATGCTCGCCGGTTCCTTTCACGGGTATGTCCTTTGGTATAAGACATATCTTAATACTGAGGGTGTCTAACTCAACTCTCAGAATGCACGCAATAACCGCAAATATCTCTCCCGTTCCCCCACCTCCCCATCCTGCCACCGCCACGTCCACCTCCTCCCAAACCCCAACTACCTTCCCCGTCCGCGCTACCGGTCTCGAAGTCCTCGAATCTAGCCATTTCCGCATACAATGCTTCCAAACCCAAACCGGCATCAAGTTCTTGCTCTTTACCGAGCCACAGCAACCCAATGTGGACACAATGATAAAGAAGATATACGAGCTGTACGCGGATTACGTGATGAAGAATCCTTTTTATACAGTGGAGATGCCGATAAGATGTGAGAAATTCGATAGAGGCTTGGATGGTTTTGTTAAGGTTCGAGGGTGAGCAAAAGCACTTAATTGACATGGACAATCGAAGATGGAGGCATAATATTGCGGCTTGACAAGCTTCGGGCAGCTTTTGCCGAACAAGTGGTGCTGTAGGGATTCCAGGCACAAGATAGGCGCAGGCACCACAGTTAATACTGAGTGTGTCATTCGAGCGCGTAGTGGTGATGACATGTTAAAAGTATAGTCTCACGAGAGGTGTAATAAAGGGGGGTGCAAGCCAAGGGAAGCACAGAGATTGGACTGGCACCACTGTTAAGAGTAGAGACGACTCTAGACACTCGCACTAGTAGCCTAAAGCCACAAAGTTGTTGCAGTTAAGACAATATAGCCTACATTCATCATAATCGTTCATTCGTCTGTCTCTGATGCTTTGGTATACGCCAGTGCTAGTGATACAATAGACGCCATAGATGCTCTATCCTAGAGGCTTTGATAGCTATGATCAACCCGCCTCTTGACGCCTTGCTGCTGCCTAATATCATGCCGTATCCATCTTGTCCGAATCATCATCATCCTTCTTCTTGTCCTTGCTCCTGCTTCCACTTGGCTGGCCTTGATCATCCAGTAGCGGCTGCTTTTCATCACCCTCTGCCACAGGCTCAAGCTCGGTCTTGCCCTCAGCTGCCTCTTTCGTCTTCTTCTCCTTCTCTTGCCGAGCCTTCTCCTCCTCAAAACTCATCCTCAGTGCCAGTGCCAGCTCGGGATCCACTGATGGGTCTACGCCAAACTCGAAGTCGTTACCACCACCGGACCCACCACCACCAGAACCATCGCCATCGCCACCAGAACCACCAGCTCCAGCATTAGAGGTGCCATCACCGCCAAGTATGGGTGTTGTGATCAGCGAGTCGCTGAGAAGGTTCGCGCTGGGTGGAACAGTGGCAAGGTAGGAACCTTCTGCGCTCTGCACATTGTCGCTGAAGGCTTGCAGCTTCCTGGTCGTGTCGTCGCTAAGCTCGCCGAAGGCGATGATGTCGATGCTGATACCCGTCTTTTTCATCTTCTTTGCCAGCTTAATCAAGTTCTTCTCGTCTTCCTCGATGGGGCTGCAGTTGAATATGACTATCCGCTGCTTCTGCGACTTGTTCTGCCTGTGCTTGAGAGCCAACTATACAATTTTCGTCAGCTTTGGTACTTCTCGAAGCTCAAAATTACATACAGCTGCCACGTTGATGCCAGTCACGAAATGTGAGCTGCCCTTTATTTTTGTCCGGTGCAAGCCATCGAGGATCTTGCCAATGTCTGTCGTCAGGGTCGTGAGGATCTCCGGCGTGTTGCCTCCCATGCTCATCAGACCGACCGAAGATTCTGGATTCGCGCCGGTTTTGGCGGAGAATATGAGGTTTACGGCATCTTGTTGCGCTTCCCATCGAGAGGGTACGTAATCACCATTTCGGCTAGCTTCACTATTGTCGACACTAGTAGGATCAGTATGAGTCGAAGTGGTAGGCGAGGTATTCTTACACTATCATGGAAGCTTCTAACACCATCTTGAAGGCGAGTTTTGGGTATTTGATTACGTGTATGCAAAGGCGAGTGGGTTGATGTTGCTGAGCTTAGGTTGCCGCAGCGGTAGCAGATGTCGGAGCTTCGCACGCAACGCCGGAGCTGAGAGTTAGGGTCACGTGCGCGCTTACCAGGGAAATGACTCATTTCCTGCAGGTCGCAAAGGCAGCATTATTCAAGTTCGATATCAAGGCCTATGCGTATTTGAAGCTACAATTACGACTCTATGTGAAATTTTGGAGCTTTGCAATGCGCAAGATAGAGTGTGTCTAGAGCTTCAACGAGCCACATGGCCAATTATCCTGCAATGACGTTCGTGGCGCTGAGGCTTGGCGCTGCAGCTGCTACTTCAACGCTCTCCAGCCCTCCGTCCCTCTTGCCCTCCAACACTCCACACCAGAGATCGAGGAAGCCGCAACCACCACCCCAAAAACTACTCAGAAACTCTCAAAAACAATCTCAAAAGTTGCAGAAAGTCATCAACGTCTTTTCCTAGCTTCTCTTCCTCTGTACGCCATTAGAACATCCTTTGTTTACGCGTTGTTCACGACGTGTCACCACAATGAGCGACCTCACACATGCACTTACTGCCGAGGCGAAAGCCGCAATGGTCGCGAATCTTCAGCTAGAGAGTATGGCTCCTTCTTTCTGGTGCATCAGAGCTGTCGCTAACACCTGCTTTCTCAGTTGCCGCGCGTCAAGAGAAGCTGCGTGCCCAATGTGAAGCCCAATGCGCCAGTCTTCGATCACGCCTCGAGCGACGCGTCAACCGTATTCCCCCCACCAAGCGACAGATGCTGCTTGTCGACCTCCTCGACGCGTCACTTCCAGCAGCAAAACCTACTCTTGCGAAGACTGCACCTGCGAATAAAGCCCCTGCACCTGCGCCCGCCACACGCAAGACGCGCACCGTACCTCCTGCCACCTCATCAAGGTCAGCAGCTCCCAAGGAAGAGCCGAAGCCTGCTGTCGCCAAAACCGCCCCAAAACCTACAATCACCAAAGAAATGAAATCTACCCGTGGAAAGAAGCGCGGCAGCGACGAAGTGTCTAGCGAGGATAAGGAGAACGCAGCAGAACTTGCCGTTCCCAAGAAAAGAGTCAGAACGGCTACGACAAAAGCGCCAGCAGCTGCCAAGCCAGCAGCCACTACGCGCACGACGCGCGCTGCTTCCCGCACCAAGACGGCTCCAACTCAAGTCTTGTCACCAAAGAACAACAACGCCAACGCTCGCTCAAAGCCAGCGGCAGCGCGCAGCACTCGGCCACGATAGTATTATTGATCGATATTGACTAGCCTGCATAGAGTTTTTGGCGTTCTATACCCCTGCACCCACTAAAGGAATATGGAGTTTTGGATCTTGGATTTTGTTCGCTTCTAGTGTTTGGTACGCCACGCGCCATCCCCAACCCTCCACCGTGGCTTGAGGGTCCCCACTGAGTTGTAGCCGCCCGAAAGGGCTGGCTCCCAAGGGGTACTCAACACAGCCAGGTAGCGGGGAGGGTTGAAGGCGAGGCCGTTGTTTAGTTGTTTGGTCCTTTCTGTTCTTGTATGTTGTTTGGGGTTTGTTTGATCAGGATTGGGTGTCACGACGCTATGAGTTGTTTTCTTCTTGTACCCTATCAGATTTGGTGGCTTTGGATTAGAATTGTGGATTACGACGCGATGAATGAATGAATTGAGTGTACAATGCATTGAAGTGCTACAGCCTTGATGAAGAATTTACAGGTGTTCCTTGTTTCGTGTACTCAAGGTATCCAGCCCTCTTTGTACAATCTAACAGAACCTCTCTTTACACGGTGCACTGAAGGTATCCAGCCCTCCCAAAACAACCCATACTTAATCCCAGCTCATGACCGCTTCTTCCACGATAGGTCTAAATATCTTCCTCCCAGCATTCGACTTATGTGTCCACACCATCTGTCTAGGAGCCAACTCGTCCGCCCGATGCCATGGTACCAAATCAATACCCTGGTCGTTGTTCTCCAGCGCTTCTTTAACCACATTGAATAGCGAATCGGCTTGATCTTGGTCAATGCGCACGTCATCGCGTACGGTAAGGACAACTTCACGAATCTTCTCCTTCTCTCCATCCTTGTAGTGCTTCTTGTATTTGTTGAGGCATATGGAGATGTCCACGCCGGCTTCTGCTGTCCATGCAGCGTGTACTGCAAACCAATCGAAGAGTTCTGCGAAGTCGGTTTTCAGAATCTGCTCATCCATGGAGTACGGAATAGATGCAAAGCCGAGGCTCACGGTCGGTGTGCGCGGGGACGGAGTGTCGATCAAGTCGCCTTTCCAGTCGCGGCGGAGGAGGTCACGTAGGTCGAGGTGATCGATGTCTTTCTGCGCTTTTGTGAGTTTGTCGTCCAGTTCTTCCATGACCTCTTCGAGATCATCATCGCGCCAGTTACTACGCTTGAGCACACGCTTTGAAGTCTCAATGTCGACTTTGGTGGTTTTGTCGCTTGTCAAGCCTCCGGAGTCAATGGCGATGGCGCTGAGGATGAGCTCGAGCAACTCATGGGGCATGTGGTACTCTTGATCCAGCCTTTCCAATTCATCCAACATTTGTCTCGCAACGATAGTCGTGCAACTGGCGGTTGTTTTGAAGATGCGAGGCTCAGCGTCTGGCGCCGTCCCTCGATCTTTGTGGTGGTCAAAGATACTGAGAATCTTCGCATGGCTCCACTTCCGTAAAGGCTCAGCGTGATCGACCAATACGATCCCCCTCAGCTTTTTGCTAAGAGTCTCTGGGTCCTCTGGCAGCTCGTCCATGGTGAGCAAATCCTCGTGCCCTGGAGTCATCTGCGAATTGTCCAAGGCCAGCTTATTCTCGGGTCTCAGGTCCAGCGCGTGAGAGGGTGTCTGCAGCAGCGCGATTGCCTTGATCGGATGCGATGTGTTCTCACTCGAGTGTTCAAGGTGGTATGCCCATGTAAGCGCTGCGGTCATGCTGTCCAAGTCTCCGCCTTCATTCCCTTGTACGATTGCCCATTCTGACGCTTTGCCAGCTTGCCAATCGACTAGGAACTGTTTCTTTGTTGCCCGGCTCCACTCGCTAAAGTGCCCGACTCCGAGAGGGTTGGCAGGATTTCTCGACGCGTCGAGGATTAGTTGCTTTCCGAGGCGACCTTGAGGCAGCGCTGTGGCCCGGCTGGCAATCAAAAAGGCGGGTATGAGGGTGCGCATAGCCTTCATCTTGTAGATGTCTTCGTGCAAAGATGACAATAGAGCCTAGAAGATGTAAGGGACAAAGTCATGTCCAAGACAATTACAGACGTGAGCAGTGAGACGCCAGGGGTCCACGATTGCATCAGCCAAGGCGCTCAGAGCTGCACAAACAGGACAAGCGCAGCCTTGCGGAGCGGAACGGGAGTGCACGTGGGGCGCATTCCGCTCTTAATCTGACACGTGAAGACTATACCATGAGACTATCTGTAGGCACATTACAAGTAGTGGAGAAGAGCCAGTTATCGAGGACGCAAACGCATGCTACGTGCAGTGGTTGAGTGCACCACCACAGCAACCCGTGCTAACATGGATTAGAGACATGCTGAAGATGATTTGAGCATCGTTTGCCGGCATCGCCATGTGCCTAGTCCAACGTCCTCGTATGCCGAGACCCTTTATTACGAGATACGGGAGCTTTCTATGTCAGACGTCGAGGTACACCTACTATGTACTAGCTTTCGTGGAGATTGGAGATGCAACCAGACCCCACGTGTTGGAGGGACCGGGCGAGAGCGGCAAGGGCAGCCCGGGCGGTAACAACATGGCTCGTCGCAGCACAAAGTCCATTCTCCTCACCGTTCCGCACACATTTCTTCTGCTTCTCTCGCCTATCGCAGTGTCAACGCGCCTCTTTCCTTTCTCGGATGCTCTTAACCCCATTGCTGGTGAGCATCTGTAGGCACGCTGCTGACCGAACAATGAACTAAGCAGTAGCCGGTGCCGCCGGATCGCCAGCTTGGAAAGCCGCTACTTAAACCCCAGCGCAGTGCGACTCAACAGCAAGTTCTGGCAGAGAGAAAGCCTCTGCCACTATCGCTGGAAGAGTCATGGATAACCGACAGCGTGAGCAGGGCGAACAGGGGCGCCCGCTGGCGTCATCAACGGTTTCGACAACCACCACCCAAGGCCCGTACACGACAACGACTACAAGCTCTACTACAGCTGGACACGGCACATCCGTCACTCACCATGGACCGCAATCAACAACTATCACATCGCCTACCATCACCACAACGACACGCACGCCGGCCCCTCAGCCTTCCGCAACCCCGCTGAGCCCCCAAAGACTGCGCAGCTCCTCTATCAGGATACGGAGACCAGCAGTCCCGCAGACCGCGCACACTCCGCAGCCGACACACTCCGAGCAGCCATCTGCTGATGATGCTTGGCAAGGCAATCGAAGACGGAGCAGCTCTGAGCCGCGACCCCCACCTTCCACACTCTTTCAAGAAGACGATGGATTGCGACGACAGCTCACGGCCCAGCCCACCCCGCTACAGCCTCTCTACGAAGAAAAAGAAGGCTCGCGGCCAGGGCACCTTGTCCCTGGAACGGGCCCTCCGCCATCTCGAGGGCCCAGCGCAAAAAGACAAGGACTGAACAGGCAAATCTCAGCTATAAACATCCGGCGCAAGGATCACCACCAGCACCAGCACACCATGCAAGCCAATGTAGTAGATGTGCTCGATGTTATAGGTCAGTGTCCTCTGCAAGATGCCTCACACAAATTGACCATACCCTGCAGATCCTGAGATTTCCGCACTCACAACTCTGAATAATGTTCAGAATTCGCTCTTCCTTCCCAATCTCCCATGGCTCTACAACCGCCAGCCTACCTACGATCTCGCGCAGTCCGCTTCCGAATCATCATCGGACGAAGAGACAGGCACAGGTTCAGAAGCAAGACGCGGGGAGCAGTTGTCAGAGATGACACAGCAAGGCGAGGTAGAACGAGCGGCTCGTGGAGAACTCAGCAGGACCAACACAATCGATTCTGTTCTGTCGACCATGGACGAGGGACCAGGCCACCACTACGCTGTCCTACCACACGGTGCCTCACTAACAGGCTGGTCCGATGAAGAAAAGGCTGCCCTGGACGACCATGTGCGCCATCTTCTCCACTCTCGACGCGCAAAGTTCAAGCGAAGCATGCGCGGTTTCGGACGTTACGTGCGCAACCCTCTCGGTTTCATTGTCACTCTCTACTTCTTCCTCATCACATTTTGGGGAGCGGCATGGGTTCTGTTCCTCATTGGCTGGATCTATGTCGGCAACCGGCAAGACTATTTTGTCGAGATTGCTGATCAGATTTTAACTGCCCTGTTCTGCGTCGTTGGCATTACCATGTTCCCTTTCCGCCTCGTTGACACCTATCACATGGCCTTCGTTGCTTTCTATGCGCATCGCACGTGGCGTCTGCGGAAAGAACGAGGATTGGGTGATTTGAAAGACCATAACGAACTACCAAACATGCCTCGCTCGTCTGCGTGGGAATCAGGTGAAGCGGAGGATCAAGGTCTGGAGGTGCCGGTCCTAACCGCCCGAGAGCAGACAAAACTCGAACATCATCAGGCTAAACTTGCGAAATCCCATACCTTCTACAGGCCTCACGAGACCTATACGCATCACGCATTCTCCATTAGACTCCTCATCACCATCATTGTCCTTCTCGACTGCCACTCTCTATTTCAATGTGCTCTTGGTGGCACTACTTGGGGTATCTACTACAAAGTCCGGCCTAAAGCCCTGACAGCTGTAATCCTCAGCTTTAGTCTTACTTGTAACATCACTGCTGGTATTCTTATCGGTAGGGGCGATAGGCGGAGCCGCAAGAAGCTTGTTGTTGAGCAGCTGCTGCGACAAGAGATGACGGAGGAGGCATTGAAGAAGCTCAAAAAGGAGCGAGGACTTCGAGCGAAAGGATTGATGACAAAGACACAAAAGAAACAAATTCGGAAGCAGATGGGTGAAGAGCCTAAAAACCCCTTGGATACTATTTTGCATCGCGGGTAACTGCGCTGTGTCAAATATAGTTGGATTATGTTTTGTTCTCGTATCTGAGCTCACCTCGCCGCCCTGCTTCACACGTCACTAGTGACTTTACCCGGCCCTGATTTCGGGAGTGGATCGGACAATCTAAGTCTACTCTCCCCAGCCATATGAGCAGCCCTATGCCTTTTTAAGAATCTTCTTCATCACTAGGGCTGCTCATATGGCTGTGTAGCATCTAAGAACGACATCATCTGTCTGATCATGCTATGTTGTCCCTTCCACTAAACTCTGTTTTTCCCGATTGATAACCTCCTCTGACCAAGTCATTGGATTAGAATTGGAATCCAGGTCCTCACTTGAATCAAACCTCGCCAAGCCCAAGTTCCAGGATCACCACGCTTGACGCACCATCGCAACTGCACACATGTTAAAGGAGTCTCTTGCAAATCGAGACACCGCGTCGTATGATCCCACCATAAGAACCGCTAAAAAAAGATCTGATGTAGCCTTTCTCTTGTCCCAGACAGTTTTAGTCGGCCAAGAGCATGCGGTAAGAAATCCACAAAGCTCTTAATGAGCACTATTCGATGTGAATTGATGTCGAGTTAAGAGGATTTTCAAAGCGCCTACGCCCTAGTTGAGCTATCGCTGGTTCTGTGGAAGTAATTTGAGTCTAATGCTCGTAACACTGGATTTTGCGTAAAAGTGTGGAACAGTTGGCGAAGGGAGATGGAGATTCAGTGATTTGGGAACAGACACCGCTATGATATATGAACTAGGGCAACGCTCAGCTACACGCCTCTCTTTGCAAGGCAGAACCGGCTTCTCTTGGGAGATCACAACCTCTACATTAAGACAGGTTTCCTACGACGGGTCAAATGCAACCAAATCTTGCCAACCATGAGTGCACAGGACTTTCGGGGGTTACGCAAATCTAATGGCTAGCAACCCCAAGTGTTGCAATTATACTGCTTAGGCACTTAGCATGCCTGTCATTATGCACGTTTCTTCATCGAAGCTTTTTAACACACGAATATTCCGGTGGGTAACCAGACTAGACAGGGACGCACAGGGCGGATTCCACTCTCTCGCATGGATCTTCTGACCTAAGAGTAAATGCAACGTACATAGTCCCCAGCTTGGCTTCTACATTTTAGCAACGAGCTAAGAAGACGTACCGCGGATTGAAGTAGTAAGAAGGTAGAAAGCCTACTTTATGGTGTTGAACGGGGTTTGGAAAGATACATTTTCATTTAAAACTAATCCTATACGTTTTCAATGGCGCTTAGAATATAACTAGGGAGAATGGAATAAATGAACAACTTTCTTGAGCCTAAGACGCCTCGCTTGTGAAATTTCCCGACGTACCCGCTAGGATGATAAATCCCTGGTGCGGTATCGAACTCATCATTGAGAAACTTCCCATGCTCTCGAGTCCCGCGCTCACAAAGCCATACTTCTACAGCAGATGTAGGTCGATATGATACTTCACGGGGTAAACGGTGACTTAGATATCGGTATTAGCTGCTGTATTACCCTTGATATTGAATTACGAATCCCATTAAGCCAAACCGGAGACTCTCCTCTCAACGTTAGTGGTGTTGTAAGAAAAGACCAATAGCAGACTTCGAGACCCACAAGGCCTCTAAAGTGGTGTACGTGGGTCGTGTACCCACTATGCGCATATTAGCAATCCAATCCTCCACGGCTCGATCCTAGGCTCTCATATCCAACGTCGATAGAACATGACTTGAACCCGGTGATTGGAAGCTTCCTTTCTCGCTCTAATCTCAATGCCGACTTCCCAAGGTCCCTGTGCATCAGTTCCCTCATTAACAGCTTCTTGACCCTCGGGACGTTTCCCCATACGCTGCACAGCCAGTTCAACGCGTTTTAGATTTGGGAAGTACTTTAGCCCTTCAAGCCACATGGCCTCCTTAGTACATCCATTCGAGTAGAGTCGTACGATTGTAATCAGCAGCATAGATTCAGGTTGTTTTTGCTTCCAGAGCTCCAAATGTGGGAGGGGCTTGCTGTACCGGAAAACATTGAGGGAGAAGATGAGTAAACGGGCTTCGGCATGGACTTGACGACAAACGTATAGAAGCTGTAGTGCACCATGCTCTTCTTCATTGCCGTTGTAGCCTGACTCTGGTGGAGTGAGACAGGGCGCGATCTCTCCGATACAAACTCCGTCACTAGAGGTCAAGCATATGCTCTTTCCGCCTAATACATATCCATAGATGTGGTTCCGCAACTCCGCAGGCAATCGTAAAAGCGGCGAAACCGCCTTGTTTCGTTGAGCGCTGGTCAAAGTTAGTATTAGCTCGCAAAGGTCTCTAGCTACGGCTACATCAATTTCTTACACCTTCGTGTTTGCTTCTCGAGGTCTGCCGTCTTCGAGGGATTTAAGATTCCTAGGTTCTCCATCCTCGCGCCCGAACTGGGGCTTCAACCTCGCAATCTTGGCTTTTCTTGCTGCCGCGATCCGCGCCAATAACGTCATTCCTGTAGTTGCAAAGTCCTCAGGCTATAATAGAAGATTGGAGGTTAAACAGGATGGGAGTCGGTGCCAAGGCTGAAGCCTAGAGTAAGAATGAAGACCGATGTGGGCAAGCGGGGTAAGCAAGGTGAAATACGACCTCGGGAGGCTGAGTTGTGTAACATCGGCCTTGGAGGAAGTCGAATTTATATATCATACTACTCACATCGACAAGTTATACTCTGATTCTTGTTGTGATTCTGGCGTATCCTGATCGTACACAACGACAGCCAAATCTAACCCATTTTTTTTGCTCTACGAATGGTATCTTTTCGTTCATGGTAGTGCGAGTGGCTATTTGTGTATAGGCTATGCGTTGGTCATGTGAGCGACTTGACTATTAGACTGATGTTAAGCGATTCAATGGGAAAGTAAAGAAAGTAGATGCATGGTACGTGAACGTCTAGAATCAAGATAGAAGGGGTTTGAAGATGGGCACAAATGCAAGCATGCGAAGATAGTGTGTGGCCTTCGATGGGTATATCCGATCCAACTCGCGGTGCTCATACTGTCGAAATACCTCCATGATGCTTTCAAATGTACAATTAGCGCCAGGCGCCTTACGCCAATGCCAATGATACAAGCTTTTCGCTCCAACTTATCCATCCAACACTCCGCTTTCTTTCAGGCTTCTAAACAGCTCCGGTTCCAAAAACTTGCTAATTGTGACGTCTTCCGCGAGGCCTTTCCTTCTCCGTGTCTTCAGTACAAAGTCGCGCGCCAATTGCTGTGCGGTTGCAGGTTCGAGTGGTCGTGTTGTAATCTCCTTGTCGAGCGGGTCGCCCGGAACAATGGACCAGCGGTCGAAGACGAGCGAGAGGGACACCTGGCCTTGGGTGTGGATCCTGAGGTCGGTCTCGAAGCCGAAAGAATCGATGACGGGGATAAGACCTCGCACATTGTAAAGAGGAGTACCGGCGATAGGACCATCCTGTAGGACGTGCCCTCGTCTCCGTGCTAGGACTGTATAAAGACTGCTTTTAGTGTCCGCGGGACCGACCATACTACACGAGTATACCGGTTCCATCAGCCTCGGGCTCGCCATTAGGAAGCTTGAGTAACATGCTCGTCTACTTGTGGGAATAATTTGACCGCCTCCTCGAAAAATCGCTTCTGGCGCAAGTTCGACATCTGTGATACGGAATTTGGTGTTACGGATGGGCTCTTCGCAAAGGGGACCTTCTCGGGCTGCCCAGCTAAATCCCTGTCGCAGTGTGTCGCGCACTGTGCGGAGTGTCTTGGAATCAACTTCCGATGGGAGTGTATCGTTTTGGAGGATGTTGGCGCCCATGTCATCCGGCCCGAACGCCCAGATGTTGCGCGATGCTAGCAAGTCGTAGCCGTAGTTCTCCTCGAAGAACTTTCCGACCACACGCACCGGGTCTTTGATGTTGACTTTCCCAGCTTCGATATCTTCCGCAATACCTGGATCTAGCGGTTCGGCGATCATGGTAAGCTTGTTCTTTTTGTTAGGTGTAAGCGCATAGCACTTGATAGCAGACATCTCGACGACTGTTTCGCAGAACCGAGTGACGGGATCTGAGACCTTGATCTCCATGTCGGCATATAGTCGTCGAAGGTCGTGTAGCACACAGTCCATGTACAGCTCGCCGGTACCGAGGACAACGTGCTCTCCTGACTCCTCGACCTTGGTTGTGATGAGGGGGTACGACTTGTTAATCTTACGCAGACCGTCAAGCATCTTTGGTAGTTCGGAGGGATTGATAGGTTCGACGGCCACCTTGAAGACGGATTCGAAGAAATGCCGAATAGGTCTGAATATGTAGGCGTCTTCATCTTCGGGAAGCTTGGTTGCAACGATAGTCGCCGTCTTCACTATTGAGTTATCCACACCACCCAGCAAAACCCAGTTACCGGCTGGCACACCGCTAACTGGTATGTTATATCTTGACTCGGCTATCCACGTGTCTGTTATAGTCGCGACGACCATGTCTTCCTCGTCCTCGAGCGTGTAGCCTTCGCCAAGTACACGCACAGATTGCGGATTTGACGCAGTACCGCTCATCACGCGACCTAAAGCAGTAAACGACTTTGCATCCGTCGCGTTGAATAGCTTCGTAACGTGCACCACCAGGGGACCATTCTGGTCGCACTTCTCCATGGCTTCTGCGGTTTTCGAGTCCAAAGGCCCAGTGTAGTGTCTTTGCAGTAGCCGTTTTGCGCCTTCGGCGGGTGATGGAACGTGGTGTGTGATCATGTCCACAAAACCTAAGGAAGGCCCGAAATACTGTTGGCATACCAGTCGCATGAGCTCCTTCGCATCTGTCTTGTACTCGGAAGGCTTCAATCGTATGCCCAAGACTTCTAAAGTATCCTTGAGATCATCCGAACTCTCACTCAGCGTGTGTGAGTAGATCTTGTAGACAGGCTCCAATATCCAGTGAACGAATGACCGCTGAGAGCCTTCCTCTTGCCTCTTGCGACTAAATTTCCGGCTTCCGGGGTTGTAGAAAATGTCGCCCCATAGGCGCATTGCAAACTTGTCAACCTCCAGACCCTTCATTGGGACGCCGAATCCGGGAAGCCTTGAGGGTCCTGGGTAGAAGTCGGAGTACATTTTGGCAAACGACTGAATAGTGAAACACCATCGCATACTCGTGCAAGCAAAGGCGACGTTGCCTTTTTCGGGGCTTACTCGCCTGCTCTCCCCCCTTCCTGGAATGGTGTTCTCAATGATTGTGTTGACCTCCTCGATTACATGCTTGATCTTGAAGTAAGCATCGCTCGGCGGTAGCTTCAGCTCGAGGATCAAGCGGTCCATTTTGTTGACGACGAGTGTCAGAGGTAAATCCTCCAAGACGGCGTGCTTGATGATCTGCTCTGTGTTGACTTGCACGCCTTCAACCACGTCGACGACGAGAACTACGCCATCGACCAGGCGCAACGAGGCGGCTACCTCGTCGGCGAAGTTGACGTGCCCAGGTGTATCGAGAATGTTGAACAGATGCGACTTCAACTTTGTATTTTGCAGGACCAAGCTCATGGGCGCGGCTTTGATCGACAGGCCTCGTTCGCGTTCGAGCACATGTACGTCGGTGTAGCGCAGCTGTTCTTCGCGTTTCTTGCCCTTTTTATAATCCAAGCGGTCCTGGATATCGTGTGTCTCCATGACCAGCATGTCCATGAACGCCGTCTTTCCGTGATGCAAGTGACCAGCAATTGCGATGTTCCGTATCTGGTCTGGGAAGTTCATAAGATCCGTCAGAAGCTCGCGCGAGTGGTGGACGGGCGGCAGATCCGTCTCTTGGATGGTGAACTTCTTCTGCACCACGGGCGCGACGATGGGCTGCGCCAGCGACTGCGTATCCTCCTCGTGGACCAGGACTTCGACGTCGGGGCCGTACACGTCGGCGGCGGAGGGGTAGTATTGTTTGTCTTCGTGAAGGACTACGGCGTTGGACGGGCCTTCATCGATTTGCATAAGCTGCTGGTCGTTCGCCTCGGCCTCGGCCTCGGCCTCGTCGTCGTCGTCATGGTCGAGGACGTAGGCATCCGCTGCGTCGCCGTTGGTCTGGACATCGTCGTCGGACTCTGCTTCGCCAATGAAATTTCCGAACCTGTTCAGCGTCAGTCGCGTACTCGTCCCGAGACATATGGTAGGGCGTACTCGTCATAAAGGTCATCCATGGCGGCGATAGACGTGACTGCAGCGGGCTAGCTATCCTCACAGGCAGCTCCAGGTCGGACTCGCAAAAGTTCCCAGGCCCGGCGAAACAGATGTGCCTAGCTGCCGGCGGCGGCGGCGGCGGCGGCGGTGGGTATGGTCCAAGCGCGGGCGGTGAAGATAGCGTGACACGTGACTTGCTGCAGGGACAGACCCGCCATTGCTGCACGCCCTTCTTCCCAGTCGCGAAGAACCAAGCTTCAAAAAGGCTTCGTCTGCTTGTCGTTTGCGAGGCAAACTTGGTCTTTACTTGCTGCTTTCACTCTCCTGCTTGCCATCACGCCCAAGACCGCCAACATGTCTTCCCTGCCGCCCGTCTACATTGTCTCGGCTGCCCGCACGCCTACGGGCATGTTCCTGGGGTAAGTTCTTTTCAATGAGGGGCAGCCATCAACCCACTCACCCCCAGAACAGCTCCCTCTCGAGTCTGAGTGCCATTCAGCTGGGCTCTCATGCCATCAAGGGTATGTCTGCTCTCAATCTGTCTTTTCTGGAGGTGCAATGGGTCTAACAACATGACCATGTAGCTGCTGTTGAGCGCGCAGGCCTCAAGCCCGAAGACGTCCAAGAGGTCTTCGTAGGCAATGTCCTCTCCGCCAAGTACGACCCCACGGTGTCTACCTCCAGCCTTGATTGATTGACCCATGACAGTCTCGGCCAGAATCCCGCCCGCCAGTGTGCCATTGGCGCTGGCCTCCCCGAGTCGACCGTTGCCACCACCGTCAACAAGGTCTGCGCATCGTCCATCAAGGCCCTGATTCTCGGCGCCCAAACCATTATAACCGGCAATGCCGACATCGTCGTCGCAGCAGGTGCCGAGAGCATGTCGAATACGCCCCACTACCTACCCAACTTGAGGTCCGGCGCCAAGTTTGGAGACCAACCGCTCGTAGACGGTGTGCTGAAGGATGGCCTGACAGACGCATACAAGAAGGAGCACATGGGTCTGCAGGGCGAAGAGTGTGCAGACGAATATGGCTTCAGCCGTGGGGACCAGGATGAATATTGCATCCGCTCGTACAAGAAGGCCATTGCTGCGCACGAAGCCGGCTGGTTCAAGGAGGAGATAGTCCCAATCGAGGTTCCCGTTGGCCGCGGCAAGCCTCCAGTCACAGTAGACCGAGACGATGAGCCCAAGAACGTGCGTTCCCGACGTTTCTCTCATCTTCACTTATCTAGCCGTCTATGATACTAATTTACCCCAGTTCAACGAGTCCAAGACTCGCGCGCTACGTCCTTCGTTCAGGCCCAAGGATGGAACCGTCACTGCTGCCAATGCCTCACCGCTCTCTGATGGCGCTGCTGCTCTCGTCCTCGCTTCCGAGGCCGCTGTCAAGGCACACAACCTGAAGCCTATCGCTAAGATTCTCGGCTGGGGTGATGCGGAGCAAAACCCATCCAAGTTTACCACTACTCCCGCCCTCGCCATGCCCAAGGCACTGAAGCACGCCAAGGTCGAGCTATCTGCTGTCGATGCATTCGAAATCAACGAGGCTTTCAGCGTGGTTGCACTCGCAAATATGAAGATCCTAGGCATTAGCGAGGACAAGGTCAACCTCCACGGGGGTGCCGTTGCGCTCGGCCACGCACTGGGTGCTTCAGGCGCCAGGATCACAACAACACTGCTTGGTGTGTTGAAGGAAAAGAAGGGCAAGATTGGCTGCGCTGGTATCTGCAATGGAGGTGGCGGTGCTTCTGCCATTGTCGTCGAGTCACTGCAGTAGGAAATGAAGTATCAAATGACTGACGTATAAGAATAGATAGATTAATACAATCTGATCACTCGTGTGTCTGGGAAAATTTGAATACCACAAACAGCTTTTCGCCCGCTTGTGTGCACTGTGTGATAAGTAAGTAAAACCATAGATATATTTGCGTGTATCCAAGAATGATTCGTCTCTCAAAGAAGTGGTTTCAGGGTAGTGGAGACGGTCGGCTCGCTTCGCACGCGCCAAAGCGAGCATTGGCCAGCGATCCCTTAAACCTCAGTCACTCCGCGTTTCAACTTTACAACCACGAATCACAACCAACATTCATTGGAAAGAATCTCAGGCTCCCTTGGACGAGCCTCTCGCACCTAGTCTAGGGTGCCTGTTCAATCCCCGCTGGTGCATGTTTCAAGCGCCACCATCCAACCCTCCCTTCCAATGTCCTTGAAACACCACACACCTGGTCAAACATCCGACCGGCGCGTTCCGGCCTTGTCCTTTGGGCCTGAGTGGCTGCTGCAGGTTTCCCTCGAATTGACCAGCCGGAGATAAACCTGACTCGCGGCCTGGCGTAGAACGAACCTCCTTTCGTTGAAACAGTGCCTAACGGGAGATGTCCATCGCGTGCTCGTCTAGTCGGCCTAGGCGAAAGATGTAAGGGCGAATCGAGGCCTACTACGGACGGGAGTCTGAGACGCACAGTCGTGTTGCATTGTATTTAGAAAGGCCGTCCCAGATCGACCACATGAAGCCTGGGTACTCCGTAGCCTGGTAGCATCGTCTTCCTCGTCTCTTCCTTTCAATTCTGTATCTTTTTCCTTCACGCGTCTAGTACGCAGTCACTCATTTCCACCATCTTGTCTTCCTCTTCTCGCGGTCTTGACGATGCGTTTCTTCTCCACCTTCGCTTCAGCTGCGGCCCTTTTTGAACTGAGCATAGCTGGCTATGTTCTGGAAGACGATTACATGACCGATTTCTATGGTGGATTCGACTTCTTCACTGGGGCAGATCCGACGGAAGGTATGTGCAATACAGCGCAGGCCACTATTGTTATGGATTCTGACAACAAGTTGAAGGCTTCGTGCAATATGTCGACGAGGCGACAGCGCGACAGACGAACCTTATCAACGCATCTATGACTACAGCGGTACAGTGGGGCGTTGACTCCCAGAAAAAGACTCCAAAAGGAAGACCTAGTGTACGGATTGAAAGTAAAAAAACGTACGATAGTGGACTGATCGTCCTGGATGTTGCGCACATGCCGTTTGGTTGCGGCACCTGGCCTGCGTAAGCACTCTCCTGCCCCTAGCATCAATGCCGAATCTGACGTTGGTCTAATTAGCTTCTGGACTGTCGGGCCCAACTGGCCAAAGAATGGAGAAATCGACATTCTCGAAGGTGTCAACGAAATGGATCACAACGGCATGACTCTGCACACTGGCCCGAACTGTGCGATCGGCCAAGACACCGCTCAATTCTCGGGAGAAGTCACTACACCAAACTGTGACGTCGCCGCCGAAGATCAGTCAAAGAACGTCGGATGCAGCATTAAGCACCCATCTAAACAAAGCTACGGCGCCGGCCTGAACAAAATTGGAGGAGGTGTATATGCGACGCAGTGGACCGCAGACGCTATCAGCGTTTACTTCTTCCCGCGCGACTCGATTCCCGCGGATGTACTTGGCGACAGCCCGGATCCCAGCGGTTGGGGCTTACCAGCGGCAAAGTTCACGGGTAGCTGCGATATTGAGAAGACATTCAAGGAGCAGAAGATTGTCTTCGATACAACGTTCTGCGGCCAGTGGGCTGGCAAGATCTGGGGAAGTGGGTCTTGCGCGAAGAAGGCGACTACGTGCGAGGAATATGTGAGGGACAACCCAGAGGCATTTGCGGAGGCATACTGGACAGTCAATGCGTTGAAGGTGTATCAGGACAATGGCGAGGCAACTAATCCGTCCCCGCCTACGAAACCGAGCCAGAGCATTGCCATCTCGCTACCTCTACCTATCCCGACGAATAATAGTAGCTTCTCCACTAGAGCACCCCCAAGCCTCCCTAAGACATCTGCGCCGGTTCCTATCTCGACAGCTTCCGATGTCGTTGCACCTGTTCCTACCACCGACACCAGTTCGAAGGTACCTTCAGAGACTGCCATAGTCTCTGCTACGCGACTACCTAACAATGGATCTGCTTCACGCGTTTCGTCTGCTAGTCTTCCAAATTCCAAGACACAAGCAGGATCCGGCTCTGCGAGGCAAACACGGGCTACTGGGGCACCAATCGCAGCACCAACTGGCGCGAATGGCATGCCTGGCTTTCAGTGGCCGCTTGGTGGAGCCGGCCAACCTGGTAATGCACCTACCACGACTGCTGTTGCATCACCCTCGAAAGTCACTCAATCACCAGTCCAGAACACGACTATCGGTTCTGTCGCCGCTTCTTCAACGGCGCAGAGTGTCGCCCAGCCTTCAGCTATACCTGTGGTATCCAATGCGCCTGCCCCAATACCCACTGACACCAAAGACGCTCCTCTAGCGATCCTATCCGTGCCCATCGTCACCGATATTGTCGAAGCAATACAGACGGTATATCACACGGTGTATGTTACTGTTCCTAGTGCCGCGGAAGAGACGCCAGCCCCTGCTGCGAAGAAGGCACGGATGGCGAGGCATATTAGGGAGCACAGGCAAAGGCTGACAAGACATAATATGCGGATGTGATGGAGAGACTTTGATAGTCTATTCTGATTGCTATTGATGCTCGATGGAGTTTCTGGACACATATACCCCAATTTTACATGTATATACTTTTGTTGTTTGTCGCTATACAAATGATTAAAACACACAATGATACAAGACCTTGCCATTAGATTGTATCTAACCTAAATTCTACTGTGGAGAGAGCCAACGGCTAAAAAGTAATCTTCCTACTTCTTAGGGTAGAATCACAAAGCACGACCACGAAGTAAGGCAAGAACAAAAAGTGGACACTGTGGGAATTGAACCCACGACCTTTCACAAACTCACGTGTAGTTGTGTGCGAAGCGAACTAAGGCATGTTAGGAGGGGTTGTGAGGAGATTTATGGGGGTTGTTCTTACAATCATACCCCTAGACCAAGTGCCCGACAGATTCTTATGTAATCGATGGTAAATTTTGGAAATGAACGGTCTTAATGCTTATATTGTAACATGGGCTCGTTGCCTGTTTCTGTGCAACGTTGCTGTGTTGAATGGACGTGTCGGTTGTTGGGAGGGATAAGTTTTTGGTCATATGTGGGGTAGATAAAATAGCTATGAAGCCGTTGAACACTGAAGCGAACCACAAAGCTACCTAGGTGAATACTGTCCACCTGCATCAACAGAGTCCGCTTTGGGCTTAACAACTTTGGATGTCTGGTGTCCATATGTGAGTAGCATTCTAGCGACACAATAGAGCTTAACGTCTGTTATAAGCAGAATGCACGGGAGTGCGGCGAGTTGAGTGATGCAGGTGGGCAAACAGAATACTTTCAGCACTCCAAGCGAAGTTGGCAAATCTGTTGAAGAGGCGCGAGTCAAGCCTGACAGCCAACGCGGAACCCTTGCATACACCAGTTTTGGAGAGGCCACTGGCCTATACTGCAGCACATGGAAAATGAACAACGTACAACTCGTCCCGGTACTTGTATCGTCTGGTGCTAGAGTTCGAAGGGACGCAAGGCCTATATAGTTACACGATGAACAACAGATCATATCGGTCATATGCTTGTGCTAGAACAGAAGCAAATCAATCAAAGGTCACATATGACGTCTTCCAGCTCAGCGCCCTGAGGTAGCCTCACCGCCTGCCCTCCCCGAACTTATGGGTCCCACCTGCCTAGCAAAGCGAACACGTGTCTCAGCGCACGCGCCTTCCCCCTCTGTCTATATAACCCGCCCATCGCGCCTTCTTAAAAAATCATACTTGTTCGTACCTTCCCTCCAACATCATTGATGTGACTAACAATCCTGCTAGACCTTCTTGCGACTCACCGAGCTCAAGCATCTGGTGGTCTAATGGTCTTGCCTGCATTGCACAGCGCGGCGTGGGACTATTATGAAGTAGGTATCTCCTCGGCCCAACCTTGGGATTTGCATACTGACTTAAATGTAGTCTCCTTCGGGGGCTTCAGCGGGGCAATTTTTGCTGGTCTGCACAAACGTGCTTTTACCTTTTTTTCATTGATTGTCAAGCCTGGTGCTTGGGATTGAGGAAGAAGATGGGTTATGATGCCTGTGCCGGGTCACAGACAAGCGTTGCATATGGCATAGTTCATGTTTTTTAATAACCGAGGGTGTGATCAGTTCACTATCAATCGGCTCGTGATTCTTTTTACACACTTTATGATGATTAAATTTCCGTGTGTATTCATAATAAAACGCATCAAACGACTGGCTTCTAGACGCCTTTGGAATATATAGATGTAGAGGGCGTTCCTGGGAACATTTTGTGTTTTTCGAAGTGATGATGTCTAACCAGGACGAATGCTCTACGACTGCAAGCGGCGGAGCTAGCGATGCAACCAAGGATGAGAGAGGACGACATGGAATCACAAAACGGCAACTATGGTGTTAACTTAGAGAGATGATACAATGATAAGACTACATTTAACCTGGCCATGCTCAATTTCATTATCAGCAGGAGAAGATGATTACCACAAAGAAGACACTTGTTATCATCAAAATAGGAAATGCTGCTCTACTGGTTTAGAACAGTTTGTGCCGAGAGCTCCCGTCGGCAATCTAACATCATACATCCGCCCTCTCCCCTCTCTTAGCTAAAGTCCCTCGCATTAACCCGAATCATTCCTGTACATGTTAGCGTAGTTACATTATTTGATGGATTGTCAAAAGGTTTTACGTTGGTGTTCCATTCACCCGCAAGGTCACCTTGCACAATATCGTTGATGGATGAGGGGTGAACTGTGGCCCATGATTCTAGATCTAGCTTCTCCTCGTTTGGATTGACATCGCTGGGGTTAGGATTGTCGTTTATCTCGCCGACAAAGGCACCTTGGAGGTCAACGTTGCTGGATAAGGAAGTGGAGTCAGAACTACTGGTGATGGAATCTTCTGAGGCATCTGCGTCTGCGACAGTAGGGGGAGAGTCAGAGTTGCCAGGGGCGGAATCCTCTGAGACATCTGCGTCTGAGCCAGTAAAGAGAGGATCAAAGCTATCAGTAGAGGGGGCTTGGTCTTCGTCAATAACGGCGGGATCCTCTGAGACATCTGCGTCTGCGGACGTAAAATCATTAGAGCTGTCATTGCTATCATTGAAGGGGACGTCATCTTCGTCTGCGGAAGTAAAATCAGAGCTGTCAGTGGAGGGGGCGTCGTCTTCGGCTGCGGCGGCGGGCTCCTCTGAGGCATCTGCGTCTGCGGAAGTAAAATCAGAGCTGTCAGTGGAGGGGGCGTCGTCTTCATCAGCGGCGGCGGGATCCTCCGAGGCGTCTGCGTCTGCGGCAGTAGGATTAGAGTCGGAGCTGTCATCGAGCTCTTCAGAACCGTCGGCGGAAGGATCCGCTACAAACTGTTCAGAGTCATCACTCCCAAGACTCTCAGAAGATGGGCCATCCGCACCCTCTTCAGGACTCCCAATATCAAATTGGTCACCGACGTGCTGGTGGTTCTGCTCGAATGGATCAAGGGAGCCATCTGGACCCAAGGCGAAATCCAGATCATCACCCTCAGAATCCTCCTGCCTTATCCTCAGTCCACGACGCATCGCTCGCTTACTCGATACAGTTTGCAGATTAAGCAACGCTATGAGCTGCATCGCCTCGGCCGGAGGCAAGCTGTTGAGAAGTAGCTCAAATTGATAATACTGCCAGACAACATTCTGAGCCTGGCCTTTCATACCGGGCGCGAAATCTTCGAAGTCTACAACTGGGGGGCTGTTAGGGTTGTTAAACGGATCATAGAGCTGAAACTTGTCCATAAGGAGACTTTGTATAGCCGGATCTAGCTCGTGAAAAAGGTCGAGGACGTATCGAACCCGATCGTCACTCCAAGTTGGTCCGTTGAGGACGATGTTGTCAGCGGGTGGCGGCGGTGGTGGTATAGGTGCACGACGGATTGCTCGCTTACTCGGTGCGGTGTCCAGATCCAGAATTTCGTAAAGTTGATCCCGGTCAGTCTCAGGCAAGCTATCAAGAAGGAAACCTATTTGATAACTCAGCCACTCATCATACTTACCCTGCCCTTCAAGATCATGCGCGAAGTGACCGATGTCGACATTTGGTAGGCCTTTAGGATCGTAAAACAAATTATAGATCTCTTCTTCCTCATCTCCAAGACTGAATAGGGCCGGATCCACCGCGCGGAAAAGGTCGATTGCGTGTCGAACCCGATCGTAATCCCACGTTGGTGCGTTGACTATAATGTTGTCGGCATCTTGGGGAGCGCGTTTTGTGTTGACATCTCGCTTCTTGGTGGAAAGACCGTCGGATAAGTTCTCGAGAATTTGCTTCTTGTCCGCATCAGGCACCGCACCGTCGGAGAGCAGACTGAAGAAAGGGTACATGTCTAACACGAATTGCTTGAGCTGATCGGGAAGATCATCTAGATCGAGAGACCCTACCGATGGCAAAGGGATAGTTGGGTCGTCGAGGACGTCTTGAAGCCCTTGAGCAATTTCCGGTCTTAGCTCCGCGAGAAGGGGATTCAGATAGCGGAATTCATTGGTGTACTTGGTGATGAAACCTAGACTCACGAAACCACCGTCACGTTTGGCGAGTTCGAGACGCACTGGTTCGGATTCGAGGACGCTGAGGACTTTGGCTTTGGTGTCGTCATCGAGAACCTCAAAGGATTCCCTGAGAGTCGCCCCCTGGTTGCTCGTAAGAGAGGCGTAGAATTTCGAAAGGGCATCGGAGGAGGCCTCCGGTAGAGGGTTGCGCTTCCCGAGATCAAAACGGGACGCCCTCGTTGATCCGAGCTGAAGCGGCCAAGTCGCAGGTACATCGCCCAGCGGTTCTTTTGGGATATAGGGGGAAACGAAAGGTCGGACAAGTGCATTGGAGCCGGGAAGTGAGTCGAACAAGTCTCCGATAATATCCAGAAGGGGCTGAATAATGGAGAGGAAATTCTTGATGCTCACAGATGGGGCCTGTGTTGTGCCATCAAGATTCGGAGGAACAAACCCGATAGGTTCCGTAGGGATAGGATCGATCAGAGCAGGATCAACTCCGACAGGCCACACAGGGCTAGTGTCAATCAGAGCAGGATCAAGAGGTATGGTGACCGTCGGGATCGGACCAGGGACGGGATCAACAGGGAGGAGAGGGTCAATAAAAATCTCGGGTCCCGTGTCATCGCCAATACCAGGTTCGATAGGAATTGGGGTCCCGTTGGTAGCCTCCACTGTCACATCGGGCAAGTTGCCGTCTCCAAATCCTGGATCAAGGATAGGCGCTGGCTCTCCAGTAGGCGATGAAAAGGTTTCGGTAGCGTTGAGAAGCTTGAAGGGTGGGAGATCTTTGGGCAAAGAAAATGCAAGCGGCAATGAAATGAGGAGCAGGCTGACAGCTGCTGTAGTACGAGACATGTTGCGCGCGCTAACGAGAGGAAGTAGAGCTGGCTGAGACAGTGTAGACAGAGATTTGGAGACAGCTCATATGGCTAATGGGTCGTGTGCATTCCTCGCGCTATGCAGGCCAACGTGTTGCACCAACTGCATTCCACCATACACAACAACATATTGAGAGGTCACAAGTGTTGGAACGAAGCAAGGAAGTTCCCACAGGATATGTAGTCGCGCTTTGGTATTATTTTGGTATGGCTACGACGTTTCCAGCTCTTTGGAGGCCTTTGATCTAAAGTGTCGTTAGTCATGGCATGATGTCCGCGATCTCGCTGGCACTCACACATGGTTCCACGAGATGATTGGTCTACAATCGAACATGCGATCCAGAATTTCTTCGGATCCCAAGGATAGGTGTTCGTAGATTATCCAAGAGGTAAGGACGCTTCATAACGGTTAGTATTGCGAAGACTAGCGTGGATGTAGGACTTGCCATTGCTGAAACCGACATCATGATTTTACAGGACTGGGTATTTCCCAGAAACGCCAAAGAAAAGTCCACAGACAGTCAAGTGTTACAAAGGATGAAAGTTCATCGCACGGGCTCGACCTTCTCAATGCGTTACGTCAGATTTGAGCCACTACCAACACTTCGCCGCGGGGCTCCCGATCCAGACAATGCGTGTAAAGAAGCCATGATGGTACAGAACAAGTCAGGCAATGCGCTTGTGGCCAGAAGCAGGCGATCAGTTACCCATGATGCGATCCTTTCTGGTCTTTTGTTGCGGAAGAGGTTGCTCTTTTGCCTTGGCGGGGCTGTCTGTGGATTGAGAAGAGGCGGCTTGCTGCTGCTCCCATAGCTTGCGCTGACGATTGGCTTCGTATTGCTCGATGTCGGCGGCAGTAAGAGTAATGGTAGTGGGCGCGCGTCGGAGCATTGCGGCGGTGTTGACGAGATGAAAGTAGTGCGGCAACAAAAATGGCGGGGTAAACAGTAGCTGAGGTCGGATGAAAGTGATTGACCGGATGCAAAGGAGTGACTGGGTCTGGTGATGCTATACCGCGCGGTGTAGGGCGAGTTGGGGTCGTAATCGTTGAGTGAGTTGGAATGCGTCGACGTTATTGCGGGCGTGTTTTTCGAGGCGACCAGCGACGAGATAAGGACAGATTTACCCGTCTGACGCGCCGCACGATAAGTACTGTTTTGGTGAAGGTAAACATAAAGAGACGCGCTCGGTGGAGCCAATGTTGGTCACATGTTGTTGAGTTGCGCAACATCCCTGTCCGCCAAGACATCGCGATCTCGAAAGTTCAGAGTTTAGTGACAGCAGCGTGGGGATGTCCATCCATTACAGCCATGGCTCAGCGACACTTGTGCCCTTCAATGGGCGCACTACGCCGTTGTATTATGGTTGATGTACCAAAATGTTCATCGAGGGCATTACACGGCTCTGCGAGGACACTCGAGGAACAGCCCAGCAAAGGAGCTTCGTCTGCTCCTCCCCGTACGCTCTCCAACGCTTGATTGACTCTCAACAGCTTCGTCTGACTTCTGAACAGCTTCAAACACACGCAAAGCCCGCTCCACTACCGCCCTCAAGCAGATCACTTCACTCCAAAACCGCCGCATCGTCCCGGGCGCCCTTGCGAAGGGCTCCTTCCCCAGTGGCCAAATAGCACGCCGAAGCCCTCGCCCGCAGTCAAACCAAACCAACGACTCCGGCTTCATTCCGGAAGACTCTCAATCACATACACAACCAGAAGCTGGCACCCGCAATGCTCGCTTCGCCCGCGGCTCTGCACCTCCCTCAGGTCAAATGGTCCGAGCCCCTTCCAAACTGCGCATAACCCGCAATGCAACGGTAGGGAGCATGCGCAGTGGCCCCTACTTGCGTGGTAGAGACGGCAACCGCGACCAAGGCAATCGGCGAGGCGGCCCCAACAACCGCGGCGATGGAGGCCCCAAAAAGCGCGAGAAGAACAAGTCCTCTGGCTCCGCCCCACAACGCACAACCATCGCAGACATCAATCCCGCAACCACTTTATCAGACGGTATGGTACATCATCTACTGCGCCTGCAGAGGAAGGAGTGGGATCGCGTGCCGTACGAGCCCAAGTATGCGACGGGCAGTTTTGCGGCGAATGAGTTGATACACGCCGGAAGGGAGCTGTTCAAGGGAGAGGCTCCTCCTGTCAAGATATGGGGGAGCCTAGAGAAGAGAATCGGTGTTGTGGGCATGTTCGGTGCGGAGGCGCATTTGAAGATTAGAAGGGTAGGGGATGGAGATGCTGAGGCTTTTGGGGAGGAGGTGCTCGAGGTAGAGGACGATGCCAAGGAGACAGAGACTGAAGGGGTGAAGAGGGCTACTGTACAATAAATGGTGGGCATGTGTTGATTATGTATATGGGAGATGTACAAAAAAGGCTATACCGGCTCTGGTAATAGCGGCAAACAATTCAGAAACACACTTGTTATTTCGTTTGTTTCTACATTTCGACGTAACGTCGAAGTTATGTGCTTCCATTGAAGTAGATGGCTACACGTGCCCCATCGCCCCACCTCTTCCTCCATGACTCGATTGTTTGGCTTTCCGCAGCGCTGTCTACTTCGAGAAGACGACCTTGTACTTGAACTGCGTGGGGAACGACTTATCTGTGATAAGTAGCTCCTCTCCCTCCTCGACGAGATCAATCATCTTCTTTACCAGATTAGGGCGCGTCTGTTCTTCTAGGCCAGCAAGCTGCATATAGAGTGACTTCTCCCCTGTGCGGATCGAGGGCTTCTTGAGTTGACTGTGATAAATAGGTCAGCAGTCGATAACATCGGTCTCTTCCTCTTACCGCCCGTCAACTCCTCAGAAGATGTATGTGCATTACGTACGCTTCAGGCCTCTCCGCCAGGCCTTCGATGAACTCTTGCAGCGTGATGTTCGGATTGACCTGTAGCGGCCTAGCGATGTTGCCAGCACCGCACACCGGGCAGTCATCCTTCTTCTGATGCTCAAATGTATACGTATATACGGAATCGTCCCCAGTATACATCATGTAGTTGTCTTGCTCAGGATATCCAAGGAACGGGTTTGCATTCGTTGCGACCTTGAACGCCTCATTACAGCAGCTCGCCGCAACAATCGCATTCGTGCTCGCAATCGCCGGGATGATATTCTTCACCACACCTTGGGTCATACTATATGTCACACCCTCGATGTTGAACTCTTTTGCGCGAGTCAGGGCTTTTTGATAGAGCCAGGTGATGTGTTCTGGGTCGTCGGTATCAAGCGTGATGTCCTTACGCTCTTCGTCCCAGGCAATGATGTGCGCCCACTCGATGCAATGCTGTGGCTGGCGTGGAATGGTGGCGAGTGTGCAGAGCGGGACGGCCGCGCGAGGGGCATGCATATCGAGTTGGCATTCAATACAAGAAGTCATAGTTGGGAAGATGACGCGCGCCTGTCCCTTGAAGCCCTCTGTTCCACCGTCGATTAGCGGCTTCATACTATCCGGGTTATTTTCATCGACCATTCCAACCAGCGTCGCATTAATCCAGCGCCTGGCCTCGATGCTATCTAGTCCACACACTATGAGTGCAAACTGCATGTAATAGGCTTCATTCTTGTCCTGGATCTTCCCGCAATAAGGAGTGATCTGGACGCCCTTCACGCGCTTTTCAACGAAGGCTGCGGCTGTTTCGGCCTTGAATTTTCCTACGTCTGCTTGCCGGAAGAGGAATTGTCGATTTAGGTTGCTAACATCGATCGTGTCCATATCAATTACATGGATGTCTTTGAAGCCAGACAGGGCGAGGTTTTTGAGGATTTCGCAGCCGAGTCCGCCGGCTCCGCTATTGTTATGTTAGAGAATGTTAGGATGATATGGGCTATCGAAGAACAGCGGTTGGTATTGCAGTTATAAACTCACATGACCCTACAAGCTATTAGCTTTGAATGTTATAGATTTCGGGGCCCTGCGATTGCCTTACAGAACTTTGAGGCCGTCCAGGTAATTTATAACCTGTTCACCGACCATAAAGGTCTCATCGTCCGTAAAAGGACCGGTCCGGGTCAGGAACTTGTCCAGGTACTTCCTGTGGCACGATATTAGTCAAAGTATCCCTCACAGGATGTCACTGATGACTCACCATCGGGCTCGCGGTAGTGCAGGAGAAGCGGCACCCACGCTATCTATGTTGACCGCCATTGTTTCTCGTATGTGGAGGCGTAAAGTGGGAGAGTTGAGCAAACAGTTGTTGTAGGCATCAAAGTGCATGTAGTTAGCCTTCGCCAAGACGCTAAAATGCGCGGTAAGGAACCTTGGAAGGAAAGAATTACCGATCAACATAACAGCGGTCTTCAGACGCCTAGAAACCAACCACATATATCCTTGCCCAGGATTACGATTTGCTTCGAGGTCGATAAGCAAGTCATATAGTTCCGGAGATGGGTTCGCAAACTCTACTAATTTGAAAGCATCCACTTATGTAAGTCAAGAATTGTAGAAGACACGAAGTGAAGATTAACAGAGCTATTCAGTCTGCCAGTTTCACTGCAGAGGTATTTGGGCCTCATATAAGCGCAGACACAACATGGCCGACTTTCTTACAGCGGTGTCCACCAAGAAGACCAAGGATGCCGAACCTTTCATTCGAGAGGTAAAGGCTTTGAACATTCAGGACGACTTCTCCATCAATTCTGCAGACTCGGCGCTCAAGGCCCTCAAGAATCAACCGAGCCGTAGGACTGTAAATAACGTCTTTGAATACCTGACCACGCAAGGGTTCAGCCTCCTGCTTCCAGAGCCTTTGAATGCGACCATAGCGCATCAGCTCGTTAACGATACAATACCAAACTACTGGAGATCTTTGAGGAAATCTCCGCAAATAACACTACTCGCGCAAGTGCTGAGGAATCCAACTGGTCTTGGACACATCATTACGCGTCTGCGTACACTCATCGAGGATAGTCGACAGAAGAAACCATCAGGTCAAGCGCGCAATACGTTAGAACATGTCGAAGATATGCTCGATGTGCTTCATCAAATACTGTACGGCAATCACACATCAAGTTTCGTCTTACACGATGTCCTGGCTTACAGCAAGAGTGCTGTGCAAAAGAAACTCATTTGGAGGGAGTATCTCGCACTGACAGCGTCCGGTCGGATACTATCGATCGCAGCTGAAGCTGAAGACGTTCTCAAGAAGATTGAAATATCTAGGACTGTCGGCTGGATCGCTGATGGCAATGCATTTGCAGCATGGCTCGGACAAAATCTTGCTTCCCTGGTAATCAACGGCAAAGAGAGCGAGGAATATCACTTAGCCGTTACAGAGTTTTGCTCGAAGGCACTAGGACTAGGCTATACCGGTCAGTTGAGTCAGAGAAGGAACGTGCATTTGCTAACTAGACAGATCGCATTGTCAGCTCTCTCTTCTCTGCTCTCATCGACAGTGGCTGTACCGCGCTTTTCACTAGTCTCATATCAAGGATGAAAGGTTTTGAGCAGCGGAAGTACCTCAATGCTGTCATCGTCGCCATTGTCAAGCAATACTTTGCATCGGACGCCGTCAGCAAGAATGATGCGCCTATTCTGGTCTCAAAAACAATATCTGACGTGGCTGCTTTCCTCTATAGCATCATTGCTGACAATGATGTACTGCAAGGGCATCTCGTCTCATCACTTACACGGTCAACTATCTCATCGCTTGACGACTCATTAGCAGCTCGTCGAAGTGTCATAGCCTCGTTGGCTAAGAACGAAAGTCAGTACTTTTAGACTACATGTTACACCCGGCTTGCTAATTAGTTGTAGATAGTCTGCAGGCGCTGCTTGAGAATAGTATAAAGTTATTCGGAGACTCCATGTACGTAAGGCATACGCCTGTTCTGCAGCAAGAAGGTTTGTTTACCACCGCACATTCACTACAGCTGTTTTAACAACAAACAGTTCTTGCTCAAAATCTAGCACTATGCTGTGGCTACGTCTATCGCTGCCAACCCATGTTTCTCACCATGATGGCCAAATCTACGTACCATGTCAATGGACTGTCGAACCGCATCGGCGCACCCTCAGCCAGAGCACGTTTTCTCGGTATCGCTGTCGGTATAGCTATCTCAGAAATGGTCGATAAGCCAGACCTTCGGTTGAAGTTCGACCTGGAGGATAACGCAGTTGAAGAAGCGAAATGGTACCGGCGCCTTACCGAAGCTAACGACAGGATGGGAAGCATCGTAGATCTCAAGGTGCAAAGCACGAGCTTGGCACAGGACAAAAGAGCTCCATCAAAACTCAAACCAACGCCTAAGCCTTCAAAGATACCCGCAATCACCGAATTACATAGTCCACGAGTTGTCGAGGTTTTGTCGGAGTCCGAAGATGAAGACGCCGATCTTGTACCCTATGAGAAACCAGACTCTGACCCAGAAGATGATGGTGATGATCCGGAGGTTATCAATCGTAATAAGCCCACCACGCCGATCTACATTCGAGACCTGATTGTAGGGCTACGTGATCAAGAGAATTACGATAGGCACGAACTCGCGTTAGCTACCGCTGCATCTCTAATCAGACGCAAAGCGAACTTTGGGACGGAAGTCATTGACCATCTCGAAGAACTCGCTACTACCTTTACAGGTCTCCAGGATAACCTAGAGCTGGAAGGCTTCACACAGCAGAGGCAGCAAGCCCTGATTGCCGTGCTCCTTGCCAAACCAGCGCAAATGGCGCAATGGTTCGCGCGGTCTTTCTTCTCTGGAGACCACAGTCTCACGCAACGCATTGCCATGCTTACGACCCTTGGTCTGGGAGCACGCGAACTTGCGGGTGTCAAGGACTCGGCGACAGAAGAGCTGATCCCAGCACAGCCATCTTTCCCAAGCAAACAGCTCCCACCACACCTACACAAGATCTACGCAGAAGACAAAGCTGCAGACCCGGTAGCCAAGTTATCGAGTAGCATGGCCCGAGAAATGCTCTCGCCCATTGCTAGTCAAGCCGCTGACCAACTCAGTGGACCCGACATCCTCAAAGTACGAACCTTTAGTTCACGCATGGAAGTCGAAAAGAAGCGTCAAAAGCCCATTCCCAACGCACTGGCCCAGATTGTTGCGGATAATTTCTTCTTCCCGCTCACCGGCCGTTGGTGGCTCCAGATCCGCTCAAGCAGCGACTCAATCTACACATCGACGCATCTGCTCCCACCTTTCCTACAGACTTTGTCCCTCCTTTTGAACGCTTCGGGGCCCAACACGCTGGCTTTGCCACAGATGACGCGCGAATATTGGGATCTGTTACTATCGGTTCGCAGGCTTGCGAGCCAAGATAAGAACATCTTGAGCGCGGTTTTGTTCGGGTTCTTAATGATTCTGGAAACAAACGAGAACAAGGAGCGGCTAGCGACTGAGCAGGGTAAGGAACTCGTGGAGACGCAGGCTTGGGTGAAGATGGTGTTTGAAGGGCTAGGTGCTGGGAGTGAGGAGGATGAGAAGGTTAGAGTATTGGCTGCGGGTGTGGTGGTGAGGTGTCAGGAGGTGGTAGAGAAGTATCAGAGGAGGATGGTGGGCGCGTTGATGGACTATTAGTGGAAGATGATCCGCCATTCGCGACAGACTGCGCGATTGCTCTCTATGCAAGCCAAGGTTAACTCTTTGTATTAAAGGATCAAGGCTGACCTTGGGGGATGTGGAGAACTAGTTAGCATCTACCCGTGAAGTTCATGCACAATGGCCCTAGAATGCTCGAGAGACGGGAGGACACTGCAGCATCAGCTCCCGCAGTGCCGGTAAGCGTCTTGGTGTTCCTGGTGCTGCCCCCACATTGGGAAACCTGGCAACAACAACAACGCAATGCTGACGCGACGCGACCTTTAGACCTACTGCATCTCCAATGTTTCGATCACATTGCCGGTGAATTTGGCGTCAGCACTGGTTGACTCGGCATGTCGTTCCAAATTTGTGGGTGGCTGGGCTGACTGGGTGGTAGGTTAGACGGGTTGACACGGCTCGTGGTTTCATCTGCTATCGACTAGCGGACGTACGCCCAAAAACGGCAGTGGCCCGTGGAGAACGCCATCCCGTCTTCGTCATGTACGAGGTAGGTAGTGGTGTGCCTAAGACTAGAGCTGACATGGCAGCTTCTCAGGACGTCATATAGGGAGAGGGCAGCATGTTGACCATGAACGGCAACATGGGCGGAATGGCGTTGCTGAGAGGCGTTGTGTGGGCATGGGTCGAACTTTGGTTTCTTCCCGACAAGCCCGTAGAGGTTGATTCGATGCATGTGTGGCGTCGACACGGCCAGCTGTTCGTGTTCCTGAGACGGCAATGGACGGGTCAACATACAATAGCTGCCCTCTGGAAGCCCTGAAAGGAAGGTAGGCGCTGGAGATTTGAGAAAGTGAAATTGCGCTGAAGTGTACTGCGGACGAGGTGGCAGCCACTGTACCTTACCATTGGTGGCATCCCGAGGGCGCAGTGACTTCCTCGGTTCTTCTGTGACATGTTTGCAACTTCGCCAGCTACTGAACATGTGCATGACAAGAAGCGTCAATATGTGAGGGAAGCGGCATTGAGTCTCTACAGCCTACAGCACTAATCAAGCTCTAGCTCGTCATGTATGCTAGGAGCGCATAGCCGCGCATGCTGCACGTGAAGACCTTTGCCTCACGCCTTTGTTGCTGTGTGATAGTCCTACACCAACATTTCAACTGCGGCGAGCATTTATCAACTTTGCAGCAAAAAGGGAGCGTGTCCACCATCTTGCGTAAAACACGTATCCGGCATGACTGTGCTTTGTAGAAGTGGATGGTGAGGGGTGACATCTATGCGCAAGGTAACTCGACGTTCCTCATCTTGAAGACATCTTTCATGGTAGTAAGGAATGTATCTGCCAGCCAACTATCAAGTGCGAGCTGCTTGCTCATGCGATGCATATAGATTCACCACCAAGCATGCATCGGCGTGGATGCATGCCCTCGGATCGAACCGAGTCTGGTAAAACGGAGTGTATTCCGTTCATCGATGATGCCCAATCATCCATGTCCTGGCTGGAGCAATTTTGACAGACGCGGGTAGGTGGGTTGCTGAGAGTTGCTGTCGTCAGGCTAACTGCCGGAGCGACAGAGTTTGACAAATGGTCCCCATCCATGTTTCAGACACACATGGGAGGCATCACTCGCTAAATGTTGCATGTGAGGCTTCCCGAGAGGAGTACTAGCAGTTCTCAAACACTGCTGTGCTACCACCGGCTGTTCCATGGCATGTTCTAAACTCTGTCTATGCCGAGTAGGTGGGAAGGCACATAAATGGAAAGCATTTTGGAATTGTCCGCCAATCATACCTAATGCGCGTCTGCAAGACCAGAAGCTAATTTGAAGCAGTCTCGAGCGAGTACACATTGGCGCATCTGCATGCACAGTGTAAAATTCCCGCTAACGCTGTCCTTCCTAGGCGTTACGAGGCGTTGCGCATTCATTGAGCAAGGCCGGGAAAATTTTAATGAGGTTGTCATCATTATGTTGAGCCCTGACCAAGAACGGAATAGGAAAGGAACGGGAGAAGACGAGGAGTCGAGATGGGTGGCACTGGACGGCAGTGTCAGAATCTTCTGGCGGAGCGTTCGCAGACAGACAGGGGGATGAAACCTTGGAACATCCATCGCGCTAGCTCCAAGACTGAGTAGTCTACTTTTCATCCACAAGCAGCTCACCCGCTACAGAAGTCACAAATATCCAACACCTTCACCCAATAACAGCTAGACCATGACTAGACTTCCACTTCCACTTCCAGGCGTCGATCGATACCGAGCAGCGTTACGTTGAACACGAACGTTGCATGAGGGGTGCCGCTACGCCACGCTCACCGGTACCTAACGCTCCCATCCTACTGAAAGAGAGCGTCTCAGCGCGCTGCGACCCTTTTACCATAGTATAGCTTTCCAACTAGCTGAGCAGAGCGAAGAGTGATGGAATGATAGCGGTCTCGCAACATGGCACTCTTCTCCAGCGGCCGCGTCCAGAGGCTGATCTGATGACCGGTCTTCGGCCTCTGTCTGTGGGGGCTCGGGATCAGCCGTTATTGCAAATTGGTGATGGATGGGCGATCAACAATCAGGCGAGGACCCTCGACCAGTCATCATGTGGAAATGACTTTCTTGGTCTACCATCAAGGGAGACGAAAACGCTTCTCGAGCTTCTCTCTCATTCCACTTCACTGTAACCGGACCTGACGACACGTTATCAATGCCCTCATCTCCTCCAACGAGCTTGAGTCACAGTTCTAGGCGCTCCAGTCAGGAAGCAATTTTGCTGCCCATGTGGCTGACAGCTACATGCGCAGCGGGCGCACTCACGAGTCTCGTCCAGCGGCACAAAGATCGCTTCGCATGAAGACTCCCCTCTGCGTGAGATTACCTTGGCTAGCCGGGACACAAACAGTCTTGTCATGATGTCTACGCTGCGGCACGACGCCAGCTGAGCGCTTGACGACTGTTTTTGAACCATCACGGGTTGATCGCGCGGGTTGCAGCGCGAAAAGTCTTCGAATGTTCGCGAATCAAGATGCACGAGCTGAACAAAAAGCGTAAAGAGCCGTCGGCTCCTTGGATGGAACCAGTGCCAGCTCGCAAGACGACTCTTGTTCCTGGACCCGATTCTAGCATCCTTGCAACCCATCCGCCACGGCCCTAATCCCGGTCGCTTTAGCATGCTTCCTTGACATCTTAGCCATTCAGCCCACCAGGGGGATGCGTGCGCGCTATACTAGGGGTACGATGAACCAGCAGGGATAACGTGCCTGTCCTTGTTGGATCATCGCACCCACTTTGGCTTGCGACTCCCCAGGGCCAGTGGCCCAACCAGGAGCCGCATTCAAGAGCCAGGCCGGCCTCCTGGACTTTTTTGCCGTTGCGCTTCTGTGCCGCAACGGCTTTTCCTACATTTACACAACAGCCCATCCCTCGTTATTCACTCGCCTTGGTCGCCTTGTCTGCCTCTAATTCCGACTATAAACCTTACTCGTCTCCTTCCGAGTACTTTACACACGCCCCACGTTTGGACTAACGACGGCATCGTTACTCCACCTTCCCGTTTCCCTCTGCGACACTCCTTTAGACCCAAGACCTCCTTCGCGCGTTCCGTGGTTTCACTTTCCGTATAGTCTGGCATCATTAGCATTGCCTTGGTGACATCTATTCTATGCGGACATATCTACTCCTTCTTTGATCCAGAAACATTGGCGCCGAATCGACCTGGAGTCCACCGTGTACTCCACCTCAGACCGGAGTGGGGATATCGTAGGACTGGCTTCCATGTTGCGCACATCTAATACATTCTGATTGGGTTCGCGACACATAACGCACTCGGTGTGTAAGAATATGGCAAACACAACACTATCATCACCGCTTCGGGGGGCTTGCCCTGCACCATTCTACGAAAGGTCAAAGTTCGGTTTGGACGGCTGTACGTACTCCACATCAAATCTATTTCATCGCTAACAACCATAGTCGTTGACGGAAGGTTTTGCGCACCCGTCGAACAGATCAAGAAGGGCCTTTACTGCTGTCTACCGTGCCCAATGACAGATTACCTCTATCCTCCTGGTAAGTTTAGACATAGTGAGACATCTGAGAGCACTTTCTGATTGCTTCCAAGAGTTCAATACATGGTACCGCGTGGCCGAAGCTCTCAACGTAGCTGGCCTGATCTGTTTGTCCTTTCTTTTGATATCCTTCGTCGTGTTACCGGCCGAGAAAACCCGACGGCACTATCTAAGCTACTGTCTGATTATTGCGGCTATCTTTATGGCGGTACGTGGCTATCATCACTCATTCTATCTACGTTAGCTAATCTAACAGCTTGGCTTTGTGATCCCTTTCGGGGCGAAACCAGAGCAATGCTACGACGAGATTACCCCGCACGATATGTACTCGAGCCTGACATGCGCCTTTTCGGGTGCCTTCCTCATTTCTGGGGGCTTGTCAATGGCAGTGTGGAGTGGGTTCATCCCAACAACTATATGTGCTTATATTCTAACGGCAGTGTAGTTCTTATCCGGGCTCTATCCATGCACCTTCAGATTTGTTGGGATGTGACTCCGGGAAAGAAGTTCTTTTACTGGGCGCAAGGTCTGGGTTGGTCGGTCGCTGCTACCTTTTTTACGATAACAATTACGATCACCGGAGTGTCATTTCGATTTGGAGATGTTTGCCACGTCAACGCTGCGCACTCGATGAAGGATTTCTGGGGTCCCTTACTGGCCATCGCTGGAGCAGCTATGGTCATACAAATCGCAACGTAAGTCCGGTGAGCTGTATAATGAAGTACATCACTGACATGAATTTCCAGTTTCGTGTATTGTATCAAGGTCTACCTTCAGAACATGATGAGCGACGAAAAGACCGAGACGCAAAGTAGTGCGGGCCTGCCCTCTTACACAACGAGTGTGCGAAATCGGTCTGCACGAGCTGTTTACCGACGTGTCCGCAAAGTTCTCTGGCTTCAATGGAGAGGCATCACTATCGTTGTCTTCATCCTGGTCGACGTAATCTTCTTCTCAGTTGTCTTTATCTGGTTAAATTCCCTCACAACCAAAGCCCAGAAGAACGTGGACAATCTCATGCCATATTTGCTTTGCCTTATCAAGAACCCCACAAAGCCGGAGCCATGTTTGCCCCTCGGCCAACAACTCGCCGTCGATGAGTCGACGGTCATTGCCATCTTGATGATGCTCTCTGTAAGTTCCCAACCCTCATGCGCTTGCTTAACCCACTAACGCTTCAAAAAGATTGCTGGTATCCAATGCTTCCTGCTGCTTGTTCGATGGAGCATGTTGACCGGGTGGTGGGAATTCTTCAGGGGCAAGTTCAGCAAGAACCGTGAATTCGTATCGCTGGACGCAAAACACCATACCGAGAACCCACAACAATACGAGTTGAAGAAATTCGAGCCACAATCACCTCCAAGCGCTCTCACCGCTCCCGGAATTGCCAGCTATGCCAATTTTCGATCAGACACACCCGACTACTTCTCCAAAGAAACCCAGCGAGAGTATCGAAGTCCCACCTTGAGCTTCTCGACTCCACGACCGCAGTCTCGAGCAACGACTCAGGTAGAATGGGACCCTAGGTCATCGCATGCAAGAGGTGGACTTGGTTTGCACCCCCTGGACTTCGAAGATAAGATATGAGCATTGATAATACAAATGCCACTTTTTCACGCGAAACGACGTTCAATTTGACATATCAAGCGAATAGTACCACCAAGGTCCACTAGGCATTGTCTTCTGCCCTGGGTTTAACCGTGGGTTATGCGCACGCATTTTGCCGCACGCGAATCATCGCATCCACTGTTTCACTCTCCTGACCAAAGTCGCGATCCTCATATGTACACTCAGCATAGGTGCGGCCGGGGAAGAGAAATCTTCCAGAGATGTCTAGACTGGTCGACACAGACCAGCTTTGATGAAGTGGTCTCCACTGTTACAGGCCCCCTACGACTCACACAGAAACCTCTGCACCGACATAATTCGACGGCGATCTCATTAGACGATATTTCCGGACAACTGTCTGCGCCAGATATTTGACACTCAACTTTCGGTCAACTTTCACTTCGATATTAAGAATTGGCTCTGCTAACATTCGCTTGCGCCTTCTAGCGCTTTTATAGAGGCATACGGTTCACCATTACTCCAACTTCAAGGAACCAAGTGCTTGGTCATATGTTCATCGCTGCACTGTAGAAGGCTTCGGCCCTTTCAAAAGACACATCCGACGATGTCTAGGACCAGTGCCTTGCATAAAGCCAGGGCCTCAATGCTAGCTCCTGTTATCAGATAGGAGACGAAGCCTCACCGCTTCAAAGTCTCTATTATCATTCATCACTATATAATTCATTCAAATAATTGGCCAAAAAGGCTCAATACCACCGACCGTTTTCGCTCGCTTCTTCACCGCCGAAAATCGCTTACATGCACGAAATCCCATTAACACAGAAAATATGGGACGTCCAATGTCGCTTTCAGACTACGCTAATTCACAGCCGGGGTGCGCAGGGGCGCGTCGTTTGGGTGAATAGAAATTATATGGCGATCTTGGCAGGGCAGGAACACAAGACCCAAGAAAGAGAACGAGCAAGAAGAGCCCGGCGAAACGTGGCAATGGGAAGCAAACCTAATTCTCCTTTATCAGCTCGTAAAGCCCTTGTCCGTCAGCAAAGCTGCGGGTGCCTGACAAGCGAACTTCGGGAGCGATTCGTCAATGTGACGTCTCATCAGCATTACATACGCCCTGTCCTGCCCCAGTATCAGACCAATGAACGAATACTCTACCGTGCTAGACAATTATGCTCACTGGATCTAATGCCAAGTTAGTGAGACAGGGCTGTACCTCCCAGCAGCAGTGCTACCGGAGTCATCAATGCGAATTCTGTCCTTTTGTTCGAGCGATCAGGTCACTTCAAAGTCTCTTCATCCGCTTCATACACCCGTGTGCTTGGTATTGCTGCACACGCCACGCCAAGTGCATCCTTCTCGAAGGCCCCATTTTTCCAGAACATCGTTAACAGCGCGGAGTAATAGATGAATGGAGACAGCACTCCTGGCCCTAGCACGTGTGGGTAATTTTAGTTCGGAACCCTACCTTTAATGGTATAGCTGTCTGGCGTTAAGGAAACTGGCCTGAACATATACTCGGAAAAGCTTCCAGGAACAGCAATTTAGGCCGCGAAGCGAACTGGAATCAGAGAGGTGGACATGGGTAAGATGGTCATGGCGCGGCATAAGATGCGAACGGCTGCCACGGCTCGGTTCACGGTTCTTGAAGAGGAGAAAATTGATGTTGCGGTTCCTGGGGGATGAGATGGGGAAGCGAAATTTGATCTACTGATGATGTTGAGCTATTTCTACTGGGCGGGTACCGGTCCGTCAAAAGGCCTGTCTGCACGCGACACGGATGTGAAACATGGCTTTGGGCTACCGGACTTTCTCGGAACGGTTCGCTAGAGTCTTATTCACAGGGAAGATGTGAATATCAGCACCCCATAACGAGTGGGTAAATTGCTCATTGCGTTCAGGAGCTAAATTCGGCTTCCGGACCAAGCCGCTGCTAATTATCCACATGGTTTGCGTCTAGCATCTGTTGCTCTTTCCTTCTGCATATCTTCACCCAAAAGCCGGACAATTTCAGGGCGAAGCGAATTCATAAGATTTTAGGAAGCTTGACTGCTATCGGTAGTTGCTTCATTTCCACCTGTAAGATTTCTCTGTATCCCTCATCTGCATAGCACGATCGACATCAACACAGTACACGGATAAATGGAGATACAGGCGTTGTTGATATTGTACGCGGTTAAACTGGGCGTCATGAGATACTGCTTTTTTTTTATTGCCTAGCTTTTCCCTTTGAAGTCGAAATGTTGACGCCGTTTATTATTCGTTGCATGACCATTATTCCTGTAGATGAATGAGCCAGCCTCTTCTTAGCCCCTCTTCCACTTCAACTACCTATTGCGAATAGCCAGCAGCAACTGCCAAGGCAAGAAACAACGTTCCCGTAGAAGCTTCTCCTAGCAAACCAACTTGTATAGTGATAGCAGGGATGAGATTATGAACGTCACAAATATCAAGTCTTTCTAGCGCCGAGGCCGCCCTTCTAGTTGCTTTCTGATAGCTCGTGCTTGGAGATGCGACATAAATCTTGGTCTGCTTTTACTACACTCTTTATCTTGAACGCTTGCTGGAGCGAATCGGGCATCCCGGAATGCAGCAGTAAGCGCCCATCTACTAATCAGAGTTACAATACGAACGCGCCGCTTCAAAACGCCCCCTTGGCTCTTTCTCACCCTCTGGACAAGTACAGTAAGTGGTATAGCATATGTGGATCGGATACACAAGTGTTATGCGCATGGAGATAAGGAAAGCACGTCAAAAAAGGACAGAATGCACCAATAACCCCACCTGCCCCGCCATCCAGGCTCAGTGATCCGTTCGCAACCACGAACATCACTCCCTAATCCGTAGACTTCGTAACAGCTTCTACACATATCGTAAATAATTCAATTAATTGATAGCTTACCCGCCTGGCTTGAAGAGCTGCGAGAATGGTAGCGATGGGTGGCGGACAAAATTTTCCATCTAGAGAAGCGTCGAAAGAGAAGGAAATAGTACTCTGTACCTTGCCCTGGCCTGAGGAGAGAGCGAAGAAAGGAATTGAGGAATTGAAGAAAGAGTTCAAGAATGTAGACGTGCATTACTTCCATTCGAAGTATGAGAATGGCAAGGTTGCTGCGATTGATGTACCTGAAGGTATGTCTTTGCTTTCATATGATTCCGAGGCTATGGTTCTGGGTGTTACCCAACAACATGCCCACAATGTCTTACCTTCTCATCATGCATCCCCTACACTCATACACGCAAGCAATAAAGCTCACAAGTATTCAGACGTGATGAAACGCGCCTCCTACCTGGCAACCCTCTTCTGGCTTCCACCGTCTCCCTCATGCATCCCAAACGTCAAAGTCATCCAATTCTTCTCCGCCGGGACCAACCATGTCGCCAAACACCCAATCTACACGGATTCCAAGATTCCACTGTGCTCAGCGAACGGGGTTCACGGACCGCAGATCGCGGAATGGGTCATCATGATGGATCTGGTGCAGAGTCACAATTATGTAAATCTTTGGGAGTTGCAGAAGAAGAAAGAGTGGAAGCAAGGGGCGGGTATGCAGGTGAGTGATCGTGTGGGGAAGAGAGTTGGGATTCTGGGATATGGGAGTATTGGACGGCAAGGTAAGCTTCCTCCTGTTTCGTCATTCCAGGGTATGTCGTGGAAAGTCCCCGCCATTGTCCCGGATGCCAATTATCGGTCCTGCAACTGCATGTGCAATCCTCATCAACAAATTTCGGACCACACAACCTAGACTACGACAAGGCCTTCAACGCCGCAGTCGAAGCTACGGATACGAAGAATAGCGCAACTCGCACACTGCAGGCTCCTGCGTCTATGCGGATACCATCAAATCCTTCACCCACGCCCTTCGGCAGCCTAAATCGCCCAAGCAATGTACGCTCAAGGTGCCCCATATCTTCAAAACCCCGATGCATCCTTGATCACCCAAACGTCTTCTAAGATTTTTTATTTCCTCGTTTAGAATACCTAAAGAGCGTCTAGCTAACTTGTATCAAATGCAGTGGCCCGCGTAGCTAAAGCCATGGGCATGGATGTGATCGCTTACACAGCCTCACCCCGGAATACTCCAGAATCGAAGAAAGATCGCGGCTACATCGTACCGGGAACGGGCGATCCAGATGGCATATTCCCTAGTGCTTGGTATAGCGGGACACGCAAAGAAGACGTACATGAGTTCCTGAAGCAAGAAATTGACCTCTTGGTAGTTGCTGTGCCTTTGACGCAAGTATCCTGAACTATAGGCACCCCAAACAAATGACTAACTCGCAGCGCAGGGAAGTCACAACCCACTTTCTATCAACTGACGAGTTTGAGCTCCTACACAAGAGTAAGTCTAGGCGTGCAGGCACATATGTCGCCAACATCGCACGAGGGCAATGCATCGACCAAGAAGCTTTGATAACTGCGCTGGAGAAGGGTCAGATTAGCGGAGCAGCGCTCGATGTTACGGACTGTGAACCATTGCCAGCAGATGATCCACTCTGGAACGCACCAAATGTCCTAATCACCCCTCATGTCAGTGGGTCATCAGATGTATACGCGGATCGGGCATTCCAAGTGCTGATTGAGAATATAAAGAGGGAAAAGAGCGGGGGGACACTGGTCAATGAGGTCAACCGCAAGAGAGGGTATTGAATCGGAATCCTTTCTATAGATTAATACTGGGTATAATTCTTACAGAACAGGCCTTCATGCTACCGAGCCTGTGCCTACTCTTTCACTTGATACCTTCCTGTTTCTCAGTCTTAGATTTGAAATAAGATAAGCAACATCTATCGCATTCGTGGCTTATCGTCTGAACCAGCTGCCAATCATGCCACCTGCAAGGTTCCTGGCAAGCCCAGATCCGTACATAGCGTTCGACGCAAAGCCGGTTGCTTGGCTAAACTTATCGCATCTCGAGAAGGCGAGCGTATTCGTGATGGTGAGGACGAGGGCGATGACTGCATGGACTCTTAGCTCCCATTTCCCACCAGACCCTAGTCTCGATGAAATCAATCCCATGACCTTTTCTCTTGTCCGCTTCTCTGCTCAAGTGTCAAAGAAATAGAGACGAACTCACCAACTAATGTCAGCCAAATGAATTCCAAGCTCACCAACGCGACAACTGCGAGCACCACCCACAATACCGGTTGCGCATAAAGTGCCAGCCAAAAGAACCTCTTGTCCGTCGCATTAATCTCCCTTGTCTCTGGATCTGCGCTCTCAAACACCCATCGCCCGTCTCCAGTGTTGGCGTCGACTTCGTTCCACCAGCGTAGCCCGACCAGGCGGCGCCCAGCAATGTTCTTGAGGTAATAAAAGTCGATGGCGAGGAGGAGGATGGTGATGATGAATATGAGGACGAAGTTGGAGGTCAGGAGACGAAGGCCGAGGAGGTAGACTAGTAGGGACGCTGTGGATACAATTAGTAGGTATTGGGGGTAGAGGCTAAGTTGGGAGTTGTCGTGGTGCGTCAATCAATGGGTAGTACGTACATATTCTAAAGAAGAGGAAGGTAATCAATGTGATAGGATGGCTGCTGAGTCTCCAGCTTAGCGAACCGGGGGTGGGTGTCTGCTGCGCGGTTTCCATGATGTGTAGTGGATGTCGTGAAGCTGTAAATCATTTGCTCGACGAGATATCTAACCTGGAAACGCCATGGACGTTAGCTTCACGTGGCATGTCAGGGACGCGTCGGCGAGTCGGCATCTTGGACTCGGGCGGGAGCTATGGGTCCCCGCGCGTCATCGGCTATATGGAGGTACGGCTATCCCGCAATTGCTATTGATATACTTCGTTTCGCTCTTATACTTGGACATTTGAGATTTGACAACTGGTGATCAAGATGGCAGCCCCAATTATCCGGAGGGCGTGCATGTACGGTACTTTGCCCTGCCTACTTCCTATCCCAAGCGCCATCAATCGGCTGCTTGAGGTCATAGCAATCGAGATCGCTAACACAACGCAGTCCCCAGTTCTTCGAAGAAAATGCTAGAGAAGTCCTTCGCGATGCACGCCGATAATGTAACCTACGACCTCGAAGATAGCGTTGCACCACACATGAAGAGCGAAGCACGTTCCAACCTCCGCACTATTCTAGATAAACAGCGGCCTTCGGGCATCAAGGAGATGTGTGTACGGATCAATAGCGTAGACACCAGCCTGGCGCTCGGTGATCTTACAGAGGTTTTGAAGGGCCAATACCTAGACGCCATCATGCTACCCAAGACTGAGAGCGCGGCAGATCTGCATTTTGTTACAGATGTAATTCGGCATCTGGCGCCAGAACGCCATCCAAGCTCGGGGCAAGGAAGCAGAGAGCCCGTGCGGATTATCGCGTTGATTGAGAGTGCGAAGGCGATCCAGAACCTCGGTGAAATATGCAAAGCGAGTCCGTACTTGAGCGGCCTCGTCTTTGCGGCTGAGGACTTTGCAAAGGACATGAGCTTGACGCGGACGCCCTCCTTGATTGAGTTTCTATATGCAAGATCTGCCATCGCGACAGCAGCCCGCGCCGCTCTTCTTCCTTCAACCATCGATCTCGTCTGTACATCCTACAAAGGTGATGATGGCCTCAAAACGCTCGAAGAAGAATGCCTAAACGGCAAGGGCATGGGTTTCAATGGCAAACAGTGCATACATCCAAGTCAGATCGCGGTGTGTCATAAATCGTTTAGCCCAAGGGAGAAGGAGGTTGAGTGGGCGGCGAGAGTAGTCATGGCAGATCAAAAAGCTAGTAAGGCAGGACGAGGGGCGTGGACACTAGACGGAAAGATGATTGATGTGCCTGTTGTCAAGAAGGCGCATGCGGTACTGAAGCATGCGGAGGTTTGTGAAATTGATGTCGAGGCTATTAGGCAGAGGTGGCAGCAGCAGGAGCCAGAGTAGATATCCCCGAGGATCGTTGTAACACTACAGGCTTCCTTTAACTCGAGTGAAGCGTATCTACAAGGTAATCATAACACTCGCGTTCTTATACCAGCTCAATAGCGGATTATCCCCATTCTTTGTACTCGTCTCTGCGATATTCGCTCTACCGGCCATGAAGTCTTCATGTAGGTATGTGCGCGCGAAGCGTCCTGTTATCGCTGTATACATGGGCTCCATAACTTCAAAGTCTGTGGGGAAAAGGATGTCGAAGTAGCCTTGGTGGACCTAGTCAATCGTTAGCGAGAGTACATAGAGCACGCAGCGGGCAGTTTAGGGAGTACGAGCCACGGGCAAATTTGGGAGACTTACAAGAGGCGTAGTAACAGGAATCATCTGCCTTTTATACCTCGTCTGTACAACTGGCGCATTCAACCCTTCCACTGTCTCCCCCAACTTGTGGAAATCACTACTAATTAGTTTATGATTCGGAAACTTCTCATATAACATGTAGAAGAACTGCATCAGTCTCGTCGGTATATACTCCGGTGTGCTCAAATTCGACCTCCATGGGACCAGACTCCTCAAGTTCTGCATGACCCTTGAGCCGTTCAAGGGGTGTGGGTACGATTTGCACGATGCGTGTCGGCGTTCGAGGAATTGCAAGGCGACGGGATCGAGCGTGCGGGAATAGTATTCGAAGAGTTCGCCGCGCGGATCGATGACGACGTGGGATTGGTACGGCGCCCCGGTTTCGAAGTCGTATTTTAGTGCGTCGTGGGCGAAGTTGTCAAATACTTCCAAGGCGAGGAAGTAGCACGGCGAGCTCACATACGTGTTCCAGTCGAATATACTCCGGTTGACGATTTCCACTTTATCTGAGTGTCCGCGAGCATACGCCGAGTATCCCAATCCTTTTTGCTGTAAATCCGCCAACTGAGACGAAATCTCAATGACCTTATACTTTGTTCGCTCATAAACCTCTGGATGCCCATCCCTTATAAAATCCAATATGTTTAGCATCATGGTGCCGTTGCCTGCGCCCATCTCATATATGTTCAAGTCATGGTAAGGGTAGAAGTTGTACTTGTAGTCCTCGACGAGGTAGCGGGCAATAGCTTCACCGTAGTATGGGGAGAAGAGCTCAGTGGGAGTGTGCCAGAGCTGGCGCAGATCGTTGGGTTCTTGATAGTCGAGTGCATCTTCGAACGCGGTGTAGCGGTGGCGGAGTTGCTGGAAGAAGGCGTGTTCAGAGGAGAGGGCATTGAAATTGAAGGGGTCGCCGGGAGAGAAGATGACGACTTGTTTGGAGAAGTAGCCGTAGTTTGGGTTGTATAGGCTGTCTGTATGATTGTAAGCTTCTACCCACCCTACTATTCTAGAGGAATAAAGAGCTTCTGACCTTCTATAAAGTCGCGCAGGAGCATCTTGACTCTCCGCGGCCTCTCTCTCCTACTCCGCAGCATGTCCGCCGTGACCGTTGGGTATCTTTCAAACTCCTCTGTCCTCTCATGCGGGAAAGCATTCTTTCTGGGTGTCCATCTGCTCTCCCTCTTCGTGTCCCCCTCACCTAGTCGTGTGGCTTTCCCCCGACGTTGTATTAGTGGTGGGCGGGCAGCTGCAAGGGCTGGTCGAGCTCCACGGGCAAGGCATTGCGACGCACGGTGTGAGAATAGTTGGCGGAAGAGTTGCGTGACAAGCGGCGAATCCATTGACGCCTGAGAGGACATTCAGCATCAGATCGCGACGGTGGGAGAACAAGCGGTTCGCGGAAGCACGTGGTGAGCTTTGCGGGTCGTTTATTGCCAAGCATCGTCCAAGCTCCATTCTCCAACCTATGTCCGCGTCCTTCGCCATCGTGCTTGAACTTTGACATGCAGTCATGCCCGAGCAATGCAGATATTATGTACTTGGCGCTTTCATCCTCGGCGTAGCATTGACCGCGGCCTACAACAAGCAAGCTTCGCATCAAGTCTCAGAAGATGCAAGCTCGAACCGCCTCCTCAAGCAACAGCAAAAGCTGATATCCAAGTTTGCCAGGATTGATGATCTGGACACTTTAAAGAAGAGTTTGCTAGAACTTGAAAGTTCGTTCGGAACAGGGACAGACACGATCAAGGAGGGCGTGGAAGGATGCATAGGCGACACGCCCCTCATCAAAATCAAGTCACTTTCAGACTATACAGGATGCGAGATACTTGCGAAAGCGGAGGTAAGGTCAACAAGGTCAATCTGTAATCAGGAATTTGCTGACGTAGGGGATTTAGTTTCTCAATGGAGCAGGCAACAGCCCCAAAGACCGAGTGGCCCTTAACATCATCGATGTGGTATGGCAAGATCACAGTGCAAAGCTCTGATCCTTAATGCATGTAACTAATTTCACTGCTATAGGCTGAAGGAAAAGGGCTTCTCGTCCCACACTCCGGTGACACCATATACGAAGGCACAGTCGGAAGCACAGGTATATCATTAGCCGCAATATGCAGAGCGAGAGGATACAAAGCGCACATGTGAGTCGTTTGCGTGATGAACATGAGAATTTGCTGACAAGTGGTAGATGCATGCCAAACGACATGGCAATCGAAAAGTCTGATCTCCTATTGAAGCTCGGTGCAGAAGTAGAAAGAGTGCGACCTGCGCCGATCGTGGACCAGAACCAGTTTGTTAACCTTGCCCGTACAAGAGCTGCAGAGCACACCTCAAACCCGGATAAGCCTGGACGAGGGCTTTTCGCAGATCAGTTCGAAACTGAGGCGAATTGGCGTGCGCACTTCACCGGCACCGGACCTGAGATCTACGAGCAAACTGGCGGCTTTCTGGATGCTTTCGTGAGCGGCGCCGGTACTGGCGGAACCATCTCGGGCGTTGCTCTATACTTAAAGTCGAAACTACCTGATTTGAAGGTTGTTCTCGCTGATCCTCCAGGCAGCGGCTTGTTCAACCGTGTAAAGTACGGAGTCATGTTTGATCCAAAAGAAAGAGAGGGAACACGCCGCCGGCATCAGGTCGACACGATTATTGAAGGTATCGGCATCAATCGCGTAACTCACAATTTCGATATCGGCCGAGAGCTGATCGATGATGCTATTAGGGTGAACGACGATCAAGCGGTCGGTATGGCGCGCTGGTTGGTCGAACATGACGGAATCTTCGTTGGTAGCTCCAGTGCTGTGAATTGTGAGTTTTGTAGAGCCTCCGATAACTGGATGTACTGACCCATTGTAGGCGTGGCTGCTATGAGGCTCGCGAAGATGCTTGGCCCTGGGCATCGTATTGTCACCATTCTATGCGACAGGTAGGATGTCTTTGAAAATCTTTATAAATAAACTAACCTTTTCGCAGCGGTGCGAGACATCTGAGCAAATTTTGGAAGACTGAGACCATCGGCGGCGCTGAAGACGACGTGTCTCTGGAGGGAATCCTTGACGCTTAAACCTATGGCTCGTTACCACCACTAACATAACGAGAATGCTTTAGTCAAGAACAGTCAGCTACAGTTTCAAACATCACTTCGACTTGCCGGTCTCCAATCAGGCAGGTGTGAAACAGTTCTACGTGACTGCAGTCGGATTGTGAAAGGTCCGCCAGCACATCGTAGCATCATACCCAGCACGCTAGCACGTTCTCAACAGGTCGATGAATCTCTGCATCTTTCACATGACCTTTATGGAAGAGCCAACATTGTGTAGAAGATTCTTCCATCTGCGAGGAAACAATAGGCGCATGTTGAACCAAGACAAAGAATCTGTGCTTTCACGAGAGTCAGCACAGAATGTCTTATGCGTGTAACAAAGAGCAAAGCTCCAACAATACCCATTCTTCTGACACCCGCTTTGTCGGTCGTGTGTCCTTTATATACTCCCGGTGGTCCTCAGCCCTGCACTTTGCTGCATATTCCCGGCTTCCCATCGTACACTCCCGCAGCAAACTTCGCTAGCACTTCTGTCAGCAAGATTCCACCAACAGGGGAACGCCACCTCAAAACAACTACATGCATACCCGACGCATGAGCGAAACGAACGGCATTAGCAAGGCAAATATGCCAAAGTCTCGTATTGTAGCACGACGGGCAGCAAAGATAGTATTGTCAGACCGTAGTCCCGCACTGGCACTCAAAATCTCACAAATGCGCCTCACAATCGCGCCAATAGTTCATGTAATCACCGGAAAACCCGCCCCCGACTTCCCTCATACAATGCTCTCCCTCTTCCTACTCACCGAAGAGCAACTCGACGCCCTCGCCAACTACTACAGCCAAGTCACACCAACAGCCCTAACACAGCAGTACCCGAAAACAATGGACTGGAATCAGCCCTTCTTGGACAAGGATCCGGCATTGCCGGAGAACTGTCGGCTGAGTGAGCTAGAGAGGCTAAAGGTCAAAATGAGGATGTTTGCAAGGTTTATTGGCATGAGGGGGGCGCATACGCCAAGGTGGGAGTATGAAAAGCAAATAGAGATATTAAGGAATAAGATTGAGAAGAGTGTGCGGGAGGAGGAGCATGCATTGAGGAAGACTTATTGTGGTCCGACTACGAGGCCGTGACCTTGTAGCATCAGTGCTAGGGGGTGGGGAAGTGGCAGCTTGAAGTACATACAGCATCGCATCGCATCGCATTTGTAAAACAATTGTAGCATCTAGTGACCGGAGAAAAAATACTCAGAAAACAATTGTAGCATCTAGTGACCGGAGAAAAAATACTCAGCAATAAACCAACTGCATTATTGAGCGGCTTTGGCTCTGCATAAGCATGCCGTGATTGATATTAATACATGGTATCGAGGCAAAAACTGTAGTGTTACTAAGGACTCCTCAAAGAAGCCACTCACTACTAAATAATTTAGAAAGAGATTATATGAGCCACTCTCACGCTCCTACACACTAATACCCACCCGGGATCTAGAGAAGGAGACTGGGCACTATACAAGTGAAGTGGCAAAAAGAACGATGAACGTAGTCCTGGTGGGGTCTATGGAATATTAGAAACGAAAATCAAACGAAAATCTCTAGGGCATATACGCACTCGAACCCACGACATTTGCATGACAATGCATATGTGCCAGTCAAGTGACCGGCAGATATAAGAGCAACGCGCTACCACTGCGCCACAGGACTTAATGTCCCTTGGACTGATTTTTGGTAAATTTTAAAACTGCAAATATTATATCCTGATCTTAAACCCGAAACGAAAGATATTTGAGTCCTTTCTTGCTCGTAGGCTATTCAAACGTAAGCCAAAAGAAACATGGTACGGTTGAGGGGCTGTGCAAACTCTAGTGAACGATGACACAAGTGCTGACGCTAGTGGTGGGGCAGTTGGCGTGAGGGGTCGACCAACCACATCCAGCTTGCCAACCTCTTCAGCACATGTGCTCCTGCCCGACCCTTCTGTACCCTACGAACTTCACGTCAAAACACATCAATTACCTGTGCTTCCTGTGTTGAAGATTAGCTTTGTCGGTAAGTTTACCTTCATCTTTCATTCATGCCGCCAACTAGTCGTAATAGGTCCGTTGACGAGCTTCAACGATGACCTGGTACTTGGATCTTTCACAGTATAATTCGAAAGACGGAGAACCTGTTGTTTTGAATCACCTGTGCTATGCCCCATACAGTTGATATCGGCGAGTTTTTTTTCATGATACTTGCAAACGAAGCAGGGAGGTTTTGGGAACCATGCATCTCTCCCGTTCTTGTGGATTCCAAAATCATCTCTACAACTCAATTCGACATTTTCAAGATTCCCGAGTCTAGATCTATGATGGCCCACGAAACTCTTGTCAACACGGGAACATGTGGATATTCATGTTTGTGGATCGATTGCAAAGCATTGTACATGCGTTAATAGCACCGCCCCACCAGTTGGCAATGCGTATTGGCTTCTCTCACAATTTTGGCTCTTTCCTTGTTGCTACTTCAATCTCAGCACGACCCCCCCAAAAGTGGTAAAGAAAGTATGCTGACCTCATATAGGCGTCATCTTCTCCCTTCTCCTATCCGGCATGACTATCAGAGCGTCAAAGTTAACGCCGGAGGTGCTGCTTGAAGCACCTCGCCGATCGGAAGGTGTCCCAAACACAGATGCCTCAAAGGTGCTCTATAGTGTCTCGACGTATAGCTTCTCGGAACATACAAAAAGGTCCGAGATCCGGTTATTAGATGTCGCGAGCCAGCAGACAAGCCTCGTTACCGACGAAAAGTCTGCTAGCGATCCTACGTGGCTAGACGATGACATTATTCTGTTGTTGCAGTCCAATAGGATGGAACTACAAGTGTAGTTGTTGGCAAAGCAGACCGCTTTGAGAGCAGGTACATTCCATCTTACGGGAATAGGGACATTCGAGCACTGATATCCTTCAAGCAAATACACCGCTGGCTCCATCGAAGGCCCAGTAGGCGATCTTAAGATTCATGCTCTAGGTAATGGCGAGTTCGCTCTCGCCGTGTCCGGTAAAGCAAAGCACGACGGCTCACTGTACAACCCTGAAAAGGCAGAAAAGCCACCTTCCTCGGGCAAGATTTACAAATCGGGCTTTGTCCGTCACTGGGACCATTACGTCACGGAAACACGTAATGCGATATGGTTAGGCAAGTTATATCAGCAGAAGAAGAATGGCTCCCGAACTTTTGAACTGAAGCACGGATTGGAAAACGCATTAAAGGGCACGAACCTAGAAAGCCCGATCGATCCATTCGGTGGAAAAGATCATTTCGACATCTCAAAGTATGGGCTAGTGTTCACTGCGAAGGATCCGTGCCTCAACCCAGCTGCGCACACGAAGAGCAATCTCTATATCTCGGCATCCGAAAAATTCTGGGACGAACTACACTTGACCCGTGTCCCGAAGATCGAGAAAACTTCGATTAAAGGCTTTGATGGTGCCAGTACCAGCCCTACTTGGTCCAACTCTGGCAAGATGATTGCTTTCCTGTCGATGAAAACCGACGGCTACGAATCGGATAAGAACCAACCTTTCATCATCCGTGATTATAAACAGCCATCACAGCTGAGTAGTATCTTCGCTTCTCAAGATGGAAGGGGCAAGTGGGACAGGAGCCCCCAATCGATAGCTTGGAGTCCGGACGACTGGCAGTTGTACTTCACCGCGGAAGAAAATGGACGTGGGAACCTTTATCGAGCTGGACCCCCTAAGTCCCCAGATGGAAAGCAACGCCTACCGTCATTGCTTGTCAAGGGAGGAACTATCACCGCAGCTCAAGTGCTCAAGAATGGCGACATCTTCGTGACCTCTACCAGCTTTATTGAGAACAGTCTGTACTCCCTTGTTCCCATTAGCAAGCGGTCTAACCAGACGGACGTCTACACCCTAGCGAATGACGACCGACCATTCGATTCCATACCGGATCATCTTACAACGCAATATATTTCCTCGAACACACGCTCTGGATCTATGTTCGGCCTCTCCCGCCGACAAATTAACGAAATCCATTGGCCTGGTGCAGCCCCGGACACATTAATTCACGCCTGGGTCGTCAAACCTAGCAATTTTTCATCCCTCAAGAAGTATCCGCTCGCCTACCTCATCCATGGTGGTCCGCAGGGGGCCTGGACAGACGGCTGGAGTACACGCTGGTATAGAAACCCTACCATGAACACTATTCCAATGATTTGCTAACACTCGCGTAGTGAGTAACTAGTTTTCTTCTTAATCTAACCCTCTTGAGTGACTACGTAGAGATTGTCTTACGGACCTATCTTAAGTATCATCTTATATATTACTTACACCCATCCATGAAGAATGATGCTAATCGCGTCGATCCTTTTAGGGAATCCGCTAGTGTTCGCAGAGCAGGGCTACGTCGTTATCTGCCCAAATCCGACCGGCTCAACTGGTTACGGACAAGTGTTTGTCGACGCAATTCAGGGAGAATGGGGCGGCCTACCATACAACGATCTCGTCCTTGGATTTGACTGGATCAAACAAAACCTCGCATACGTTGACACTGCACGATCCGTCGGCTTGGGAGCTTCCTATGGCGGTTACATGATGAACTGGATCCAAGGCCACCCTCTAGGCCGCCAATTCAAAGCCCTAGTAACCCATGACGGTGTCTTTAGCATGACCGGCCAAATGGCTTCTGAAGAACTATACTTCCCCTTCCACGACCTTCAAGGCCCGCTTTGGAAAAATGCTGAGGGCTGGGCGAAGTGGGATCCATCGGGATTCACTCAACATTGGGCGACACCGCATTTGATTGTCCATAGTGAGTTGGATTATAGATTAACGATTAGTGAGGGGTTGGCTGCTTTCAATGTGTTACAGATGAGAGGTGTGGAGAGCCAATTTCTGACCTTTCCTGATGAGAACCATTGGGTATTGAAACCTGAGAATGGGTTGATGTGGCATGAGGTTGTTCTGGATTGGATTAATGGATATGTGGGATTGGAAAAGTACACTGAGAGTAGGAAGGCGGCGAAGGCGTAGTATGCTGCGATTTCGCGTGCTTAGCAGAGTAGTATACGAATGATTAAAATCGTTCCATCTTCCCATCAAAACACCAAGTTCATAACATTATAATAATTCTTTGGTCGCGCTTTATTACTGCTACTACTATTTCTCTTCCTTCTCTCTCTCTCTCTCTCTCTCTCTCTCTCTCTCTCTCTTTCTCTCAACAGGCCCTTTTCCATTTGTCCCATATATCCGTTCTTAGATTCCGTGTCTCTTAAGAAAACTGATCATGAGTGCTCCTATCTCGGCGACATGACTTTCAACAATGAAGTGACTCCCATCAAGCAAATGCACCTCACTATTCGGCGAATTGTAGAACTGAAGAAAGATGATCGTATTAATACTGTTCTATGTGTGGGGGAAGCTATGTTTATATACAGAGGGGAGTGAAACCAGAGTAAGCTAGTCCGTACATGGGCTAGCGTGTCGGGCACATGATAAATCACGTGTTGGGAATCCAAACCAACACGAATCCTGTTTGAACGCTTCCGCTCCGGGATATACAAATATGGGATCATTCTTGCCCCAGACTGCCAGTACCGGGACCTGACTATCCCTCATCCACTTCTGCCAGCTAGGATACAGCGGTGGATTCGTCCCATAGTCATACAATATGTCCAGCTGAATCTCCTTATGCCCCGGACGGTCGAGGAGATACTGGTCCAAGGAGTAAGACTCTGAAGCGATGGCGGAGGCGTCGACAGTGCCGCCAAAGTACTGGCTCTTTGTGGCCGCAATTTCGACGATAGGGCCGAGAGGATCGCGGGCGGAGGTAGCGTTCCCGGATGCCCACAATGTCTTGATAGGATCCCAGAACGTGCCGAGGCCTTCATCGTAGGCATTGCCGTTTTGGCTAATGATGGCTTGGATCTTCCCGGGGTGCTTTACCGGTAGTGCAAGTCTGAATCCCGTTGGCGCGCCGTAGTCGAATACATATATGCTGTACTGCGCAGGCAGGTTAGGAAGGTGTCGATGGAATTGGCGATGTTGTCGAAGGTGTAGGTGTAGTTTTCGGGTACACTAGTAAAGCCGAAAGCTGGAAGGTCGGGTGCAATGATATGGTAGTGTGGGGAGAGGATAGGGATCAGGTTGCGGTATTGGTGTGAGGAAGAGGGGAGGCCATGGAGGAGGAGGATGGTGGGCGAGGTATTGAGGCCAGCTTCGCGGTAGAAGATATTCTCACCTGAGGAGAGGGTGAGGTACTTTGTCAGGGTGGTTAGGTAGGTCATGATGGAGGACCAATGGTCTTGATTGTTGAGTTTAAAGTTCTTGTTGATGATAATAAGTAGGTTGGACGAAGTCAGGATACTCTTTCCATTGACAGTCCGGTTCTGCTTTATATCTCCGTGCTGCTGTACATTAAGCCCTACACTCACTTAAGACGACGCTTACAAAACATCATAATATGATACAATGTCTCTACCGGCTCTTCTACATGGCTTGCAGCGAGACCTTTGCCCTTCCGAAATACCTTCAAGAAACGGCCATGATTCGTTGCATCGAACGCAATGGTACTAACGAATGGGCTGGGCTATCTGCACTCTGCCCATGATTACTTGCCATCGTGCTTTGTTTGCAGAGCGTATGCGCTTACTTCCAGCCCTACCAGCTCTGGAGGAAATCCGCGGCCGGATCTTGGCAATGAATATATCGGCAGTCGAGCGGCATCTTCTAATAACATGGAGGAGTGCCGATTGTTGTGCCTAGAGTTCTCCGCGGACGTATAGAAGCTGTTCGTTGGGGCGATGAGACATGATGCGATTCTGCGCTGCGCTTTCATTTTGTGACTCTTGTGATATTACACATGCGATGCATTACCAATGTACCAAGCCAGTGTTGAGTTCTGACAGGTTGCACTCTAACAAGCTGGAAGAATATGGTGGGTAATAGATCTAAGAGTGAACCCGACGGACTAGGATGGTGATTGGGCGGTGTGGATTCTGCCATATCGGTGGTTCCTGCCCCGACCAAAATTTCCAGAAGTTCGAGATTCTGTTCACTTTTGTTACCACAGAGGGCATACTCTACTACACCTGGACTTGAAACATCATTTTCCGTGCAAACCATCCCAGGAGTCTCCGCGATCAATCTTCCGGCCAAGGAAACTTGCGCCGAGTAACTTGAACTCTCTCCTCTGTGCGAGGCGACGGGGAAGCGTGCGGAGTTGTCAAGATGCCGAAGAAAGCTATGTATGTAGACTCGAGGGCAATGTAGAAAACGACAATACTCATACTGCTCTAGTGACTCCCGTATACCGGCATTGATTCGAAATGGCGCACAGGTACGCTTGCACATCTACACAAGTATACCCAAACCCGGCTCACATCTTGCAGGAGAAGAAACGAAGCTTCTTCGTAGTCGTCGGCGACCGCCAGAAAGACGTTATTGTCAACCTCTACCATATTCTTCTAAATGTCGACGTCAAGCTCAATAAATCGGTGCTATGGGCATACAAGAATAAGCTGTTGGGGTTCTCAAGGTGCGCAGGGCCTCTGTCTCAAATAGTAGCGCAACCTGACCAAAGCTGTATAGTCACCGAAAGAAGCGCGAAAAGAAGATCAAGAACGAGATCAAACGCGGTATACGCGATGTTGATACCGAAGACCCCTTCGAACTATTCGTCTCGACACAGAACATTCGATATGTCTATTACAAGGAAACAGACAAAATTCTCGGCAACACATACGGCATGTGTATCTTGCAGGACTTCGAAGCGCTTACGCCAAATCTACTCGCGCGAACGATAGAGACGGTGGAAGGTGGAGGCTTGGTCATACTGCTCCTAAAGGGCATGAGCAGTTTGAAGCAGCTGTACACTTTGTCCATGGACATTCACTCAAGATACCGGACTGAGGCGCATAGCGATGTGGTAGCCCGGTTCAACGAACGATTCATATTATCCTTGGGGAAATGCGACAGTTGCTTGGTCGTGGACGACGAGCTGAACGTACTGCCCATCTCAGGCGGAAAACATGTCAAGCAACTACCACCTCCGGACCCTGAAATGGAGGGCAAGACTCCGAAGGGGAAAGAGCTGGCTGAGATCAAGGACTCGCTGGCCGACTCGCCCCCTGTTGGTGATCTGATCAAGCTCGCGAAGACGGTGGACCAAGCCAAGGCCTTGCTCACGTTTGTGGACGCGATAGTGGAAAAGACACTACAGAGTACGGTGACTCTAACAGCAGCTCGCGGTCGTGGAAAATCAGCAGCGCTAGGTGTTGCGGTGGCAGCAGCAGTCGCACATGGCTACAGCAACATCTACATCACCTCACCCAGTCCAGAGAACTTGAAGACTCTATTCGAGTTTATTCTGAAAGGGTTCGATGCGCTAGGCTACGTAGATCATCAGGACTACAGCATCATGCAATCGACGCAGCCCGACTTGAACAAGGCCATCGTGCGTATTAACCTACATCGACAGCACCGACAGGTGATTCAGTATATCAAACCAGAAGATTCGCATCAATTGGGACAGGCAGAACTTTTAGTCATCGATGAAGCTGCAGCTATACCACTACCACTAGTGCGCAAGTTGATGGGACCATACCTGGTGTTTATGGCTTCGACAATCAACGGATATGAGGGAACTGGACGGTCACTGTCCCTGAAACTCATACAGCAGCTCCGTGAGCAGTCTCGAGGCCGAGGGACTAACGGCTCCACGCATGTAGTAGATCGCTCGACCGGGAAAGAGACGAGAGACGGCACAGAAACCACCATGGCTGGTCGCTCACTCCGCGAAATCACCCTCTCTGAACCTATTCGATACGCTCAAGGCGACTCCGTTGAGCGATGGCTCAACGACGTCCTTTGCCTCGATGCTACTCTACCTCGGTCCAAAATGAATACACAAGGATGTCCACATCCGTCCGAATGTCAGCTTCTACACGTCAACCGCGATACCCTCTTCTCCTACAACCCGGCTGCCGAGAAGTTCCTGCAGAAGATGATGGCATTATACGTCGCCAGCCACTACAAAAATACACCAAACGACCTCCAACTCATGTCTGATGCTCCAGCCCACCAGCTCTTCGTTCTCACGGCACCTGCTGAGGAGAATAAACTTCCCGAACCCCTCTGTGTCATTCAAGTGGCGCTCGAAGGTCAGATCAGTAGGGAAAGCGTACTAAACAGTCTGAGCCGTGGACAGCGTGCAGGAGGTGATCTGATACCCTGGATCGTTTCCCAACAATTCCAGGACGAAAATTTTGCAAGTCTATCTGGTGCACGTGTTGTACGGATAGCAACAAACCCAGACTACGTTAAGATGGGCTACGGTTCCCGAGCGCTTGAGCTCCTTGTTGAGTTCTACAATGGCAAGCTCGCAAGTCTGTCAGAGTCTGAGCCACAAGAGGTCGAGGAAATGCGAAGAGTAACAGAAGCAGACTTGGAGAACTCATCCCTTCTGCAGGACAATGTGAGGGTTAGGGAGGCGAACGAGATGCCACCGCTCTTCGCTAGATTACCCGAGCTGAAAGCTCCACAGCTCGACTATGTTGGTGTCTCGTATGGCCTTACCTCGCAATTACACAAGTTCTGGAAACGCGCCTCCTTTATTCCGGTCTATCTCCGTCAAACGCCCAACGACCTCACCGGCGAGCACACTTGCATTATGCTCCGCTCGCTAGAGACGACTTCATCAGACGGCAGCTGGGTTGCTGCATTCGCAAAGGATTTCCAGAAACGCTTTCTCTCACTTCTCTCCTACCAGTTCCGATCATTCCCCTCAGTAACCTCACTCTCAATTGAAGAGTCCGCATCAGCAGGTTCGAAGCTAGATGCCGATCTTGCACCAAGCCGGATAAGTAAAGAAGAGCTCGATGCTCTTTTTACGCCATTTGATCTTAAGCGTCTGGACTCCTACGCAAACAATATGCTCGACTACCATGTCATTCTCGACATGCTCCCTCCAATTGCACAGCTGTACTTCACCGGCCGCCTCAAGGGACAGGTCAAACTCTCTGGTGTTCAAACGGCGCTCCTCTTAGCCATCGGTCTTCAACGCAAGGAGTTCTCGGACGTTGAGAAAGAGCTAGGTCTCAACTCCAGCCAGCTGATGGCCATGTTTGTCAAGATTGTCCGTAAAGCTGCAACCGCGTTTCGCAGTATCGTGGAGGGTGCAGTCGAGGAGACGATGCCGGAGGCGATACAAGTTGAGGAGAATGGCGATGCTGGTGATGCGGAGGAGGATATCCAGCAGCGGTTCAAGCCTCTTGAGAAGAATCTTGAAGAGGAGTTGAAAGAGGGTGGTGATGAAGTCCTCGCAGAGGAGCGTGAGAGGGCAAGAAGTTTGATTGATGCCCTGCCTCTACACAGGTGAGCACACGTTATTCCCTTGCACACTCGACGCACAGATGACTAACACGCGATAGATATGAAATCGGAGCCGGCGCTGCGGACTGGGAAGACGCGGAACGTGCTATCAACAAAGCATCCACAAAAGGCGGATTGAGCAGTATGACTGTTGCCGTCAAGACGGGCGAGAAGAAGAGAAAGGTTGGCGAGGCAGTAGAGGAAGCATACAAAGAAGCCGAAAAGTTCAAGGAGGGTAGCAAGAAGAAGAAGCACAAGTCTAGCAAGAGAGGCTGATCGATCGAATCGCCACTATGCATACGTTGGCGTAACCAGGCGTTTGATATCCGGAAAGTAAAAGTGGAAATGGCTCTTCGGCATAATGTTCGTAACCTGAATGTATATTGTAAAATTGTGAACTCTTTTTCTCTCATCAGACTCTCGTTGTGATAATGTTGGTCTCAACAGATTGTTTCAAATAGCATACCCTAACGCATTCACCACCAACACGAAGTGGAGGAGCTGTAACAACGCAGAAGAGCATGCGGAGACATGCGTATGGTATAATGTAGGAAAGTAGAGATTGCATATTGATATTCGAACTCCAACCTGGAGCTTTGTTGTGCATTATATCATCGCTGCGAGTGTGAGTGCCAAGGGGTATGAAATATTTTAATCAATGTTAGTAGATGGATAGAATTGTAGGTATTACACTCGAAGCCTGAAATAGCAAGTTCGATTAGTATGATAGTTAATCTTGTTCTCTAAAGTGAAGATATCTAAGAATTGATACAAAGTAGCTTGTGAGCCGTATCAAGAAACTATGGAAGACTCCAAGAGGTGGAGATACTGAGGAGGGACACTTGTGGGCTTTTGTTTAGGGTTTGGTTGTGCACTTGGATTGGGATGAGTGGCCTGGTTCATCTACTTCTCTTCGTGTTGCGTATGTTATACTTCCCTGGGGCCTCTAGTAAACTCATACTAGTGCATTGTATACTAAATCCTCTATTATTTGCGTAGCCTCTTTGGACTCTTCACACTGGATTCATCGCACTGCATGTCTCCAAGTTACACATAACTGTAGAAATAAAGTGCTATTGCGGGAGTATTATCATTATAGATAAAATGGTAGTTTGCTATACGCATACGTGTGAAGCAATCGTGGATATCATTCGCGAAAACGACGCCCCTTCCTTCTGTAGAATAGGTTCCTAGAAAGCATCTTCATTCGGACAGGCTGTAACATCATGCCCCTCGCTCTCGCAAAGAGCACACCACTTATCTGGGTCGGCCACCGCAGCACCCTTGGGAGGTACCAAAGAAGAACTCGAGTTGTTATTGAAAGCTGGTAAAGGCAGTGGCGCAGTTGGTGCACTACCTGGTGGCTTGGATGGGCTTAGCGCTAAAGGCCGCGCGCGATCTGATGAAACGGAGAGATTGCGTAGGCCTTCGATGACGACGTCTTTGCCATTGCGTATCCCGTTTTCCTTGGGATGTGAGGCTTCTCCGCCCATAGCTGAGCAGTTGAGAATGTCATGTCCTCCTGTTTCGCAGATCTCGCACCAGAGATGACTGCTATTTGCTGAGGAGCGGCCATCCGACTCCGCCATGGGTGTAAGAGCGGGAGGTACATCACGACGTGGAGCCTCTCTCCAGTTCACCACCGTGCCTTTTGAGTCGTGCCCTGAAGATCGCTTTTCTTGTGTTGCGGTGTGCTCAGACATGCCGTTGCTGATGACGCTCTCGCGCTGTTCGGCAAGTCCGAGTTGACTCTTTAGCTTCTCGAGTTCGCGCTCCAACTCTTCTTCTCGATAGGCCTTTCGCTCCACGAGACCGCGTAACTCCTCTTTCTCGCGCTCGAGACGGTCTGCGTTTGCTTGTACAGTCTTGAGTTCCTCAGGATTGACGGACGAACCTTGTCGTGACAGGGGTGAACGGGCATGATCTTCAGCTCCACCGGAACTCAGTGAGTGAATGATAGCCTTGAGACCTCGGATTTCGTCATCACGTTGTTCGACTTCTCTTTGCCCAGGAGTGTGTGGGGCATCGACCACTGTGTTTGCGCCCTTCAAGGCTGCTGCAGCCTTCTCCCGCTCACGGCGTAGTTCTGATCGACCGCGTTCGACTTCGCCTCTCAGGAACTCGACCTCGCCCCGTGCTTCTGCTTCACCTCTTCGCGCATCCTCGAGACCTTCTTCTAGCTCCTGGACGAGCTCTTCTAATTGCTTCAGCTGCATCGCTACAGTTTCAACATCTTCAGTCCGAGACTGATATTCTCGTAATTCTTCTTGCAGCTCCTCCACCTTCTTCTCGTACACGCGCTCAGTTTCTGTGCTTGCCAGTTCCAAGGTATCGATTGTGCTTCGGAAGTCGGACCGATGTGCGTCAAATTCAGAGGTGAGCATGGCGATCTTATCGTTCTTCTCCCTCAGAAGTGATCGCAGCTGGCCTACATCATTGGGCTCTCCATTACTGTGCGATGATCCAAAGTCCATACCGTCGTCAGGGATAAGATTCTGGATCTCTGATAGGCTCGCTTCCATTTCGCTCAGAGATGATGCTTGGTCTTTGAGCTGCTTGTCGCGCTCCTCTAATAGCTTTGTGAGCCGTTGCACCTCTTCGGATTGATTCGAGCCTGGTCGAGATCCAGGCCGTCGATTCTTGAAGCTTGATAGGGAGTCGTTGCTAGTCCGTGATGTGCCAACTGGTGTCGTCTCGCCATCCTCATCGATCGTGTCATGTTGGCCGAGGCGAGAGTTATTCCGCGAGTATGGCCTCTGGGGACCGGGTGTCCGTGGCTTTTGTAAGGGAAGCGCTCTTGACGGAGCAGGGCTGTTGAATCTGGGAGGGGCAGGGCTGGCGAACCTTGGCGGTGCGCCAATTGCGCTCTTGGAGAAACCAGAGGGTGTAATACGGCCAGTCTTTCCTGGCGTTACGGTCAAGCCGGGTTTCTGACGGTGCGGCGATTCTGGTCGTGCTAGAGAAGGTCGCCCAGGTGACTTGAACTGAGGACTCTGCGCACGAGCTCCAGGCCCAAGAGATTGCGAGAACTTTGGTATTGAAGGCGTGTCCGGGCCGAAGTTGGGCTTCTCGATGGTCGAGAGGCTGAAGTTGTTGTAACCCGGCGTGGTAGGAGTGGGCGGGAAGTCGGACGAGTCTGCTGAGGAGCGTTTCGACGCGCGGTGGACGGGGAGGAAGATACCAGAGCCGGGTACGGAGGTCTTGAAGTACTGGGTGCTAGAAGACAATCAGCATATGCGTAGAAGTTTTCCCGTCGAGACATCCAAGCATACCCCTCGACTTCTCCGTCATTCTTCCCACGCGACGCATACTGTCTGCTTAGTTCCACACCCGCAAACACGCCTTTCTTGCCGCTAACGCTACCGATGAACTTGACCACACCATGCATGCCGCCCGGCACGTCGACGGCATCGCCTACGCCAATATCGCGCCCGTCGGCACCCATTCTGTTTGGGGGAGGTGACGCTGCTCCTACTAGGGCGTTTAGACTGGCCTTTCTCGCAAATTGCTGCTGCGCGGTGAGGGAGAGGTTTGGGCTTGAAGCTGTTGGGTTTAGACTTGGGCGCAGGGGATTAAGCCTGCGCGGGGTTTGGAACGACATTGCTAGGGACCGGTTGCCCGCGTTCGACAGGCCCAACCTGCTCGAGTATCACAGGGAAAGGCGGGACTGTTTGTTATTGTCGGAGGATGTAGTACAGGGGCCAGGGTTGCATTGATGGCGGAGTGTGGATTCAACGCATGATTAGCCTTGACCAATCAATCACCATGGCCGCCATCGCTATGGCAGCGTGGGGCCTGACTCCCCTCACTCTGTGGCTACTTCTTCTCTCTATTTACCTGATTGATATCCAAAGGTCAAATCCACCGAACGTGTTCTTTTGTTTACTTGCCTGACGCCATCTGCACACTGTCTGCATGCTGCAAAGACTGGTTCGCGGTACGGTAACGCGGGCCACGCACGCCAACCTCCCGCCAACCAGCGCGCGCAGCACAACCGGGACCGAAAGCCGTAACACGCCCTAGGCAATAGTACTGCTTCTTCTCGAAACCCGTGGCAAGGGCCTATGTATAGGATGTAGCTTCACACGGGCATAGAGAACTAGGACGGGCCATTCGAAGGAGCAGGGACGAGAGCTGCTACGCTCCACCTCAAAGTCCTTTGCAGTTGCTACTTTGTTAACGTGTATATACCCTCAAATCTTTTAGGACTGGTCGATAGTCAGAAACACGGTATCGTATTGACAAGAGACGTCATGGTGCACTCGATCGATATCCTGATCCCACCATCTAAACACGGCTTGACCCTGCATGATAAAACGCGCAAGCACGTGAGCGTAGGAGGAACTTCGTGGGCTTCTTCAACAACTCGAGCGACAATAGAACAATGTCTCCTACATACTTGGGTCCCATCTCAACGTGTTGCGCCATGTCCATTAGTATGCTCCAGACTCGGGGGTGCCTCGTTTGGCCGGCAGATTCCCCATGTCAACATTGCCTCGGCATCTTCGCATCAGCTTCTCCGCAGACATACATCATTCGCGTTGCGCCCACACCATGCACAGCTCTCAGATAATCCAAAAATGGCCGGCACCGTACGACAACCTATTGACATCGCCTCGCTGGAGCGCTACATTACTGCCAATGTGCCTGAGATTTCCGTACCACTCGATGTTAAACAGGTATGCTTCGACTTCGAAGCCTGGGACGGGTAGCTGCTAATCAGAGGGCAGTTTGGATATGGACAGTCGAATCCAACATATCAATTGACAGACCAAAATGGCAAAAAGTATGTTATGCGGAAGAAGCCCCCAGGGCAACTTCTGTCAAAGGTGCGATGCTCCCGCTCTCGCTTCCGGTCGTTGAGTCTACATGCTAACACACTCCCAGACAGCACACAAAGTCGACCGCGAATACCGAATCATCCACGCGCTAGAGAAGACAGACGTCCCAGTTCCCCGAGCACTATGTCTCTGCCAGGACGAGAAGGTCATCGGTACCGACTTCTACATCATGGACTTTCTCGATGGGCGCATCTTCGAGGATCCCGCGATACCAGACGTGACGGCTGAAGAGCGATCGAAGATGTAAATACAGACCCTTTGCTTGACTCGGAACTGGTGTACTAATGTCAACTTCAGGTGGCGCTCCGCAATAACAACCCTTGCTAAATTCCACCGCGTCGTCCCAAAGGACGTAAAACTCGAATCTTACGGCAAGAGCTCGGGCTTCTACAACCGTCAAATCGCAACCTTCAACACCATCTCACAATCACAAGCTTCCGCAAAGGACAAGGAGACTGGAGAAGTAGTCGGCAAGATCCCGCATCAAGACGACATAGTAGCCTTCTTCAGCGACGCAAGAACACAGCCCAAAGACCGCGCAACCTTTGTACATGGAGACTACAAGATCGATAATGTTGTGTTTCACAAGACAGAGCCGAGGGTTATTGGCATCCTCGACTGGGAAATGAGCACAATCGGCCACCCCCTCTCCGACCTCAACAACCTCCTTGCGCCCTTCGTCACCGCCTCTTCCCAAAAGGCTCTTGCCATCGGACGCGCGCATCAGGGTTTCCAACTCAATGCTACACCGGGCCTACCCTCGCGTGATCAACTGATAGAGTGGTACTCGGAGGTAGCCGGCTGGGATCCCAGACCGGACTTCACCTGGGGAGATGCTTTTAGTACGTATAGGAGCGCGATCATCATGCAGGGTATTGCAGCGCGGTATGCGTTGAGACAGGCGAGTAGTGCACAGGCGCAAACCTATGGACAGATGATGAAGCCGTATGCCGAGATTGCATGGGATTTGGTGCAAGAGTACAAGAAGGGGCATGAGAAAGCCAAGTTATAGTATCGTCAACATGGACTGACCATGTTCAAAACACACGAAAAAACGTAGTACGGCAGTGACATGAATGTGAGTCAATGAAAGGTTGGAAACTCAAAACTTTCATGTTCTAGACATTGTAGCTATCTAAGTCGTTATACGGTAGTAACTGCAGGTCTTCGCACGTTTCTTCTACTCGAACTTTTTGACATGCAAGCCTTCCCATTTCAGCAGGTTATGTCGTAGAATGGTATCATGTAGTGGAACTATCGTCCTATAGATGCGAATATGTCAACTGAGATGTCTCGAAAATCGCTTCCGAGGACGTAACCGTTGGTTTGGCCGGGCTTAGAAAGAACCAAGAGAGGCATACCCACGATTTCTTGCGCCTTGAACGCCGATGCGCCTTGTAATGCCAAAGTCTGCCAATTCTGCCTGTCTGCTTCCGCCCAATGTACTACTGTAATCGCGTAGTCCTTTCAGTCGCGGTCAGGTCTTATCGTCCGATCTTGGGAACGTCCTGGTTGATACGGTCCAAGGCCTAGAAGTCGGGTCAGCGCTTACTCAAAGATGGGGGATTTGGGGCTTTCGGACCTCGAGCATAACAACTGCGTTGCCTCGAATAACGACCATGCCTATCCTGACCTTCTCGCCGCCAGCTTTCTCCTCCAAAGCTTCATCCAGGACAATGTTTAGGTAGACCTACGCATCCTTAGTAATAATCGAGTGTAGCTGAGAAGGGAAACATACGTCATATCCGCGGAGTACACCCATAACCTTACGGCTTCCATTTAGCTGGACTAGAACGCGCTTCTCGAGGTACTTTTGGAGGTTAGGTAATGGTCCTCGAGCTCGATTGGGTAAACTAACCTTCTTCAATTCTGGCTGTGCTTGCGGCATTTTGACTGGAGAGATCTATGTATGAGCTCTTAAACAGCGTGGGAAAGCCCAAATATCGTTGTAGGTGGCTGTGGTGGTGATTGTATAGAAGCTCAAGATCCGAGGCGTGGTGTTCACGATCAATGTTGTCTCTGGTGGGATAGCTTTTTGATAACTGGCCCGTGCGTTTTCGGAACATGTGACGGCAGCCTAGGGAACCTCACGACGCTCAACCTGCTTTTTTTGTTAGACTTTGCTACAGTAAACTACCCGAGAAAGATGAAAAGGTCAGGTTCCGGACGCGTTGCGCGCAAAGTTGGCTCCTACGATGGCGATTCGCAAGACAGCGCGAACAGCTCGCAAAGCGAGGCACCAAAGCCCATAGGTTAGTATTTACCTTATCCTAGTTTCCTGGTTGCCTGTCTAACCTCAGTAGGCCTTCCGTGCTAACTGGCAGTATAGTTGTCAAACGTCCAGCGATCGGCAAGACAAAGAAGAGGTCCTCGTTGCGCATCTCTTTCGGCCCAAGCGAGGATGCGATCGATGGCGACGAATCAAGCGACGCCACCGTGGTCACCCCGAAGAAGTCGAATCTCAGTCGCATAGCCTTGGAGAAGAGTGCACAGCTACGCGCGCGATCACCACTCGTTCCCGAAGCCTCCCGACCCGCAGATGAAGAGCGACCATCGTATAGCAAAGACTACATAGCAGAACTCCGAAATTCAACCCCTTCAACACCTAGAGATTTGAAGGTATCCGTGGCGGAGGCAGAGGAGGCACGAGCACTTGACATAGCATCGAAATTCGGCTCCGCCGCTCCGCTACCGACGGAGACGTCAGCAATACCCACAGACGCAGAAATACAAGAGAAAAAGGCGCGGCGGAGACGCTTAGCGCAGCAGGAAAACGCTTTCGGTGATGAGGAAGACCGACCATGGGCATCGGACGACGAAGGAGAGGACGAGTTCCGGCAAAGAAGGAACGAAATATCGTTGCGGCCAAAAGAGAAATACCCCGAGACGCGCCTAATACACGACGATGAGGACATGGCTGAAGGATTTGATGACTTTGTTGAAGACGGCAAGATATCGCTCGGTCGCAAGTCCGAACGAGAGGCACAGCGGAGACGGCGCGCGGAGATGGCTGAGCTCATCAACGATGCGGAAGGCTCGGATGACGATGGCTCGAACGATTCGGACGAGGAGAGGAATGCTGCTTTCGTTGCAGCCCAAGCACGCGCAGGCAGATACGGCCAGAAGATCGACGATGAAGATGACGGCTCAAAGACTCCGCCGCGGGTTACGCCTCTGCCCGACTTGGATGAAGTTCTAGAGGGTCTCACGATCGACATTCGAGCGAAACAACAGAGGAAGGAGGTGATTCTCCAGAAGCTCCAAGAGCTCAAGGACGACAAGGTCAGGATCGAGGAGAGGAAAACGTACCTGCAAGAACAATTGCAGAAGACAGGCGAAGAGTACGAGAAGTTGCGCCAAGAGGCAGGTCTACCTGCTCTACCCTCGAATGGTATAGAGGGGGGAAGACTCATCACTGAAAGGGGCTTGGACAGTCTAGGAACGACACCTCTAGCCGGACGCTCGAGCGAGGACTCGGATGATGAATAGTGATAGATCGTTTGTACGCAATCGCTTGAGAAAGAGCATGTCTAGCTGTGTAATACTATCTTATCCCCCATATCATGTCCCTTAATGCTGTGAAGACCCCTTGATGGATCCACGAATATGATACAGTAGTCAAGTGCCTCCAAATGCTATTTCCGTGAACGCCGGCCGAACTCCTTCAATGCTTGAACTCCTCTTTCCTTATTCTGAATCTATCGGCTTTTACCCAATTCCCCCGAAGTTTATTTATTCGCATCCAACTCGGCCCACACCTTCTCGATCTTCTGTCGCTTCTCCTTGGCCGCCTCGCGATTCTGCTTTGTCCGCTCGAGCCGCAGCCCTCTGAGGCACATGTTCACTTTATACTTTGCGTCGGTGCAATTGCCGGTGACTTTCCAGATAAACCCGCGCGCGTGGCATTCATCGAGGGCGGCAACGACTTCTGCGCAGCCTAGACTGGGGCGTTAGTTGGTAGTTGAGAGGTGTGCAAAGGGAAAGCGTGTGTGGTAGAGGTGTATTTTGAAGGGTAGGACGGACTCTTTTGGACTTCTTCAGTGTGGAGATGTGGATGCATGGTTGCGCACAGGTTCGACGAATATAGAGGAGGTTGGCTCAAGGGTATTGGTCTAGAGAATGTGTCCCTGGACGTCGTTGCGATACAGTGGCGTGAACTGGAGGCTGCAGTCGGGTCCGACTAATCAGGAAGTCACAAGATTTCGTGAACCGCGTCCGAGCTCTGTCAACTTTCTCCAACTCCCCGCAATCTATCAATGTGAACAACAGAAACGCCGTATAATTGACAAAGGAACGAGGCAACGATCCTGTGAATCTTGTTCGTTATCGTCATCAAAGAGCTGCTCGAGGCTTTCCAGCGCCTGACAGACCGACACGCTCTCCCCCGAACTCCCCGCAACCACCCTCCACCCGTCCCAAGACAGTCACGGGACAGGTTGTAGTCTGAAGATGGCTTCGCAGGCGCAGTTGAGGAAGCAGCAAGGTGAGTAGCCATTGTTCTTTTTCTCTCCCTTAAATCACTAATCAGATGCAGAACTTCAGACCACATACCAGAATCACAAGACCACGTTACAGACTATAGCCTCGAAGATTGGCGACATTGAGCAAGAGGCAGAAGAGCACAAGTACGTTACGAGATGCTCCGTTTAGCCAAAGTTCATTTTTGCTTTCTCGCCTGTACACCTCTTTTCTTCTTGCGTTAGCCTCGCTTGCGGTCATGACATACTCTTTTTAGCATCTACACCACTTCACCTTATCTTCACACCGCGATGAATACTAAATTACATCAGGCTCGTATTGGCGACACTAGAACCTCTTCCAGGCGACCGGAAGTGTTTTCGCATGATCAATGGTGTCCTGACTGAACGAACCGTTCAGGAAGTCGTGCCCATCCTACAAACCAACTCAGATGGCTTGAAGAAGGCGCTAGACGAACTAGTCAAGCAATACAAGTCGAGGCAAGATGAGATGGAGAAGTGGAAGGTATGTGTCCTGCTGTGCTTCGGTCTTTTCTCTAGCTGTGCTGCGTCGGAGGTGTTGACCGGTTCTACGAGTCGAAAGCTGACTGTGCCATTACAGAAGAAGAACAACATCCAAGTCGTCCAACAGCCCCAGTAGAAGGGCCCCAGTTCTGCTTATGCGGTCAGATTTTGACAGGATGAGTACATGACATATACTCGAAGCAACGTGGAATTTTACAGCAAAGCACGACAGCGAGGACATGAATCGCTAGGGACCGAAGTGGAAGGAGGGAGCATTCAACCAAGAGTTCACTCATTTTGGTGGGCTGGCCATTGATTTACCACGCACAGTAAAGAAGCGACAGGAAGGAATCATGGCTTGGGTTCACATTTCTACGCCGACATCATTGCGCAGTGGACAGCTGTGCGCCATCTGCCACGACAGAAGGTAAGATAGTGATATAATGTTTATAGCCAGGTTATGAAAATGCTGGGATCCAAGCCTTCGAGAATGCCGTAATGTCACGTATAATAAGCCAGGAACACAACATGATCAAGCGCTAGATACGTTCGGCTGCATCACTTTCTACACACGCGAACAGCTCATCACACTCACGAGCGCTCGTGTTCGCCTCTGCTTACCAGAGGTGGATAGTTGCAACCAATGCCACTCTGCTGGGCCAAGCAGTCTTGGCCTGGCCAGCTGCATGATGAGCTGGTGAGGCCAAGTGATCCGATCGACGCCCTTTTCTGCACATGCGTTCCGCGAGCGTGGGCACGTAGCTCATAGGATACCGCCAGAGGCATAGCAGACGGAGGCGAACGGCCAAGGGCAGCGCGATGAGTGGTCGAAGCTGACGTCGTTGGAACGACATGAGGAAAGCTGGAGTAAGGCTGGATGCAGTACAGCCCAACGCGCGGACAAGGACACACGGTCGATGAGCTTCGAGTCCACGTCTGCATAGGGCCAGGATCATGCCAGAGCGAGCTGAACAACGCACGAGGCAGAGAGAGAATCCAGGGCTGCAGTGACAGCTAAGCCCCAAGCTGTTCTGCAGGCCCATGTTCGACGACCTGAATACGGCCGCCTCAATCAGCCGGTGGGTCGTGAGCTGGGGGTGGAGACTGCTCCCCACGATAGAACACGTAGAGGAAGAAGCAACGACATGAGCTAATGCGTGGGCGTGGGTTGGTCAGTAGATCATGGTATCTTGCGTCTTGGAAATGCGAGGGGGTCCAATAGGAGAAAAAAGAGGCCCATGGTGAGGAGGCCATGGATATGCATGATCGCCCAGCAGACACACGATGAAGGACGGGTGCTGTGGCCGAGCAGTTGGACTAATAAGATTATTAGACAAGTGGGAGTAGGAGTAGTGAAGAGCGAAGAGTGTCGAGCGTCGAGCGCGATCCATCATAGTCGGAGCGGCCCGCGCACGGAGAGGTGGGTGCGGTGGTGTGCCTAAGATTCCATTGGCCATTCACCCATCATTTCTTCCTCCCCACCCTTCGATAGGCCCGCCATCCCAAAATCATTTCTTGTCCCTCTCCACGCTATCGCGCGTCCAAGCTCCTCGTTGGGCTGAAAGCATCACGTCCCCAGGTCGCGCTCCTATTGGCCGGGCGCGTCATTGTTGTCGAACGTCCTGCGACGAGAGCAGCCTTCGTGAGATCGATTGACAACACCGACGCCTGCTCTTCCGCCCGAAGAACCGTCGATTCACTCCGGCCACCGCCTACTAGCTCTGACGCCTGCATACAGTCCCACCGCTCGTCTCCGTCCCCGTCCCCGTCCCCCCTACGCCCTTGTGGTAGCTTCACAGGCGGCCTGTGGCACACAGCATCGTGCCGTTACAGCCATTTTTCACAGTGTGTCGCGCCTACCACGTCCCCGTGAATCGCTCCAGTCCCCTCTATCGCGCGTGCGACGAGAAGCCACGCCGAATCCCTTCCCAGCCCCAACTAGGAGCCGTTCGCGCTCCCTTGCGCCTTTGGCTGCCTCCGCTGTCGCCCACGTACGGTACCCTTAGCTGCGTCCCGACGCTGCCATTCTGCATGCCGCTAACCGACTCCCTAGTCAGACATCGCACTCGTTACACGACGGGTTGCATACTCGGTCGCCAAGCCATCCCATCGTCTCCAGTGACGTGGACGCCAACGAATTACTGAGCCCGCCGCCAGCGCACATAGCCCCAAGCGGCAACCTGCTTTAAACATGAGTTCGACGCCGCCGAAGAGGGAGGGTGTGGAACCAGCCCAGTCGCCTGACGAAGAGCATCCCATGGATAGGAACGCTGAGGAGACACAAACGCAAGGACTCGGGTACGAATTCGAAGTCAAGGAACAAGACCGATGGCTTCCAATCGCCAATGGTACGTCTATTTCCCTTGCCTTTTCCCGTCGTTTTGATTTGCGCATCGTTTCCGCTCCCATCTGCACGTCGACGGATTGCTCCAACGGCGCTGGATGCCTACAGACTCTCCAATCGCGCGTATCGGCGTCGAATCACAGATCTCTGTAACTGCCGCGAGCCAGTCAGAATCTTCGTGTGCCTGAAAAACGGCCGACGTGCAGTTAGCGACATGTCGTCCTCCTCTCCACAGTCCTCTACTTCCCCGCCACAGTCGTCGTTGTCCAAGAATCCAAACAACAATGCCTCGTCGGATGCTAACATACGTAACTTTGCTCCAGTCGCGCGCATCATGAAAATGGCGTTGCCCGAAAACGCCAAAATCGCAAAGGAAGCAAAGGAATGCATGCAGGAGTGCGTGAGCGAGTTCATCTCGTTCATCACCAGCGAGGGCAAGTTTCAGACGGACAAGTTGCGAAACCAGCCGCTGACGTTACCTATCCAGCCTCCGAAAAGTGCCAGCAAGAGAAGCGCAAAACTGTCAACGGCGAGGACATCCTCTTCGCCATGACGTCTCTTGGCTTCGAGAACTACTCGGAAGCTCTGAAGATCTACCTGTCGCGTTATCGGGAGGTAAGCTGCCAACTTTCCCTTCTCCCTCCCCTTTTGTTTCCCTTTGTTGCCTATACTCTGGCGAAAGCGTTTATCTGAACTATTGGTATTGATTGGTGGTACGAGAACCTCCTCGCAAATCAGAACAAACCACCTTCCGGGCAATTCGGTGCAGCCGGGGCCAGCGGGCCCAACGCAGGTGCAGAGAACCAACATGTACTGAGCGGCGATTCCGAAATGGCCGAAGACAGCGGCACTGCATTCGGGTACACGGTCCACAACGGAAACGGTTCCGCCGACTATTAAGCACCGAGTCGAGCTCCGAGGGTCAGCTGAAAGGAGGAAGATCAAGTCGGGATCTGATGAGCTCCTTTCGGCATTTGACCCACCGGACGGAAAGACGAGTGCGTAGGGTTGGGCAAAATATGGGTATGAGGAACTGGTCACTAGGTCTAGAATGTGTGAAAGACGGGTCATTCGCTAACAATTGGCCGATATTGGATGGATTTCTGGGGTACAAAACTTGTATGGCTATCTGTTTCACAAGATCTGAGTTTGGGATCTTGCAACGGAACGGTGTATGGCAGGTCGGTTCGGTCAATACGTGCACATGCGGACTACGATACCTTTCGATTCTTCTTAGCTGGATTACTGAATTAGACTTGCTCTTTGCTCACGCAAGCCTCATAACACTCGCTGTACTATCGGTTGTCCGAAATTCCTGAGATTGATGTGTGTGTGTGTGTGTGTGTGTGTGTGTGAAAATCCGTGTTAACATTGAATCGCTATGAATAGTCATACGCTGATGATGATCCTGAAGCCGCCTTTCTCCGGGCAAGTAACTCGCTCAACGGTATCTCATCCTCGTGCTCATCATAAAATTCAACCTCTTCGTCAAGGCCAAAATCTTTCAACCGCTCGCCTTCTGAGTTTCGCCACCCCTCTTCCCCTTCATGCTCGCCGCTCCCGTACCTGTCCTTCACTTCATCCTCCCCGTACTCATATCCATCGTCTTCCGCGCCATTCCACTGTTCCACTCTTTGATTGGCCAAACTGGCTTCTGCACGTTCGAGGAATGGCTTGCGCCTTCGTACTTCGTCTTCAGCCTGTCGTGCTTTGAAAGCAGCGAGTGTTTCTTGAGCGTCAAGAGCGGACTCTTGGAATGTGAAAGCGTCGGCATTAACCGCTGTGTCGTAACGGCGGTAAGCACGGTCTGGGTCCGGAGGCGGCCAGGTTGTGTCGGCGTCTTCAAAGCCATTTGACGCGAACAACAAGCCGCTCTGCAGTGAAGGCGTGGGGGCGAGGGGGTTGAACCAGGCTATAGGCTACAGCACATCTTCAGCATCTTATTCATACTAGCACATCTAGAATAATAATTAGAAGGCGTCTTGAAAGGAAGCTTACGTTTGCAGAACCCATGCCCTGAACAATGTTTGCCCAGATGCCAATGTCATACGGAAATTCTTGTTTCTTGATGCGAATTTTAGTTCCATCTCCGCCTTCAAGGTAACCACCGAAATGCCTAGCCCGCCGCAAGAGGGTGCGATGGCGTTCGATCTCCCAGCCTTCGATGGTGGTAGTGTTGACCGCGAGACACCACAGGTTTCTGATGAATAAGACACCTAGCGCGAAAAGTGTGATAGAATTTGCAACGAGTGTGGTGAATAGATGGCCGAGCTGGAAAGAGTTGGGTCCTAGGTAGGATGGCATGTCCCGATCAGACCAGAGCTGAGAAATCCGCGTGAACAGGAGAGATTCAAGGAAAGAGAGGCCAATTGTCGTGTAGAAGAGGAAGCGTAAGAAATGCGGGAAGGTAGTGTGGGAGACGCAGTTTGCGGTCCAGGGGCAGTGGTGGTCCATCTTGGGGATACACCTGAGGGTGGTTAGCTTGGAATATTTCCTTGAAACAAGACCGTAAAGCACATGACGCCACAGCAAAGGCTTTAAATCTTCGTCTCTCTCATACCTTTTACATTCTTTACAATGATGAGCTCTCGGAGGCTTCGCAGCATCGCATTTTCGGCACCATTTCCTGCTCTTTCCAACAGCCTCCTTCTCGGCCATAGTACCATTCGCATTTCCAAACTCTTTCTTGCCCGCCCAGTCTTTAGGAACTGTTCCGGGATCAACAAATACAGATTTAGTATATGTCGTGAAGATTAATATCAGAACGAGATTTGCTGCGATGAGTTCGTTCTTCGTTAGAGGCCCGGGCTCAAGGTACATTAACATCCATTGCGACGGATAGCCAAGGAAGAATATCAGGCCGTATACGGAGGGTACAGCGAGTCGAGAGAGCTCCATAGTTGGAGGAAAGGACGTGGTGTTAGAGGAACTGTCCGGCCAACGTGTCGTGGATGAAGTATGATGTGGATCGCGAAGACACGTGATTGGCTCGTTGTTATGACCCTACTTCAGCTTCCTGCCCTTCGTTTCATCAACATCAATTCATCGGACTTTCCATCCCGCTTTGTCAAGAGCGTTGGGAAACTTCTTGAAACGATATATGCCATGCCTCTCCCCGCCTGGCCGTTCTATCTTCTCATCCCAACGTTCATTTTGCTCCACTTGTTCGTTTCGCCATACACGAAAGTTGAAGAGTCATTTAATCTCCAAGCTATACACGATATATTGATCCATGGCATCCCTACAGAAAACGCCGACCAATTTTTAACTTCAAACTATGACCATGTTTCGTTTCCTGGTAGCGTGCCGCGTACCTTCGCTGGTGCGTTGTTGTTGAGTGGACTTTCAAGACCGTGGGTTGCACTGTTGAACTCTACTACGCAGTTGCAGCTGCTGGGTGAGTACCTTGTGGTTCCAATGATGAGATTGTATTAAAACTAATGATGCGAACAGTCAGAGGGGTGCTTGGTCTGCTCAACGCATTCGCTCTCATCGCGTTCGGGAGAAGCGTGCAAAGAGCATTTGGAACGAGCGCAGGCATATGGTATGCTATGTTCCAAGCAAGCCAATTCCATGTCGTCTATTATGCTTCGCGAACGTTGCCAAACATGTTTGCTTTGGTATTCAGTATGTTGCCCACCTCTCTATCAGATGTGTAGAAGCTCATTTAATCAAGGCAATCTTGCATTACGAAGTCTGCTCAATGCATATGCCCTTCCGTGGAACCGTCAAGGTGTCTCAAGAGGCTATAGACTAAGTCTATATTTGCTCACTATTGCCGGTATCGTCTTTCGCTCTGAGCTAGCTATTCTAGTCGGGACTATTACACTGTACCTGTTCGTCACGCAAAGAATCTCCATCACCGGCGTCATCATCCCTGCTGGGCTCGGAGGACTCATCATAGGCCTCTTATGCACAGTGCCTTTAGACTCTTTCTTTTGGCAGTCTTTCCCTTTATGGCCCGAATGGACCGGGTTCTACTATAATACCATCCAAGGACGCTCGGCAGACTGGGGTATCTCGCCATGGCACTACTACTTTGCGAATGCGCTTCCACGACTACTCTTAAATCCAACAACCTATCTGTTCTGCATTCCAGTTGCTGTCTTGAATGCAGCAACTCGTAGACGAAGCCTCGACCTACTCATCCCTCTGCTAAGCTTCATAGGCTTTTACAGCTTGCTCCCACACAAAGAGTGGCGATTCATCATCTACGTTGTCCCGGGGCTGACGGCCATAGCTGCGGTAGGCGCATCCTGGATCTGGACACGAAGAGGCAAGTCGCTGATCTACAGTGCTCTGAGCTTGGTTCTCGCTGCCTCCGTTTTAGTGTCCTTTTCGGTATCGACTGCCATTCTAGGAATGTCCAGTCTCAACTATCCTGGGGGCGAGGCCTTAAATGTACTACATAATGGGATTCGACACCCCCCAAAACAACACTTTGATGTCTACTTTGATAATCTCGCATGTCAGACGGGCGTCACGCGCTTCCTAGAGAGCCATAGCAGACCGCAGACAATATTCGATGTCTTAGAAGCAAAAAACACCATAGGGAACCGAACATGGGCATACGACAAGACAGAAGATCCTACAACCCTTCATGATCCAATGTTTTGGGCCAAGTTCGACTATGTTCTTGCTGAAAGACCGGAGAAAGTGATCGGCAGCTGGGCTGTTGTACACGTTGTGTATGGCTTTGGTGGAGTCAGGCTACTGAAACCTGGTGAAGAGAGCGGCTCGCCAATGGAGCCATTATACAATAATAATGGCAAGGTTGCTGTCGATGAGGGCTGGGCATGGAAAGTTGCAAATGTATGGCGTGGGTTGGAAGAGCTATTAAGGGATTCAGTCTTGCGAGGCAACTGGGCTGAAATAAGGATGGAGCCTAGGATCCGGATATTGCAGAACCAGATGAAGTAGACATCAGATACAAAGCATGAATGTGGTCCAGATCAGTCTACGTACCAAATTGCGTTGTTTGCTAGAGGGAAAGGTCGTACCCTTGCCCGTACCCCGCCATGGTTGCTGGACATGCCCCACCATGCGCTTTCGCGTCAACTCTCCTCTTGCACCTCAGCGTCCCGCATAGCATTCCTCTACCACCTAACTTATCGCGCACCCGATTTACGGTAGATATACACACGATGTCTGCCGACACATTACCGAAGGTCGTCTACTGTGGAGGTATGTGCTATGCCCAACAAGCTTCGTTACCGACTGCTAACAGCGAGAAGTATGCAGTTTACCTCCTGAAGTAGGTACGACACCAGTATACGACAAATGTCGTGCGGTGTCCGACGTTAATGCTCCATAGTACTGCGAATTTGGAGGCACCACGAAGAAATGCGAAGAATGGCTTGAGGAGGCGCACCCCGATCTGCACAGCAAGCTCTATTCAGCAGGTATGAACAACTGATAAAAGCTGACTGGAGCTCTCAGCATACCCACGACTACTTGATCTGACTCCCAAGCAACATCGGCTAATAGTTTCCTTAGAAGTGTTACAACAAAACATGTCCGCCCTCTCCGTAGACGCCCAAAAACGCGCAGAGAAGGACGCACAGAAGAAAGCCGCCAAAGCCGCTACCGCTGAAGCACGAGCTGCCGAAACACGAGCTTCCTCCAAGATTTTGATCAAGCGCATCGAGCGTAATAAGCGTAAATACGTGACCGCCGTACAAGGCCTCGAGGCTTTCGGGCTAGATATCAAGAAGGTGGCCAAGGACTTTGGCAAGAAGTTTGCGACAGGCAGTAGTGTGACAAAGATACCGGGTGGTGGCGAGGAGATCACGGTACAGGGTGATCTGAGCGAGGACATCTTGGAGTTCCTGGTGGACAAGTATGAGGAGGTTCCAGAGGACAATGTGGAATTGATCGAAGACAAGAAGAAGAAGAAGACCGAAGTAGTTTGAGCGTCTCGATGGGCTAGACGAACCAGAATACCATACCGAGGATGTCAAGTCTGATGACTAGCAAGCGCGTATCAGCATTGTTAGTTGGGAATCACTTCTTCTTCTGTTCAACAAGCATGACCTAGTGATGGGGCTTCGAAGGTGGAATCCTTTGGTAAGCGAGCCGTGGAATATACAGGGTGTATAGCAGGCACCGTCGATCTCTAGAAGACGAGTGAGACATACAAGTCATGTGCAAATTACTACTACGTCTCGAAGTAGTCGCAAATCTTCAAGTCATGATGTGCTGTAGATCACTGGAACCCTACCATACTACTGCTATGCTTTTGAAAAAAAGGAAAATAGGCCCAAGAAGCGCCTGCGCACCAAGACTACCTGTTGAGCTATCACCAGTCTGTGGGTGTACTCAAGGACCAGTGTCTACGCCGGCAGGTGACCATGGTAGATGTCAACCTTACGCATGCAATTACTATTGTTTACTGATGACTCTAGTGCGTTCCGTGGTTGTATCCAACGAGTCGAACAAACAAAACTTTCTCTCTATCTAGGCAGGCACTCCTTCCTGGTTATGATAAAAGGGAATGCCCTTCGTTCATTGAGGTCTTCTTCTACATTGCTATTTTGACCTACAAGTGCTAAAACCGATAATCTCAAACTAATTAGAACGCGAAGTATATTCGTGGTAGTTCTAGGCGGCGGCTGCGTCACGTGAAAACCTGCGGCCTAGTCGAAGTCCAAGCTCTGTTTAAGTTTTTGGAGACCATCGCAGCACTCACTTGCATCAAACTGCAGGGCGCGCCCGCAGTCCAACCTCCACCAATCGCACTAGACGTTCCTTTCTATTTTGCGCAGGAATACCACGGTCCCTTTCCTTAGTCTAAATACTCGACATTTCGCGAGTAAGTAGCTCGACGAGACGAAGCCTGAAAGCGCAAGCTGCGCAAGAACACGATACCCAACGTCACCATGGCGCAAAATCCAAACAACCTCGCGCAGTTCAAATATGCGGCCATGTCAAATTTGGTTTTGCAGGCGGACCGTCGATTTACGACGCGCCGACCAGACGAGCACACGGGCGATCCCGAGTCACTTGCTGGCCGTATAAACATTCGGGACATGGGAGGACGGACGGCGCGAGACAATGCGCCGACACAGCAGAAGAAGCCCAAGGGGCCTGGGATTGAGCGAGGAAGCCTTGCGGAGGGCGGAGACGTCCTCGAGAGGGAGCAGCGCAAGAGGAAGAGGGACGATGGCACAAGTGCTTTCGGGGCCACCGCTGCTGCTGATTTCAATATCGAGGGTCTCACATATAAGCCACGGACACCTGCGACTCGCGCGACCTTCGACCTCATTACAACTATAGTGAGCAAGTCCCTCGGCGACGTTCCGGTTGCGACTACAAGGAGTGCCGCCGATGCGGTCCTGGAATACCTAAAGGATGATAGTTTGAAGGATTTCGACAAGAAGAAAGAAGTCGACGATCTTTTAGGTTCTTCCATGGGCGCAAAGGAGTTCAACGAGCTGGTCAACTTGGGCAAGAAGATAACCGACTACGATGCGCAGGATGACGAAGAAGGAGGTGACGAAGAAATGGCGGATGGTGACGGGGCTGAGAACGGCGACAACCAGGGTGTCGCTGTCGTATTCGACGATGACGAGGATGACGAAGAGGGCGCTCAGACATTCGAAGTGCGCGACGTCGATACCTCGGATGAAGAAGACGAAGCAGAGACTGCAGTGGAACAGATTGGAGGCGACCAGGACCCAGAGGACCGCGGCATAGCAGACACAGAAGAGACTGTACTACAAGGCGACATAAACAGCTCGATAGATCGCAAGGACAGTGGCGACCAACTCATTCCCGCACACGAGATCGATGCGTATTGGTTACAACGGCAAATAGGTCAAGTCTACGAAGACGCGCATACACAACAAGAGAAGACACAGGAAGCACTAAACATTCTCGCAGGTGTCTCCGACGACGGCGAAGAGAAGGAGTTGCGTGAAATTGAGAATGATCTTATGGAACTGTTCGATTACGAACACCACGAACTTGTTGCGAAGCTTGTCCTCAATCGAGATCGAGTCGTTTGGGTCACAAAGTGGAGAAGAGCAGCAGAGGATAATGATGAGCGGACAGCTGTTGAGCGGGAGATGAGAGCTGCGGGCCAGCAGCAAATCCTCCAAGAGCTACGCGCAAGGGAGACTGGCATCAAGGCTGAGGATAGCGCAGGCACTGGGAGGATGAAATTTAACCTCAAAGATATCAGCCTACCGGATACAGGAGATGTGGACATGGCTGATGCTCCAAAGCCTGATGGCGTGGTTGGTGGACTACAGCCGTCAAGTCGACTGGTCAATCTGGACAACATTGTTTTCGACCAAGGCAATCATCTCATGACAAATCCTAGTGTCAAGCTGCCACAAGGATCAACTCGTCGCCAATTCAAGGGCTACGAAGAGATTCATGTGCCTGCGCCGAAAGCAAAGCGCGATCCTAACGAACCACAGCTCATGCCCACCTCTTCGCTGCCAGATTGGGCGCGAGTCGGTTTCGGTTCCTCGAAATCGCTCAATCGCATCCAAACGAAATGTTACCCATCAGCGTTCAACGACGACGGAAACATGCTCATCTGCGCCCCTACAGGCTCCGGAAAGACAAATGTCGCTATGCTTACGATGCTTCGCGAGATTGGCAAGCACCGAAACCCTCAGACTGGGGAGATCGCGCTCGACGACTTCAAGATCATCTACATTGCTCCGCTAAAGGCTCTTGTAGCTGAACAGGTCGGCAACTTCGGCAAGCGTTTGGAGCCGTACGGCATCAAGGTTTCTGAGCTTACGGGTGATCGCCAACTCACTAAGCAGCAAATTGCAGAAACCCAGGTTATTGTCACCACCCCGGAGAAGTACGACGTTATCACCCGCAAGGCTACCGACACTAGCTACATCAACCTTGTCCGCCTCATCTGCATTGACGAAATCCATCTCCTGCACGATGATAGAGGCCCAGTCATCGAAAGCATCGTGAGCAGAACGCTTCGACGTAGCGAGCAAACTGGGGACCATGTGCGCATTGTCGGGCTGAGTGCCACTCTTCCTAACTACCGCGATGTTGCAAGCTTCCTCCGCGTAGACCCGGATAAGGGCCTCTTCCACTTCGACGGGACCTTCCGACCCTGTCCCCTGAAGCAGGAGTTCATCGGTGTCACGGACAAGAAGGCCATCAAGCAGCTCAAGATCATGAACGATGTCTGTTATACCAAAGTCCTGGAACAAGTTGGCGAAAATCGAAATCAAATGCTGATCTTCGTACACTCTCGAAAAGAAACAGCAAAGACTGCCAAGTACATCCGCGACAAGGCTCTAGAGGAGGAATCGATAGGTAAAATCTTACGATCCGATGCTGCCAGTCGCGAGATCTTGAGGGAAGAGGCTGAATCAGTGCAAAACACTGATCTCAAAGACCTTATGCCCTACGGGTTTGGTATCCATCATGCTGGAATGTCACGCGCCGACCGTACCTCCGTGGAAGATCTTTTCGCCGACGGATCGATCCAAGTCCTGGTTTGCACAGCAACACTGGCATGGGGTGTCAACTTGCCCGCTCATACCGTCATTATCAAGGGAACTCAGATCTACTCCCCTGAGAAGGGCAGCTGGGTCGAGCTCAGTCCTCAAGATGTCCTACAAATGCTCGGTCGTGCTGGTCGCCCTCAGTACGATACCTACGGAGAAGGTATCATCATCACCACCCAGGCCGAGATCCAATACTACCTGTCGCTGCTGAACCAACAGTTACCCATCGAGTCACAGTTCATTAGCAAACTTGCGGACAATTTGAATGCAGAGGTTGTTTTAGGCAACGTGCGTAATAGAGACGAAGCAGTTGATTGGCTTGGGTACACCTACCTTTTTGTTCGCATGCTTCGATCACCAGGTCTCTACCGAGTTGGTCCGGAGTATGAAAACGACACAGTGTTGGAGCAGAGACGTGTGGATCTAGTTCATGCAGCAGCACATGTTCTAGAGAAGTGTAGTCTTATCAAGTACGACAGGAAATCCGGGTCACTTCAGTCGACCGAGCTTGGAAGGATTGCGTCGCATTACTACATCACACACAACTCCATGGCGACCTACAACATGCACATCCAGCCCGGTATCAGCGCCATCGAGCTGTTCCGAGTATTCGCCCTAAGCGAAGAGTTCAAGTACATTCCCGTACGCCAGGATGAAAAGCTAGAACTTGCGAAGCTGCTTGGCAAGGTGCCGATCCCTGTCAAAGAGGGTGTTGAAGAAGCTCAAGCGAAGATTAACGTTCTTCTACAAGCCTACATCTCTCGGCTCAAGCTAGAAGGTCTCGCTCTCATGGCCGATCTTGTCTACGTCACGCAGTCAGCGGGGCGTATCCTACGTGCAATTTTCGAGATTTCTCTGAAAAAGGGCTGGTCTCAAGTTGCAAAGTTGGCGCTCGACATGTGCAAGATGGCGGAGAAGCGCATGTGGCCAACCATGACACCTCTTCGGCAATTCCACACTTGTCCTCGAGACATCATACAAAAAGCTGAGCGAATTGACGTCAACTGGTCAAGCTACTTTGGTCTTGACCCACCCAGCATGGGCGAACTTTTGGGTATGCCAAAGGCCGGCAAGCTTGTCTGCCAACTAGTAGAGAAGTTCCCACGCCTTCAGATCGAAGCAACACCGCGACCTATAACAAGGTCTTTACTCCGCATGGAGCTGACGGTTCGACCCGACTTTGTCTGGGATACGGAGCTACACGGAGCCTCTGAGGCATTCTGGATCTTGGTCGAAGATTGCGATGGCGAACAAATTCTGTTCCACGATCAATTCATCCTCCGTAGGGACTACGCTGATGGCGAGATGAACGAGCACCTAATTGAGCTAACGGTGCCTATCGACGAGCCAATGCCGCCGAACTACTTCATCACTGTCCTCTCCGATCGATGGATGGCCTCTGAGACCAAGCTCGCCGTCTCTTTCCAAAAGCTCATTCTTCCCGCAAAGTTCCCAGCCCACACTCCTGTTCTCGATCTCCAGCCCTTGCCTGTCTCCGCACTAAAGAAGAAGGAATACACGGGTCTATACGACAACGTGAGCCGTTTCAACAAGGTCCAAACACAAGTATTCAACTCGCTGTACACGACAGATGACAACGTCCTTGTCGGTGCTGCGGCAGGCAACGGCAAGACTTTCTGCGCCGAGTTTGCTATTCTACGGCACTGGGCCAGCAACAACGAAGGCCGAATCGTTTATCTAGCACCTTTCCAGGAGCTTGTCGATACTCAGTTCAAGAACTGGAATGAGCGCCTTTCCGGCCTCGGTGGAGGCAAAGACGTGGTTAAGCTCACCGGCGAAACCACGGCAGACCTCCGTTTGCTTGAGAAGGGCGACCTTATTTTGGCTACACCTTCCCAATGGGACTCGATTTCGCGGCAGTGGCAACGACGGAAGAATGTTCAATCTGTAGCTCTTCTGATCGCTGATGAGTTGCATATGCTGGGTGGCTCAGGCGGGCACGTATACGAAATTGTGGTGTCCCGTATGCAAGCAATGGCAGCACAACTTGAGTCAAAATTGCGCATCGTCGGCCTCAGCGTCTCACTGTCAAATGCGCGAGACATTGGCGAGTGGATCGGTGCGACCAAGCACACCATTTACAATTTCAGCCCTGGCATCCGAGCAGTGCCATTGGAGTTAAAGATTCAATCATTCACTATCCCTCACTTTCCATCGCTGATGATGGCAATGGCTCGACCAACATACGCCGCGATTACACAGCTGTCCCCAGACAAGCCCGCTATGGTGTTTGTACCAAACAGGAGGCAAGCTCGCAATTCTGCTGCTGATTTGTACAATGCTTGCGTCGCCGACGAGGATGATGACCGCTTCCTGAATGTCGAACTAAAAGATATTGAGCACCTCCTTGAAAAGGTCAACGAGCAATCCCTCGCTACGTCCCTTGCTCATGGTATTGGATATTTCCACGAGGCCCTCAACTCTTTCGACAAGAGAGCCGTGCAACACTTGTTCAAGATTGGGGCTATCCAGGTATTGATAGTCTCACGTGATTCGTGCTGGGAAATCGACAGCGGCGCCCATCTGGTGATTGTTCAGGGCACCCAATTTTACGAGGGTCGAGAACATCGCTATGTTGACTATCCCATCAGCGATATCCTGCAGATGTTTGGAAAGGCTGGCAGGGTAGGTAAGGACAAATCAGCAAAGGGTGTCCTGATGTTGCCCGCGGTGAAGCGCGAGTACTACAAGAAGTTCTTGAACGAGGCCCTACCCGTGGAGAGCTATCTCCACGATTACCTCCACGATGCCTTTGTCGCCGAGATCAGCGCGAAGACGATTGAGTCCACACAAGAAGCTGTTGACTGGTCTACCTACACATACTTCTATCGACGTCTCCTCGCCAACCCTAGCTACTACAACCTCCACGATACCTCCCATGAGGGTCTCAGCGCGCATTTATCCGAGCTTGTTGAGCAGACATTGAAGGAGCTAGCAGACGCGAACCTGATTGAGCATGATGAGGAAGAGGATGCGATCACGCCTCTGAACCCTTGTATGATCGCAGCGTACTACAACATCTCTTTCATCACCATGCAAACGCTCATGATGTCGCTCAACGGCAGAACCAGCTTGAAGGGCGTGCTAGAGATCATCACCGCCGCCACCGAGTTCGAGGACATACAAATCCGGCGTCACGAGGAGCACATTCTCCAACGCATCTACGACCGTGTACCATTCAAGATGCAAGAACCAAGCTTCGAGACACCACACTTCAAAGCTTTCGTTCTGCTCCAAGCGCACTTTTCACGCATGCAACTACCCATCGACCTTGCCAAAGACCAAGAAACCGTCCTCCGCAAAGTGCTCAACATCCTCAGCGCAAGCGTCGACGTGCTCTCATCAGAAGCGCACCTCAATGCCATGTTCGCTATGGAGCTCTCGCAAATGGTTGTCCAAGCAATGTGGCAGAAAGACTCGCCATTGAAACAGATTCCACACTTCGACAACGACACCATCAAAGCTAGCCAGAAGTTTAGTATCAACGACGTCGAAGACTTCATCAACGCCATGGACGAGGATGAGAATCAGAGTTACAAGAAATTGATTGCTGCGCTTGATGTTGATCAAAGGCAACTGGCCGATATTGCCAATTTCACGAATAATTTCTACCCCAATGTCGACCTTGACTACAAACTTGTCGATGCCGAATCCATTACTTCAAACTCGCCCACCCAACTTCGCGTCAGCATCACGCGCAACATCGACGAAGACGAGGAACTCAAGACAGAAGTCCACGCACCCTTCTATCCTGCCGATAAGACGGAGAGTTGGTGGCTGGTTGTTGGAGATCAGAAGGAGCATAGCTTGCTGGCGATCAAGAAGGTGCCGATTTTGAGAAAACTGGAGACGGTGATGGAATTTACGCTCGAAAAGGCTGGGTCAAGGGAGTTGACGCTATATCTTGTGAGTGATAGTTATCTGGGAGTTGATCAGGCGCCTACGTTCGCCGTGGATGCGGCTGAGGGTATGGATGAGGATAGCGAGGAAGAGGAAGATGAGGAGTAAACGTGTAGGTGCTGGAATTATCAGCAAGGTCATTTGGTCTGCTTAGGTGAAATTTTGTTCTGGCGTTCTCGGATCAAAGTTGGGATATCTTGTATTGTATCATATGCTGTCAATTCGCATCAAGTAAATTAGCTGCACATGAATCTCCTGTCTCTTTCTCTCTCTGAAATGCCATGCCTTGTACAAACGTTTTGGAGCTCGACTAAGAGAATTAAAGCATAGCAAGTGAGTGAGATTAACGGATCAGCTCAAAACAAAGTCTGTGTTTCTGGTTGTTGGTTGGAAGAACACACACTCATCCGGGCTTTGGTGGGAACATATGATGTGAGGTACGGCAACAAAGCCTATGTACGTATTGATTTACAATGAGCGCTCTGAACGGCGCGTCATTTTCTACAGAAGCCCGCGGGTGAGAATATGCTAATCTTGACGAGGAAAAGTAGGGTGAAGGAGACTGGAGACTATGCTATAATATATTACACTAAGCCGTGGTGAATATCCAACCCAACTATAATCAACAGGCAACAATTTGAACCAAGGTCAGAAAAGGAGGGAGGCGTTTTGCTACCCTAAAGTTCGATAATGACGGTGATGGTCAATCGGGAGGTGCGACTCAAAAGCCTAGCGCTTCGAGCTTCCTCATACTCCTCGCTCGTTGCCCACCACCAAACATGTTCTGGAAACCAAATGCATCGCTCTCCGCAATCACCCTCTGCACATTCAAGCCTGCCATGTGTATATCCCGCTGTGCCTGATAAAAGTCATCGTACTGAAGCGCCACGATATTCGCATTGCCCAACGATGGATCGTAGAAGGGGGACTTTGGATCGGTCGAGTTGAGCGAGAAGGGGGTGGTTGGTGGCACGCAAACTGTCTCGGGTGGGGGCAGCACGCCAGTCTGAAAGTACGCTCTTATATGGGTTAATGTACACGGGTTCGGCGTTGATACAGAGCAGTGACCCGCACTGTCGCCAACGAGCATGCCGCTGCCCGGAAATAGGCTGTGCATGAGGCGTCCGCTACGTAAGGGTGTGACGGGGTCGGCGGTGTTGCTGAGGAAGAGGATAGGATGAGACGTGTTTCCGCCAAAAGGACCTCGAAAAGAGTACTTTGCGCGGATCTTCCAGGCGGCGCAACGCATGAGGAGTATTGACCAGATTGAGCCTGCGGTAGGTGAGATGCGGTCGAGCAGGTTCCAGTATTCGGCGAATTCATCAATGTCAACGTGTGACTGATCGAGACCATCACCGCACAGGATGGCGAATTCAGCTGCTTCGGAGAGACCTTTGGGGGCATAGTCGGAACCGTTGACAGGACAATGATAGACATGACCTGAGCGGTATGCGAAGCTGAGGTTATCGATAATCTCGCCGCCTCCCGCTTCAACAGCAGCAAGTAGCTCAGCGATGAACCGAAAGCTGGCCTGCGGTTGATACACGGCGCTGAAGATCAACAACTTCACATCGGAATAGGTGAGTATCTCCGGGCCTTGTGGAGAGCTGATGACGAGAGGGCTATGGTAGAGGGATTTGAGAATCTTCTGGAAACGTTCAACAACATCGGTGATTGTTCCATTCGCTGTGGCCAAGGGGCACTCTTCGGGGCCTGAGTGATGACAGAAAGTGTAGAACGAGTTCATGGACTTTTCGGTGTCTACAAGACTTCCATTACCCAGCGCGTGGTTATAGTCGTAGGAACTCACGACGCCGTCGAGGATGAGGCGTCCTACGCGGTCCGGAAACATTGACGCGAATGTCGAGCCAAGATAGGTACCATACGAAAAGCCCCAGTACTGCAGCTTGGCCTTCCCAGGGACGTAGGCCTCTCGGCAACGCGATCGCGGCCTCGTGGTTCTCTGAACTGACAGTTGATCCGCTTGTTTCACGACATACTCGGCATGCCTCTCAGTAATTTCCAGCATGTCTCGTGCGACAAATGCGGTTGACACGTATTCCTTGATATCGGGACCATCCTCAGCATCCATAGCTTGCTTGCAAGACGCTCCAAAGGCATGGTTCATTGACCACAGTCTACCAAGAGCTGCATCTGAGCTTCCTAAAATACCTTCGTTGTTTTCTCTCAAAGACCACGACCACGATGACGGTTCGTCTGGCAGGCATTTAGCTGCAGGCTCAGTCTCACCGATGCCACGAGGGTCGAATCCGATGAGATCGAAGTACTTTGGGCTAGAAGAAGCAGTACTTGAATCGGCACCAGAATCAACGATTGTTTGCAGTGACTTTGCTACCATGAGCGCAAAGGTAGCGCCAGGGCCACCAGGACCACCTGGGTTTAGGAGGATGGGTCCTCCATATCGCGGATCGTCAACCGGGACTTTGGCAGGGAGCTTTGCAATCGCAATGTTCACCCGTTCGTCGGGATATGTTCCGTTGAAGTAGTCAAGTGGTACGCTTAGCTTTGCACACTCGAAGCCATCAAAGCACTTGTGGAACTCAAGGTGCTCGCGAGGCGTTATCTAAAGTATTTCAGACTCGTTGTACTCTAGACATGATTCGATCTGATAAGAAGCAAGCGTGGCGACCACGCTCTGTGCAACGCTCAAGAAACGCTCCCTACGTACCTCAGACCACTTGAATGGCTTTACAGCATACCTAGAGCCCGGGCGATTTGAATCATGGTTCCAGAACGGAGGCGACCAATGCTTCAACTCCGGGAAAACAGTGTCCACGCCCGCGAGGACCACCATGGTGACAAAAGTCGCAGTCAAGGCACGCCAGCGAACCTCGGTCCGTCGAGGCTGAAGTGGTGGAACAGCATCCTCGAATCCAGTCCAGCTCTTCATCATGTCCTCTCGGGTTGCCTCCAGGCAGCCTCCAAAAACTCAATAATGGCAGATAATGGCGGTTAGGGTTTGGTGGTGATAGATGAGCCAGGGAAGCGGGGTTATGGAGCCGGTAGTGCACCTAGGCCAGCCACGACAAAGATCAGCCGCCTAGGCAGCAGTAGCAGCAGCAGCAGCAGCGACAAGCTAGTTGGAAGAAAATAGAATCCTAGTTTGCGGACGCGTGTGTGGTTGTGGCGACTCAATGGAGAGCAAAGCGCAGCGCAGAGTGCGCCTGGACCGAGTTGTGTCGTGCAGAACGGCGAGCACTTGCAGAAGGCTGCGTCTGTTAACCTGCGCGTCCACTGCAGCTCCTCGGCGGCTATGTATGCGACATGCGGGATAATCACAATGCGTTGTTTGATGAGTTTTTTTGCTTTCTTTTTTTCGCTGCTGCATTTCCCGTGTACTGGGGGATTATACTTCTTGTGAATAGGCCCGTTATATCATTGTCGGGCTGCGGTGCGTTACGAGTCCTGTCGTCGCGATACGGAAGGGAACGTCGTCCACAACTTGTAGCACACTCGATAAAGGGAGGCACCAGTCATCTTTTTCTCAAGACACACAGCTTTTTGATACGCGAAGAACCGACAGGACTATGAAGTAAAGAACGTGAGTAAAGGAACTGAAGCCTTAGCGCAAGACAAGTACAGAGCAGCAGCACATCCTGATTCAATGGGTATCGCATCTCGTCAGTACCAACCACCCTTACTGCCATTAACATTCGCAAATTTGTGACACCCTTGACATTGCCAGCACCCTCTGAAGGCGAAGCCATGTGGAGCCGTGTCTAGAAACACCGCCGTCATGCAACCCACCCACAGGCCCAACTCTTCCCTTACCCACTACCATTCGTGTATGTCCGGGTCTCTGATGAAGGATAAGATCGTAAGTCGTGTAGCAGGGTGCATCAAGTGACCTTAGTACTGCTGCTGCTGGCCACCACCCTGGCCACCCTCTTGTCCACCGTAGCCCTGGCCCTGACCACCATATCCGCCGCGCGACTGGTATTGGCCGCCCTGGGGAGGTCCCCAAGATGAGCCGCCTTGCTGGCCGCCGTAGCCTTCTGATTGGAGTTAGATTGTCACTGTGAATCATTTCATGGGCAAAAGTAGTAGCTTACCACGACCTCCTCCGTAGCCTGAGACAATAGTTAGCACTGGAAAACAGCAAGCACTAGATCGAGATGTTACCTCCGCCACCTTGTTGACCTCCATAGCCTCCACGGTATCCACCACCGCCGCCGCCGCCACCGTAGCCGCCGCCTCGTGGCGCGCCGCCGCCAGCACGGTCAGAAGCCTTGTCGACGCGGATCCTACGCCCGTCGAATCTGTGAAAGGTCAGCGCCAATGATCAAGCGTGGACTGCTAAGGCGGGAGGAAGTGGAGGAAACCACCCACTCTTCGTTGTTCAAGGCCTGCATGGCAGCATCGGCCTCAGAGTCGTTCGCATAGCGCACGAAGCCGAAGCCCCTGCTGCGACCGGTATCGCGATCTTTCACGACCACCTTCAGCCATGTTAGCGTTGCTGCACCGGCGTGCGAATGCCATGTGTTACTCACGGCCTCTTCGACCTGACCGAACTCCTCAAACTTCTGGCGCAGAGCCTGGTCGTCGGTGTGCCACGCAAGGCCTCTGTGACGCGTCAGTCGCATTCTCGTTCGGAGCAGCATGTAGGCGGACTTACCCAATGAAAAGTTTCGACATGGCTGGATGACGTCTGGATCGAACACTGAATACGGTCTCAATACAAGCACTCGGAGCTCAGAAGGATGCGCGCGATACAAATGGACTCAGAACAGGCAATGACAGGACTTGTAGAGAGAAGAGAAGAAGAAGAAAGCTGGGAAGGCGGAGGAAGCCATGGCGGCTTCCCATGCAGGCAGTGTGTGTAGCAACGTGACGGAACGAACATTTAGTCTTGTAGCACCAGGCTGAATCGGAGTCGATGGCGCAAGCGATTGGGCTTGGATTGAGAAGAAGGGAGAGAGAAATCGGGGGTGCAAGGTTGTCGCAAAGTGATGGGGGCTGCCGTGGTGGAGGCAGAGATAGTGAAGCGTTGAAGGTTTGGCGGGGCAGGGCGACGCTACGAGTACCTAAGGACTCGACCCCTCCAAGAAGCGAAAGCACGCTAGCCGTCTTGGGTCGCGCAGGATAGCAGACGACCCAGTTTATACACGGCAAAGGGGAGTGATGTGCGGAGTCGGAGCCCAGCCAGTGAATAGACTAGTTGTATTGCATGCAGTCCGGACATGTTGCTCTACAGGGAAGGCAAACCATGGCGCTCGCGGAGGGCCCGTATTGGAGCCGGCGCCTGGCAGCAGTGGCAGGCTTCCAACATTAGGCTGTCCCGTGTCTGCTTTCTCATGCTGGGTACATGCAGCCCTGGTTGGATTATTCGCAACCCCAAGCCCAATTACAGGGCGGCGGCATGGGCCTCTGCAAAAAAAGGGGGAGCCTTTTGGATTTTTTGATAGGTGCACCAGTTTGATAGGTGCACCACAGTGCGGCCACTCGAGTGCTCCCAGTGCCGGCAGCTGCGTCGACGGACTACGATTGGGTTGGCCAAAGACACGCACAGGTTGCGTGCTCGACGGACGAGAGCGACCTTCGGACGCGGCTAGCATGGCGGGCATTGGGTGGAGAAGAGTGGTTCAAAGAAGCTTATTATTATTATCATCAAGGTGCCATCCATCCATCGCCTGCATGTGGGGATTGGCATTTGGGCCGGCGCAGGCCGTCACACACGGGGCTCGTGCGCTAACCATTGCCTACAACTAGAAGACTGGAAGACTGGAAGATGGGAAGACGGCAAGATGGGAAGACTGGGGCTACATGCCACGACTCTCCCATACCATGAATCACATTTGACAAGCCACTCTGCTCTGCTCTGCTCTGCTCTGCTCTGCTCTGCTCCCCTAGACGAACCGCAAACAAACGCCACCTATCAGAGAGGCTCATGTCAGGCCTCCACGCAATTTCATGGCCCCCAAGTTACCGCTTCTCTTCGGCAGCGTGCAGTGCAGAATGAAATGCGCATAATCTCTTCACTTGGTGCCTGGAGGAGCTCCGAGTTACACACAGTATCTAGGTAGAACATGGCCTTTTTGAGGTGCATCTTCCACACCCCAGCGTCCCCCCTCAGCAAATTCCACGAGGGCAAGCTCCCTTCATCGTCACTTCCCTTCTGAACAAACATGTCGACCTCTCCCACCCCACTGTCGCCCTCGCCCCTCCATCATCCCCTCGCAAGACGTCTGCCTCCATGGGTTACACCAACCCAACTTGCATCACGTTCCGGTCCGAATAGTGCTGCCGCTCGCCAACACAATGCTGTACCACAACTAGCGACAGTTTTGGACTGTAAACTATTGGTCAAGTCAAGTCAAGTCAAGTCAAGGAAGGCGAGAGGCTGTTGACGGCTCGCTCGGGGGCCGCCCGCATTACCCGCCTCCTATACACCACACTACGTCGCTTTAGCCCCAGCATGGACATTCGACAATGGCTAGACGAGACCGTGCAATTCCATCTTGATCCAAAGCTGCCCGAGCAATCTGGTTTCGACCCTTCCAACTATCCTGGAAAGCCTGGGCCCGTGTCCAGAGGAAGACATGGGCGAAAGCCCAGTAAATCGGACAGCTCACTGCTAGACCCTCCTGCTCTGCGGGAGAAGACGCCGACGAAGAAGAAGCGAAGACCCCCTACCGAGAACAGTACAGACCAAAGTGCCGAGAGCGACGCACTTCATGCCACACACACTGTATCCCCGGGGAGTAGCATATCGAGCCAGCGATATGCACGAAGGCCTCGCCGGAAGACGCGCCCGGAGCGCTATGAGCCCTCATCAAAGGCTGTCGAGGAGCGGGGAAAGCATGCATATCGAGGCCGCAACGGCGAATCAACGAGGTCGCGGCACAAGTCCAAGCGCAAGAAGGGTGAGAAGCCATGCAGCGGGATAGTGCAAAGCTTCCATGCCAAGAACGTGTCTGGGGATCGGCTGACTGTAAGAGCTGCCATCACTGCAGTGGCCTACAAGTGGACTGATGATTGGTGTAGTTGAAGCCTCGGGAGCAGCTCGGCCTTTTCAACAAGGGGAAGACATCGATGGCGGTCAAGGGTCGTGGTTGTATGCTTCTCCTTGTGCGTTACCTCGTGTTGATCAGCCCACAATTGATACGCTTGCAGTGCCGGATCTAGTCTTCTCAGAGATGAAGTTCTTGCAGCAACACAAAGACCAACCGGAGCCCACCCCTCAGGCAGGGGTCCTTGAGAAGAGGCGCAAGAGTGATCACGCACACATGAAGGAGGGAGAAATTTCCGCCTTCTTCACCTCTGTGCGTCCAGCGCTGGCAGAAAGAGATGACAATACCCAGATGAATGGGGGTCGCCACTCTCTTGACACACCACTCGAGGCCAGTCGTCCCGAGCGAGAGCCATCTTTGGTTGGCGACGTCGCTACACCCACGATACCCACGGTCGACATGCCTGATAAGGCATCATATCTGGGATCTGGGGGCAGAGGGTTGCGCCATGAGAGCACAAGTGTCATGTCCTGGTCAGAATCCTCCGCGCCTCGACGGACAAATGGTACCTCGGAAAGGTTTGTATTGTCCTCAACGGCTCCATCGCTGCACAGAGTGTCTAGATCCCAGTCCTATCCTCAGCATACCTCTTCGCCACGACGAGTAAACCTTGTTGGTCGAGCTGCAAAGTTTCAAAGCACGGATTCTGTTGACTCTCCGTCTTCGATGCCATCTGTCTTACCTGTTCGTGTAAGCGTGGACGCTCAGCAAGTCCGAAATACACCCAGCTCAAAAGCAACCTCTCGTTCAGGTACAAATAGCTTTTCAAACCATAGGCAGCCTGCCGTAAATGGAGAAGAGAATATTGCTGGTGTTGATCCACCAGCATCCTCAGGCTTTGGCAGACTTTTACGACAGTGCAATAGTACAGTTTACGAGAGCCGCCAGATAGTCTCGCCACACAGAAGGCAGACCGTGCGAAACGCCCCGTCATCGTCACCGTTTGTTTACAAAGTAGAAGGACAAACCTCTATGGATCGATGCTATACAAGCCCTCGGGTGCCAACGGTGCGCTTTGCGGGTATAGAGAGTCGGGCGCCGCCGTTAGCGAGCTTCGCTGGTCCCAGCATTTACGAACAACAAGCGCAGCGACTGCAGCGTACTGAGGAGAGGAACTTGCTGGATGATTTTGATGTCATCGAGCAGGACTACCTGGACGGAGATGGTGATATGGGATATGCCAATCAGAGCTGGGAGGGACTACCAGAAGAGCCCAGATGCCATGAAGGAGTGGTGTCGGAAGGCGCTGAAAGACATTTGGTGCTAGGTAATACTGTAGTCGCGCCAGGATTTTGGCGACCGAATCGATTGTATTGACGTTGTTGACATGGTCAAAGGGGTGGTGGCACGTCAGACGTATACAAAGTCCGTGCGCAGGAAGTTGGAGCTGGACAAATCCGCTCCGCTCCGCAGTGAAGTGTCTGTCGGTCGCACTCTTGATTCTTCGTGTGCCTCGGTTCTGGGCTGGTCTCGCAAGAAGAGCGTAGCCGGTTGCTTTTCTCTAGCGATAAATACCATCTGCATGCCCGTCCATCGAGTGCTGCGGCTCTACCCAGCTGTCCGAGTAGCTGCTCCCCGTCTCCGTCCCACGTCCCCTTTCGCTTTTCCGACGCCTGTCCCATGCAGACAGTCGGCGGCAACGCTCGTCACCGTGGCGCCCCTCACCCCGCCGCCGGCCCCCACCTGCACTAAGAAAATCAACCATCGACTTGGCCTAATCAAAGCACACCTACACACCACACCAACAGCCTCCTCTTCCCCACTAACACAGCCAGAAGACACTGACAAGAGCACGCACACCATGTCTTACACCATCCGCAAGATCGGCGCGCCCAACACGCTCGAGCACCGCATCTTCATCGAGAAGGACGGCCAGCTCGTCTCGCCATGGCACGACATCCCCCTCTACGCCAATGAGCAGCAGACGGTGCTCAACATGGTCGTCGAGGTGCCCCGCTGGACCAACGCGAAGATGGAGGTGCGTGCCCCTCCATTGGCCCAGCCTAGCCCAAGACATGACTGACCAGCTGTCCACCACAGATCTCCAAGGAGGAGACGCTCAACCCCATCAAGCAGGACATCAAGAAGGGCAAGCTCCGCTTCGTGAGAAACTGCTTCCCCCACAAGGGCTACCTCTGGAACTACGGTGCCTTCCCTCAGGTGCGATGATGCGAGCCCGATATCCGACGGCAGAACACATACTGATTGCTTTTGGCAGACGTGGGAGGACCCCAATGTTGTCCACCAGGAGACCAAGGCCAAGGGCGACAATGACCCATTGGACGTCTGCGAGATTGGCGAGCTCGTCGCCAAGCCCGGCGAGGTCATCCAGGTCAAGGTCCTCGGCGTCATGGCTCTGCTTGACGAGGGCGAGACCGACTGGAAGATCATAGTCATCAACGTGAACGACCCCTTGGCCCCCAAGCTCAACGATGTCGAGGACGTCGAGCGCCATCTGCCTGGTCTCCTACGAGCCACCAACGAGTGGTTCCGTATCTACAAGATCCCAGACGGCAAGCCTGAGAACCAGTTCGCCTTCTCTGGCGAGTGCAAAAACAAAAAGTACGCCATGGACATTGTCCGCGAGTGCGCCGAGGCCTGGGAGAAGCTTGCCACTGGCAAGACCCCCAAGGAGGATCTGTCTCTGTATGTTCTTCGACCTAGTATTGCCTTGAATGACTCCAGCTGACAGCTCTTCGCAGGACCAACACCACCGTGTCGCACTCTCCTGACCGCGCCGACGCCAACCAGCTCAACATCCCCCATGGCGAGAACAAGAGCCCAGCTCTGATTGATCCCAGCATCGACAAGTGGTTCTACATCTCCGGCGCTCCTTCCAACTAGGTGTGGGCAAAAAGGCAGAGACGCAGATGTGACAATTGCACTGGAAACTTGACCGAAAGTGTGGAGACTGGGCATTGCGAAGGAGCCGTACAGTCCAGCTCATAGCATCACTTGGTTTGATAGATGAATCATATGCATGCTAAAACGCCCCTCGATGGCAGAGGTGACATACGTTCATCGAGTAACAGTCTTCATTTCCATATTTTTACTTCAAACCCCGAGTGATGCCGTAACGCCGAGTGATGCTCCTGATATACACGTTTGTACATGATCTTTAGTATAGTGGTATCTCGGCCTCTTCCATCAATTGCCCGTCAGCTCCTCCTTGCGCGCCAGTGACCGCGAATGTCGATCCACCTCTTCCACGACTTGGGTTATCCGCATAGTGCTCAGATCGAGTTGCATCTCCTTGCCGTCCTCTGTGGACTCCCGTTAGTACATTTACTAGCTAGATAGGCTGTGGTGGTAACATACTGAACTTCAAGCCCAGACTCGCAGGCTCTTTGCTACTCCGCGGCAGCATCTTGGATTCAATCTTCATTCCGTCTGCGCGCGCATTGGGCGGTATTAGAGAGAGGAATAGGCGTGCGGGCTTGGAGCGCAGGCTGAAGGGGTTGAATGTGAGGCGGACGTCGGTCAAGAATCGGGTTATCATAATGACTGCAGTACGGCGGAGGACCGAGGTTGTTGAGGAGCTTGCAAGGAATGTCAGCAGAATAAGGATCTGGGGAGCGCTCAATACATACTGATAGTCGGGCTGCGGGGGAGTGCTGGCGCAATTGATGTTCTTCTCTACTCTTTACGGTTTCGCTCGTTCACCGGCACAGTCGCAAGGCCCGTGCTGTCCACCGCTTTTCTCGCGCAACGTGGCACAACAGCCATCCGTACTCGCCCGCCGCGCCTCTGCTTCTACAGCCCACCGTAGCATCTTCCGTCATAGCACCTGCATGCTTCGACCACCTATTCCGCACTCGTTTCCGAATACAATGCCGCCCCTCCTCTCCACCACGCAGACCCTCACGACCCGCCTAAACTCACTCTCGGAGAATAACAAGGCCGTTGGCCATCTCATACAGAGACTTGCGAAATTAGACTTCCAGCCGGGATCACAACCAGTCAACGGTCCCGAGGAGGGAGATGTGCGACTGGAACTGAGTGCAGAGATCCACGAGAGCCTGAAGAGCATTGAAGAAGAGCTTGAACTCCTCAGGCAAGAGGTTGAGGACATCACACATCAAGGAGCAAGTTTTGGCCGGAGAAGGGATAGCACAAGAGAGAGTGAGAGGAGTAGGCTTGCAGTCCTACTAGCGAGGTTGACAGAGGATCTGCGATCGTAAGTGCCTTTATCTTGTCCGTCAAGACGAAGACGAGCATGCTAACTATGTACGCCTTGTAGATCACGGTCACAGTACCGCAAAGCACAACTAACCGCCAAACACAACGCAGACCGCGCAAAACTCAAGGAACGTGAACTCCTCTTCTCAAATCTACAATCCGGCTCGTCGACCCCATCCTCCACCTATCGCCAGCGGAAACAGCAACAAGGGCTCTCGGAAGGCGAAGTCGTCACCCAGGCCTCCTCGGACGTCACCTCCGCCCTGCGCCGAACCCATCAATTGATGCAAAACGAGCTTTCGCGCTCACGATTCGCTCAAGAGACACTAGAACAGAGTACAGCTGCGCTTGCGGAGCTGGGAGAGAAGTACTCGGATTTGAACAGTCTGCTGGCCAGTAGCAAGACTCTAGTGACTACACTGTTGAAGAGCACGAAGAGCGATACGTGGTATCTCGAAACTACATTTTACGTCCTGATTACGACTGTCATCTGGCTTGTTTTCCGTCGGTGGCTGTACGGTCCACTGAGTTGGTTCGTCTTCTGGCCTCTGAGGCTAGCGTTCCGCGTTCTGTTCGCCATCATCCCGGTAGGCACCGCGTCATCAGCCGCAAAGTCGAGTCTCGCAGCCTCCTCTCAGCCGTCATCCAGCCTTATTGTCAAACCTAGCGCAACGGGTGAATTCCCAACGCGAAATCCCAACGCCCAACAACCCTACATTCGCGTTGGCGGTGGAGGTCGAGGATACATGCACGCTCAAGCTCCCGATCCTAGTCCTATAAACTCTTACTCGCAACAAGTCGGCCAAATGGCAGAACAGAATCAGCAGCCCCAAGGGACTGAATTGCCTGATCACCCACAGCTGAGGGAACAGCCTCAGCAGCAGCAGGAAGAAAAGGGGCCAGTAACAAGAGGTGATGGTACGGTGTTGAAGGAGAGTGACAAGCCAAGGAATCCCAAGAAGAAGATGTGGGAGGAGAATGTGGAGAGGGAGAAGTATGAACAAGCACAAGCCGCGCAGCAAGGGGAAGTAGCTGGGGAACAGGGTGAGGGAGGCCGGCGGGAAAGGGATGAGTTGTGAAGTCTTGATTGTATGAATGAGGTATGCGATAGTGTTCCAGCATGAAAATCCATGACCTATGACGCCGCCTAGTCTCTTCAACCTCGTCCCTTTCTCCAAGCATGCATCATTCCTTGTTCGAAAGAGCTCTCTAATTTCTCAAAATCACCTTCACCAAAGTCCTCTTTTACGAACTAGGGACAAGCAAGTGACAAAGTAGACCAGAACGGTAGAGTGATATGATACGAGCAACGAACACTAATATTAGGGGTATCAAGAAGATGAAATACAGCATGGCTATATTAAAATCAGGAGCGCTACGCTCCGCACATTGCAAACGATTACAAAAAAAAGGGGGAGGAAACACGTATTTGAAGCCTGATTTACTCACCCATGATGATACTCATTGTCGTCTTCACTATCATCCTGCACCTCGAGGCTATCCTCAATCTCCTCGTTGAGTAAAAGGCCCATGTCATACGTCTTCTCTCGAATCTCCTCTGCCTCTTCACGGTCCACGGTGCAATCTTCCATGATGAGCAGGATGGCTACTTCAGGGACGAGCACGGCTTGAACAAAAGCCGCGGGTCCAGATGCCTGCACGACCGAGTCTCTGCAGGTTTTGATCTCGTTCTTGAGCACCTTCATTACATTCTCTGTGATGATGCGTCGTCCATGGGGGCCGTAATAGCCGGGGTAGGTGGCCTTGTCGTCAAGCGCGTACGAGTCCAGTTCGTCTTGGACCTCCTGGGGGAGATCTTTGCGGCGGGAAGGCACCGCCGCTGCTTTTCCGGTTAAAGCGAGGGGCTCGTAGCGCTCTCTGTATCTGCTTGGCCGCTTGTTGTTGAGCACTTTGTATAGGTCCTGTCTGTGGGCTTTTATGCGCTGCGGCAATGCATCCCATTCAATCTCTGGGTATCCTTCTCCTCGGTATTCCTCCTGTGCAGACTTCCTCCTATGTCTAGTACAGTATGCCGTGTGGTTCTTGACAGTCTTGTCCCTGCCTTTCCAGAACTCCCAGTAGTCTTCCAATTCCACTAGTTCTTTACACAATGAACATCGTGTACCTTCTGCCTCGTCCTGGGGAAGCTGCTCGATGTATTCCTTGATGTTGTCGAGGGCTTCCTGCGGAGCGCTTGACTCGAGTTGCGAGGACGGCGGCGCCTGGTCTTGCACCCAGTCGCCGAGCTGATAGAGAATTCGGGTGGGCTTCGATGGCTCGTCCAAGATGTTCTTCAGTTCCTCATCGTCCAATGGGGCGAGCGTAGATTTTCCATCTTTGTCTTGAGGGCCTGTCTTCTTGACCTCCTTTGTGCGCAATTCTGGATCCTCAACTTTCGTAGGAATTGAAACAAGTATTCTATCTAGCTCATCATTGCTCATCATGGATACGTCCGATACATCATCCTCCTCTTGCGGTTGCGTCCGGTTCTTCCGCGTATAGCTTGTTTTCCCTTTAGCTCTCGGCACGTTCTTCGATGGCCCTGTACCGAACTTCTTTGCGGGCGGTGCATGTATGTTCGCGCGGGAAGAAGCTCCCCTTGCGTTTGCTCCATATTGCGTCTTCTGCTTCTTTGGCGATGGTAGCCTGAATTCTTCAGCAAAACCCCACCCTTGGTCTTCCGATGCTTCAACCGAAGACTGTGTAGATGTTGCATTCTCCTTATCATCCTCGACGCCCTTCGTTGCTTTGTCGGCCTTTCCACTCTGATACGATCCTTTGGCGGGGGCCCGTATCGGTGGCGCCTTCCTACTGGACTTTCTCTGCGGCTGCTTCAACTCGGCATCCACTTTCTTTATTGGAACCGCTATCTTACGCCTCGAGGATGGGGACGGTCGGGGTGGGGGTTGCTGCAATTCGTCGTCGGTCGAGAGAGGTTCGGCATTGATCAATTGTTCCTCCTTTTCTTCTTCTTCTTCTTCTTCTTCTTTTCTCTTTTTGGCCTTTTCATTGGTGTCCGGCCTTCCCTTGTACGCCGGTTCCTCATGGTCCTTGTCACTTGCATGCCGCTTCCCACCAACCATCCGCAGCAGCGGAGGGGCGCCCTTCCTTGTCAACCCTGTGGCCATTGTCGCGCACAACTTGCATATGAAATGCCTCGAGTGGGATGCGAATCACCTGATGGCAAGAGAAAACCCGTCGTGAAGGTATAAAGAAGCCGACCTAGATAGTCTCAAGGCTGAATGAGACGCCCGGGCACGCGCTGACCCTCGACGCGAACCTAGCACGGGGCCAGCGGTCGGATCTCGCGCTAGCAAAGTTAATCGATAAGCTACCAAAAAAAGTATCTCCAACCACCATAGAACGTCTCGCTAGGCACCTCCAACACCACACTTTTACCTACTCACAATGGCCGCCGACGAATCATTGCAAGCGCCTCTCAACTTCACCGGCCACCGCCAACTCATCTCGCGCCTCCTCCTCGCAACACTCACAGGCCGACCTGTTCGCATCTCGCAAATCCGCTCCTCGTCGACCAACCCAGGCCTCACCCGCCATGAAACCAATTTCATACGCCTCCTCGACGCTGTAACAAATGGCTCGCAAGTCCAATTCAGCATGACAGGTACCACGCTTGTATACCGCCCCGGCCTAATCACAGGCTCAGCCGAAGGCCTGGGCGCAAGTGGAGGCGTAATACGGCACGAGATACCAGCCGAGTGCAGGAGAAGAGGCGTGAGCTGGTGGCTTGTGCCGTTGTGCATACTGGCGCCATTCAGCAAAGGAAACATGAACGTCATTTTCCACGGCGAAGGCTGCGTAACGTCGTCCACACTCAGCGGCGACATGAGCGCAGACACTGTCCGAACGGCGATTCTACCCTTGTACAAGAACTTCGGTATCGAGCGAAACATTGAACTCCGCATCCTCAAGCGCTCGTGTGCGCCTGCAGGAGGCAAAGGAGCAGGTGGCGAAGTACAACTCGTATTCAACCACCAAGTCCGCCTGCCGAAGACACTGCACTTGTTGAACCCCGGGCGGGTGAAGAAAATCAGAGGTGTAGCGTACTGTGTCGAGGTGCCAAAGTCTAACAATGAGCGCATGATTTTTGAAGCGCGTGGTATATTAAACAAATTCGTGCCGGATACATACATCTTCTCCGATGCATCGCCTGCTCCCCTCATCCCCACAACCGTCAAAGGCCACCCTTCCGGCAAAGTCAAGGGAGCCGTGGGGTTTGGACTAAGTCTTGTAGCAGAAACGAGCACGGGATGCATATATTCGGCCGACGTGTGCTCACCACCCGATGGCGGCGTCCCGGCTGATGAAATTGGCAAGCAGTGCGCCTACCAACTGCTCGAAAAAATATCACAGGCAGGATGTGTCGAGAGCGTAGCGGCGCCGACGGTGTTGATGCTCATGGCCATGGGAAGTGAAGATGTGGGACGTCTGGCGTTGGGCAGAGACGTTCTGGCGAATGAGGAGATTATACAATTAGCAAGGGATTCAAAAGTTTTCGGTGGGAGTGGATGGGGGTTCCGCGAGAATGGAGGTGAAAACGAAAGAGGGGAGATTGTGGTTAGTGTGGTTGGGAGAGGAGTCGGTAATGTGGGACGAAAGGTCGCATAATAGGCTAGCTTTATGCTGGTGAGGTCAAAGGTCTGCGTGGACAATATGATACCCATTTTCCAATCGCATGTCCATGTGCCATGCCGCAAAAAAAAAAAAAAAAATACGCCGCCCAATGATTCATGTACAAAGGAACAAACCCTACAGCTGCAGAGTGTCCTACTGTCTCTTGCCAGCAGAGCTTCCGCTGCTGTTCTCCGCATCGGATCCCTCTTCCTGGTACTTTTCGTTATACTGCTGCTCTCTATCCCGATACGGGCCCTCATCTCCTTCCTCATCACTCAACAGATCCTCATCCGACTCTCCAGCAAACGCATCATAGAGCTCTCCACCGCGCTTTGCCCTCTTTTTCCTGCCACCTGCCGCCGCCCCCAACATGCCAGTGTCTTCTCTGTCCTCGTCACCATCCAACACTTCGAATTCATATGCATCTCGGCTATTGCTTAGTCGTTTGCGTCTCGCAATGAACAAGTAGGTGCCGAGACCGGCGATGAAAGCAATGATGAGAGCGAGAGCACCGTAGATCCAGATTTGGGTGTGTTTAGACACGCCGAATGAGGGGAAGGGATTGGGCAAAAAGTTCTCCGATGGTGCTGCAGTCGCGGATGCGGTCGCTGTCGACGAGACAGTTGCCGTCGTAACCGCTGTCTGTTCCGCCTCATTAACCGGAGTAGAAGGCTTTTGGTTCACTGGGCGATCGGGATGGTCATCGGGGAGAGAAGTCATGGTTGGCACGGTACTAGTGGGTATCGTCACACTAGTTATATGTGCGGGATGGTCGTCGATCTTATCATGGTCGTCATCGTCATGTTCTGTAGGAATGGGAAGAAGCTTGGCTTTGGATGCGTCGATGCTCTCGCCCCAGAGACGGAGCTTCCAATCCGTAAAGACGCCCGTCTTCTGGTTACCGGGATGCACATCCTTGACGACGACAGTCCAGTTGCCGATGCCGGCTTCGCCCCAGTGCGCAACAGACATGAAGGTCCAATCAATGTAGCCATAGGGGGCGTCGTCGTCACGGCGAGCAGTGGAAAGATGCGATGACATGCCGGCGGGAGAGATGAGTTCGACGACGAGGTCTCCACGGCGTTGGTGCTCTACATTCATAGTCAGGGTAATGTGCTCGACGCGCTCAAAGTTGGCGTCCTTGAGCATGTCTGCTGTGACCTCGAACACGCTGGCTATGCCTTGGCCGGCTTCTGGAATCGCCTTCTTGACGTGCATCCAGGGTGAGTAGAACCAGGCTTGAGGCTTGACGAGCTTCCAGTCCTTTGCTTTTTCGACGATAGCCCAGGCATCGAGTTTGCCATATCCGAACTGATGGCTGTACATGCGGTCTAGAGACGTCTTTTTCCAGTCGCTGGGCTGGTCGAAAGGCACCGCCGTCAAAACGGTGAGCCACTGAACGTCGCGCCATGTCAGGTCAGGACGGGCCTGCAATACCAGCGCATACACTCCCACACCAATGGGCCCTGCGGCAGATGTACCACCATGCTGGCCCGTACACTTGTTCGCGCCCAGGTCCGTTGTATGGATAGCGTCGCCACCGCCACTGCTGTAAGTTACCACTAGCTGGGCCGAACACGCCTCGGAGTAATACGGGTGCTCGTTGTTCTTATCGATGGCGCCAACGGTGATGCTGTAGATGCTGTTGGTGTATCCGTCAAAGTTGCAGTTGTCGTCGCTCGCTGCGCCGTTGCCAGCTGCGAAGACGTAAATGGAGCCCTTGCCGTCGCGCCCTTGTTGGACAGCCGTGACCATTGCCTTTTCAATAAGGATTCCGGGGGCCTGCATAGTCTTGCCATCATCGGGAGGACCCCACGAGCACGAATAGATGTGGTTCTGCTGCATCTCGTAATTGATGGCTAGCGCCTCGTCGAGGTCTGTAATGTCGCCTGATAGAATGCGTACGCCAGATATCTTTGCATCGTAGGCCAGACCCACACCACAGGCATCGTTCCTTCCTGCAGCGATTTCTCCAGCGCATCGTGTGCCGTGCTGGTCGTCGGAGAGTTTCGGGGTAGGCAGGTCTTCGTGATCGTTGTAGTCGTGCGAGCCCGCGGCGAAGAAGTTGTCCTTTAGGTCAGCGCTGTCATAGTCTAGGCCGTCGTCGACGACGCATGCCGTGACGCCTTTGCCCGTGATGCCCTGCATCCACACATCGGTGACATTGATGTCGTTGCCAGGTGTCTTGACGTTGAATATGTGCCACTGCTCCTCGAAAATGGGGTCGTGGATCTGCAGCTTGCTGGCAACTTCACGCTGCTGCTTTATAGCTTCCGTGACGGCTGGGCCAGCGCGGTCCTGCCGCGGGGGTATTGTGCTGCGCTTCCAATGCCGGGGCTTGATCTTCTGCTTCTGGGTGAAGCGTACGCTGTCGAGGGGGTGGTACCCGGGCCCGACCAAGCGCTTCCGCCGCCGCCTCTTGAGCTCTTGCCTTGCCTCGTCTACGATGTCGTTTTGGTGTTTCGGGGCCTTGAAGACGTGGTGGTGGTCGAGCGAGGCCAGGGGGCCCTCGTATGTCAGCCCGAGATGCGCCGCAAGCTCCGAGGGCGATGTCGACGGGGACATGTGTACGGCATAGTAGTCGTGGGTCGAGTAGTTGCGAGGCGGCAGGTGGTTGCCCGCGGCAGCCAGCGTCGCTGCTGACAGCAGGCTCCAGAGGTGGAGGATGCGCATGGCGACGGGGGCCGTGAGGGTAGGTGTTATAAGCAGCGGACTGCGGTCATGTATCGTAGCAGCGTTTCCGAAGCGAAAGGCGGTTCTTGTAGAGTCAAGTCAAGGCCAGAGGGTGAAGATGTCGCGATGTCGGGTGGTGTTGTTTGTGTGCAGACGTGTGGTCGCGTGAAAGGGTATTGAGCCTTATTGAGAGTGAGCAAGGAGATGGATTACGACGACAAGGGCAGGGGACAAGAGGCGCTCGAGCAGGATGCGTAATGCCCGAAAGATGCGGCCGGAATGATGCACAAGCTGGCAAGTAGGAATGATAAAGGGACCGTGAGCGAAGGCGTGAGATGTCTTGGGGCGTGGGTGGGTGGATGATAGCAGGGTCTTTTCTCTCTATGGACTGGGCATGTCCGAGACGCCAACTCCATTCGGGAAGAGGACTTGGTGTCCACTCTCTCTCTCTACGCCTGGCAGAATAGACGGGCGGTGTACCAAAGTAGTACAGTAAGTAGCTTGGTCGACGCCATCATCCCAGCCCCCCATCCAAACCCGCCCGCCTTCTCATTATAATGAGTCGATGCGTTGGCTGGCCATGGAATATCATCAGCTACTCCCCTGCGCACCTCTACCTGCACTTCCCTCCTCCCCCATCTATCTAATCTCCCTTGTACATAACATAAGTCGCCATTCGTGTCTATCGCCCGCCATCACCTCCGCATCTCCGCACCCGACATAGCCTATCCTTAGGTAGTAGCTACCTCGAATTACACCAATTGAATCCCTCTCTAAGCATCTGATGTGACAGTGTAACCTACCCACATAGACCGACTGCATCCACGACGCCTCCCGTCTTGCACGAAAAGGTGACGCGACCGTGATAGGTCCCGCTTGACCCTCCACCACTACCTCCACCACCTCCACCAACACCAGCCCTATGAGCTCGTCGCAACATGGAAAACAATAGGGCCAGCGGCTCCTCGCGGGCTGTCAACCCCATCCTCCAGAAACTCCCCGACCACTATCCTCAGAAGCGCACCTCCTACCGCCGTCCCATGGATGCCCAACCCCAACCCGCCATGTCCAACACTGTCCCCAGCAATACTGCGCGGCCCGTCGCAGCCGCTCCTACGGCAAATGGCGTCTCCCGAGCCTCTTCCCATAGACGGCGACAGAGCCAGCAGATTCCTCCCCCGACTACAGGCGCAATGAGCGAATCCGTCCCCGCAGCTCCAGACGTCCCCCGCGCACCCCCCATGTCGTACAAAGATCCATATGCGCAAAGGCAGAGCTCCAGGGGACCGCCGCGCTCGAGTTCTGGCAGGTCCCGCGATCCGGCCATCCAGCTGAACCCCAGCAGACAGCAAGCCACCATTCAAACAGCCGCCGACAGACTGTATGACCTACGATCACCTCCATATGCGCCAGTCGAGCCAATGGCTGGGACCATCGAACGGCACAACTCGCAGCGCAAACCCTCTGTGCCCGACCGATCTCCGCTCCAGAAACTCGAGGGGAAGCTGGATGACATAAGTAAAGAGGAGAGAAGAGCGAGGATGCTCGAAGCCGAATTGGCCGCGCAAGAAAAGGCTGAAGCGGACATGCGAGCACGTCGCGCGCGCGATGCTGCAGAAAGGCAGCAACGAGTGGTATCTCAGCCTTCCCGAAGAGCAGAGCAAGCCACCAGCGCCCCCAATCGGACGGCTAGCTCCAAGCGCCACGTCTCAATGCCAATGCCACACAAGCCTCCCCAAATCAGTGACATGGAGTCTGATGACGGCTTTGTCTATGATCTCAGTGAGCCATGGGATCCTTCCACTGGCCAAGGGGCAGCAGATCCAGCGCCTCAACGTGCACCGTCACAGAAACAACCACGCCTAGCTTCGAGCTACCAGCAAGCGCCACATACTGACGCTGGTATCCCGCGGAGTACCAGCCTAAAGGGAAAAGAACCAGTAGGGGTCTCACGAGGCGCTGGCAGCTTCCGTGATCGAAGCACAGCACCTACTGCGCAGAGTGTTCATAGGAAGCCAATTGCTTCACCCACCGGTCTCGGTTTAGTCGGTGTAGACGATACGTCCGCGGGAGCTGAAATGAACCGCTCCGACAGTCGAAGAGTTGGACAAGGGAGAAGAGACAGTAGAGGGATCATAGCTGCGCAGATGGAAATGCAACAGCAACAAATCGATCAAAAAGGAAATACACGAGACATTGATACCCACCTCCTACATCCTCACGACCCGCCTGCAGTCCCAACCAACCGTAAGAGCGTGGGCTTCTCCGAACCTGAGACGGGTTTGCAGCCTCGAGCATCACAAGAGTCTCATAGCCATCACCATTTCGGACACCATGATCAACCGGAGCGAACCTACATAGCACCACCTGCACTAGAGGAGTGGAAAGGTGCGCCGGTTGGCGGTCTCACCATCGAAGATCTCGACTTGGACGCCCCAGTCAGTGCCAACAGTGGCAATAAAGCATGGTGGGAAGAAAGTCAGTCTTCCCGCCGAAGACGTTCTGGCGGTCATGTAGAGCCCACGTACGATGGCTATGCAGATGAACCTCCTGTGCCGACTACATTCACTCCCCAGTTGTATCTGAAGTGTGGACCACTCCTGCGCTATACTGGTCTTCGTCGGGATCGTAGCAGAGCAGGCAAGGAGCGAGAGATCTGGCGAGGTAGCGTGATGATTGTCACTCTTGATGCACAGTCCTCGTACTCGAAGCCGCCCACACTGCGACTGTTCAAGCAGCCCATGGACATCCTACCACCACCACCCCTCGAGGTTGACGGTGATCAACTCGATCCTTCGTATGTTGATCCCGTTGAAGGCCAGAGTAAAGTCTCGCGCACTGGCAAGACGCTGTACGTCAAGCCTGTCCATGAGCTCGCCGAGAATGAAGACTTGTCACGCTTGGAGGATGACACTGGTCTGTTCGCAACAAGTCGAAGTTCATCCAATGGATCGGCTATTAAGTCTACCCGTGTCCACAAAAAGGACGGCGAGAAGCTTGGTAAAGTGCGCGATATTCCTGGCATTCGTCTCTACGCGGAACGGGGTGTTACCTTTTGGCGCTTTAACATCGAAGTTGAACTCGGAAGCAGCCAAACACGCATCGCGTACAAGATCAATCGCGGCCCTGCTGTAGGATTCTGGGTTCCAGCCAAGGGCGAATCCATGAACATCATGTTCCACAGTTGCAACGGCTTTTCCTTGAGCGTCGAATCAAAGGAGTTCTGTGGACCAGATCCAATGTGGCGGGACGTCTTGAACACTCACCAGACTCGCCCATTCCATGTGATGATTGGTGGGGGTGACCAAATCTACAACGACGCAGCAATGAGGCAGACCACGCTTTTCAGGCAGTGGACTGAGAGCAGGAACCCTCTACAAAAGCACAATGCACCGTTTTCCGAGGAGATGCAGAACGAGCTGGAGCAATTTTACCTGGACCGGTACTCCATGTGGTTTTCGCAAGGTCTATTTGGCATGGCAAACTCCCAGATCCCAATGGTGAACATCTGGGACGATCATGATATTATTGACGTAAGTCGGCTATCGCATTTTAGTTAAGAATTGTCGGCTAACTTTAGTAGGGTTTTGGTTCGTACCCACACCATTTCATGCAAACGCCAGTCTTCACTGGTATTGGCGCTGTTGCCTTCAAGTACTACATGCTCTTCCAACATCAATCTGTGGCCGCTGAAACCGAAAAGACCGAACCGTCATGGGTACTCGGAAAGAACCCAGGTCCATACATCAAAGAGCGTTCACGAAGTGTGTTCATGCATCTTGGCCGCCAGGTAGCCTTTCTAGGTCTTGACTGTCGTACAGAAAGACAGCGTGACGAGATCATTACGGAAGATTCCTACGACATTGTCTTCGATCGGTTGGAAGATGAGATCATCAAGGGTGAGACCAAGCATTTGATCGTCCTCCTAGGGGTACCCATCGCCTACCCCCGGTTGAACTTCCTGGAGAACATATTGACCAGCAGACTGATGGATCCTATCAAGGCTCTCGGACGTACCGGGCTACTTGGCAACTTCGTAAACAAGTTTGATGGCGGCGTGGAACTCTTAGATGACCTAGATGATCACTGGACAGCCAAGCATCACAAAGAGGAGCGTAATTGGTTCGTCCGTGAACTGCAACATATCGCTTCGACCAAGTCCGTTCGTATAACCATTCTTGGAGGCGATGTTCATCTTGCGGCTGTAGGTCAATTCTACACTAACAAGAAGCTCAACATTCCAAAGGACAAGGACCATAGATACATGCCCAATGTTGTGTCATCAGCTATTGTCAACACGCCGCCTCCTGATATGATGGCAGATATCATCAACAAACGGAACAAGGTGCATCATCTTGACCCATACACAGATGAGGACATGATACCTATCTTCACTCATGACGTAAACGGAAAGAAGAGGAACAATACTCATTTGCTACCACACAGAAACTGGTGCAGCATACGAGAATACAAACCAGGATACTCTCCGCCGACCACACCATCCCCACCCACAACTCCACAAGGTGGCCCGCAGCTCTCGAGGACACTTTCAGACTACGCACCTGGACAGATGGTGAGGCGGTTCAGCGGGAATCCGACAAGACCCTCAGCACGGAGTCGAGGGCCGCCCCTCTCGTATTATAACAACCCCGCCAATGCTGCTGCCGACGAGGAACAGACTGGTACTCGCAATCAGCCGCAATCCTCATTTTCACCTGACCGGTCTGAGCCCGAAAGACCTCGCTCGCGCCGCAACTCTTTGTCGTCACTGTTCCGTCGCCGTCCATCAGTCGACGACGCACGCCTGGACTCTTCTCGGAGCTTGTCGCCACCTCGAAATCGCGACATCGTCTCCCAGGATCGACCGTCCAACTTCCATCGTCGACCTAGTATACTAGGCAAGAAGGGCTTGCAGCAGCATAGCGAGTTCATCAACCTTGAAGGGGGCCTTGACATCTGTCTTAACCTAGAAGTCTCACAACACGACCCAGCGGGCATTACAACACCATACCGACTTCTCGTGCCAGCTCTCCATTATACAGAGCCCGAGCCCGGTGCTCTCGAGACGGAACGTCGCAAGTCTCGTGGCATGTTTGGGGTCTTTGGTGGCGGTGCGAAACACAAGTCTAAGATCGGCGATGACGGATACTCAATGTCGGGCAGTGAGAGTGGCAGTGAGCTGGGGGAGATCTCTGCGGACGACGAAGAGGAGCGCACCCGTCAAAGGTACAAAGTCGGACCCAGAATCCTCATCCCAGGTTTCGGATCGCGAAACAAGCGCAACTCTGCCTCCGCTCGAGCTCCCCCTACTGAGAACCGGCTGAGCTCTGGCTACCATACTAACTCGTATGAAGCTCCTCCGCGTGCAGATCTAGAGCAGACAGACGGTTCTCGCGGCCTCGCGCCCGTACAAAGTCAGGATCAAGGCCGAAGACAGAGTATAGATGTTCCTACAAATGGATCTAGGGCCTCTGCTTGGGAGTCAGTCGCCGCGAAAAGGCATGTCAGCGCTCCGCAGTATCCAAGCACCACAACGACAACTCAGACCACGACCCAAACTTCAGTGCTTCCATCCCGCTCCGTCTCCACCCGCAAACAACCCACGTATAACTCCTCGCACAAGTCCCAGCTGCCAGCCCCAGCAACCGAGCCGGAGTCGGAGCCGAAAGTGCAGAGACGGGCGATGGGCGGCATCCTAAACCAACACTCTCACGATAAGAAGTGGGAGCATGAGGCGCACGTAATTACTCATACTCCTTCACAGAAGCGATCTAAGCGCGAATCCTACCCTCCTCACCCCGCCATCGTAGGAGCGGGCCCCGGCTCCCCTTACTCGCGAGACGGACCAGTGGGTATGCAAGCCCGCAACGATACATCAGGGGGCGACTACTTCGCGTCTGGGGGTCGCGAGGGCCAAAGCTACCCCTCCAGCGCGCCCACCAGTCGAGCAGGCCAGGCCACAGCGGGCGCTAAACAAACACCCGCTGAAAGGGAATATGCAAAGCCAGTTGAGCGCGCAGAATATGCGCAACGAGGTGGTTATGATCGTACCTCGTCATACCCCAACTATCCTACGCGGAATGGCAATGCTGGTGTTGGGGCTAGATATCTTGGTGACGGACGATACGAGGATGACGATGAGTACGATAGCTTAGATGATGATGGTGATGGGAGGAGTTATAGCGGTAAAGGAGAAGAGCTTAGCCAGGAGAGCTTTGTGGTGCCGAAGAAGAAGAAGAAATGGCAGATTTGGCGCTAAAGGGGGAGTTTAATGAGTTCCTGGAGGGGGTGTTTGATGTAATGAAGTTATGACGATCGGTACATGGACAAGAGAAGGGATGGGATGGAAACAAAGGGGGAGTAATATAATAATAGTGTCAGCGTATAGGCGTACAGTGTTTAGCGGTCAACGTTTAGCAGTCAACGTTTAGCAGTCAGCGGTTTAGCACAGCATATAGGTTTTCATCTTTACCTTTTTTCACTTTTACATAACGAACATACTCAATAGATACCCTCACGAATTCGTACTTGGACTCGTCCCAGAAGCCAGTCTAATATCACAACGCACACAGAACTATTCAAAAACACGAGTAAACTCATAAGGGCAGTGAAAGGGGCCTGCCCAAGAACAAAACAAACCTTGGGAAGTAGCTAGACAATGAGTCACACTCATGCCATCCCCTGCCCCAGTGTGACCATGCAAGACATCTTGCTTGGAGCCAAACAGAGATAAATGTAGGAAAGAACAACATCACATCATCACAGTCTTTCGCACACAACAATGGCGAATGTGTCAATGTGTTACCCTCTAAACAAGGCAAACAAGTTCATAATCTATTCCCTGCACCCATATTGTCTATATCCAATGGGTGGTCTAAGATATCGTAAGCGTTATGTCGTTTCGCTAAAGAGCAAGCATGAATACGTAAAAAATCCCCCACGCGGGCTCCTTTCTATGTCGCGTGTCGCGATATCGCGCCATCCTTGCGCGATTGCCCTCAGAAATCCTCGCCATGTGCGTGTATATATAAACGCCCTTCGTAAATGTAGAACAAAGAACTTGCTCGCTGTAAAAATCAAAGCCTCCACACCACGACGAAGGATGCTTTATCAAATACACCCAGTAAGTCGCTGAAAAAGGCCACCGGCTCGATGCGCCAAAAAAGGAAACAAAGATTTGCTTATGTTGAGTGCGGCGAGTCCCCCGCCGTGTGCGGCCGACTGGGTGGCCTACTATCGTACTGCGACCCATCATTGAAGCCTTCAAAGCTCTCGCCGGACGACATTCTCTGCAGATCACCACCATCATCCATTTCAATGTCTTCCGGGCTGAAGCCTCCCAAGTTGTGCAGATGTTGCGGCGGGTCCATATTCGGAAATGACGAGTATTGTCGTGGAGGTGCTGCGGGGGGTACACCCGCACTACTGATCTGCTCCGCCAGACTTGGTTTCTCCGCGAGGTTGTTCAGCATCGCCCTGCTCGCGTCCAACATCATGACTGCGTAATCGAGGAAATCGGCACGCTTAGAAGAGACGGATAGTGTCCAGCGGTATTCACGGAGCCTGAGCTTATAGAACTCGGCTTCTTCTTTCGCAGGCGCCGTGGCCCAGAGGAGCGACCCGAAGGTGCCGATGAGAGTGAAATTCACCTTGGATGCGAAGTACCAAAAGGCCTGAAGATGCTCGGGCTTAAGGCGGTTTACCAAGTCCATGGCGGAGATGAGACGTGTCTTTGCGGCATTGCGACACATGAAAAGACCGTATGAATCTGGGTCCGTCGAGTCTAGCGACTGCACGATTCGGCGGTGGAGAGTGATCTCCGTCGCGAAGTAGGCAAGATGCAGGTAGCCGGTCGACGTCAGCTTGCCCTTACTAGGCGCATTCATCTTGACTTCCGCAGGCAGTCTCTCATGCCACTGACGTAGCTTGATTTGGACAGGTTTCGCGCGAGCGAGGATCAGCTCTGTCGACTTCCTTCCAGCGTTGGCAAAGTCATGAATGGCTGTCTGAGTGTAGAATGTGTCCATTACTTCCGCCATGATTTGGGTAAGGGCAATCATTTGAGCAAACAGTATCCGCCCCTGGTAAAGTTCTTCTTGCTCATCTTCAGTCTCTTCTTGCCGTGTATCGTAACCATCATCTTCTTCGTTGAAATCCTCTTCAGCAATCGGCTTGACCGCCCAATTTGCACTAAAGATGTGTGAGGGTCGGCCATGAATTAGAGAACTCCACTTATCCTGCATGTAGAGTGCCCATGCAATTCGTTTCCTTAGACCACGTTCCCAAAGAGGAACCGACCATGATGAACAATCAAGATGTAGACCAAGTTCTTGACCTATAGCCACCAGTTGCGTCGTTAAACTCCATGAATCTGCTTCTGGGCGTTGCAACAGCAGTAATCCAGCCTGCACGGTAGATAATTTGGGTCGCTCCATGGCAACAGTGAGCGCCTTCATTGCAATAGTCTCTAGTCGAGCTGCATCCGGCTTGGAATAGTTCGCAAGCTTAGGGTTGAAAGACCACCAATTAAGAGCGAGAATGTACATACCGGCCAAGAGGGCCGGCGAGAAACCTCGATCGCCATTTCGATATCGTTCAACAAACAGGTTCTTCTGAATGACGGGAAAGCTCGGATGTACGACCTGAAAGTACAGATCTAGTAAAGCCGGACCATGTGGATGAACGAGTTGCTCAACCTGATTCAAAGCCTCGGCCTCGCCAGAAAATTCTTGTGTGTTCTCGTCAGGCAACATGATGAAGCATTCATGATCATTCACTCGTCGAAGAGTGCCAAGGTCGAAGGCAGATTCGTTGCGGGTATCGAATTGAGATAGGCCAATGAGTAGGGAGTCGAAAGGGGAACTCAAGCCAATGTATCTGCTGTGTTGACGTCGTTGGAGCCCCAAAGTCTCGCCTAATTGAGGTAGGTGAAGTGTGGCTAGTTGGGACTGCGGCGGCGGAGGACTTGGCGCGGTTGCGGTGATGGTAGGTGTCGACAGTGCCAGTGGCGGTGGCTCTGTATCGACCGATCTGTATCAGTATTAGTTGTTGCCGTCCAAGTCACAGATATAAGACGCGTCGATTGTGTCTCGGAATAGATGAAGTAACGGGAAATAGCAACCCAGGGATGAGACGAGCAAGGCACGGTCACACGTGAGCACGTGATGCTGTGTTGGAACGAAAGCGGCATAGCAGGTGCCAAATGACGAACATGCCCAAGCGAGGTGCGGGATCACGACGTGACGCACAGTAGTGGGAAAAGCCTAAACGTACCTCTTCTTGATATTGTTGGGTGAATCCTTCTTGTCGCCGTCGACGACCTTCCTCTTCCGAGGCAGTGGGCTTTGCACAAAGGTACACTCCTGCTTGTGGAACTCGCACAAGACACACAGCACAGCGCCCTCGTGTATGACACAGCGACTCTTCCTCCTCCTACACGCGTCACAGGGGCGTTCCCTCCGTGAGCGGATATTAGAGACGGGGCCGTTGTTGGAGGTAGGCTTGCCGGCGACCAAGTTCTCTTTGCCAGGTGAGGGCTTTTGGATCTTGCGAGGGCGGGCGGCGGCGATAGGTACAGGTGTCGGGCGTGGCAGCATGGCAGGCTGTATAGCAACGGCGGTCGTCATATCGATATCGGACACGAAAGGTGCACTCGAGATAAGGGCGGGTATCGTAAGAGGGTCGGGTAAGCCTAGTTGCAGCTAGCAGACCGGGTCTATGCTACTGATACAGTAGAGAGCGGGCCGTTGGCTTGGCCCCGCAAGAGAGCTGCAGGAGGTAGAGCAAGCAAGCAAGAGTGTTGCGTTGCACTAGTCACACGACCGGAGTGTAGATATCGGCCCCAATTGGGAATGTGACCAGGGCTTATCGCGTGGGAGTGGTGTTTATGGTCCACTGGGGGGGTTTATTGGGCGGAGGCGGCAAAAGCAAAAGACGAGCGAGTAATGCAGCGGACTGCCAAGAGAGACCCTGATTAGGGCCCTAAGTTGCCGGTCACGGCTGCGAGGAGTATGAGGTGGTTGATAGTTCGTGCCGTCATTGAAGGTCTGCGCAGGGTGACGAGAGCGAGAGCGGGCGGACGCGAGCGGGACAGGGCGGGCAGAAGCTGGGGGGGGAGGGTGGTGATATTGAGATCTAGAACCCTGTGCGGGGAGAGAGCAGGCACATAATCAGGGGTGGGGAGTCGTATGAAGGCGAGATAATGCTGGCCTGGGAGCGTTGCGCGAGTCTTTTGAGGTTTGAGCGCAGCACGCATATGCGAACATGTCCATGGGCGCTCGGGCCTCGACATTACCTGATAGTAATTCTCCATGTAGTTAGTTTTAGTTACGTGATGGCAACCCAAGGCGGCTTAGCGCGCCTGTACGAGTCCGACACGGAAGCGACCACCCAGCCCTGGAGCTGATAAGGAAACCGCTATGGAGCCAATGGGCGGCGCGCCTTCCGCCCTGGGCTCGTTGTCGCGCGTAAAAACATTACCTCTCAGCATCTGCTATCTCTGCCTCGTCTTTGGCCTGCTATCGCTCATCCGCCATTCCAACCAAGCACCGAGTTGCTGTTAGGTACTGATTATCCTACTGAGCATTGGCGCCTGCACGTCACCCACGGAAAGGAGCGCAACTCGCGCCCCCTCAACGCATCATAATCTACCACCTATCGTTCGGTATGCGACCGTTGCGCAAGCCTCTTGTGCCACCGGTCTTCTTAGCGTCTACTGGGGAAATAGCAACTGGTTGCCGTATCATTCTTTGACGCCATTTGGAAAATTTCCCACAAGGATATAGAAGATTATGGTAGGTGTAATAGTCAACCCGCAGCCATCTCGCACGATCTGCAGCCTTGCGATCTCAAAAGCCCTCCGCACGCGTCGCGCGTGGCCTCTCCACACGATCATCTCTCTCCACTCTGCTCGACCCTTGCCTCGCCCTCACCGCTCGCCTTTTCGGCAAGACGCCTCCCGCTCCGAATAGCGGCAATGCGACCCATATGTCCTCCAATCCCAACCACCTAGTACTGCCTTATGTCACATCAGCCGCTGCCGTTGTGCGACGCGACTCAGGGGCTACTAGGCGATTTGGGCAACGTCAGACCTTTCCAAGACGACACATCTCTCGAGCTACCCACGCAATGTACGTAAAACTCGGGCTAGCTCACAATAGCCAGCAACCTCAACCTTGGGTTTCGAGGCCACAGATAGCCGGAAGAACCTAGTCACATTGCTTTATGCCGTTCCCGCTGCGGAAATCTCTCAACAACCAGGGCACTAAGTTGCTAAATGAATTGCACTGTCATTTGGGAGCGCTATCAGAACCTTCCAGACTACCCTTTGACTTATCAGTCTCTTGTAAGTGGACTGAAGATTATTTTTCGACTTGGCTCCTTACGTCCCAAACTTTCGTCGGTGTTGTTACGAAATCTATGCGCTCGGATCGAACATGTGATAGACAGCGGAACATCTAGACTGATGACATAGCCCTTGAAGACCCAACGTCGGGCCGACTTCCATCCGAAACCACTGGGTGGAACGCTGTACCGTAGTATAATGCTCCCACTCCTACATCTAATCCAGCGAATAGATGTCGACTGAGTTTGTCAAGCGAGCTGGTATAGCTCCCACCATCGAGCTATGGAGTATCAGTCCGCCAAAGATACTACCTGGTATTTGCCGGTAAAGGTACTGCGAGTTCTTCGAGAGTAAATCATCGCGTTCGCGCAGATAGATTCGGTTTCGGGTCGACGCGTCCAATCTTCTCCTGTAGAATTTCGGGCATGTGTTGATCACATCCACAGGCATTGATATTGTACCATTACTAGGTTTGGATTTGGCCGAAGAATCGCCCGATGCAGCAACCCGAGGTCCATGGGCAACAAAATCAAACGTAGCTGAGCGAGTGAAAAACGGTGATGACCCGCGCATCTCTTGCACCGACGGCCGATGCAGAGTTTGAATTGAGGCCTTCCGACGCAACCTGGCTGGTTCAATGTGCCGAGGTGGGTCCGTCAGATCCATGAAGTTGGATGGTATATTACATGGGTTTCCTTTCCTCGTCGTCACTCCTGGATCAGTGTTGATTCGACGAGCAGCTATTGTCGGTAGTTCTGTCTGCTGGAAGACGGAAGGCCTGTCCTTTCGGCTAGACTTTAATAAAAAAGTCCATCCGGCGAACAATGTCGCATCGAACGTAGTTTTATGATTGTCTTGGAGACTAACGGTGGGAGGTTCAAAGTCAGTGTGGGCGTTACTTGCAGTTTGTTCATGGACCATACGTACTGTTGCCGAAACTGCTGTCCAGAAAAGTACAGCCTCTGATTGCACTTGCGGAAATTGTGTTGAATAAGATGACTTTTCAAAAGGGCACTTTTGATTTTTCCGTCCCCGTGAACAAGAGTATCATTACAATAGCAACAAACTGCTGCGACTTCTGATTGCGATGAAGCTGGATAAATGGTGTACTGAATGCCCGGAATGAAGCTACATGACCACATCCTACACACTGGATGGAGCTGCTGTGCTACGATAAGGTTATCATAGACCCGCTCACAGTATGCACACTTATGCGGTGCCTCCCTGTCTCCAGTCAGTGACTACAGGTTCAATGGAATATTCGTACCTACGGCTTCGGCACAACGCCCGCTTCTACTCCGAGCTGGACATCGTGGCTGACCCGATCCTTCCACCAAGACATCATATCAAATCCCTCCATGAAGTGTTGGCTAACATGTTTGGTACGTTCCTGATAAGATGCAAATTTTGACCCGCAGAAGCCGCAGTGCAGCGCTTGGTGGCCTTTCTCCAATGGCAGAGGGTGTCTCCAGGCATCCACCAACTCTGTCAAGCGAGCGGGCTTTTGACCGGGACTTACTTTATGAATCTGGGATATGTGCTGTAGGAAATGGTCTTTTCTGCCAAAAGTACGCTCAGAGAGAGGCTTTGCTTGACAAGAAAGATAATTGTGGTCGGCGAGATGTGATGGACTGGGATCGCTCTGCTCACAGAAAGGACATCTTCGAGGAAACACTCCGGTCCTCGGACAGCATATCCAGAGCTCTTCCGGCATGTGTATAGTGTTTTCATGTCTCATCCACTCGAGGCGACTGTGGAACCGTTTATGGCAGAAAGTACAGTAAAATTTGGGTCGCTTACTCGGCCTTCGTTCAACCAGTCTCCTAGATACCTTTTCAGCGGCCCCCTGGCGGGCTTTTTCGTCCAAAGCACCGCTGGACTTGCTCCGTCGTGGTAGTTGGACTTTTTGCGTGTCGCCTGTCCTGCTGGCAGTACTTGGTCGGTCCGGTATGTCCTCTGTAGTAACCGCTACTAAATTTGATCTACCAACAGGATTCAAGTCAGTAAAACCCCCACCCAGGATCCAAGCCAACTTGGGGCGCGCAGCCATTTGTGCATATGCCATCTCATCCGTAATGACTGGTGCGATCAGATTTGAGCCATTGCGCTCGTATTTGTACAGTATTTTCCTTTCTTCTAGTTGTTTAGCTTTCTCCCGAATTTTAACAATCTCTTCTTCCGCTTTTGCGCGGTAGTCGATCATTTGGTCAGGAATGTAGCCAGGCATGTACTTCTCCATTTGCTCTGCCCAATTCCTTGCCATATCGACAGGGCCGACCGTACCGGCAGTTATAGGTCTCTCAGGTGAGGATACTCTCGAGAGTTGCGAATCTTGCCGCTGTAACGCGAGTGGGATGGTAACAGTGGGCTGCGGTATGTTGCGCTTTGTGACATGGGTAGTGTAGGAAGTATCCACAGTATCTGGGGCGCTACCAGAGGTGAAGAATGTCCGCCGACCATCTGAGTTTGCATCAGCTGACGTTTCTCGTGAGTGGTGTATATTTGTTGTGTTTGCTGCGCGAACGACGTTGTTATGTGAGGTTTGCTTCTTCAAGGCAGCAGTGATATCTGGAACAGAGGCAGGCTCATCTGACAGCGGTGCATTCAGATAGCGTTCCATAGACATCCTGCTGGCAATGCCGATAGCTGATGATTTTGCAGCATCTCTTGGCTTGGATATCGCTGGCAGTGGCCGCATTGGGGATATCTCGTCGACCTCGATTGACCCGGATCGCTGTAAGGGCAAAGTCGCTTCTGGTATCAAGTAAGTAGAGGGGCTTGCCCGAACGATGATGACTTACGCGAACGCTGCTTCCGGAGACGCCTGTTCTGGAGCCAAGTTTTCATCCTGAGTAGATTTGGCGTATCAAAAGGGAGCGACGAAGGAAGTGATTCTAACGATAATAATACACAATAGATCGAATGAACTTCTTCCGATGGATCGGGCGCGTATTTACAGACAGATGTGTAGTCTACGTGCGTACGATTACCAGAAAGTCAAATTTAGCCTGCCACGGCTATGTTGACATTCATGTACCAAAACACATCCCTTCCGTGAATATAATTCGCTCTATCCAGTCACCCAAAAGACGATCACTCGATATTGCCTACCTGTTGAGAGCACAGACCTGGTAAAAGCTGAAAGTCAAAGTGCATGACATGCCACAACTCGGGAGAAAAACGATCGAACAAGGTTGGATTCGAGGCTACAGCCGGCGAGAACCTGTGTATCAAGTTTTCGTGGGAAGCAATTTCCCGCTCATAGCATGGTGCATATGCTCACCCTGATTGAGAGAAAACGTTCAGGGTGAATATGGAGTAGGTGCTAACAGCACCAAGCAAGGAGCTTAGTGTTATCGTTCTCGGCTGGAGATAGTCATGCATTAAACACGGTGTACAGAGACACGCACTGTAGCAGGGGCCGCCCGGAGGCGAAGCCATGCGAGCTTCACCTCGCTTCGAAATGGGCACTTCATCAGTTGGGGGAGCTAGGTGATGCGCGAGGGAGGCCTATGAGACTAGATAGGACTTTCAATTGTGTGATCGGTGTCGGACTTGCTGGAATTGATGTGTATTGGCCCAGCGCGTAAATTGGTCTCGGCTCGTCGTTAGCATCAGGTCTCTCACGAAGAGTGCTGTATGGGTCGAGAAATTGTATGGGTGAAAAAAGAAGCAGTGTCTGGTTCAGACACATCATCCAAAGTGAAGACGCATGGATTTGATGCGGGAATGCAGCGGGTCGGATGTGCGGGGTCAACCAATAGGGGAAGGGCGAGCAACGCTAGTCTGAACGTGGCCGAACTGCATTACGACGTCTTCGGTAGGTTCATGCATGCCGTTTTCTAGAAGCCGTAGAAATCCTGTAGGCATTGACTAGCCCTGCATGAATCCTTCTAGAAGACTGCATATCTGACAGTGCAAGGCTTTAAACCAGGGGAAACATGCCTTTATGCCCGGATTCGCGAAGCTCGTACTCCGAACCGTAAACTTATGCTGAAAAGGAAGAAAGCGTTAGTGAAGGGAATGGAGAGTTGAATGCCAGGGACTGACTTTCTACAATGGAATTCATGGAGAGACATGTGTTGCAACAAGCAAGAAGGTCTGAGAATTGATGGAAGCTATCAGGAGTTTTCGAGGCTGCTAGGAGCCATGAGCTCGAATGGTGACGATTGGTGCCCGTTTGCTTCACGAAGCTCTTATGGCGGCCATATATACAAATACGAGCTTCCATTGTTCTTCCATACGGGACTGCCATGCACTCTTGAATGGTTCCATATACTCTGGCTCCAGCACGTCATTCGTTCTGCCATTATCATGTCGTCGTTATATCTAACATGTATCGCTCAAAATAGACAAAGAAGGCAGAAGGTATCGGCGGAAGGTGTCGCCGCGAGGTGGCGGTGTCGTCTGCTGGATGGGTCTACGCAGCGGCTGTGCGCGTCGCGACTGGTCTCAGAGAGGCCTCAAGCCGGCCGAAGGTGGTAGTAGTCGAACTAGTGCATTGGTGGCTGATAGTTGATCGGTCGCCTGCAGGTTGTTAGAGCGTGGCTCGCAAGTCTCGAAGTGGAACCTACTTGAAGAGAAGAATATGTGGTTCTGGCTCATGGACTTCGTAGTGCTCCCAACCCAAGCTCTGTCCTAGGTCAGCATATGCATCTTTCCGGCTTATCGAGATGTTGTACCTGTGTGATCCCAAGCGCCCTCCACTCCTCCTCCCACAGCAGCTTCAATGTGCCTCGAGCACCGTCGAAGTAATCTTTGGGAATGGCTTTCAGCATCTGCTTTGGAAGCTGCACATGTCGATACTCGTATTGGTCATCTGAGTATCTGATAGTACGGTTAGCTTAGGATGCGCCGACGGTCTTCCAGGTAAACAACACACCTCGCCGAATAATGGATCGCGTCGACAAACTCGTCCAGCTTCTCTTTCTCGTGTTCAGATAGGGGGCGCGGCTTCTTGTTGCGGCGCGTGAAGTCAATATCCATCTCTGCAGTCATTGTCGGTGTTTGACAAGGCGAGAGAGGAGCTCGTGTGCTCGTGCACTGGGGTTCGCGGAGGTTGAATCGGGTGGGGCGGGCAGTGACTCGGTTGGGTGGCGGGCAGTGTGCTTGTAGTCACAGAAGAGCAGCTTGGATGATTGAGGTTTATTCCACTAAGCTGGTCCTCGAACTACAAACGAGAGAAAGAATAGTTCAATTTCGCGTGCACAACAGGTAACTTGTTTACGAAAGTCGTGAAATTTGGTCCCGGGGCCCGAGCTTCCATGCTAGCCGACTGGTGCAGCCTAGTAACCGTTGGACCACGTTCTTTCTCGGCAAACTCTCGTGCTATTATGTCTCCGCCCCAATGGACAGACTGATGTGATGCAGCTCCTTTTCTCAGTCGACCTCTTACCCGGTTCAGAATAGGCTTCAAATTACCACTGCCGCTAGACACTTGTCAGGGAGCGGGCCATATACAACCTCAATCACCAAACCAATATCGTACCAACGAATAGGCTTATTGTTTGAATCCGAATAAGATAGGACGATATTTCAAACGCGCAAGGTCTTATAGACATCACCGTTAGGTATATGAGCGTCACAAAGTTGACTCTCAAGTTGAAACTTGCTTTGCCACAAGCATATTACGTATCTTACCTACCCATCCGACTGAACCGAGGCTGAACCTTTCAGTTGCAATGCTCAAATCGAACAGAGGAATATAATGAATATATCAAGACAATTCCTCGCACTACCAGCCTCCTATCACGCATTGTGATATCTTTTCCTATCAGCTTCCATCTAGGATTCAATGCAATCACGAACATCTCCGCATCCAGAGTACCTTAATAGAATCAGCGATAGCTCAAACAGAGCGTAGGCGCTTTTGAAATCTTCTCCTAAAGCTTCCATCAAAAGCTTCTATCGCCCGCCCAATGTTTTACACCGAACATATAAACCCGCTAAGCTCCACCGTCTTCACGCCTCGGCTAACACAACGACTACAGAAGCATAGACTCCTATTTTGCACTTTCTCTCGCTGCCTTCGCCTCCAGATCACGTTGTTCAAAGTGCACCATGAAATGATCAGCCGCCCCCTTCCTGGCTGACGTCTCCTGTAACTGTTGTGATCCTACATCCTGCGCTTTCTCGTTCGCAATCTCTGTCACCAAGATCTCCTCGAGAACGATATTATCCTCCTTCATCCGATTCCCGCGCTTGATATATTGTGTCAATAAAACGACGGGGAAGATAATTCCGACAATGGAGCCGACAATGATCGCGAATATGGCGCCTGCAGAGAGGGTGTCTTCCGCTGCGGATGGCGGGCGTGAAGTCGAAGGATTGGGATTGGTATGCACCATTATTGTGGAAGGTGTTTGCGATGATGCTGGCGCGTCAATCCCAATCGATGATGTTATATCGAGCACTCTGATCGCGATGGTACTCGGCTGAGCATCGCTGCTGACTGTAGTAAGTCCACTTGCAATAGCGCTCGGCTGATCGACGAACATCCCGTGTGTTGTGGTTCGTCCAAAGTATCCTGTGTGAGCAGTGCGGGTGTCAATATTGAGACGGCCGCTTGGGATCTGCATTTCGCATCGGGGTTCTGAATTGATCACTTAGTTAGTAGTATTACGAGACTCGAGGCCGCCTGCTTCCTCAATACCTTTTTGTACAATCATAAACGCGGGGCAATGGTCATATTGTGGGAACACCTAAGGTCGGTTTTGTATACACGACAGCAATATTGGTTTTCGTATGAGGCGAGATGTAGTAAAGCATGAGTGTTCGACCAACGTTTCACCACGCTTCACAGAGTTCTTCCACAAGCGCTGTCAGACCTAAGCTCAAAGCATGGTTCAAGGGTTTGCTGATTGGATTGTAATCCAACTCGTGCCGATGAACTTCATTGACTCTAGCTAATCGATACTGTCGAAGCTTCTATGGTCTATCCAACACAGGAGCCCAGTCTCGGGAACGCACCATAGTACTCCTATATCTTCACCAATTGGTGTGCACGTACATCTACACCAAATATGTCTTGTGCAACTCAAGCCACTCTTTCTTGATCTCGCCTTTATCACCTTCTAGTCACCCTAGTCCCTATCATCCAAATCTACATTCACCTTCTTGTCCACCTTCCCTCTCTCCAGCCACTCCTCCGTCCTATCATCACTGGGCTTAATCTGTGGCAACAGCTCAATAGATTGTGGCACCGATGAGGCCCGTTGCTCCTGATCCAAATAGAGCTCTTGATGTGTTTGTTGGTGAGAGAACTGATGAGAAAGCCACTCTCTTCGGATGGTTTGTCCAGCCTCGGGAGAGACTTCGGGACATTGATGCGCTTTGGTGTGTTTGATGCAGCGGAGGATCAAGTAGAGGAGTATGAGGACGAGGACCATGGATATCAAGATTATTAGGGCGAGGATAAGGTCGAATGTTATTACCGAGACCATCTTTTCGGTGTCGTCTCAATGGGTATGATAGGATAGAGGCAGCGACTTTGGAACTTGTTGTGGACATGTGGCGTGCTGCTGTCGCAGATATACTGCGATACTTAAGTTTCCCATATTGTGCTTCTCCTGAACCGATGAAGCGTAGTAATTGGGTAATCTTAAGAAGTTCTTTCGAGAACGTGGCACAAAGGCGAAATATATCCTATTTGATATATGTCCGTTGTGTGTATTTCTATGGCTCAATGGCAAGAGTTCACTTGTGTCGCACGAGGTTACGCGATGCATGGAAGTTGAGTGCACGCCCAGTGTGGCACCAAAGGGAAGTTACTACTCCATCGATAAGTAGGCATGTGGTGTTACTCTTTGGGAAGCACAGGATGTAACCATGGAGATTGAGAGAGTGTATATGCGAACTTGAACAGTGACACCCACCAGGTATGTAGTGATACTTGCTAACAATGTAACCCCTCTGAGGTACAGCCATCATCTCTTATAGCTCTCCTGCATAGTCGTATACCAAACGTACTCGGACAACCTCATTCTTGTCCTTCTTCCGAATGGCGAACCTCCTCGTCAGCCTTCTCACACCGTTGATCTCCGAAAACCCCCAAATTTGCCATCCCGTCCATTTGTTCCCTTCATTGTCTACGTAGCTCTCGACCACCTCGCCGTCTTCTGTTTCCTTCAGCCAACCCTCCACTAAGTACTTGGCATCCTCTTCAACCACGCCATTACCCTTGCTCTCCTCTAAGATCTTTGCCAAAGTGTTGTAACGTGACCGCCCTTTGAGGGTGCCAAAAAGCCAGTCAGAGTGCCCACGATAGTGCCAGTCTAGCGTGCGTTTCTCAGTACTACCTTTAAGGCCACCAGTGACAGCCTGATCGATGTCAATCTGTGTGGTGGGCTGGCCGTCCTCGCCGGTTGTTGGTGACTGGCTCAGGTGCTGGTATACGGTTGCAGCGCCAAGAGCTTTCCGGGTCAACCAGCCGATGCCTTGCAGCGCGAGGACGGGGTCAAAAGCATCCGAGATGACTTTGTTCTGGTAGTGTTAGAATCTCCGTAGACATGAGTTGGTATAAAGGTAAATATGACCAGGAAGCATTGAGGTACGAGAGGTCGGATGCATAGCTTACCATGACCCATTTCCCTTGGAGGTTCTTAATATCGACGCTTGATGGTGCTGCCATCGTATACTTGGTGTTATTTCCGTCTGTGTGTGTCGCAGGATGCCGTTAAGCTGTAATGTGGTAGAGCTGTGGGAGCTATCGCGGGGTAATACGGCTATATAGCTATGCTACACCCCCATGAATTCCTTTTCGGTATCTTAAAAGGAGTCTTGCAAATTGAGTCCACTACAAGCCACTTACAAGACACCATGTGTGCTAGTTCTCGATAGTTCACATGAATGTTGCTGGTACCTGCACCGTTCTCACGCATAATAGCCTCGGTACGTCCAACTTTGGATTAGCTTCTTCCGCGGCGAAACCTTTCCAGTGTCTTACACGGCCTCACCATCGTTTACCCCATGGGCACGACTGCTTTTGGACGATGCATGGGTGTATACGGGGCCCAGATGATGAGAAGTTCGTGAGCCGAGGAATGCATGTGCGATGTGGGAGGCAAAAGAGAAGGGTAGTGCCCCGCACGCCACGCCAATTGAGGCAAAAGGGGCGATGACGAGTGATGGAGAGGTCCAGGAAAGGAAGGAGCCGTTGAGAAACGGAACGAAAGATTGGCATGTGACAACTATTCTCAACCTCTTTCTTTCTATCCTTACCGTCTCAAGCATTCTTCTGCTCCTTTCGACAGCGTTCTGGAAAGTATATTTGACCTCTGGCGTGTTCAACCATCAGTCACCACGCGCAATGATATATTGCAAGGTATGGTCTCGGATAGCGCAGCAACGAATCGGTGATCTTCAAGGTGCTAGAAAGCGCACGCAAGAGCAGCATCGAGTAGCTTGAGCTGGCAGATCAAGCCATGTACATCACCTTGGAGCGCTCAGCCGCTGGTTTTTGAGATCTATACGCGTTTTTTCACGAGGGGATATTCAGAGACCCGTTATATGACAGTACGGCAATGAGGCTGGACATAGTTGAGCCTGTTATAGGGCTTGCTGGGACGAAATGCTCTATCCTCTAGGTCAACCACCAATATACCATGCTCGGAGATATGGACTTCATTACGCTTAAATGCTTCAACCATGGTACGATGCCTAGGTCACCTCGCCTGATATTCCTTCTGGGTCGGCTGTGTTTCGACTCGGTCCTCCACGTCGAGTCATTGTTTGGAAACATGATCCTGTCAGAGATATGTTGTAGTGTTACGCAAACATGCCCCGAGTAGATTTGCATCCGCGCAAGGGACCAACAACAATAACAACGCATTGACCTTATGAACAGATCATCGGATTGTTTCCTTCTTCTCATCAGAACACTTTACTTCGCCAGACCTAGACAATCAAGATATGGCATTTCGTGGCCGTTGCTGAAGTCTGCCCTTGGTCGCGTTCATTCTCACTCACGCACATTGTTCACTTCCTCAAGAACCTCTTCTCATTCTGCGACGCCAGGCTATAAGACAACCACATGGACAGCTATATCTGCCACACTATCAGACTCTCAGTACTTTGGTTTAAATGACTGTGGCACAAATTCTCGTTAAGCTTCCCTCAGTCATTGGTCACAGCAGTTTGCAGTCAGTCGTCTCACTTCCGGATATTTCTAGCCGTTTCAGGCGCCGCTATAGAGAGGGAGCCACAGTGATTTTTTTGGGGGGCAGTCCAACTCGCATTTCAGCCGTTTGTGTGGGAACTTCGCTGGGCAAGATTGATTTGTCCGCTGGAGTAGTTTGCTGTGACGCAGACTTGAGCTCTTGCTCACTTTCACTCCACTTTCGTCGTACCAGCGCACTTACCCTCGCCTTCTTGTTTGTCAACAACACCGACACCACGCTCCCTCGCATTCGAACTTTCCCCAACATCACAGTGTGACTTCGCGACACTGCTCCAGACGATCCCCACGCGACTCTACACCAGATCGCAAAGATGAAGTCACTGCTCATTCTTCCTGCTCTCGCCGCTGGCATACTCGCCTCCAAGGTCGCGCTCAATAATCATGAGCTCGCAGCCCTGCTCGGACGTGCGATCGACCCCATAATCATGGATCCAACTCAACTCTCCGTGCTTTCGGTGCTCCGAACAGCTATGCCTACTGCCTCAGACACTCCCATGCCCCAAGATGACTTCGAACCCGAGTGGTATCAGAACCTCCCTCAGGATGTCAAGAGCCTGCTACCATCACTGTACCCCGCGACTACGACTGCTACTCCCACTGACAGAGCGACATCTGTGACTGAGGTGGTGAGTCAGACGCCTGTCCCATACGCTGCTTCGTCGATTGGCGAATCGTTATCGTTACTGCCCTCGTCCACCGTCCTGGTATCCTCGACTTTGGCCAACACAGGCACGGTAAATGATACCCTACCTGTTACATCCGCGCCCACGTCTACATCTATTCCCGCGTCTTCGTCACTTTGGACTTCGCAAACCACCGTCACTAAAACACTGCAGTATGCGCCCACTACCCCGACTGGCAAGAACTCTACATGGATTACTGCCTCCGCAAATGGTACACTTCCTACCGCATCGCCCTTACCTTCGCCTTCGGGATCCTTCTCAGCCGGAGCTAAGACTGCTGTTAAGATGGAGACGCTCGCCGCGATCGTGTGGATTAGCGTTGGCGTGGGCTTCTTCATCTTCGCATAGAGCATTTCACCACCGTGCGCAGCATCTGCGCCCTGTTGCTTCTGCTCGGCGGATACGAGTTGAGCTATACTGCGCTCTACAGGCTGGAATATGGACTAAGCTTGAAAGGTCTTCACGGACGTTGCTGGATGAACGAATGGTTCTGTCTTGGTGTATTTGAACGCAAAGGATCTGGGTATGGGCCAAAAGATCTCGGAGCACGACGGTTCCTCCTTCCTTTTCACATGGCATTAGCGGAGTGGCGGAGCGCATCATGTGTACATTACTCCCGAGATATCCCAATGCTGCTCCATTGTGTTTTCCATATCGGCGATTAGTTAACGGCTACGACGTATGTGGTATGCAAGTTGACTGTTGACACAACGTGCATTGAGCGTGACTTCACGATAGCATACGTTTTGTGGACTGGCATCCCTGAACTACTATAATGGGCAAACAAGTTGTCTCATGTTACATAACGCCCTGACTGCATGTTGTTTGCTTTGATCATCATCTCTTTACTCTCGCTGTCTATGCCTACTCGACGCGTATGTCGTCTCTCCCATATCGAAATATATTAGAATCCCTTTCAATGCCACCATCCTCTTCTTCAGCCCTGGCAGAGTACCCCCGCAACCCTGACCCCTAGATCCAGCACAGCAAGATGCTCATCCCCTCCGTCTACTAACCTCTTATCCGTTTCACTAAACACGCCTGCCAGCCTTACTTTCTTTACATCATCCACCCGCTCATCGAACATGATCTGCTCATACAGCTGTCCGACTGTTTGGGAAGCGCTCCAACCTTCTGCGACCATGTTTTCGACAACTTTGGCGATTTCGGCGTAGCGAATGGACTTTGAGGACGATTTGGGGAAGAGCGAGGACATAAGAGTTTGTAAAGTGTCGGGGGGGATTACGCCTGCGATTTCTGCGATGGATTGGAGGGAGACGGTGGTGCCGGATGTGTTGGCTGAAGGCATGTCGATGTCCATTTCATCGTCGTCGTCTTCGATTACACGCTTCCCCTTCCTTCCACCAGTCCCTGCTTGTTGTACTGCTCCAACCAACCGTGCCGCCGATTGTAGGAATGTGATGGCCTTTCGTAAATCTCCATCCGCAACCCGCACAAGTTCCTCCGCAACTCCTTCATCCAACTTCACACCTTCCAACCTCGCAATGTCGCTAACGCGCTTCACCGCATTGCCCTGATCTAAGCTCTTAAATCGAAATTTGGAACATCTCGAAGCAAGCGGGTCGATAATGCGGGTAACGTAGTTACACACCAAACAGAATCGCGTCATCCGAGAGTATGTTTCCATGGTTCGACGAAGTGCGGATTGAGCGTCTTGTGTCATGCTATCTGCCTCATCGAGCACAATGATCTTGAACGGCGGGCAAGGATATTTATCTCGATATCGCATCTGCTTACCAGCGTCTGGGCTGTCCTTGTCTTCCACCATGAGATTGTATGTTGGCGCGACGCTGAGTTGTTGTCTTGCAAAATCTTTGACCTTTTGACGGACGATGGATATGCCTCGCTCATCTGAAGCGTTCAATTCGAGTACACGGCTCTTCAAAAGCTCGGGGCCATAGAGTTGTTTTGCGAGCGCGAGGATCGTAGACGTTTTACCGGTTCCTGGGGGCCCGTAGAAGAGCATGTGCGGTAGGTTGGAGGATTGGAGGGTGCGAGAGAGGATTTGAATTGTGTTGTCTTGAGCTGTTACTTCGGAGAGCGTCTTTGGCCGACTACAATGAACCATTAGCATTGTAGTACGAAGCTTCTGGTGGCATGTGAATGCGTACTATTTCTCGACCCATGGCTGCAGGCGGTCTGGCTGTTGCTTTGTTGTGGAAGCCTTTGAAGAGCTGGCTTGTGCAGCGGCTTGTTGCCGTGCTTTGAGGTTGAAAAAGTCTGCCATCTCTTCTGCTTGTTGTGGTTGCGAGGATACTGCGGGGAGGATGGAAGTTAAAGTGGAACGCGTCGACGCGAAGCTCAAGTCGCGAATTCACGTTCAGCGCACAGGCCACCAGACATACGCCAATCACATCACCATAGTAATCGCATTGTAGATTTGAAGACCTAAGATCTTCATGGATATCTTGCATTTAATAAATGATGCCCTGTTAAAGAGCCTATGCATGGCCCGCTACTCTATGAGTAACACCAGATCATGCATGCGTCGAAGCAATCACTTTACTGCCATCCACCCACATGCTCATGCCAACGCTAAGTTCCACCTGTTTCCGTCTCATTGTCGGTCGAGGTTCGGACCTACAAATCAGGGCTACTTGACAGGAAGCACAGCTAACCTGCAACTAGTCTACTTCCCATTTAGTCTAACCCCCTTAACCCTCTTAGCCAACTGTACTGAATCGGAGTCTGAACCGTGGGAGGGCTGTCGCTCGAGACGGCGATGTTGCTCACGGGGAAGGTGAGCAGCCCCCCTAACGGCCGTTTGGGGAAGAGACGAGGATGGATAGGAACGTTTCGGGGGGCGCTCACCACTTTCTTTGAGGATAGTCAAGAGTGTTGCCCAGCCTCCTGTATGTTGGAGGGCAGAGCCTTCTGAGAGGTCATGTGTTGAGGCAACTTTGAAGAGGAGGGTCTCTTCGTCCTGAATGGGGAGGTTAGTCGTGAACTGAGTAAGGAATGAAAGGGAAATGTACCTTTGACAGAATCCCTAGGCTGTGGATGAAACATAATAGATGGAAGTTCGAGATAGCGTTGAGGCCGCTTGTAGTGTTGAGCGCAAGACCGTTCGCCTTCGCGTTCAGCGCCTTGCCCAGGGCCGAGATGTCTGCCATCTCGCCCATGATCTCGCGATGCTCGATTGGGAACTTGCCGCCTGTGAAGAGAGGATTCGGTTGCGTTGGGAAGCCATGCGTAAGTGTAAGCAATAGGTACTCAACTGGGAAATCAGGTTTCGCGATCTCCTGTACGTTTGCACCATGTTCGTTGATTCTCCGGTAGAAAACCTCGGGAATGTACCGCGCTCGGTTGAGAGCATCGTTGTCATCTTCTGACTGTACTAGCATGACTGATGGTTCGGCTGAAGGCTCGATTATGTCCGCTCGCACCATTTCAACCGCATCATTGGATGCTTGGTAGGAGGAGATTCCGATCTGGCCTTCTTGGTCGCCGCTGATTACACAAGTGACAAAGTTGGACCCAAATCTCCCAGTTTCGCTCCACTTGGACGGCCGAGGATACTTTGCCTGGTATCGTGCCGCGAAGATGATCTCGAGAGATGATAGGTAGTAGGAGTCGATGTGTCGCTTGCAGATGGCCGAACCGTCTCCTTTATCTGCATCGAGCAGATCCGTGAAGATGACGCCAACACGCTGGAGGCCACACTGTGCGGCGATTTCATCAATCTCTTTCTCGTTGTCCCATTCTCCTAATGAAATGCCATCGACCTCGCTGACTTGCGGTGGCTCGTAGATGGTCTCGACTACGGCCTTTGTCCCCAGTGGCACCTCGGTGTACTCCTCGTATCTACCGTATAGAAAGCCTAACCGCTGACAGCCCGTATTTCTCCAGAAGTTGATCAGATCATCAACGACTTGTATCGAGGCAAACTCGACGTGATCCACCATACGGTAATCCTGCGGCTTGAGCGAAATAGCGCTAGGCTGACACTTTGTGCAAATGCCCTCTGGAAACGGCTTGTGCCCCGAGGCGCAGTCTGGCCGTACTCGATAGTACGGTTCTGTTAGCGGGGGCATGTACGAGCTTCCTAGCTCGGGCCTGTTCTTCGCCGAATTCACTTTTCGTAGGTATGAGTGAAATGAGAGGTGTTTGATCTTCTTCTCGGCGAGATATTCGGCTGAGTATGGCTCCAGCGGCATGCAGTAATCGCACATGCCCTTCGATCCGTGTGTGCACATTCGGACGTCCCGTTTCCGTGCAATTTTACCATCGAGCCTGTCTAGTCTGTCGTCTAGCGGAGATTGCTTGACTACCTCCCATGGGTTCTTTATGACTTGTGTAGAGGAACCGAGGGGCACCGAGGGCGTTTCGGAGGGGTCGACGGGTTTGCCATTTAGTCGAGAAGCACCTGCTGAAGCTGCAGCATGGCCATTCGATATGGTAGACTGCTCCTCGAAGGTGAGGAAGAGCTGTGCGCCATGACTGCGGACATGTTAGCTATGGAGGCAAGCTGGGGCAAGCTACGTACGACAAGCCGACTTGCTCGAAGGACACGCCTTTAAGTTCAGAAAGCTTCCTGGCATCGCCTCCCTGAGGACGGTTGCTGACACTGATGCTCTGGATATCGACGCTCTTGGGCAGCTTCTCCGCAATCTGAGGAAGAACCTCTGGGAATGTTGTCGTGGGTTCGACGTTGAGCCGGAACTGGCCCTCTTTGCTCACAAACCTCAGGATCATGGTGGGAAGTACTATCGCATGTGGGGTTGCGGGTGATCGATGATTGTGTACAGAGGAGCGCCGAGATTCGTGACTTTGTACTGCAATGCGAATAAGCTAGGCCCTAGGTAGAGGTGAAGGGTGGAGGTGAGTGAGTGAGTGATTACCGACCCAAGCTAGGGAAGGCGTCGAAGGCGGCGGCAGAATGACGCGCCTGAGTGAACCGGGGTTGGGGACTGGTAGCGCGAAAGCACCGGACCTCTGCCGAATAGGCCAGATATTGGGCATCGACAAGATAAACGTACCACACCAGCGCTGTCTTATTTGCAAGATCCGCATCCGTGCTCTACACTTTCTTTTCTCTGGTGATACCAGGGCCTGCCACTCCTTTCACACAACCGCCACGACGGCTACGCGATAATTTCACCACGTATCTCACGCAAGCCCCTCCCACTTCCACCAAGACGATTTCCGCGACACGGCAATCAACATGTGGCCCTTCGACGCAGTCGACTGGCTGATGCTCTCCATCCCCATCGCCTACCTTGTAATCCTCCTCGGCTCCCTCGCTGTCTTCTCCAACCTCTACCGCAAGCGCAAAGCCGCAAGCGCCGCATCGCTCGAGCCCTGGTTTCCTCCCCACCTGCAGCGCAATGTCTACCTCTCGCTCCTACACATGGAGAACCCCAAGGTGCCCGACAGCATTCTGAAAGCTGCTCTGTTAAGGAGGGCCACAGAAGATATTCATCGCATTGTGCAGATTAGGAATGCAAAGCAGGCGCTGCAGGTGTTGCTGCAGAGAGGGAGCGTGGGCGACGATTTGTGGCAACGATTCCAAAGGGCGGAGAAGGAGATTGAAGAGGAGCTCAGGGATGTTGTACAGGAGGTTAGTCGCCATCTACACAGAGCTCTACAACTTATACTAATATCATCTAGGCCAACGCATTCGCTCCCAACTGGGGGCAGACCATCTTCCAGTCCGCATCCGAAATGGCGCAAAACACTCACATTCGCGAACGACATGGCGAGATCATGTCTAAGGCGTCTGCGGAAAAGGAGTGGTGGCAGAAGCGCAAGGCGGACATCCAAACCGACTTCATGAAGGAGCTGGATGAGGAGAAAATCAAAAGCAGTGAGGACGATGCTGTGTTGGTCGAGGCCGGCGGCCCTGCAGGTAGTGTTGGAAAGGGCGCAAAGGGCGCAAAGAAATAAAACTTCGAGACTTCCCAGAAGAAGGCACAAGGTCTGTGGAATTCAGAGCAAGGACCGTCGACGCATGTGGCTAGGGAATGATTACTCGAGCGGACGGTTTGAGGACATCCTTTAGATGGTTCTATTCATTGCATTGCTGGGGTTACGGTGTTGGGTGTTTCATGCCATGACTGGCGGATTGCGATCCCCAATTGGATCGCATTTGATACTTTTACAGACGCTTGAGGATTACCATCTTTGTTCATATGCTTTATTGCAATGCTATCAAACGCCTTTAATCCATATTGACCCAAACTTGGTCAGTGTGATAGATAATACAAGCTCCTGCTCTCCTGCTAACAAAACGGGGAATTTGTCGTACACCAGATATACACTCCTCCACCTCTCAGCTTACGGTCACTAAACCTTCCTCAGAATCGTGCCGCACCGTCCTGAGCTTTACTTCCTGACAGGACCGCTGACACCTGCACCGATAACACTCGGTAGCTCCTCACTGCCCATCGAGTACAGCATGCCAATAGCTGATGCTACCAAGAAGGCAAGGACGACACCGCTGCCAACAAACAGCCAGAACTGGACCGAGATATCCTTCTTTTGGCAAGCCGGTCCGCCCCAGTACGTGACCTTCTTACCCTTGTTCTCACCAACCTCCTGGACGGTGGGCGAGCAGGCACAGCCGAAGCAATCCACCGACTCCTGGTTGCTGCCGGACCCGCGACGCTTATGAAGCACCTTGCACTCGCCATGGCTAGAACAGTTGTGCGTCAGCTTCTGGCAGGCGGACAGACTATCAAAGCAGCTTGGAAGGATGCCTCGCACTGGTGCCTGATCTTCGGCGAAGGCAATGACAGGAAAGTCTTCAAGATCGGATACTTTAGGATTGGGCGAAGAGGAGGCCTCCGGGTTTGAGGAAAGCACCGCTTCGGGGTTCTGGCGACGTGCTTCTTTGGAAGGAAGGTCGTATGTACCCCAAGGATTGGCGCCACGCTTGGAGCGAGTCTTCGAAGCCGGCATCATAACCATGGTGGTGGAGAAACCCAACTCTGCCGCCTTGTTTTTGGCCGCGTCCAGCACCTTGGCGAGCTCCTCGCTGCTAAAGTTATCGCTCTTGCTGGCGCGGAAAACACTCAGATACTCATTGTAAAGCTCCAGCTTGTTGTTTGGTAGTCCAGCCTCAATCTCAAGGCTTGATGTATAGGTCTGTTTCTTTGGATCTGGACGCTCTGGTAACGACTCGGTTTGGGATATGAAGTCTTGGATGAGGCGATCGTTATCGGACGCTGGAGGAGGGTTTGATATCGCGAAATCTTGAGTCCGGTCTGATCCATCGTTGATGACGACTGGTTCCTTCGTCAGCCTATGGCTTCGCACGACACGGTGGTCGGAGTTTGCCTACCTGTAGCTTCATCCTGCTCCGCGTCCTCTATCCACAACAGCAGATGTGCTTTTGACCGATCTGAATCCTCCCCTCCAAACAGCTTCTGTTGCCTCCCTCCGTACACATTGATATGCCGAAGCGTCTCTGAGTCTGCGTGCTCAATCGAGTGGAATCGCGATAGGCCCAGCCGCTGTGCGAGGATTAGTCGAGCTGTTTCGGGGCTGACTGTTGGCCTGGCTGCGAAGGCCGAGCAGTACAGCGAAGAGGCGATAAAGCCCCAGGAAAGCTTCATCGTGGTTGGCAGTGATGGGGTCGAGGTGCTTGGAGCTTGCGGCGGCGATGATGATGATGTCTGAAGTGAAGCTGCGACCCCCATGTCGGGAAATTGCCGCAGTTGTTCCGCCGCACGCCTCCAGCCTGTTGCCCGCGGCTGCTATCCACATGCAAACCACGGGACGACGCGGCCTTACAGCTTTGTTGTCTTGCAAGGAGCATACAGCTGCTGGTTCTCTAGAACAATCGGCACTTGCATCGCCTCTCCCTCGCGACGCCTTCATGTCTACTCGCATCTCCTACACACCGTTATAACACTCGCTCTCTTCCCGAGCCGGCCTCATGTTCAAGACACAGGTGCTGCGGAGGAACTTCTCTCTCTTCAATAGAGTCCCGCACTCGCGCATAGTACGGTCAGCAGCACGCGACGGCCATGAGTCAGTCATAATACACCGGGTCCACCTACGAAAGCCTTTCTTCAGCAAATCGTAAGTTCACGCCGTACTACTAGTCATCAAGGTCGTCTACTAATGTCTCAGACGGCTAGTCGGCGCAGTTGCCATCGCAGGAGCAACATACGGCCTCGGACGATACATCGGCCTAGAAGTCGAGATAGAGGAAGTCCAGGAGGAGCAGCAGCCGCCAACACGCTCGACTGGTCAAATTCACAATGAAGACGAGAACTCTGAGCCAGGCCAAGAGGTAGATGAAGAAGAAGACGAGGACTACGAGGACGATGCACTTCTCTTTCTACCCACAGGCTTCTCGCGACCGAGACCAAAGACGTTCTATAGAGGCTCAGATCCAGAGTGGCAGGAGTTCAAGAAGCTGGCCACCGATCGGCCAAGAGTCGAAAAGATACGCGGTATGACAAATGACGGATGATGAAGTGGGGCATGCCACTTGCTAACGACTGAGCAGGAGAGCTGGCAACCTTGATTCGCGATCTCGCCGCAAAAAACCCTCAATACGTCGCTCGGCTTGGTAAGATTGATACCTCCAAAGGAAAGCTGTGGATCGAGTTCAAGTTCCCAGATGGTCCGCCAGTTGAGTACGAACGCCCAGGGTTCGAGTTGACGGAAGACCTGGAATGGCGGAAGGCAACTCGACCAGTCGAGGATATCCACCATCAACGCTTGAACAAGGTTCTGTTTCCCACAGAGGTTGCGAACGCGCTATACCAAGACACAAAGAGGAAGGTAGAGATCTCTTGGAGAGACTTCAGAGCCTATCTGGGGTGGGAACAAAAGTCTGAGCCTGATACTGTCCAACAGCTGGTTCAGCGGATTGGTGCTAGTCCCCCATCGCCTTCTAGTCGTACAGTATCCACGAGTACCGCGAGTCCAAACCCTCTGCCCACCTCTCCAGTGAACGAAACCCAGCAACCAACAACCTCCCCCTCGGCGGCGCCCGCAGATGGCCTTGCGAAGGACCTGGGCTTTGTCCTACCGGATCCAAAGAAGCTTACACTGGACCTATCCCAATTCCGCCAGGATTTTCGCAAAGCATTCAAACCCTATCAAATGCAGTCGCCACGTGGCACGCTCTTAGTTCTGGGCTTGATTGAAGTGTATGGAGACAGAGCACGTATGACACTCAACGTCACTGCGGCTTATGATCCCAAGCAGGGGCGATACGTTAGCTTAAAAGCAGGTGTGTGGAATCTTGTAGAACATCGCCAAGCCCCGAGAGGAGGGCCTTAGAGTAGTCCCTGTGGCTCGATGCATTACCGGCGCAAAGGAATTGAGCATTTTATAGCAGCATGGGTGGCGTTCATGGATATGAAGGTTAGGTCTCTGTCCTTCGAGCGGCATTATTGGAGTTATTCCCAGGCGAGGCGGCTATATGGTATGTTGGCGAGGCCACAATGGACAAGGCACCCGCTAAACATGAATATAACACATTCATCCTCGGGTTCATAGGTCAAGCCGAAGGATATCCCTATATATATGTCTATCATATCGTTTCTGCCGCTGTTCGTATTCTTTTGTCACAAACCAACTCAAGCCATTAATAGACGGCGCATGTCCAAGCTTACAAGACATGCACCTGAATATTCCAATTCTTCGAAAATTAGTGCTAAAATGAAACCCTCTAGCTTCCCTCATCAACAATGTTACATGGATGCGAGTGCCCATCATTTTCGATGTAGTTACCCGGCTTATACCAAATTGAACACAGGTAGTTGAGCTTCGCCCAAGTAGTCAAAGGCCATGTCCAGTGTTCTTTGTCAAGCGTAGGGTACGATACTGATGGGTTAGAAGATAGTAAAAGTATGTCAGAGGAGAGAGAAGGAGAGAGGGCTCAAGGCGGCTTCAGGTAACAGTCGATAGCCTTCCTGTGCATCTAGACAGGTCTGAATCCACCGCATCGATAAGACGAATGATCGGGAAGGTTTCACCGAGGAACTTCTCCCTTGGAAGAAGTCGCCCGCTCCACATCGTCTGGCACCAGCTTTCTTCTTCTTCGACTGGCAGAGTCTGTCACAAGGATACTACTCCTGCCGTGTTGGGAGCGCCACACGCAAGCGAGAAACAGTCGGCTTCCAGTTGCGGCAGGCTGACAGTGCGGCTTGTGTCCCCACTGGCTTGTTGTAAATCACGGCTCGGTACGGGCCACGCAATGGAATCTAGGCGTGTTTAACGATTGACTGGCAGGTGTATTTGGATTGTCGCAAAAGCCCCCGGTTCCCTGAAGCAAATGGAGCTGGTAGCTGACTGACACTGCATGGTACGCGAGGGTTTCCTGGAAGGTTAGTGAATGGTGAAGCGCTTCGGATTGTGACATCTATCATGACGTCGGATGTCGAGTTCCCAAGTCCGTTGGTCGTGAGCTGGAGGACGTGAAACGAGGGTGATGGATGTTGCTCTCCCGGTTAGCGCCTTTGAGTGATGTGCTTAGCCCCACGCTAGGATACAGCCATGCGGTCCAGAATCTCAATCTCAACATCAGCCCTCCACGACTTCCATGTCAGGTTTGTTCCTACGCTACTCCTGCGAGGAACATGTCCTAGACATGGATTCTGCATTGGCTCCCCTCAACGCCTTTGACGAACGCCCAGGCCCGAAAAATTTCCTCATGTGCATCACGCCTACTCAACGTGGCTCCAGCAGCTAGGCTTCCGAGATGCATAGTAAGCTCGGTGATTCGACAACTTTCCGTGCCTGAATTTCCACAACAGCTTAGCTGCTTTGCCCGACCATGGTTGACGAATAGTCAACCCCCTCAATCGGCCCCGTCAACCAGGCCGGCGGGAACCTTCATCCACAACCTTATCACACGTGTGGTCGGAGTTGGCAGCAGCTTAGTCTGAAACAACTGAAGCCGAGAATCAACGCCCTGCGCGGGAGTCAGCCATAAACATTAGGTTGCAGAGCTAAACGCCTCTTAATTTCCTGGATTATAAGTACAAGGCAAAAGAATACAGTAAGTGAATGTTCTGATAACCAAGTCTCTCCTTCGACAAGATTGTCAACCCCACGCTCCTTTCACAATACACACACTCTTTTACTCATCATGCTTAAGTCTACTTTCTTCTTGACCCTAGCTGGTCTTTCCACCTTGATGGAGGCTACGCCTCTCAAGCCCCGAGGTGGAGGTAAGCGTGGTCTTGCCTTCCCAAAACAGTACTCAGGTACTGCCGGATCACAGTACACACACAGCTTTGCAGGGTGTTCCAAGGTTACATGGATGTACGACTGTAATTAGCCTTTTATTTCTTTGTTTTAAGACACTCTTGAGAATGCCTTAGGTATTTTTCATATTCTCTATGTTGAATAAGTGCTAATCATGTCGCTACTTTCAGGGGAGGCTGTCATTGATGGAGATGCAATCAGCCTAGAATACGTACCATTGCTCCATTCCAATGAGGCCTGTAAGTAATTAGCCTTTTATAAGACATTCCTAAGCATGTCTTTCGTATTTTCTATTAGGAAAAGTGCTAATCGTGTTGCTACTTCCAGGGTGCACCGAGTAATAGGTCCATGTACAATCCCCAAGGACACACACTGACTTTTACCTTCCTAGGGGCTGGTTCAATAATATCGCCAATGCTCAGAAAAAGTACCAAGTTTCACATGTACTTGCTTTCAACGAGCCGGATCAGACTGGGTAAGTCTTCGCATCCCACAAGTCTTCTAGAAGAGCGACTGCTAACGATTGCTCAGTGGCGGCGGCACCAATATGGCAGTTGGCGATGCAGTTGCGGCATACCGAAAGTACATTCAACCGTTGGCAAAGCAAGGACTGAGACTCGGGTCACCGGCAGTGACAAATGGCAACGAGGCCAACAAGGGCATCAACTGGCTGAAGCAGTTCGTTGCTGGTTGCAGTGACTGCCAAATCGACTTCGTTGTCGCGCACTACTACGCTTGGGACAAGGCTGAGGACTTCAAGAACTACCTAAAGAACTTCCACCAGACTTTCAACAAGCCGCTCTGGGTCACGGAATTCGGTGTCACCGAAGGCAATGCTGATGCCTTCTTGGCCCAAGTATTGCCTTGGTTAGACTCTCAGGATTGGATTGAGCGCTATGCGTATCACATGGTGGCTCCTAGCAGTGGCAGCCAGTGGCTGATCAATGCTGCTGGCAGCGGCTTGTCTTCGACTGGGCAGGTCTATGCTTCCGCTTGAATGTCTTGAAACTGCGCATCACGATTTACGACTCTTGATTTTCGCGATACCACATTATATTCCTGTATATAGATTCCAACAACAAATTCATTGACAACGTCATGACCTCCTCTTTTTAGCATCGGTGCCATTGTGGTCTTCGTTACCGTGTTTACAACACACTTATAACCAAGCAAGAATCAAACCAGCTAAGCCTACCAGTGCAGATTTCCCAAGATTGACCGCCTCCCGGTCAGCAGCAGCAGTGAACTCGAGAGGCTCACTAGAAGTCGCCGACGGCAACACTCTGTCCGTAGTACCAGCTGGAGGGACAGAAACCGTGCCCAGGCTCGAAGGTTTTGGTACAGTAGGCCCATTAGAAACAGGAGTGCTATTAGGACTAGGAGTACCGTTAGGACTAGGAGTACCGTTAGGACTAGGGGTACCGTCAGGAACATAGGGTGTCGACTCTAGAATTGGTAGCAAAGTTCTAATTACGTCTCGATTAGCAAATTCCACACTACGCTTTGGAAGCACGTATACTCACGGTGTATCCTGCTGCTGTGGTGGTAATGGAGGGGAAGGAGTACCAGGCCCCACAGGAATCGAAGCTGGTGGATTCGGATTAAAGACTGGGGGTGCGGGTACTCCAGGAGAGTTGAGGCTAGGTTCAGTTATTGCAGGTGGTGCTTGTGTTGGAAGTATAGATATGCTACTGAGAAGCGGGGTTTGTCTCTGCGGGGATAGTGTAGGAATCAGGTCGGTGGTTTTCACTAGCGGTGGCGGGGGAGCAACACTGGTCCCTCCGGCAGGTTTGGTAAGGGGAGGTATGAGATCTACTGTTTTCTCCGGGGGCGGTGGAGGAGCAGCACTTGGCATAACGAAAGATTTGGGTGGAGGAATAAGATCTGATGTCGTCTCCAGAGGTGGTGGAGGAGCGACACTGGTGCCTCCTGCAGGCTTGGAGGAAGACTTTGGTGGAGAAATGAGATCTGACGTCTTTTCTGGAGGAGGAGGTGGTGCGGGACTGGTTCCACCTGGGGGCTTAGAAGAACGGGACACTACAGGTGGCGTCTTGATTGGACCGTTAATGAGCTTGGTCTCCGTGATAGGAATAACGATTGTCACAGTAGCTGTGCTGAAGACTGTGGATGTGATTGTTGAACATCCTTCACTGACGGGAGCCGGATTGGGTGGTGGATTGTATGAAGGAATGTAAATAGGTGTAGTGGTGTTGTGTTGGTGGTGATAGTCTCCGCGAGCAGCACGATATCCTTTACTGGCATTATCAACACCGAGGGTGATGGTGACAGTGGCCACAGGGCTAGAAACTGTTGCAGTCGCGAGTACAGAAGTGGTTACAGTTATAACGACAGCTGAACAAGGTGTACTGTTCGGAGGGTAAGGCCTGTGGTTACCTAATGAGCGTTAGCCTCATAGTAGATAACTTTGGTTCGGCTGAAGTACCAGCAAGGGCCGTGGAGAGAAGCGGCAGAAGTAGATAGGTTAGAGAACCTGCAAACGGAAACATGATCGTTGACTGTTTTTTCTGATGAGTCAAGATACAACTGGTATGCTACGAACGAGCATCGAAGGCCAAAAGATTATCCTTACATAGCTCTTTAACCAGATACCTCCAGCCACTTCCTGTCGTTATCTTCGCCGATTTTCCACAAGCAAGTAGCTTTCCCCACATCATATTAGAAAGCACGCAATCATACGATGGTGCGAACCGGTGTGAGTAAGATGTTACTTTCGCGCCTCTCCACAATCCTCATTGGTGACACACACGCACAATCGCTCTATATACCCAGAAGCGTTCGACCCACAATATTTGGCTGCAGGATACCAAGACTACCTGCATAGAGAATCCAAAAGGAATTAACAAAATCGCCGGAACCGGACAAGCTTTTAGCCTTGTGACTTAAAAGCAGGACCACGGCAAGCGAGGAGCTGAAAATGCACCACCTGGACAACGCCACAAGACATGGCATATCGATAAGAGCTCAATGATGAGTTCAGCATCTACTTTCTGATGCCTCCAGACTTCCACTGCAAAGCAACATGAGTAACAGCTCACGCGTTGCCGCTCCGTTGGCGATCCAGAACTCGGGGCGGTGGCTTGGGAATGATGGGACTTGGTCAACGTTAGTCTCCCAATGGCCCCAACACGTTGCGAGAAGAAATCTTCCTAGCCTTGCGACTGACAGTCTTTTTAGATTCTATGTGCATGCTGGCACACCACCGCAACATTTTCACGTACTGCCATCCTTTAGCGGACAAACTATCTATATACGTAAGCAAAATACCAATATATGTATGGTAGAAGATTCTGTTTGACAATGTCGCATCTCCGCCTTCAGCCATTGATCAAGACTGCGAGCGTTTCAACATCACAGAGTGCGGCGGTTCGCGGGGTGTCGAAATTTTCGAATCAAGACCGAGTTCTGGTTTCCAGCCCAACAGATCATCATCATGGGATGAGATGGGTATCTATCGAATTGGCATCGGACGCGATTATGGACTGACGGGTAATGCTGTATATGGTTACGACACCATAGGCCCTTCGACAAGTGGAGCAATTGACGTGTCGACTCTGGAAAAGCATGCTATTGCCGCATACGCAACACCAGATTTCTGGCTGGGCCAACTCGGTCTCTCCATGTTCGCTTTGAACATCAGTGACACTAACCAACCTCACTCTTTCCTTAGTAGGTTGAAGGAAGAAGGCTATATTCCAAGCCTGTCGTTTGGATACCAAGCTGGAGCCCCATATCGATTTACAAAGGTACCAGGAAGTCTCATTCTGGGTGGCTACGACCGCGCCCGTCGTTCCAACGATACCCTCCTTGTCCCCTCGACAGAGGACACAATTATTGGCCTGCAGAGCGTCACTGCCGCTTTCAAGAACGGTACAGTCGCGGATCTCCTAAACACTGGCATTTTAGCAGTCCTAGAAACCAGCGTCCCGGAACTATGGCTACCACCTTCTGTATGCGACAGCTTCGCCTCTGCCCTGGATCTAACCTACCACGAAGCATCAGACCGGTACGTGTTGACAGATACCGTACACCGCAGACTCCAAGACACTTCACCAAGCTTCAACTTCATAATCGGTACCTCAATATCCGGCCGCAAAACAATCACCATAGAGATCCCGTACGCAGCATTCGACTTACAAGCCAAGTACCCAATCTTTGCGAGCACAACCAATTACTTTCCCCTCAGGAGAGCAGCAAATGAAAGTCAGTATGCCTTGGGAAGAGCTTTTCTGCAGGAAGTGTATATGAGCGTGGATTGGGAGAGGGATGTATTCAACATCAGCCAAGCGCTGTTCAGTAGTCCACCGCCTGCGCCTGACATCATCGTCATCGAACCGAAGAACAAGACTTTGATTTCTTTGCCCGGGCCCACACCAAGAGAGCCACAGAAGCTAGCTGCTGGAGCAATCGCAGGCATCGTAATAGGCAGTCTTCTCTTCTTTGTATTTCTGGTTGGAGGTGCATGGTGGTTGTCCCGCCGCCGAAAGCTCGCGAAATATGCAGCGGAAGCGCAAGCGTTGCCGTTGGAGGGAAGGAAAGACCCGAATGACTTTGCGCCGGAAACTGTTGACAAGCCGCCTGGTGAGAGATTGGACGTGGAACTTGAGGGACAGCCAGTCGGAGAAATGTATGCGCCGCATGGGGAGAGTGAGATCCAGCATTTGGCAGGGAATGAAAGCGACATTGGTACAAAGGAAGTGATCGAGTTGGATAGCCCCCAGCCGATCTATGAGCTGCCTACTTCAGGGCCGGGTAGATGACCATTGTCCAAAAGAATGATTCGTATGTAGTATATTGTGAATCTTTTGTACAAAGCAACATCTGAGTTCTCCATAAACACCATTGACACCGTGTGGGCAGCCGCACCTGGTACCCGGACCGATCTAATACACATTTTACATAAAATATCCACTGAACAAGTTAGTCCTCGATATCATCATCGCTAAGCATCAAACTTGCTCCTTTATCAATCAAGCCCGGAATCGCCGACTCTTGCTCTGGCTCTGTACTCGCGACCTTGATTCCCCTCTTTTTCTTCGGAGTCTCGGCAGCAGGTCTATCCGTCGCCCACTGCTCGTGCTCTCCTGATCTTGGGTCCTCTTCCTGCTCGTCATCTTCGGTTACGCCCGAGGCCGTGTTTCCAGTGAAGGCAGTTATCTTCTGGATATCGCGAATCGTAGCTGCGGTGGAAGGTGATAGCATGCGAGACTTTCGGAGGATAGTGGTAAGATAGGGAAGACGTTCAAGGAGCATTTCGTAACGTGCTGAACCACCGCTACCAAGCAGAATAGAAGATGACGTGTCTTCCACAGAAGGTTTCGTGTTTTGGGTCGATGGTCGTTGTGAAAACGATGTGTTCTTCCTCCAGGTGTCAACGCCACCCGTTGAGATAGTTGGTTTGAACGCTGCCGCAGTTGATGCGAGTAATTCGCCTTTCTGAGCACGCGATATCCACATCTCTAATAGGCCTCCTACCTCTTCTTGCTGTTTCCATAATCGTAGCGACGCGGGGTAGTACATGACGAATGCGTTCCCCTTAGGTGCACCAGTCCCTGCTCCCTGGCCTTTGGCTTTGATGCCCATGATGCCAGGCGGTGGAGTCACTCGTTTGACAGGGTGTGGTAAATTGTAGAGTAATCCGCGAACGCTGGTCTGAAAGCACATCTCATCTTGACGTAGGTTATCCGCACTCGTGCCCTGGAGACTTCGCCGACCGGAACCTGCGCCAAATCTATCTGGCGAGAGGAGATCAGCATTGGACAGGGCTTCTATGCATCCCTCGATCGAGTCCATGGTCTCTTCAGTGTCGGCACCCCCACATGAGAGAACGTAGTTCTCGTGTAATGCCGCGACGAAAGTTTGCGTGTCAGTACCTATCTCATCGATGAGAAGATCAACATTGACTTCGGATGCTTTTGGTCGTCGTCTCTCAGGAAACCAATTCGGCGGCTGCGGGACAGGTGCTCCAGTATCTTCCGAAAGGCGCTTGTTATACACAACCCTCCCAACAGCATGGAAGATTCCCAATGTGCTTTCTCGCTGCGTCACCAACTCCAAAGACTCTTGCTCCATCTTGGTTATAGGAGTATCTTTTGGTCCTTTTTTCTTGGAAAAGTTTACCTTGGCGCCCCAACCCTCTGCATCATCTCCGCGCAGGCAGAGGAACTCCAGAGATGATACGGCGCTGCGGATATCGCCAAGCTCTGCAAGACGCTGGATAACTTGTGGACCCAAAGTCTTCTTACGCCCAGACTTGCGCGCTTCCTTCACAACGATCATATCCAGTGCCTTTGTCATATATGTTGGCGCAATCGGGTTGAACTCAATGACCGAGACTCCAGGATGTGTCAGAATCTCAGGACCCAGCAGCCGATGGGCAGTAAAGCTATCGGCGGCAGCCGTGTTGGTGGAGAGGAGGGTTTCGGAGATGATCATGACGATTGGTGTTACCGACTGCTCCGGGTCGACTTGACTGGAAAAAAACATAGTAGCTGACTGCGTGTTTGCGGCAAGATAGTTGAGAACGGAAGATCGAAAAGATTGTACGGCGGAAGATGTACGCGTGAATGTATTGGGAAACTCTTCTACAAGAACCAGTTGCTTTTGTCTACCAGTCTGACCGCTGGGCGAAGCTTGCTGGGGTGCCTGGACTGGCGTATCGAATGTAAGGCTACCGAACGTTCCAGTCCTTCCTACAAAGTCTTCGAACTGCGCAGTGACAGATACAAAACTGTCGGACGTGGACATGGAGCCGGTGGGGTTCTTCCACTCCTGTATGCCAATACTCAGTTCTCTAGCGAGTAGTGACATGGTCGTGGTTTTCCCGCTGCCAGCAGGGCCTTTGAGAAGCAGTAGCCGCTTGCGCTCTCTACCGCCGAAGACGTCTGTAAGCCATGTTCGTATATCTGCGACCTTCTTCTTGTGTACTGCCAGCTCCTCGAGCGACAACGGGCCGTACCTTTCGGTCCATGGCCGTCTATCTACTGTATCCTCACGCGCTGGCTGCGAAGCGGGAGGCGTGCTGCGTGCTCCACTCGTTGTACGGAGGAACTGCTGCCTGCTCTTTGCGACATGATCATTTTCTGCGGCTGTGACAGGCTTCACGTTCTTGCGCAAGGGTAAAGCGGCCGTCGGCTTGGGGGTGTGGTCGTCGTCAGAGGAGTCGAAGATATCATCTACGTCTTCGAACGGCGTGCCAGGCTTCTCAGGGCTCGGGGTGGGCTGAAGCGACTGCGAGCGAGGGACATGGCTGAAAAAGGAGGTAATGGGCTTGTATCCCGGCTTGGGCTTCGTTGGAGACTTGGCTGGAGACTTCTTCAGAGCAGCTTTGGACGGCTTCGGTAGCGGTGCCTGTAATGTTTGGGCGCGGGCTGGCTTGACTTCACCCTGCGGGCCATTAGATGAACTCGTTAGTGTGCCCCTCCTGGTCCGCTTGGGAGGCGGTGAGTGTGTCTCATCTTGCTCAGAATCGGATGAGAGCACGACGGGCTTCTTGCGCGCTGCTCGCGGCTTCACCATCCCGCCGCGAGTTGATCGACCTGAGGCAGAATCGGCGCCAAATTGTCATCCTCGGAAACAGCAGCCAGTGGTTGTCGCGAGCGTGGGCGTGGACTGGCGAAGGGTGAAATGCGGACGCGATGGGCGAGACGCGGGAAGCGCCAAGAAGTCCCATGTCACGCTAGGAGCAGTGCACACGACCGACAGCGCATCCTCGTACAGTAAGTACCACGACTACATGGATGGGTTACATGGTACAGTACATACAAAGATACTTCACCGCGCATGGCCCTACCCGCTCCCGGCCGACTAAAATGCCGCCGCTCGAGGCTGACATGCGGCTACCGGGACTTATTCCAGATGGCTGCACGTGCACTGCATGCATTGGTTCTTGCACCAACCGCAGCATGCCACACCGTCTCTGCTGCATAGAGGTCGAAACTTCACGTCCAGCACAGCCATGGCGTGCATGGCGGGTCGCTGGCTGTTGCTTTCCTTTCGTCATGTGCGTCCTGTTCAGTGTGTCTCCTCCCCTCAAGTCGGCTCCATTGCTGGCCATCGTCGTGGCCGCATAGCAGAACAGTGAAGCCAGCTCTACTACTGGGCAGGCTCCACGTGCACACCAGGCTGTACTTGGAGGCCGAACGCGTTTCAATGGGGCGCATAGCGTAGTCGGCTCAGATCCTCGATGAGCTGGCAACCTCGCTGCCCCTTTTTCATTGGACCGTCTTGTGTCTCCAACTCGTGCTATCTGTTATGCACGGCTGTCAATATATACCTCTTTATGCGCGTGCTTGTGTTTTTTGACATGTTTCCCTGTCGTTGGGCCACGCAAGCACGCGTCCAGCCTCGTCTTTGTGCTGTTTCTGGTCGATTGTGAGGGGCACACAGCGAATTCCTACGGTGGCAGTCGTCTGTGTCTCTACTACCCCACTATAAACAGGGAGCGTCGCAATTCTCATCATGGCGAAAAAGAAGAGCAAGAAGAACCAGAAGCAGGTGGAGTCCGCGTCTCCACCAACACCACCGACCGAAGAGCCTGTCCCTGCTATACCTGATGCTCCAACATTAACAGCAGAAACACCAGCCACCAAAGTCACGACTCAAGACCAATCACTCACAGAGACACTAGCCACAGAAGCCACGTCAGGAGTCCAGGCAACACCTCCAGCTGCCACGATCGACGACACGTCGATCGTTGAGCCTCTGGTCGAAGGGCCCACATCTGCACCTAGCCAAGATCCTGAGGGCCTTGAAGCTATCACAAACGACACCGAGCAACCGGTAGCCACTAAGGATTCGGACGTGGTCGAGACCGCACCCGTTCTAGAACAAGAAGAAGTCACTGTGCCGAAAGAGGAAGATATCACACAAGGAGTACCCTCAGAAGAGCAGGCGAACGAGTCAAAGCCAGAGGTCACAGAAGAGCCGGCAGAAACTCCAGCATCTCCAACTGAGCCAATTGAACTAGTTCAAGAACCTGATCTTCCGGCACAAATAGAGCCAGAGAACGTGGTAGAAGTTCCCGGTCAAGAAGAGCCGATGAGTGTAGCGAAAGTTGATGCACAAGTAGAGCCGGTCAAGGGGGAAGCTCCAGAAGCTCTAGAAGCGGAGCCGGCTGTTGCCACATCAAGCTTGTTGTCTACAGAGCGTGAGGAGTCTCAGCAGAATCAGTCCGAATCCGAGCATGTCGTAGAAGCACCTAATGTGAGCGAGTCACTACTGCCGCCAGCCCCAGAGGTGCCCTCTGCGCAACCACAACCGCTTGCTGAGAAAAGCATTGTTGAACCTTCTCCAGCCCATCCTAAAAAGGAGACAGCCAAGCAAAAACGAGCGCGCGAGGCCAAAGAGAAGAAGCAGCGTGACGAGAAAGAACTATTAGAGAAGGAGAGGCTCGAGTCGGAGGGACTTGAGAAGCAGCGCGAAGAGCAAGAGAGGCTCGAGCGGGAAGCAAAGGATGCTGACGATGCTCAGAAGGAGGCTGAAGCCAAAGAAGAAGAACGCCGACTCGAGCAGGAGAAACTCGAGCAGGAGAAACTCGAGCAGGAGAAACTCGAGCAGGAGAAACTTGAGCAGGAGAAACTTGAGCAGGAGAAGCTTGAGCAGGAGAAGCTTGAGCAGGAGAAGCTTGAGCAGGAGAAGCTCGAACAACAAAGGATCGAGCAGGAGGCCAAAGAAGCTGCTGATGTTGCCGAACAGGCTCGGAAGGATGCTGAAGCCGAAGAGGCAATTCGATATCAAGAGCTAGAGAAACTCGAGCAGGAAAAGCTCGAGCAGGAAAAGCTTGAGCAAGAACTACTCGAGCAGGAAAAGCTTGAACAAGAAAAACTCGAGCGCGAGCGGAAAGTTGAAGAGGAATGCCAGTTGGAGGAACAGAAGAGACTCGAGCAAGAGGCCATAGAAGCTGCCGAGGCCGCAGAAAAGGCTCAGAAAGAGGCTGAAGTCGAGGAGCAGAAGCAACGCGAAGAACACGAGAGACTCGAACAGGCGAGAATTGAGCAGGAGGCTGCCGAAGTTGCTAGAAAGGCTCAAGAGGAGGCCGAGGCCGAAGAAGAACAACGGCGTAAAGAGTTGGAGAGAATCGAGCTGGAAAAGGTCGAGAAGGAACAACTTGAGCACGAAAGACTGGAACAGGAAGCGAAAGATGCCGCCCAATTCGCTGAAAGAGCCCAAAAGGAGGCCGAGGAAGCGGAGGCTGCCCGCATCGCCGCAGAGTATGCCTTGCGTGAACCGACGCCGACGCCTTTTATACACGATCCACCTAACGTGCCAGCACGAGCTCCAACGCCTCCTTCTCGCAGTCCACCTCATTCTGTGACGACAGCAGCGTCAAAGCCAAGAGCACAAGAAGCGGGCCCAATGCATGCACCAAGACCACAAGCTGTCACCCAGATCATTGAGGATAATCGACCACCAGCCCCAAGCCCACCCGTAAGCAGAATACGATCAAGGTACGTGAGTTTGCATTAGTTCTTTGCAAAGCGCTTCTTGCACCATTGTAAACACTAAACCAGAATTGGAATGCTACGCGAAGCGCTCTGGGCCTACCCATGACTTGTCCCATTCTCCAATCCTTCAACCTTGATAGCACGTTACTAACCGTACAACCAATATTAGGCATACATCTGCTTTTGACTCCGAGGATGATTCCGATTCTGCCCTAGTACAGACTAGGCGTCGATTCCGAGGCGGTGAGTCGCTTGACACCTCGCGTGGATCCACATACCCACCGCCAACGCATACCCGCGGTGTGTTCGCTTCGCGCGTACCTGCGGAATCCACCTACACCAATCCTCCACCGCCTCCACCGCCGGGATACCATCCCAGATACTACGCGCCGGCAGCCCCACCTCACTACCAAAATCATGGTTACGGTATGAGTCAGCCTGGTTATCCAAACCCTAACCCCTACGGTCCCTCGTCGCACTCTTCTTCCTCCCCATATCAAGAATCATGGAACCAATATCCACCTGGTTACCCCCCTTATGGCTCTCCACCCCAACGTCATGACTCCTCGGGCTCTAGAGACTATCCCGTGCATGCAATAGAGAACGGACCTGCAATTGAAAACGATTCTGGTGACGTATTCTCACGTATTGCACAAGCTATCCCTGACTTGCACGTTCTGCTTGCACGATACAAGGAGACGCATGGTCAGTTGAGTGTACGGGAGGAGCTCCTTCGCCGATCTAGCGTTGAACAGGAGGAAAAGTTGAGAGCAAAGGACGATGAGATCGATGACCTGAAGGAGAAGATCCGCAAGTTGGAGAACAAGCATTCAGCTGAGGCAAGCCGACTGCGTTTTCAGATTGGTAACCTGGAAGAGCAAGTCAAAGAACTTCGAGAGCAGATCGCTGAGACAGAGAAGTACAAGAAAGACGCCGAGGAAACTAAGTCGGCCCTAGACGCAGCGATGAGGTCTTGGGAGGCCAAGTATAAAGAGCTGGAAGAAGCGCATGCTCTACTTGAGAGAACGGCTGCAGAAGAGAAGACAAAGGCCTGGAGGGACTTTGACGAGTGGAAGTCCACTGCTACTACGAAGCATGACGCTGAGAAGATCGCTCTTGCCATTCAATTCGACAAGAAGCTCAAGGAAGCCGACGTCCTTGCCGAGAATCAGAGACAGGAGGCTGCAGCTGCCTTTGTTCAAGAGAAGGACGATCTTCGGTCTGAGCATCAGAGACAGCAGCGCGAACGCGAAGCCAGCTTTGACAGAGTGCGCAACGAGCTCGAGACTAAGCTCGGCTTGGCCCAGAAAGATCGCGAAGAAGCCCTCAAGCATGAGCGCGAGAGCCGAGAATTCTGGGTGTCCGAGCGCGAAACGCTCCTCAAGGCTCATCAAGAGGACCAAGACAGCCTCCACAAGGGTTGGGTTGAGCAGCGCGATCTCTTGGACGCCCAGTACAAGAAGACCAAGGACGAGTCAGACAAGGCTTGGATCGATCTGCATGCTGATGCTAGCCGTAGGGCTGAAGAGGAGAAGGCCAAGGTCGAACAGCTGACGAAAGAGAGGGAAGAGTTGATGAAGAAGTACGTCGAGCTCAGAGCAGAGAGCCAAAAAGAGAAGGAAGTCATCAAGAGTGTTGCCGCCAATCTTGACTCTGAGAAGGCTAGATTGGAGAAGTTGATGGATTGTTACGGAGACATCGCAGAGATTAAAAGCAAGGGCGACACCTACTAGTAAGTGATTTTGGCTTGTTTACCGTTATCCAGCACGCTCCATGCGACGGTAGCAGACCAATGAAGTATGTCGACCATAGCAATACTACTGTCTGGCAGAGGCTTGACTGTATGGTTTCAGTGTTCTTTGCGCTTCAGATCGGAGATTGTAGAGAACACTGAAGCCATGTAGCCTACCTTGTGTGGCAGCTGCCCCAGATGAGTTGCTTGATCTGAAAATGTATCCCCTACACCGTCGTTAGCACCTTGTTATCCCGTAATACAATTATCCTTCCTGCTCCAATCGCGTCGTTTCATTTCTGCTATGTTTTGGGCTCGCTGCTAACTACAAGATCCAGCTTAGTGTCATTCTCCCAACTTCAAAAGCAGATCATTGACCTTGCCTCGACCCACTTTGTACACCTTCCAGTGCGACCGCCTTCAGAAGATCTCGCACAGGTTCCTTCGAACCTTCCATCATTCCTCGGCGACACCGTAGCCTCTAGGTATGTTTAGCGCCCCTTTCACATTTGCCAAACTCTAACCCAGGATGACTATAGGCAAGTTCGTGCTGCATATGTAGCACATACAGTGTCCAAGCTGATCACGTACCGAGTTTTTGGTCCCTTCTTGTTCAGCCTCGGTCGTCGTTATGACAAGGCCGACTCCTTGTTTCTCTCAATGAGCAACCACATCCGCGATAAGAGCACCCGCAAAGAAGCAATCTGGCGTCAACAGACGCTCCTTGCTGCATTTACGAGCAGTGGCGCCAAGCAGCGTATTAACACCGCCGCTGGTACTGTCGTTGAAGAGATTGTTAACGCGATCAAACACTTTGCCGACCCGAAGGAAGAAGAAGGTATCAAGATTGGTGTCAAACGCATTGTGAAGCTTGCCGCTGAGACATGGCGCTTTGCACGCCTCGAGCGAGAGATGGTCACGGCAACTATGCCAGCATTGCAAGATGAAGAACACCAGTTTACAGGCCCTGAGTATTGGCCTGCTTACAAGGCCGAGGGCACTATCATAGCGTCCCTCGCAGGCACTTCACCTCCATCCGATGTTCAGCCTCAACTACTACTGAGGCTCTTCCCGGTCATCTATCGCGAGTCGAAGCATGAGAACTTTCATGGTGATGGAGAGATGCGTGACGAAGGCTGCATCTTCCACCATGGACTGGCTCTGTATGATGATGCAGAGCCAGTTGTACAAAGGGCGGAAGAGCTCAAGTCTGCTGGTTTGCCTCCCTTTACCACTGCTTCTTCGTCGACTGCTGATGGTTCTGGGAAGTTTCCGCCCCCAGCGGTGCCTCCACCTCGAGACCCTCTACCACCTCCTCCCGCTCCTCCTCATTCCGCTCCCAAAATGGCTGAGACGGCCTCGGCAAAATCAAGATCTCCCCCGTCATCGCTGACCGATAAGTCTGAGAGGGCTTCCGTCAGGCGGGCGACACCGCCACCTCCTCCATCCTCGATACCGACCTTAGAGGACTTGACACCTTCGATACCAACAACTGCGTACAAGCGTCCACCTCCGGGACGGATTGATTTCGCCTCTCCTAGAAATCTTGTCGGGCTCCCTATGCCTGTCGAGAGCTTGGTTGCATCGCTACCGCCTCCAAGGCGAAAGAAGACAGTTGATATACCATCCACTCCCACAGAACCAGTGCCGGAGGTGGCTGAGCCCCCAGCTCAGTCTGTCCCATCGCCCACTTCTCGCTCATCTCAGCATGCTGCTTATCATTCCTCGACTCAGCCTTCTCCTCCTCGTCATCCACCACCGCCACCACCTCAAGTGGCAGAGCCGGCGGAAGAGCCACCTCATCCCACACCTACAGAAAGTGCGATTCTCCCAGTGTCCTTCTCCGCATCCACCATCCAAGAAAGCGGAAGCCGAGACCTCCCCACACCACCACACTCTCGCTCCGGTACACCGACTCGCCCCGTGTCGCCTCTCTTCGAGGCCATAGACGAGATCGATGCCATACAGACTCATCGTAGCCGAAACCCCTCAATATCTTTATCACGCCGCCGTTCAACGCATACCCGTCACTCCAGTGAACGAACCATCGAAGATGAACTACCAGAGGTCAACCCCCGCTCGGAAACTGTACGTCGAACAAGCGGCTACGCACTCAGCGCGCGGACATCAAAGACAAGCGATAGTGATCGCACGGAACGAACGGAACGCACTGAGAAGTCTGAGCGTACCGACAAGTCTGAACGCACTGATCGTTCTGACAAGACAGACCGCGACCCTAAGTCCCGTTACATGTGCGAAAGTCGCAGTGCCGCCATCAAGGCCTTATATCCCAACAGCCCTTTGGCAGGTCAGGGTGCGAGCAATAGCTCGAAAAACTCTGTAAAGAGCGAGAAGAAGAAGGATCGAGATTCCACCAGGGACTCGATAAGAGACTCGAAAGAGCTAAAGAGAGAAAGGAGTGTTGCCGATAATGGAACATGGGACACTAATAGTCAGAGTCGAACAAGCGAGGAGACGAACACGCAGTTATCTACCAAATGAGCTGCGTTGCTCACCGAGAATTTTCCGAATCATGCGGCCTATGATTGTCTTGAGGCGTTTTTGGAGTTGGTATCTCTTCTTAGAGCTTTGTTAGAGTTCACATCGCATATGATGTATGAGTATGTATACCGATCGAGGATGCATTACGAAGGCGTACAGCATGATGGCTAGAAGTCTAAGACAGTTCATCATAGCTTGGTGTTTGCATGGGTTTGCATATTTGTTAGCTTGTTTAGCTTTTAGTTACTCTCCTTTTAGCACCATTTGTACAGTACTTACTATGAATCCGCAAATTGATGCCTGCCTTTCCCAAACTCATATCTCATACTCTCAAAGACAACGTGGACGCAACAGGTCACGTAACATCGAACTTAGCTTAGATTTCTGTCAGTCGTGTATTCCCTCTCTTAGAAAGTTTACTTGGTAAGATAGAACCATAGTTGGCCACCGTCTCGATATATGCAGCCTATCCTGGAAAACTCAATGTAATCACCAACATCTCCGCACTCAAAGTACCTTCACAGAACCAGCGATATCTCAACTAGGGCGTAGACGCTTTGAAAACCCTCTTGCTTGGTGAGAGATGCGTTTTAAGAAGGAGACTAATAGCCGTAGTCCTGCTATTAAGTTTCTGGCAACAAAAATTCTCTATATAGAGTCTATAGTGAAATCGTTGCTGTTTCGTCCAAGTACTCGAGAAAGGAAAAGCTAGGATTTCGTGACTCTTATTGGATCATGTGTACGAATGGTGCCCCGAAAGGGCGGTGGCATCATGTTCTTGAGATTGGAGATCCGAGCTTAGCGCGCTCTAAGTCCGCCCCATCGCCGAATATCAAGCTCCCATCAAACAGCCAACACAAAGTATTCGCAAACCCTCATTCTGAGACTACAACCAATTTCCCTGCAACTTCTACGCGTCTTCAAAGTTTCCAAGCACGCGCAAGCACGTCAAGATGACGGAACCATCTCCCGTCCCCGCACCCCAAACCGCAGAGACAGAACCAGTACTTGTAAACGGCCTGGAATCGCAAGGCGTAGACGTGGTAATGGCCGATTCAAGCGCTCAGCATCAGGTACCTACCTAATTCCCCTCCTTGCGCTATGCATGGGGCCAAACCACTAACTCGTCTTTTAGCTCTCTCCCAACCCAACTCTGACACACGCGCCTCAACCCTCTCTCCAACCCTCCGTCTCCACACAACCACCTACGCCTCAACCCGCACCTACGCCTGCTCCACCCGCAGCAGCATCATCCCGCAACTCTCCGCTCCCAACGCAACAAGCGCCCACACAACCGATACCGCACGGTAGTCCGACGCGTGTCTATTTGAATCAGCATGTTACGCCACATTTGCTCGAGGCGATGAAGCATCTAGCGACTACAGAGCCAGATAAGCCGCTGAAATGGCTGAGTGAGTTTTTGGCTATGAAGAGCGCTGAGATTGAGGGCCCTTGAAAAACTTCAAGGAGCATCTGGAAGCGACAAGCCATCTAGGGACACATGTGGAGCTAGTAGGTGATATGAGTTGGAGGATATCTTTAAAGGTCATGAAGCAGAGCACGCGGAGACCTGGTGGCATGGACAGGTACATAGAAGCTTCAAAGTACATGGGTTGGCGTTCAAAAGTACGACGGATCGTTAGGCGTCAAAAGGGATGATACCCAGGCAGCATCACGTTCACAACAAAGAGCACGCAGTGCACGTTTATGTATCCAATTCAAAGATGATGCTTTTTTGATTCATTCCAGATCATAACCCTGCTGGGTATCCGTAAAGCATCCATGCCAGTGAAACTCCCTGTCCGCTTGACTGTGTTCTAATGACGGCTATCCACACGAAACCCACATCCGCTTATGCGACGAGAGTGGAGGCAGTGGCGCTCTCGTACCTCCAGTTAGGGGGAAGGACACCGACACTCTTGTAGTAGCGGGAGAGACGGTGGATACGGGACTCGATGAGAATCAGACGGCTATCAAAGTTAGTTTAGGCTTCGATGTGAACGCATGGAACCAACGTACAACTTGGAGTCCCTGTCCTTGCGGTTGATCGACAAGTGCTTGCGGACGGCGACAGCCTTCTTGATGAGCATGTAGAGGTCCTCGGGGATCTCAGGAGCGAGGCCTAATTGCACCCTGTCAGCTTTGCACCAACAGAGGCAGATTTGTATAGCGCGGCAGATGCACAAGGGCAGAGCTGCGGTTGACTTGCGCTTCAGCTTGGGCAGGTAACCATACCGGAAGACTTGAGAATTCGGAGAATCTTGTTGCCAGTGACGACTGCAACTTGTTAGCGCGTGCTATCACTTTTGCCTGGCGTCGCAAAACGTACCCTTGACCTGGGCGATACCGTGAGAATCACGGAGGATCTCACCGATCCTGCAATTCCGTTAGTACTCCATGATTCCTTGCGCTCTGCAATAGTCCTTACTGGGAGGGAGTGGCGCCCTTCTTCGCGAGCTTGCCGATCTGCTCGACGACCTGCTCGGGGGTGGTCTTGAGCCACGCAGGCGGGTTGCGGGAGTAGGGGATGGCCGAGGCTGATATGCCCTTTCCGTTGCTGTGAAGACGACCCATGGTGGATGATTGTACCGGACGGCGAACTGGTCGATTAGTACGGAGACGAGTGGTGGGCTGGAGTCTTTGAAGTTCGTGATCACGAAGAATTGAGAGGTTGAAAATCGCTTAGAAGCAGTGGGCGTCCGTGCGCACCATGCCGTCTTGGCGCTTGAATCTCGATAAAAAGTCTGTCTGAACTCAAACTTCATCTCCTCCTCGAAGATTTCTGTGCGCGGCCATAACGATACGACGTGTGGTATGGGTGGTTAATTGATGGTGTTGCTCAACATGGCTCGTCCACTGTGTCTCATTGTCATGTAGGATGCTTTATGTTTCGACGCGACACCACCCAACCCTGAAGGTACGTTCTTCTCTTCCCCCTCTTTACTGCCGCAAGGGATTATTACCATAGCTATTTCTGGCACCTCTTCTCTTAAACTTCCTTTAACAGAGGCTGTTGATGCATTCAAACCGGACTCTATGATGCGTTTTTTTGATTACCTCTGTCAAATCATACTACTAAGCGGATGTGGACTGACTTGAAGCAGATACATGAAGCAGTTATACTCTGTCCCTTGAATGCCCTTGATGCAGAGGGGCATGGTTTGATTACGGTCATGGAATCGTGTTTTGTCCAAGGGTGCGTGCGACTTGGCTTATTGGAAAGTCGTTGCGTCCCTCCGGTATAGGATTTGTACACGCGCTTTCTCGACATCAAATCGTGGCTTCCCCATGCTCGCTGATATGGTATGATGGCCGCACAGGTCATTACATGTGCTACATAGTTAAATACCTATCTCCCATCCTAAAACGTACAAACAACATTGCCTTCCACACTATACCACACCCCACCCTGCATTGATCTCCAACAACTTCTCTTACACTCATCTATCATGAAACAGACGCTACTCTTCGCAGTCTTTTCCCTGCCCTTCGTCTTCGGCAAGACCGCCGGTGAGCTATGTCGCGGCACCGCTGCACTATCCAAGGACGGTAACTGGTACTGCTCCGAAGTGTGGGCTATCACATACCGCAATATTAGCCAAGCTGGCACCTACAACCGGACGACACACATCGATCCTCGCACCGGACTCTGTGGCCACGAACGCATCGACTACCCCGGAACAGGCCCGCTCACACCGCTGTTTGGAGAGGTAGTGCTCGCCATGCAGTCTTTCGCTGGTATACTGACAGGCATGTGCAGGTCTCGATGCATTTGCGCGGGCCGATGAACGTATCTCAGCTCGCCGTATATCAGCTTCCAAGCGAGACGCAGACAATGCAGAAGCGAGACACGGTGCCCTTCTACAATCGCCAGAGTACATTGAAGCAGCGGGACCGCTCTAACGACACAAACGTCTCCAGCGAACAACCCCAATCTTTCAGCGCACATGACGCTTCACTATTGAATCAGGGGACGGGGGATACTAACACAAGCTGTAGCCGCTTGACGGTCACTTCGACCATCACAGTGACGGATTGCAAAACGTCCAGCACTACTAAGCCTTTACCAAATACAATGTCCATCTGTCCTCCACTGACATGTGTACCTACACCGGAGCCACTGACCACAAGTAACGACACATCTTCTCCGATATCTTACTGCACTTGCACGAATCCAGCATCAGTCGTTCAGCCATTCGAGCAGCAAGCTCAAGTTGTAGCTACATCCGCGCCCATACCGAATTCAAACGTGCTCTTCAAGAGAGACGATTTCCATGCAGCAGCAGCTAGGTGGAGCCGGGTGGCATATTACACGTCCAGTGCAGCAGCTCAAGCAACCGGATTCTCATTCCTCGCCAACCTGGGCGACCCCCAAAAGTCGGGCACATTCGACTAGTATGGCATTACGAGTAGCATTGGGACAATATTAACGTTGACCAGCGCCTTTGGCAACTCCCTCGGGTACGTCACTCCAGACGGCGGCAGAGTAGCATCAGAAAGCCTCCCCTTTGACGGCACTCTTGAAACCTCCGAGCGCGAGATTGCAGTCTTCTCTGACAAAGAATGTGATCACGACTGTCCATACTGGAGGCCAGACGCTATATCCCACTGTAGGATGACTCCACTCTACCCCATGCGTTCCATTGTGTCTCTAATGTAACAATATACAGACGGCTGGTCCGGCTCCTCCAAAGCGTTCATCATAGAATTTCAGATGGACCACTACCAGAACCGCGGCACCGACCAAGGCCTCATCTCCGACGCGCCGGCATGGTGGTTCCTCAACGCTGCAATTCCACGCATTTTGCAATATGGAAATGATCGCAACAACATACCCTGCTCATGTTGGTCGACTGGCTGCGGTGAATTCGACGCATTCGAAGTGCTCGGTAATGGGGAAGAAAGAGCGAAGAGCACGATACACCGTCAGGGCAATCTACAGGGCGGGGACTCGAACTACTTCAAAAGACCCGTAGGGGGGAAGATGAAGTTTGCGGTGGTGTGGCACTACCCACATATCACTGCATTGGTGCTAGACGATGACTTTGATTTTGGGACAGACTTGTCGAACGAACAAGTGCAACGGTTGGTGAGGTATGATGAGGACAGCTGGGTGCATTCGTTGTTCGCTATTGGGGATTAAGCCGAGTCTTTGCAGCATGGTTGATTATGTTCTGTACGTTGAATGTGATAGAATATATCAAAGTACCATGGCAAACTTGTGGTGCTTCGGGGTGGCAAAAGGGCTTCGGCTTGTGATTGCGGCCTGCGGTTGTGCTTGCCCAAAGCGTCGCCTCAGACCGAGGTCTCTGGCCGTCAAGTTCTGTGGAAGCCCAGCCGCATGCCGACTACGGCGCGCTCACTCATTGCCTTCATTACAACCTACACCGTAATCTTCGATCCTGTTGAGACTGCTCGTGCAGCGCCTTTATCCTCGACGCGGACCCGCCCATATAACGGATACAATCCCGGCGAACCCCGCAAACTCGCCCCGATCGTCGCCGTCCGTCACTTGCCAACCTCTTTGACATCCATCTCAGAGCCTACCATCGAATCGAAGATAGTAGCATCTCCCATTCCAGCGACTACTACTGCGGCGTAGAATCGCGCAACGGTGCGGTGAGGAGGCGCATGCGGAAAGATGTCTTCGCCTTCGCCGCCGAAGCCATGGGAGACGAGCGGAGGTGCCACCAGTGCCTCGGTTGGTCAGTATCTGCTGTTCAGGACATCGGCGACAAGTATGCCTAACAACAACGCAGGACTCGCTGGGTCGAATAACACCATGGCACCCACCGCGTCAGCCACATCCTCAAACGCTCCTCCGTTACCATCGGTACCAGATTCGCTCAGCACAGTCGCAAACCGCAACGCCTCAAATTACTCCAACATGAACAGTCGATACACATCACCCTACAGCAGTGGCTATGGCGGTATGAACAGCTACAGCTCGCCCTATTCTAGTCTAGGTGGAGGTTACGGATCCATGTATGGAGGCATGGGCGGCATGGGTGGTATGGGCAGCATGTATGGCGGCATGGGCGGCATGGGAATGGGTATGGGAGGCATGTACGGAGGGATGGGCATGCCCGGTGACCCAAACAACCAGAACAGCCTCACGCAATCGTTCAGCCAAAACACTGCAGCAACATTTCAGTTGATTGAGAACATTGTTGGCGCTTTCGGCGGTTTTGCGCAGATGCTGCAGAGCACATACATGGCCACACATTCGTCATTCTTTGGTATGTTAGTCGAATCTGCGCTTCAAGTTTGACGCTGACGCTCGAGTAGCTATGGTTTCGGTCGCAGAACAATTCGGAAATCTACGACAGACGCTTGGCTCAGTTCTGGGGATTTACACAGTTATGCGATGGATACGAACGGCGATTGCCAAAATCACTGGACGGCCACTACCAGCAGATGCGACGAGCTTGACGCCTGCGAGCTTCGCGGCCTTCAACGGACGGATGCCAGATGGCTCACCAGCCCCCGCAAAGCCATCGAAGAAACCTTTCATCGTTTTCATGCTGGCAGTCTTCGGTCTACCATATCTGATGGGCAAGCTCATCAAAGCCCTTGCGCGGTCGCAGGAGGAGGAGGAGAAGCGGAAAATGGCGGAGAATCCACAAGCGTTCGGCCAACCGCTTGATCCTAACAAGCTTGAATTCTGCCGCGCACTTTACGACTTCACCCCGAATGCCAATATGCAAGGCATGGACTTGTCGGTCAAGAAGGGCGACATGGTCGCTGTACTGAGTAAGAGCGATCCAATGGGCAACCCTTCGGAGTGGTGGCGGTGCCGTTCGAGAGACGGAAGGATGGGGCACCTTCCCGGGATCTATCTGGAGACGATCCAGCGAAAACAGCCTGCACAAATCACTAGCGGAAGCCAGAGCGGAAGCCCGGCTGGTAGTAGGGCTCAGACGATGACGAGCAGCAGTGCTGCGAGCAGGACTGCTACAATGACGGAGGGCAAGGCGCCAGAAAAAGGGCCTAAGATGGAGAGCAAGGCTGGTGACATGGGTGTTGAAAGCTTTCAGAAGGGCGCCTTCTACTCATAATTATTCAGCGACGCTTTTGCGCATTGTTTCTTGTATATTGCGATTCTCATAGCAGGCCGGGTAGGCCTGATATTTCAAGGTTGGGCCCAAGTGCCCCAGCGGGACTTTCTTGTGTATTTCTTGTGTATGTTAGTGGCTGGGAACAGATACAGATGGGCGTATGGCGAGCAACGATATTATTGACACTTGGTACCTGAGCTTGTCTTCCCAACATTAAATATTTGCCACTTGTATATGTGACGTTTCATCACGTGTAGCTTGCCATGTCGCTTTGAGGTGCGGGTCAAGCTGTCAAGCTGTCAAGCTCCCGCTTTGAGTCAGCGTTACTTTCAACACAGCGAAGCAACTTTGCGAACAATCAACGCTCTCTGAACCTAGTCTCGCTGCCTCTTCTTCATACACCCTTTCTATCTTGTTGTAACAACAAGCTATTCAGATAGCCACTGCTTAGGTCCATTGCCCTTCTCCCGCTACAGGCTGCGACCTCTTTCGAACCTAACACCGCCACACCGACGTACCTGACCTCTGTGACACATACGTCAACACGCTCCTCGATAAAAAAGTCCCCTTACGCGGAGTACTGCTGCTTAGTGAGCAAGAGGAATCTTACTCTCAGTCAATATGTTTGCGTCTAAGCGGTTGGGCAAGGTATGTTCGAATGTTCTAGGGACTGCTCTCTTCGAGAGAAAACAACAACGAAACTGACGCTTGTTTATAGGAGCTAACAAAGGTGCCGTAATCCTTCCGTACTTTCACATGATTAACCTGCTTCCCAATAACAACCGCCGCGCCTCGGGTTCTCTATGAGAGTTAACTTGAGATGAACGTTTCATTAACTATCTTGAGTCTCAGATGCACGGCAAGCTACCCCCGGGCATAACACTTGTCAAAGCAGACGACTTTCAAACGTGGCTTATGGACATTCAAGTCATCGACTCAAATCCAATATACCAGGGCGAGACATACAGGTTGAAGTTTATCTTCAGTGGAAACTATCCAATCGAGGTATGGTTTCCCCCTTCTCTCCCCCCCTCTACACCCTCCTCCCGGTTCTTCTTCCAGCCCCACACTAACCCTCTTCAAAAGGCACCCGAAGTTGTCTTCCTCAAAGACGACTCACACCCTATACCCTGGCACCCACACATTTACTCCAACGGCATCATCTGTCTCGACCTCCTCGACCGACAAGGATGGTCACCGGTCCACAACGTCGAAAGTGTGTGTGTTAGCCTACAGAGTATGCTCACGAGCAACACGAAGAAGGAGCGGCCGCAGGGAGACGATAACTTTGTGAGGTACAACACGCAAAGGCCGAGAGACATTAGCTTTGTATTCCACGATAATCAGGTCTGAGGAGGGGCCGAGGAGGCTAGAAAATGAGCGACTCAGCTACGGGGCATTTGACTGTCATGGTCGGTGTATGGCGTTTGTTGGGACTAGACATGAGTGCTTGTAGGGAGTATGACTTTACGATGGCGTTTCCAGAAAGATATACCCTAACTATGACGTGGAATTTCAATTCTCCTCCGCGACATTGCATTGCCGCCCTGCTTCGTCTTGCTGCCTGGAGACCCACAAGCAGGGCTTGACAGAAACGTTCGGCTCGACCGAAGACGCCCGCAGGTTATCGATAGCGCGCGCACGCACGGATATTTTGACCGACAAATTTCCTTGGCGGGCATTTTGGTGGACTGCCCGCAATTTTTCCTTAGCTTGCCTTCCTGTCGCTATAAGCGAAAAGTTCCACGCCCTCTTCCTCCCCCTTCCACTATACCATCTCTCTCTTTGAAATCTCCAGGTCGTTCCTGCACTTAATACCCATCATGAGCGACGAAGTCTACGAGGGTGCCATTGGCATCGATCTTGGTGCGCACTATCCGCAATATTCACCCCACCGTGCGCTGCTAACCCTCACCGCCAGGCACAACCTATTCTTGCGTTGCCAACTACGAGGGCACCAATGTCGAGATCAGTATGCGCCCGCCTCTCCCAGTCTCGCCATGGCCGTTATCTAACCACATTGCCCACAGTTGCCAACGAGCAGGGTAGCTTTACCACTCCCTCGTTCGTCTCCTTCACCAGCGAGGAGCGTCTGATCGGTGAGGCGGCCAAGAACCAGGCGGCCATGAACCCGGAGAACACCGTCTTCGATGTCAAGTAAGTCTTGTGTTCGATGCACTCTGAAGGCTGACCAGCAAGCTGACTTTTTCAGGCGATTGATTGGTCGCCGATTCGATGATGAGACCGTCAAGAAGGACGTTCAGTCATGGCCCTTCAAGGTCGTTGACCAAAACGGCAGCCCGATCGTCGAGGTCGAGTACCTCGGTGAGCGCAAGCAGTTTTCTCCCCAGGAGATCTCTGCCATGGTTCTCGTCAAGGTACGATTTGCGCCCACTTTTGCTTTTGGCGGGGCTACAGCTGACGACCGGACAGATGAAGGAAGTTGCTGAGGTCAAGCTCGGCATGAAGGTCGAGAAGGCTGTCATCACCGTGCCCGCCTACTTCAACGACAACCAGCGTCAAGCCACCAAGGATGCCGGTGCCATCGCTGGCCTGAACGTTCTCCGTATCATCAACGAGCCTACCGCCGCTGCTATCGCCTATGGTCTCGGTGCCGGAAAGTCGGACAAGGAGAGGAACGTCCTCATCTACGATCTTGGTGGTGGCACCTTCGATGTGTCTCTGCTGCACATCCAGGGTGGTGTTTTCACCGTCAAGGCCACCGCTGGTGATACCCATTTGGGCGGACAAGACTTTGACACGAATCTTCTCGACCACTTCAAGAAGGAATTCACGAAGAAGACTAAGAAGGATATCTCAGGGGATGCCCGCGCTCTGCGCCGTCTCCGGACTGCTTGCGAGCGTGCTAAGCGAACACTCTCCAACGCTACTCAAACCACTGTTGAGATCGACTCGCTGTTTGATGGCGAGGATTTCAACACCAACATCACCCGTGCCCGTTTTGAAGACCTGAACCAGAAGGCCTTTGCCGGCACCCTTGACCCAGTCGCGCAGGTCCTCAAGGATGCGAACATCGACAAGAGCAAGGTTGACGAGATCGTGCTCGTTGGTGGTTCCACTCGTATCCCCAAGATCCAGAAGCTCCTCAGTGACTTCTTCAACGGCAAGAAGCTCGAGAAGAGCATCAACCCCGATGAGGCTGTTGCCTACGGTGCCGCTGTCCAGGCCGGTATCCTCTCTGGCAAGGCTACCTCCGCCGACACTGCCGACCTTCTCCTTCTCGACGTCGTTCCTCTCTCCCTTGGTGTAGCCATGGAGGGTAACATCTTCGCCCCTGTTGTCCCCCGTGGACAAACGGTGCCCACCATCAAGAAGAGGACCTTTACCACCGTGGCCGATTCCCAATCTTTAAGTACCCCTTACAATTCCAAACATTCGTTGCTAATCTGCCTCTAGACGGTCCAGTTCCCGGTTTTCCAGGGCGAGCGTGTCAACTGCGAGGACAACACCTCTCTTGGAGAGTTTACCTTAGCGCCAATTCCACCAATGAGAGCAGGGTTAGTAACGCTGGTCTGAACCGCGTGTGAGCATACACTAACAGCATTATTTAGTGAGGCCGTCCTCGAGGTCGTCTTCGAGGTCGATGTCAACGGTATTCTCAAGGTCACCGCTACCGAGAAGACCTCCGGCCGCAGCGCCAACATCACCATCTCTAACGCCGTTGGCAAGCTCTCGTCCTCTGACATCGAGAACATGATCAACGATGCCCAGAAGTTCAAGACCAGCGACGAGGCCTTCAGCAAGAAGTTCGAGTCGAGGCAACAGCTTGAGTCGTACATCTCCCGTGTTGAGGAGATGGTCTCTGACCCCACCACCGCTATCCGCCTCAAGCGCGGCCAGAAGGAGAAGATCGAGTCTGCCCTTTCTGACGCCATGGCTCAGCTCGAGGTTGAGGATGCTCCTGCTGAGGACTTGAAGAGGAAGGAGCTTCTGCTGAAGCGCGTTGTTACCAAGGCTTTCTCTACTCGCTAAGTGCATCATACCCTTGGTGGTTGGTCAAGGCAGTGAAAGAAGGAGAGCAGATGGCAGTATACCCAGACTGTGAGACTGCAAGCTGCGAGCGGAGTTTCCATCTTTTGCGGCATCTTAACGATAGACTTGTTGCGTTCGGTTCTTGCTTTTCCTAGGGGCTCTCTTCGGCATTTATGGGGACGTAAAAGTATTGTATGTACTTCTTATGACGACGCCTGACGACAAAATGGTATGCCTGGCGGGAATGTCCCTTATGTACTGGCCCTGGGTCCGAGCATGAGGTAGATATAGTGAGAGCAAATGGGAAAATGACGATTCAATTTAAATCATGCTTTTCCATCTACTTGACGATCTCCAGGCATACCCGTGTTGAGTTTGCTTGCGCTATCATAAAGGCGAATGAAGACTACGAGGTGAGAGATGGGTACTGTTGGTTGAGCGTTAGGACCTTAAGATGTCTACATGTGCCTTTGAGGTTACCATCTACGGATCCATACCGACTTGAAGTCTATCAGCTGACCTCCAATCCCTGCACATTTCCGTGACTATATCCTTTTTCAATTCTTGAACCGACCCGTCTGCACCGCGCTCCCGACCAAAAGCTCCCCTCTAATGATATTGGTCGCGCACACTACAATACGGCTCCCCCTCCCCTCCCCGCCGACCTCCTTCAACTTCCTGCCAACATGCCTCAGAGCCGCAATCTCTGCCCTCGTAACACCTCCGAGGAAGAAGACGACTACCGTCTTGTTTGCATCTCCATGACTCCCATTCAACATACTCCTCGCCTTGACCGCCTTCTCCTCCCCTGTTTGGACCTCATCAAACGTCGCGCCCCTAACATACTTACTCGCATCGTCGAAGATCCTGAGCCCTTGCGCTAATGGGTTCGCTTGGGCCGAAGCCTGCGGGTTGGATGGCGGCTTGATGATATTGGCAAGCGTCTGTTTCTGGATGATGGATTGGACAATTCGAACACTTAGAGGCGCATAGCCCGAGAATGTGTAGCTGATATCGTTGGGATCGGACTCATTCACCTCGTCATCCCACAAGCGTAGACTCTTCCGTAGCGGAGTGTAGTTTGTCACACTCCCCGGCTTGGCCGGTGCACCACCTAATCCCACGCCTCCTCTTGGTTGCAGCAATCCCATCTTCTCGAGTGACGCGAGCGTGAGAATATGCTGCGTTCCGTAGGCTTGGATTATGGCGCGTTTGAAGAGTTCGAGATCCTTGGGTCGAATACCGGCGTTTGTCGTGCTTTCTAGACACAACAAGCGCAGAATTGTCGGAAGGGAAACGTCACGGCTTATGAGCTCGGTAATAGTGTCGTGTTGCGTTATGGGGTCTGCACCGGACATGATGTTTTGCTGGACTTCTAGGCTCCGTGTGAAGATGTCTGTTCGTGTATACTTTATGATTTCCTCGGCGAGGCTCGTATGCAACTTTAGGCTTGCTTGTTCAGCTTGGTAGCCAGGCAGTTTCGCAACAAAATCACGCAACTCAGACGTGCTTTTTGCGGCGAGCTGATTACGCTCCGTGCTGCTTTGCAGACGGCGAGCTACTCTGTTAAGAAGGTTGCCTACAATAGCGAAGTTTGCGTCGCCTAGGTCGTTGTATAAAGTGTCTTTGGGATCGATCATGATCTTGCGCTTCATGCTTGTTGATGCGGAGCCTGTCTGGCCTGGCTGTGGTGTTGCGCCGCCGACCACAGATGAATCGACTTCTGTCTGGTTGGCAGAGATATTGAAGACTTCATCGATAAGGCCTTCGTACGTCAATTGGGTGAGTAAAACAGTGGGGAAGTCGACTTCTCGGTCAACGATGATAAGGCTATCTATATTCGAGCTCGGGGTCAGTCCTAAGAATGAAGGTCCGGCGCTGCTGGAAGTCTCGCCCGCCGTGACCTCGGTGCGCATACGGATGAGTAGATCAGCAAGGCGTTTGCCGTTATCGCCTTTTCCAATGATACGAGGGAAGAGGCCGTATTTCTGCTGTTGAAGCATGAGCGCCTTTGCTGCAAGGTAGATCGATGTCGGATCCTTCTTCTACACGAAGTTAGCATTGGCTTCGGTCTCCATCCTTCAAAACTTACCAGATACAAATCCGATACGGCATCTTCTAGCTCTAGCGACAGCACATCGTCGGCAAGCGGTACGAAAAACAACGGCCACTCGCTCACACTAGCTTCACCCAGGACACCCGCCTCCTCGAGCAGCTGGTCCGAGATCATGGTGCGCCTGGGCACCCAGAAGATAGAGAACTCATGCTCAATCTGGCTGTCCCGCCGTATACGCTTAATCTGATCTAAAAGGGTATGTTAGCACCGTACAATAGACTGTTCCCACACGAACTAAAGATGGGCAGTCCAATAAAAGCGCTAATGTTTGTTGATATGGGGATCACGACTGACTAGGCAGAGTAGGTGCTGTCTGCCTAGCCTCTTTAGTGATCCCAGAGTCCGCCACGAGGCTCCATGATAGGAATATTTTAATTATTCTGAGGAGGGCCCCACGTACCTGCAACTGCCATCACAGTCTTCGCTTTCTCCCCTCTGACCAGAAAGACGACATTGCGCTGTGACGAGTCGACATTGTTGTTCTCCAGGAAGAAAGGCTTATCGACCCCATACTCTTGGAGCGTTGAAAACTTGACAAGCAGGTTCAACGGGCCTGCAAGCGGCTTTTCAAGTACAAGATTCTTTTTCCCTCTGATCTAGGCTATGAGTCAGTGTGAGCAGCGAACTGCGATATTGATATTACCTTACACCCTCAAGTAGAAGTAGGAGATCTCTCCGGGCCTTCTCCGTAATTTCCGAAGCGTTGAAGGGCGTGATTGGGGCCATTGTGGCAGAATTGCTCAGGGTATATGTAAGCTAGTTGGTATATGTGAAGGCATCGCGGTGTGACTGTTCACCCTTAGTTGTCAAGGTAGTCGTAGGAGGAGGTGTCTGGATCGCGCCTTCGCACTTGAGCGGCAGGCACGTGCACACGAGTGCTTGGCATTGAAAGACATGTTGATCACGGTGATCCTACAAAGTTTCTATCAAAATCACACATCATGAGCTTGTTATGTACGAGTTACTGATGCTTTGGTCTCTCTCATAATGTTTAGGTCGAGATTTGTCATTCGTGGTCCACAGAACTGTATGCAACCATAATCGGTGACATTCGCCGATTCAATCTGTATACTTTACTTCTATGTACGATTCAAGGGTATACAACAAATCTTCCCAGACAAGCAAGGATATATGAGACATGTCTCTCCTTACAGATGTTTTCTAAATGATACGTTCTTTAATTTGCACCTAGAGCCCTCAGGGCAATGCGTAGTTCCTTAACAGCGGTATCCGCATCCTCAAAATTCAACGCAGAAATAGCCCACTTGGCATGCTTCTGCGCCTCCATAATCGAGTCCTCGTCGTTCCTGAATGGTCCCTGTAATGATTGCTGTGGAGGAGGTGCAGCTGGTTGAGCGTAAGGGTTTTGGTAAGGTGCGGGAGAGTTTTGTTGTTGAGTAGGAGGCGGAAAGACGCCAACGGCGCCTCTTTGTGGCACTGGTTGCGGTGAGTGCGAGGCATGTTGACAGTGCTGCGGAGGAGGAGCTGCAGTTGGCTGGGAATCTGGTGGTTGTTGCGAAATTTGGGGAGCTTTAGGTGGTGGCGAAAATGTTGGGGGTGGGGGGGTTTGATATGGATTATGTGGAGACGATGGATTTTGATAGAAGCTTGAGGGGTCTATAAGTCCTGGTGCTTGTGGCGCTTGTGAGCTGGGGGGTAGAGATAATGTTAGAGGGTCCTTGTCCATCGACGGTGCAGTAGGTAGACCAGGTGCAGTCGTTTCTGCTGTAAAAGTAGGAAGAGGCGGATCCATCCGAGGAAAGTATCCACCACCTACTGAGGCCACTGAGCCATGACGGGACGTAGTGGTTTGCGATATAGGGGAAACATCATCATGCGACGATTGTGTGTACCCTGTAGGTGCTGATGGGAGGTTGGGAGGTGGTGGCGATACTCGCGGTGCGGAAAAGGTAGGCGATGGCTGTGTGGAAGTGTTCGGTGCGGATTCGACGTAGGGCTGGTAGGGGTTCTGAGGCGGCTGTAGTGATGCGCTTTGGTTTATGCGCTGGACTTCTGGGTCGCTTGGATCCAGCGCAGGCGGTGACAAAGGTTGTTGATTTGTTTCTTGTACGGGGTTGGAGAGGTTTGGGTCTTCGTTGGCTTTGATGGCTTTGAGGATGCGCAGCGCGTGGAACTTTGCGAACTTGGTCTTCGAAGCAATCTCTGGCTCGGGGTCCTTCTTCCATATGGATAGGATTTCAAGGAATGTAGAAGCGGCAAGCAGTGTATCTGCGGTGTTGCTGGTGCAGACAATTAGCATCTGTGGTGCAGTCGCGGGACCATGTCTGCGCATACCTGTTGGCTCTGTTCTCTGACATGTCCTTCTCTCCCTTGGTAAATGTCTGCAGCGCAAACTGCTCGCAATATGCGCTCGCGGCAGTGTCGTCCAGCAAGGCATCTTCGTTGGGGTTGTCGGCCTTTGCTTGCTCAAGCTTCTCCATCAGTTCGGTTGTGTAGGCGGTGCATGCTTGGTCTGCTGAGTGGAGGCCACTGGCAATAATCCTTTGGACTAGGTAAAAGCGCACTGAGCGTGGTCAGTATACTGGTATCTGTGAGAGAAGACAGCTCTATACTGACGCCAGTAGCTAACGATGGGTTTGAAGCGCTCAAGCTGCGCAGCTCGTTTCGCAAAGGACGCGAGCTGCAAGCGTTTGAGCTTCGCAGGAATTGTGTCCGCCATTGTCTTGGACTGGGCAGTGTTGATCCAGGAAGCTGCCAGTGATGTCTAGTGAAGCTCTAGGCAGATGGAGGGAGCATGTGGTCATAGGTGGTGGGCAAAGATCCCTGTCGCGCGCCCCGCAGTGCTATGGCCAGGCGTTTCGCGCATCAGAGCTTCAGTTACAGCTAAAGGACAACTTGCAACAACATTATGTGAGCTTCCACTTAAAGTCACCTGAGCTGCTCCTCACCTCTTTTCCTTTTCGCCTCTTTTTCCTTCGCAGCTCTTCAATCTTTTTACTCATACTTCAGCCATGGTACGCACTACAGCACTGCTCGCGGCTACGGCCGCCCTGGCCCTCCATGCTCAGGCTGAGGGCATATACGGCAAAACGTCAGGCGTTCTCCAGATCACTGGCATGGACTATGATAGAGTAATTGCAAAGTCCAATTACACCTCAGTAAGTCTGGTCCGAAAGCACCATCAGGCATGGCATGGCTAATAGCTGCTTCAGATCGTTGAGTAAGCTACAACCCAACTCACCTTTGCTCCTGTCCTTACGCCTACCTCGCAGATTCTATGCACCATGGTGCGGCCACTGCAAGAACCTCAAGCCCGCCTACGAGACGGCCGCCAAATCCCTCGCTGGTATCGCCAAAGTCGCCGCCGTCAATTGTGACGAAGAGATAAATAAGCCCTTCTGCGGACAGATGGGCGTACAGGGCTTCCCTACGCTCAAGATAGTCCGACCGAGCAAGAAGCCAGGAAAGCCCAAGGTCGAAGACTACCAGGGTGCGCGCTCTGCGAAGGGCATCGTCGACGCTGTCAAGGACAAGGTCCCGAACATCGTGAAGAGGCTGAACGACAAGAGTTTGGCTGGGTGGTTGCAGGAGAACAAGGACAGCGCGAAGGCGATTCTCTTTAGCGACAAGGGCGTAGTTAGCGCTACTATCAGGGCACTAGCAATTGACTTCGCCGGCCTGGTCTCTGTCGCACAGGTCAAGAAGTCGGAAAAGGCCGCAGTCGAGAAATATGGCATCACAGAGTTCCCAAGCTTGATTCTTATCCCTGCTGGGTCAGACGACTCTATCAAGCATGAAGGCAAGGTGGATAAGGCAGCCATGGTTGACTTCCTCTCCCAAGTCGCTCCACCAAACCCGGACTGCCCAGCGCCGAAGGAGAAAAGGTCAAAGGCCAAAAGGGATGACAAGAAGGTGTCCAAGTCCTCCAGTAAGTTTGCCAAGGCTTCCGCGTCCCACAAATCTGCAGACGCATCGTCCGCCGCTGCCACAGCTACCGACGAAACGGTCGAAGAACCCATCGTTCCCACTAAGTCGCCCAGCCCAAACGTCAAGGACGAGGATACTCCTAAACCAATCGTCATCCCCGCGGAAGATATCAAGCCCACGATCCCCCTCATTGCCGAATCTGCTGAGCTTCAGTCATTATGTCTGAATGAGAAGAGCAAAACGTGCATCCTTGCTATCTTGCCCAAGGATGAGTCGTCCGAGGCTGCCAAGACAGCTGTTGCCTCTCTCGCCTCGATCCACAAAAAATACGATGCTGCAGGTGCCCGTCTCTTCCCCTTTGTTGGTGTTACTGCATCGAACCCTGTCGCTGCTTCCCTGCTCACTACGCTGGGCCTTGGAAGTGATGAACAAGTTCACCTTATTGCTACTCACGGCAAGCGTGCATGGTACAAAAAATACCCTAGTACCGCCTTTAGCGCCGAGGAAATCGAGAAATGGGTTGACTCGATCCGTATGGATGAAGGCAAGAAGGAAAAGCTGCCAAATTCAATTTTGGTAGCGGGTGAGAAGCCAGATGCGACAGCGGAGAAGGTTGCAGAGCCGGAGCCTGTCAAGATTGAAGTTGAGGAGGTTCCTGATGAGCCAGAAACGCAGCCTGAGCACAATGAGCTCTAAGCTTATGAAAACATTGATTGTGTCTTAGTGTGCTTGTCCTGAGCGAAGTGTTTGCTCAATACGAATGAATCTCTGAACCCACCCCCTTGTTAATTCTTCTTCTGTTCTGATCCAATATGTTACAGTGCAGTGTGTTTACAGCAACTGCATCTTTTGAAGTTTTTAGACACTCTTCGAATCCGAACCAGCTGGCGTCCACTCGCTACGCCCGATACGAGGCTGACCAACCATGTGTGAGACTTGGAGATCTATACCGGCTGTTTTAGATACCCATATCATAGGATTAATTGTTCGCTCTCACACAGCGGGGTCAAGCAGTATACATATGATATACTCATACTCAAGTGCGGAATGACGGGCAGGGTTTGGTTTTGTTCCCTATTACCACGAAAGTGGGGTGCCTTTAACCCGCATAATTACAAAGGGCTACCCTTGGTTACACCTGTATGCCTGTCCCAAAGTATAAGGCCACGACCTACAGCACGACCAGATATTCACTAATCATGGTGAGCTTCCTACTCCTCTCCTCAACTATTGCGCAATTGACAACAGCATGTCAACGCGAGCTTCACAGTCGAGATGATGACCAATATGCCCATCGCTTACCACTCACACCTCGTCAAGATGCAACTTTCCCACCAGTATGGACGAAAGACGAGAAAACAATACACACCTCATTCTCAACTGCGTCAATCGACACGTGGTCCATGGTAATCATATAGCCGGACAAAACAAGTCAATGGCCGAACAAATAGCAGATAAGTGGACCGCAAACGGTGTACCGGCCTCGTTGGCAGAGTACCAAGTCTTTCTCAGCTATCCAAAAGAGCACAAGTTGGTATTGAATCTAGCGAATGGGAGCAGATATACAGCGCAGATATATGAGGACGTACTGGAAGAAGATGAAACAACGGGATATCCCGGGGCACCGCCTGCATTTCATGGGTATTCGAAGAGTGGGGAAGTGAATGCGGAGTATGTTTATGCTGGGTGAGGCAGTCTTGAATTTCGTCTGCACCTGTAGGAAACTAACCTCTAGGCAGGCGGGGCCACAAGGACGATTTCGTAGCACTCAAAGCAGCAAATGTGACTTTAAAGGGGAAGATTGCACTCACAAAGTATGGTGGTCCATTCCGTGGTATGAAAGTTCAGAATGCTGAAGCACACGACATGATCGGCGTCGTCATCTTCAGTGATCCTGGAGACGACGGGCCCCAAGAGGCCAAAGGCCAAGCCGCATATCCTAGTATGTATACATCAAATTATATTAAACCAATTATTGAATCTAGCCAGCTCATTCTAACAACAAAGAGAGGGCCCTGCCCGTCAGCCATCCTCAGTTCAACGAGGGTCAGTCGCTTACATCAATCAGTACCCAGGTGATCCCACAACTCCCGGCCGGCCTTCCAAACCTGGAGTCGAGCGTGTCAGCAAACCCTCAAACCTACCCAAAATTCCATCCCTTCCCATCTCCTACCGTGACGCCATTCCTATTCTACAAGCTCTGGACGGGCACGGCTTGGTTGGTAAGACACTCAATAGGGATGGATGGGTCGGCGGGCTCAACGCGACCTATAGCACTGGGCCTGCACCAGGTGCGACACTATCTCTCAAGAATCTCATGGAGGAGAAGATTACGCCAATTTGGAACGTTATTGGCATTATCAACGGCACGAATGCGGATGAGACGATTATCATCGGAAACCATCGAGATGCATGGATAATTGGTGGGGCAGCAGATCCGAACTCGGGGAGCGCGATTTTAGTAGAGATGACCAAGGTTTTCGGTGAGATGCTGAAGATGGGGTGGAAACCGCGTCGAAACATGTGAGGCTCTTCAACCGCCACTATTTATTCATAGGCTAACATTGCTGGCCAGTGTGTTTGCCTCTTGGGATGCCGAGGAATATGCACTTATAGGCTCAACAGAATGGGTCGAAGACTATGCACCGTGGCTTTCCGACACAGCTATCAGCTACCTAAACGTTGACATCGCCGTTTCAGGACCTCTTCCCGGCGCTGGCTCAACACCCGAGCTCCGCGAATTCGCGCAAGAAGTGATGAAGAAAGTCATATACGGCAAGCGAACACTATACGACGCATGGTACGATTTGAACCAATTCCGCCCCGAAGACAATGGCTTCACACACTTGGGAAGCGGAAGTGACTACACCGCATTCCTACAGCTCGGGATCGGCGCCCTCGATTTTGGCATGGACGCGGCCGGCAACACGCCTGTCTACCATTACCTCAGCAACTACGACTCTTACTACTGGATGAAAACATTCATCGACCCCGACTTCTCTATCCATGCCACAACAGGGCAATATCTAGCTCTCCTTGCTTACCACCTCGCTCACGACTCGCTGATCCCATTCGATATGGATGCGTACGCAAGAAACATCAACTACATGGTACGCGACCTCATCAGTATCACACCAAGTATCGATCCCGACTACGAAAAAATACAACAAATGATCAACGTAAGCGAATTAGACAATGCGGCGAAGAATTTCCAGCGCGTAGCGTATGACTTCGTGGATCTGACGAGTTCGAAACCATTCCTGGATGATAGTAAGCGCGTGAAGAAGGCAAATGGGATTTTAAGGGACGTGCAGAGGTTGTTCGTTAGGCGGGAGGGGTTGCCGGGTAGGCCTTTCTATAAGAATGGGCTTTATGCGCCGAATAGGGATGATGGTAAGTAGTGTGAACTGATGTGTAGGGGAGAGTGAATAACAATCAACAGGGTACAAAGCCCAGACTCTCCCAGGAAGCGTCGAAGCGCTACAGGATAGGAACTTTGAGCTATGTCGGGAGTGGAATTTGTGGTTGGCGGACGCGATCAATAAAGCATCGGAAATGCTGGCGCTGTCATGAGCGTTTGTTAAGGGTGATAGTACAGCGCTATATTAGGGCGAGTGCAAAGATTTTCCATCGATGAGACATCAGTGCTGCATGTCACCAGTGTTCTAGCACGTAGGCTCTCATCTGAATGCTATATGCCATATTCTTCCACATCTACTTTTGCAAAGTTGAAAAGTTGAGCTAAGCAATAGCTGTGGGTACTTCGCTCTAGCATGCCCTAACCGTGCACAGTGGGACCGACCCACCGACAATGCTTATTAGTTAGCAATCTATTGAGATTAAATAAAGATCAACACCCGCGCGCAGTTTCCGAATTTTGTGCGCTTTCTCTTGCTACAGGGTGTTACCATGACGGCTCGCGTCCCTGTTCCTGGAAGTGCAAATCAGAGCTTCATCTTAGACTATCGAGTCCCTTTAGGTGGAGTAAAGAAGAAAATAGCGATGCGACTTGGCATGGAAGTACCTTGTACGTCTAAATATTTCCTTCAAGATGTGTCCACGAGCAGTTAGCCCCACCTAGATGGCACACGGCGCATCACCCAGCCCACATATCCTGTCTTCGTTCCCATTTTTCAGGCACAACGCCAGCTGCTCTAGAGAAGATCTTAATTCTCTTTTCCCAATTACTGTCTAGCTCACAAGCTGGGTCGTGGGTGCAACGTTTCCCTCGAAGGGTTCCTGCCGCTGCATGTTCAAATACTGCTGTCGAGCTACACCATTCTGTCAGTATAGACGAAAGAATCTATACTCCTATTGTAGGGATATTTTGGTACGCAGGCTTACTGTCCGTTGTGGCTGTGTGAACGGGATACAAGAGCTGCATTGAGATCTTGGAAGACTAGACGAACAGTGCGAGACGTTGGCATGACGGACATCACTGAGACAGTTAAAAGAAAGATAGCGAGATGAAGAGAAACCCAGGACCTTTCTACACAATCACGGAATGTTCAGTGTCTTTTTCCTCATCAATGCGGCTGACTTTTATGCATACCTGCCTTCTTAGAGGACTGCGTGGTGCACAGGATCTTCTCTCAAGACGATCAACCCACATTTGCGGAAGGATGAATACGACGAATCCGAAAATACACAGAGCGCGCGTACTCGATGTAGGACAAAGGCCGGCGTCCTAGGTTTCATGAATATTCTCTGTACAACAATTCAACCAAGGCTGCGAATTTGGGCGTTCTTATCGCAACGATTCCGGGTTGCTGACGGCGATCTTCGAGGTCTCTTCAGGATTCATTTAGCTGGCCTTGCATTGTGTAAACGTGTGCCTTGATATTATGTTAAAGTGCTGGGTATAGCACCTAAATTAGAGTTCTATACTAGTTTCTCCTACTGCGTTATATAATCCGCTGTTGCAGTGTTGACTTTGTTTTCAAAGAAAGAATAAGTAACGTTCCTTTGACTAAAACCAAGCTTCTACGATCTTAGTCGATAGCGATACGAACCGAGATAGAGCCTTTCGTTGTCTGCACGACAATTAGATCATGATCATAGGAGATATCCTCCACTGTGGTTTCCACAAGCCTCGACCTTGGAATAACGCAGAAAGTCATGAGAGCTGCCATGATATATAGTTCGCAGTATGCTAGGCTGTGAGTCGCGTTAGCTTCAACGATTTCCGGTTTAGATGGAGGCTTCACTTCGATGAAGCCTCGCTGCGCTTAATACTTACTTCTCGCCGATACAACTCCGGCTACCCTTTCCAAATGCAATCAACTTCTTCTGCAGTTGGTAGTTGGGTTGTCCATCTGGAAGAAGCCATCGCTCGGGAACAAAATCGTCAGGGTTGGGGAACAGCTCAGTATTCCAATGGTTGATCATAGAGGTCATTCCAATAGGCGTACCTCTGGGGATCACCCAATCAGATTTGCCGTCCGCACTTTTGTAGTGCAAGTCTTCATCGCGAGCAATCCTAGCCGACCTATGCGAGACACCGGGCATCATGCGCAGACACTCTTGCAGAACGGCCCAGAAGTAAGGGCACTTTTCGAGCTCGACCCACTTCATGTTTTGAGCGTTGAGACCGGTGTTGGCAAGGTCGGACAGGAGACGCGTGTAGACGGATGGTTTGGCAAGAACCCAGTATGTGAAGACTGTAAGAATGGCCTAGGATCACTGTAGTCAGTCACAGCACTGTATTCCTTACTGGAGACGGCGATGGCTTACCGCAGTCGTTTCCGTGCCCGCAAGCAAAAAGTTGAATCCTTCACCGTTAAAGCGGTACTTCTCCTCCTCCGACATTGCGCTAGGGTTACTCATTGCTTCGGCAAAGACTCGTCCATTGTCGGGATTCTTGAGGGCGGCCATGATGTATTCTGGGATCGTGACATTCATTACTTTCATGACGGCCTTGATGTCTTCACCTAGATAATCGGCCATGAAAGGCATAACCTGTGCCATCTTCCTTCCAAGAGCATTGTGCCTCATCATGTACGCGCTCTTGAAGAAAGACTTGACCCAAGTGGCGAAATTGGGCTCCCAGCCCTCCTGTGCAACGAAACCCATCGGCTCACCAAACGCGTACTGAGATATAACGTCGGCGGTGAAACAGTTGAACGCTTCTTTGACATCGAAAGGGCCCTTTCCAGCCGAAGCAAGCATCTTGTTGGCCGTCATCTGTGCAAATTCATGCACCTCGCCCTCCAGTTTAAGCATCTGTTGGCGCGAGAAGAACTTGCTCAAGGTCGCCTTGCGCGCGCGGTGCAACTCATGATTGACAGTCGAGAAGCCGGTCACCGAGACGGGTCCGGCACCACCAGTGTTCAATTGATGCTGCCACTTGTCGCGCACGCGTCCAGGACCAGCATAGATTTCGTCGGTGAAAGCAGGATCAGAACAGTGTAGTTCATCAGGGTTGATTCTGACGATGGGCCCATATTGCTCGTGCATGCGTGCAATGACCTTGCCATACCGCCCTACCAACCACCAGTCATGATAGGCTTCATAAAGGTAGGATGCAGCTGCAATCTTCGGTCCCGGGAAATGCGAGAGCGGGTGGAAGGGTGAGATGTTGTAGAGTGCAATGGAGATGCGGTAGCCAATCCAAAGTGTGGCGAGCCAGATGACGTTGAAAATAGAGAACGTTTGGAATAGGCCCGAATGAAACTCCATGTTGTCGGCATGCGCAATTTGACGCTACACAATTGCACAAGAGAAGAAAAAAGGCAGAGACGTTTCAGAGAGTAAACACATACCCAGGTATGTACCTTTATTTACAATTCAGATATGCTGATGGATCGCCTCTACTCCTTTCGTGGCCAGGTACCTGCGATCAACCTGAAACCGCTCAACTTCAAGGATAGCGTGTCTGTTGCCGAGGAAAACTCTTTTCGACACCGACAGTTTCGATATCAAGTTTGTATGATTGGCTCTTCAACATGCTAACTATGCTCAAAGCTGCATGCCGTTTGCCGTATGAATTCGTGTTAATGGACCCGCAGTGGAGTGCGAGCTTAACCCTGCACACGACTAAGGCAAATTTGGACATGTTGATTGGTGCTAACGATCGGCTGGCGACATGACGGTAGTCGCGGTACGGCTCAGGGCAGACGACCGACGTGGGTCTTGTCCTGCCTAAGACCCCCTCACCGTCTCCCCGTCGGCATTTTAATTTCTTCTTCAATCATTATCGTATGGTTTGACCATCTCTAGACTCGCCGATGCGATCATTCGCTTTGCTAGGAATTATGATCAACACCATGAATCGCCCTACGCGTCTATAGAGTCAGAAGTAGAGGAAAGCTATTTTTTTAATTGAAGCAAGATCGTTACTAGGACTCCCTTTCTTGTTTGTCTTCTCTAGCAGGGGAACCTGCATAGGCCGTGTTTGCGGATCCACAGCCCCATAGTCCTGCGATAGGCACTGAACAGTGCCTTTCAGGAGAAGACAGTCTGCATTGAGGCTCAAACATTCGAAGCCACTCTCATCTTTCTCGTCGCATTTCCATGTTTGACTTTCCACCTTCGTGGTTCCTTCTGATTGACGCCACTTCGGTCCTCTCTAGCGCCTCCAATACCATCCCGTTACTATAGTCAGCCTACTCTTCGCCATAAATCATGGTATTAGCAACACATAAACTACCAATGACGGGTGGTGCCCGGGACTCGCTAATAGCAATGTCTATACTGTGGCTCCTCTTTGCATTAAATGTGGGATTTCGGTTTCGAGGACGACTACGAGGACCAGGCCTGGGACTTGACGATACACTGGCGATAGTTGCGCTGGTGAGTGGCGCAAGCCTTTAGAACAAGAGCAGCTGATACTTACCATGCCTGACAGATCCTATCGACAAGCACTATCGGCCTGAACGCTACAGGTAAGCGGAAACTTTTCGAACAACCGCGAGAGTCGTGCTCTGATTGACTTTGGACAACAGTCTTTACGGCCGGAGTAGGCTACGATTTCGTTCCTACCTCTCATGTGTACCCCGACCGTGAGTAGATTGAACCCAACCGATCACGGTACGATAAAATTCCCCAACTAACTGCAAGAAAAAGTTGTCCACAACTTGCCATTCATTATGCAGGTAAGGGTTCTACCACGTCTCGAGCCTTTTGGAGATAACTCAACTTTGCTTAACCCAGATTACTTTCGCTTTCACGATGATCTACATCTGGTGTCTCGCCTTTCTCAAGCTCTCCCAACTCGCACTCTATCTGCGAGTCTTCAATCGGCAACTTCGAAATTTGGTATACATTGTCGGCACCATCGTCATCCTCTGGGCCGTCATATTCAATTTTGTCTTCATCTTCCTGTGCAACCCTATCGCGCAACAATGGACCGTCTACCGCACCGGACGCTGCTTTGATCAGATCCTCGTGTTGAAGTTTGTGATCATGACGAATCTGATCACGGACCTGCTCATTGTGGCGCTCCCGGTGCGTTGCGTATGGCAACTACAAATGCGCAAGACGGAGAAATTTGCCGTGCTCGCATGTTTTGGCTTGGGGCTGGCGTGCGTCGTTATCAGTATCGCGCGGTTTATCCTCATGTACACCATCGGTACGTACTTCTCCTCAATCTAGATCATACGCCATACAAGAAGTTTAGCTGACTCTCTCTTTCTCTAGATCTCGTTGGTAACCTTACAGGTACATCGCTCACAACTTTCATGTTGTGCACTGTCGAACTCATGCTTGCTGGTCTCTGCATCAACATCCCCATGCTCCGTCCTTACTACCTCCAATGGCGCGCAAAGTACAAGTCCTCGGCCACGGACAGCAAAAGACGACAATCCGAGCTCAAACTATCGGGGACTGGGCCTTTGAAGTCTGGTTCATCCAGGTCAGGTCATTACACGCAATGGTTAGAATTGGTATGTCTTAACTCTTCTCGAACTTGGGTATTCAGATCAGGGTTAACAATCTTTCAGCGTGACAAGGACCAAACGCATGTTACCGTCACTCATGACGATGCGAGCTCGGAAAGGAAGTTGACTGCGGAACAACCAGATGACGCGATTCACGTATCAAAGAACTGGGTAGTCACGCGGGACTGAACGTTGTAGACTCATGAGCATGAGATTGTGGAGGCGGATATGCTGAATCTATCATGAGGTTTTAGACTGTATTGTATATATTTAGGATATCTAGATAAATGAAAGAAAAATTTGCGACTCATACCAAAGCTTATGTAGTAGTACTCTACAATGGACTAACAGGAGCGTGATCTATGGTACATTAAAAAGGTGAAGCGAAACCAACAAAGCTAGCAGTAATGTAGCTCCTCTACAGAGCCCCGACTTTGCGTCGCAAGTTTGTCGATGTTTGGGTTCCGTACTAGCCATGACAAGGCGTCTACAACCGCCGCTCTTGGTATGTCTTAGGTGGGACGACGTGATCAACAAATTCCTCATTGTCTGATAGATAGTAGCGTATTTACTCTAGGCACACTGAAAAAAGTAGCATACTATCTAGGCTTTAAAACGAAACTTCCGCTGCTAGAACATGTATTCTAGCCATTTGAGAGTATGTATAGGGATCGTCAATATCAATTTTTTAGTGGTGGTGATGTGGCTATTGATTGATAGATAGATAGATCTCTATGCTAAATGATGGCGCAACCAGATGAGCACGTACTGCTCTGGGTATCCCAAGAAAAGAGGCTGTGTCCAACGCCGAAGCTCGCGGGTGGTACAAAAGAAACATCGTCGGAGCTCTCCCCCCATCTAGCTCGAGCTCGAGCGAAGGTACTAGGTACAAAGAAGTAAAGGTTAGATCAATTGACCATCTACACGTGTCCAAGCGTAATCTTTCCTAAGCTCGACTGAGGGAATCGCATGATATACTCAGTCTTCAAGGCGACTCCTCACTCCCCTCACTCGAAAAGTAGCTCTGATCAAGCCTGAGTATCCACTCTATCTTCTCACGCTCGCTTCTTGCCCTAAAGATATACGTGTTGCTGCGCGCAAACACAGCGAAGACAGTGTCTTTCTGCCCGGGTGTTGTCGTCGCGTGCCCGTTTGCCCCATTACTCTGCTGTCCATGGCCTCCACCCAAAAGTCGCGCAATCTGCGGTGAATGATCCACCCGGGCAGTAGAGATATTGATCGCATTAATCTCATCCCCATCTACGGAATATATGTGCAAATACGGTTTTCTCAGTTCCACATATCTCCTCACCCACTTTGTGTTCGTCAGGTCAGGTGTTAGGAGGTACGATGCCTTCATCAAGGTTGGGTTTTTAGAGATGTAGCGCACGGTCGCAGTAAGACTTGGTGTAGGAGACGGCGAAGGCGATGCGGAGCGTGGTGCGAATGCGGCACCATTACTAGGTGGTTCGAGATTCGTGGAATTTAAAATGATTTCGGCGGGTGCTTGTTTTGTATTCCATAGGGAGATGACGCGCTGCAGGAGGGCTTTTTGTCGATCATCTAGCTCGGACCATGAACTTATTGAAGTTGAGGCGGGAATGCTGAGAGCTTTGGACGAGAGAGTAGATCGCGCGGTTTCTATCTCCGCAATCCTCCTCCTCCGCTTCTCTATCCCAATGAAGTCTCGCACCAAGGAGACGCCACGTGGTGTCCAACCTGCTAGCTGTTCTTCGCCTTTGATATAGTCATCCTTTGTATTCATGCGCCAAAGATCTGTGGCACGCTTGACAGACGTCGGTCGAATGGCGACGTTGAAGATGCCGACCGTGGAGTGAACGATCTTGACTGTGTTCCAGATGGCGGCTAATGAAAACATTGAATTCTGGCGAACGTATGATCGGCCGCGGATTTGCAATGCTAGGTCGAGTGAAAAGGTCATCGGTTCGATAAATTTGGAGGACGTGACATCGAATAGTAGTGTTGTTTGGACGCGATACTTCTCCTGGGTCGCGCGGTCGAGGAGTAGTGAGCCGTGGGCGGTGCTGTCCCATCGTCCAACGAATTTTACATTTGTAGTACCATCCGCGTTGTCTCTGACCACAGGCGGCGCTACGAGGTCTACGGGAACTTCTTTGACAGGGGAGTCGAGACCAGGAGCGTTGCCTGAGGCGTCGATTAGTCGAATGCGACCCATGCGCATTGAGGTCACGTTCTGCCACTGTAGTGTCTCGCCACAGGTATGAGTCAGGTTCACAACGATGCGCCGCGCCAGACCCTGGTGAAGCTGATACACTCCTGCGTCCATGATGCTGCTCTGCGTGACCTCAACAGGCTGGTATGTGCCATCGTCTGTAATCTCGTGGATTTGAATGCGCGAGAAGATGTCGTGCGCATCTTCTGTGTAGAATTCCGACTCGGGTAGTCGTGCGTTGCGACGCTTCTGCTTTGGCTTCTCCGCCGAGTCGCGCATGTCGTCCCAGCTGAGCAGCTTGTCTAGGTGTATATCGGTGACCTTTGCGAATATGGAAATACGGAGGAACGTGTCGCGAGGGCTCGGATATGGCAAGCTCATACTATGCACGCTCTCGAAACGGATCGGGCCTTCGTCAAAGTTGGTGATCCATGTTGTGGTCGTCGCGCCACTCTCATCTGAAATACCGGGTACGAAGAGAACAGCGTGCACTTGAGTGCCCTCCCGCTCTGGAAAACCAACAAACTCGTGCATACCGACATTAAACTTTAGCGTAGTTGAAGGAGCTTCGGCAGATGAGGGCTCTAGAGATAGCCGGATGATACCGATCGGGTTTGCCGTATACGGAGATATAACATCAAGGCTGAAGTCGCGTACCCTGGCCTCGAAGACAGCAGCGAGCGGTACATCAACATCGCCGACACGCGAAAACTCCGGCATACAAGGGTCAGAGAAGGGCGATTCAGGGTTGAAGTGCTGGAAGAACTCAGGCCGGTTCATGTACTGGTGCATCTGATGCATGCGTCGGACACGTTGGCGGAGCTTTTGCAGTGACCACAGATGAACGACTTCGTTCTTGAAGTCAATGACGCGAACACCCACGCAAGGTTTGGGCTGGTTATCAAGGAACTCGTCGTCTTCACCCGGGATACCCATGTTGACCAAGTCATAGGACGACGGAACAGTGTGGCCGACGTCCACAATGCAGAATTGGAAGACGACACGCTTGTCCATCTGCTGGCTCAGAATCTGCGACTCCTTCAAGAGCGCTGCGTTTTGGAGTAGCGTCTCTGCCATAGTAACATACTTCCGTCGCCGCCACTGCTGGAAGACAGTCCGCACTAGATCAAGATGGGCATCGTTCGGCTTCTCGGTTGCTGCTTCCCCATCCGTCTCCGGTGTAGGTTCGTGCCCGAGCTTTCTCAGCTGCCGCTCAAAAGCATCCTTTTGTGCCTGTAACTGTTTTTGCATATCCTCTTTGGCGGCTCGAAGCTCTTCTAACTCGTCTTTAGCTTTCTCATTTGCCTTTGACCTTTCTTCCATATCCTCTCTAATCTCTTGCATCTTTTCGCTACCATCCTGCAGTGGCGTGGAAGGCATCGTCAACATGGTATCGAGCGAGAAGTTGTCGAAAGTCCCTCCAGACGCATACTTTTCCCTCACAGGGTACGAAGAAATCGACTCCATATCCTCGTCACTTTGGTATATCCGACTTTCAGGGCGAGCCTTTCGTGTCTCGCGGAGTCTATTGAGATCTTCGAACAAGGCCTCGAAATCTTCGTCTGGGAGGTTTTCGATCCGCTTGTCAGGTCCCAACCACGCAGTTAGAGCTTCTCTCCGAGCGTACGAGAACTCAGATTCGCGGCCGCGTTGCCAGAAGGCGGGCGATCCCGCTCTAGGGCTGTCAGGGTCGAAGTCGGAGTTCGCTACGCTAATCGTACTGAACGATCTGTCGTGGCCAGGTCTTGGCGCAGGAGACGGAGAGCTGAGTTGGCTCGCGGTTACTGTATGTCGGAGCAGGCTTGTTCCTACCTCTGCGCGCTCAGCTCTTGCCTCCTGTGGATTGTTGAAGCGGAAGATGTGGAAGTCGCCAAGGATGATGCGATGCCCACTCTTGAGCAACCTGGGCTTGTCTATTCGGACGCCGTTGACCATGACGCTCGCGGTTTCCTTTGGTATTACCGTCACCTTTCCATCTACATTCTCGAAATTGCAGTGATCCGCAAGTATTTGTGAACCGTTCAAGCGTATCTGGGCCGTCTGCCCGTCAACATCGGAGTTGCCTACGGTCGTCGTTCCCGGCTTCAGATTGTAGACCAGACACTCGGTCAAAAGAGGGTCGTCACTCAAGTTTACCAGATGCGGCATGTTCTTAGGCGTTGAGAGACCTACAAAGCCTTTTTCAATGCTGATACCGAGCTCTTCCAAAGCAGCCTCTCGCTCCTTGTGGATTTCTTCGGTCTTTGCGAGTTTTTCCTCCCATGTTTCATTTAGATCCTTGTAGAGCTTCTCAGACTGGCCCAGTTGCTCCACGATCTCGGCCTTTGAAACCTTCTTGGTTGTACCATCTGCTTGAGTAATGGAGACTATTTGCTTCTCAAGAGGCGTGTCGGGGGCGTATTGTTCTTCCATTATGCCGTTGGAGCCACTTGATCCACCTCCGGTAAGCTGGGAGCGAAGTTTCTCCAGCTCTTCCTTGAGTTCCCTAATCATGCGCGCATTTGGATCTTCGTTGACGACGGCATGATTCTTGATGCGCTTCGCAGAATCTGCGTAACGCAAAGTTGACAGCGTTTCTTCATAATTGATGTCGGCAGGCGAAATGGCAGCAATCATAGCTGTCATACTATTTCCTCCCAGCGAATCTTTCAACAGCCATGTTAGAACTGAGTCTCGATATGGTACTTGTATCTTCTTCTTGGAGCCGATGGACAAGTCGGCCAGCGCTGCGATGACACGACCAAGTGTAGAGAGAGATCTGTTGATTTCCGCACCCTCCTTCAGTCGAGCTCCCGTTGCGCCAGTCGATTGTGCTCTTTCTGATCCTGCCAAATCGACCAGACTAATCTTTGCAACCCTTTCCCCGCTCATGCTAGTTGTGACATCGTGGCGTTTTTGGGTAAGACAAAGAGTAAAAACGGCGTGCGATCGCGAGGACGTCTCGTTCATGTTGGTCGCGGCAACGGTACGGGCCTTGTTTCCTTCGTCCATCAAGTTCTCGATCTCAGGAAAGGACTGGACGACTAATTTTGCCAGGTCTTCCACGTACGGGCCAGTCGAAGGATGTTCTCGAACTCGTAGATTGCCTTTGTTCGACGGGTTTAGGAGGTCGCGAACGCGCTCGTTGTAGATTTCCAAGTAGGATACTTCGACGGTACAGCTCAAATTCTTGTCCTCCTGCAGGACCTTGATCCGCTCGAACATGTCTTGACAAATCTTGGGGATGATGCCGTACTCCTTGCCGTACCCCATCATCGAGTACGACTTTCCCGAGCCCGTCTGCCCATAGGCGAAGATACAATTGTTGTATCCCTGGAAAGCATTGTCAAGCAGCGGCTTGCCGAGGTCGTCGTGGAGGTTGTCCTGGCCGGCATAGTTCGGGGCGTTGCGGTCGAAGGACCAGTATGACCTATCGAAGGCGAATGCCTTGGTGCCCTCGAGGGCGGCTTTGGCAGCTTTGCCCTTGACATCGGTATGTGACGGGGGGGCGAGGATGGTCTGGTCCCCCTTCATCTGCACAATACACTGTGCATTGCGCGCGTTTTCTGCCCGCTGTTAGCCTGTCTGTATAAGCTCGAAGCCTGGAGAATGTACCTCGCCCATTGAAGGGCCTACACCGCACCACCACCTTGATATTCCCTCCTCCAGATGCCATGGTGTAGGTTGCGAAATGTTTCTAGTCCGAGGTTGCAACTACGTGTGGAGAAGCGCAGGCAGTGCACGGCTCAGAGTCAATGCTGCGATCATATGCGGGATTTGTGAGGCTTCATGGCACGTCGACGGCGTCTGGGGCACTCGAAGTGGCTCAGGAGGTGGGTGATTTGGGGGGTACCTGGCTGTGTTGTTGAATCGCGGTCAAGGCCAACTTCTCGAGATTACGCGCGAATCCTTGCCAGCCCTGCAGCGGGTGACCGCTCTGGGATATCCCAGCCAAACTGTGGACGTGCAGCAGGCCCTGGTCCATTCTAGAAGAACCGTCATATTTGCAAAACAGTCCAGATGCAGCTTTACCACTGCGACCGAGGAGCGAGAAGCCTAACTGCGACGCTGGCCGCATCTCTCGAGGGGTAGACTGCCTGCGAACTTTGGTACCTGACACCCCGGACCCTGCGCCATCACCAAGAAAAGTTGCCTACACTTCACTTCACTTCCACGAGCAAGCCGCGCATTCTGTTTGCAACACCGTAGCTATCTATGGCCTCGTCCGACGCCTCGACCGACATGTTCGCCCCTCCCATCAACCGCGCCATGAAGGTGCTGGACCGCAGCTTCTTCCAAAAAACTATCCCCACCTCGGCCGCCCGCATCTTCAACTCCAAAGACATATCGCGATGCCGCAAAGAGCTTACAGCAAGCCGGGAGACGCTACAGAACAGCCGACTCGATCCTGTCAGGCCGGATACAGATCAAGAGCGAGCGCAGAAGGGTGGGAAATGCCTGCTACTGCGACCAGAGGTCGTCCACAACGGTACGTGTGGTGATAGAAGACTTGTTTAGATGTGCTGAGTCCTCACTCCAGTTAGACCGCACAACATGGTCCCCTAAGCTGCGCGACCTCGAGCAGGATGGCACGTTAGGCGTCATACCTTTCCAACTAAACCTTGACTACGATTACTTCTCCTACTCTGAGATCACCTCCGCCATCATCCCCGCACCCGAGAAGAAATCCGACGATGAGATACCCCAAGGTTTTGCCCTCGCCGGTCACGTCGCACACCTGAATCTCCGCGAACGATACTGGCCATACAAACACCTCATTGCCACGGTCCTTGCTGACAAGAACCCCATGGTTAAGACAGTGATAAATAAGCTGGACAACGTGGGCACTGAGAATGCCTTCCGCACGTTTCAGTACGAAGTGCTATATGGAGAGGATAATATGGATGTTGAACTGCGCGAGCAAGGCTGCATATTCAAGTTCGACTTCGCCAAGGTGTACTGGAATACGAGGCTGCACACCGAGCATGAGCGGCTGTGCATTCTATTCAAAGAGGGCGAGGCCGTGTGTGATGTCATGGCCGGCGTGGGGCCCTTCGCTGTGCCAGGTGGGAAAAAGAAGTGTTTCGTCTGGGCAAACGACCTGAATCCGGAGAGCTACAAGAGCTTGGTCGATAACATTAGGATCAACAAGGTTGGGGACTTTGTGAGAAGCTGGAACATGGATGGCGGTGACTTCATCAAGAAAGCTTCAGCAGATCTGCTCAAGAGCGAGCATCAAGTCGCCATCTACCCCAAAACCAAGTTTTCAAGATCCGCGCCGGAGAATGTTAGGAAACCTGAGCCGATAAAGACACTGGTGCAACCACGCATCTTCGCACACTATGTTATGAACCTCCCCGCGAGCGCAATAACATTCCTCCCTTCCTTCATCGGCCTGTACTCTTCCTCCAACCCTCACCTACCCTCGAACATCTCCATCGATGAGATCAAACAGCTCGTCACAAAACAAGGGTTGCCAATGGTGCATGCACACTGCTTCAGCACAAAGAGCGACGATAACGTCGCTGAGACCAAAGAGATTTGTGAGGAGATCAGCCGACAATTAGGCTATGAGATTACGCCGGAAACACCTGAGGTGCATATTTATGATGTCAGGGACGTGGCGCCCAAGAAGAGGATGTTCTGCGCGACTTTCCGGTTACCTGAGGAGGTTGCGTTCAGGGAGATTTGATTGTTGCGACGGCCGGGTGTTGGAGGATGCGTAGCTGAGAGCCGTGTATAATGGCATCTCGCACAGAAATGATGAGGGACTACCCTATTGGATACTCATAAAAGTTCTCAACTCTTTGAAAGTAGTATTTGTAGATACCCCTAGAATCTTCATAATCATTTTGGAACCCGCGAGGTACATGCACTTTCCCTTGTACAGGTCACTAGATATGCCACTGTCGCACCTATCTTAAGACTCTAGCTAGCGGTGAGCCTATTCGATATGGGTTTTCCAGTAAGCAGCATGCATTTTAACATACCACCACACCTGCACATCATATCCTTGCTTCTGCTACCTGACTGTAAGCTTGGAGGCCTCCAACCGACCCTCTGTCGACTAGAGATCCATTAACATATCGTCAATGTCATCATCGAAGTCATCTGCCACCTTGATCGGGCTTTTGTCTTCGACCACTCCCATAGTCGCTACGTGTACATCGGCATCCAAGTCAACTAACTGCGACATACTGAAGTCCGACATGTCTTCAAGCACATTTTCAGCCGGCACCGGGCCCCAATTGTGGATGATATCTTCGATCGTGTCATTGCCTCCGTCTTGCTCTTTCCTGGCATCTAGCCCTCTCTGTATACCCTCGTGCAGCTCACAGCGCGTGTCAACACGATCCATCCTCTCGTGCTGCTCGTGCAACATCTCGTCGATCTTGATCACCCAGTCCATAATCTTCCTTTCTGTGTTACGTTCCGCAAAGGCATCAAAAGCTTGATCAAGTGAATAGCCCCATTCCAGGCTATTGCGACTCATGTCAAGCTTGCGAGCGCTCTGAACAACAGCGACGAGACTTGGAGCGAGCGGAAGCACGACATCCTGGATACGGTAACCGTGAGGCACTCGCTCGAGCGGGAGTTTGGAGGACTTTGTACGTTCCAAACCATCAGTCGTGTAACGTCTAAGCCGGTGAGTCTTCTTAGCTGACTCACGGGCTGGTGCTAGGCGTGTCTCCTTTCTCCGCATTGGACTCAGGGACAAATTTAGATCTTGAGCCTTTGGGGATAGTAGTAATAGACGCTCACTACCTACCGAGGAAGGACGAAGGGCGTGTGACTGAGAGAATCCGTTTTCGTAGGCTTGGGACTGAAGAATCATTTCGCGAGGATCGGGGACGGCACCGTTGCCTCTATGAACTTGAGGATCCCTTCTATCAATTTCAGACCTCGTGTCAAGGAGCATCGAAGTTTGGCTACCCGTGGAGAGGACGACTGAAGGGCCTTCTCGCTTGGCATATGCTCTGAATTGTGATGCTATGTCATGCAGCCCAGGACTTGTCCCGCGGTCGGAATGAAACAACAACTGATCTCTGAAATGCTTCGAGCGAGGTTGAGGTTCTGCAGAGGTAGCCCTCGAACTACCATGAAACGGGGTCCCTCGTTGACTACTCGGCGGAGAGGGACGGTCTCCACAACCGTTAACTAGAGATAGTTCTCCTGTGAACTGACTTGATTTAAGTTGAAAACCGATACGTGGAAAACGTGGCGCAGGTGAACGATCGTCAGAAGCACGTCTCTGAGGCCTCATATTTCGTCGGAGGAAGCTACGGATATCAGTGTTATTTTTAGAGTACGGTCTGTCCTCTATCAGACGCTCCGTTGCAGCCATAACAGGTCTTGGGACATCCCGATGCTTTGCTCGCTTCTGGTGATGAGAAGGCTGCGAAGGCTCGGAACCACGCATTGGTTGTCCAAACCATGTATCATCCAACGCTTGTTGTTTCCGTTGGTTTCGGCGCGGAGCAGACAATGGTATAGGTGACGTATCTTGTAAGGTAGAGCTGAACTGGTTCGTTTCAGAAGGTTGTATCCCTGGGCGTTCGAAGTTGACTTGAGTAGAACAAGTCGGATCCCTAGACTTAGATGGCGATATGTTAGACAGCTCTTCATCTCGGAATCCAGGTCCATGTTCCCTGCGATCCCTCTCGGGGTGTCCTTCCGATGAAGGACGAGGTAGGTGTTGAATGCTCTTTTCTAGTTCATTGTCTAATGAAGACCTTAGCATGTTCGATCGCGATGAAGTCTGGGGTGTCAAAGGCTCAGATGGCATGTTTCTGTAGGGAGTGATGGCAGATGTGGGAGAGCTAGGCATCGGGGTGGATGCTCTCTGACTTTTAGCCGGACTCAGCAACTGTCTATTGGCAGTCAGTTTCTTTGGATTGATGGCAGCATTCATCAGTGCAATAGTCCATGGGTTGGACACGGTTGCGGCTCGAAGGCCTTCCTCTTCTTCGATCACTAGAGGCCGGTTCTCCTGTAGAAATTCCAGATCATCTTCATCAATGCCGTACATGCTGGATCTCCATCGCGGCTGATCCTGCGGTGACTTGGACATATTCTCCTCGCCCAATCCTGTAAAAGCATCCTCATAGACTGAGACTGGTGTCTGATCTCGAAGTGGTCGCTCGTCAAGCTCGAACTCTTGCGGGCGTTGGGCAGATGTTGGCGGCTCGATATCCTCTGTTTCGGTAATAATTATAGGGTAGTATGATGACAGTAGCTTATCGATGGCGCCCATGATGAGATCTCTATTCTCAAACATCACATCGTCCTTCGCAGGCTCAATGTTGGGGTCATAGCTGTCAGGTGGACATATGATGTTCATACAAAAGAAAGGATCTTTCACGGCTCCAAGCGAGGAGTTTGACTTGCGGAGTCTGTCCTTTACTACAGCTACCACTTGCTTGACAGTCCTTCGACTGTTGGACATCGGTCTCGCGTCGATGGAGACGAAAGCACCGTGATTTGCGATCTTTGACCCGTGTGCGGTGGGTTTAGGCAGAATCGCACGAATTTCAAATCCGTCTGTTTCCATGGCAGTCCAGTCGCATTGGAGGGCGCAATCCTTTCCAATGACCTTAGAAATGATGTCTTTAATATCTGCATCTGCCTTTGGTGCATACACGAAGTCACCTTTTTCGTTCTTCGCTTTAAGTATGTGAAGTCTGTATCGAACAGCAGGCCTAGCGAGAGCATAGGCTTGTATAAGACGGCGAATCTTACCGAGCCATTTAGTAGAGCTCTTCAATGCTGTTTGCTTGCGAACTGGTATATGCTCGAAGAAGTTGGTAACTTTGACCGTCGTTCCAATTGGATGTGAGTCCCTTTCAGTCCTAACTTGGTCGTCAGCCGAGGGAAGAATTGCTGGTAGTGATAGCAGTATATACTCACGAAGCAAGCTCACCATTGCGCCCATACTTCAGCTTGACGGCGACCGGCTCTCCTTCCACCCTGGTGGTAACTGAAAGCGTGCCACTCATCTCAGCCATGCTTGACAAAGCTTCGCCGCGGAAGCCGAGCCATTGCCCTCCCACCTCTTTCAAGTCGTGGAAGTCTCTGATCTTGCTCGTGCAGTAACGACGACAGACTAGGGCGCGGTCTTCGGCTGGAATGCCGTGGCCGTCATCCTTCACTTGGATGGTGTCGATGGTGTTGGCGGTAATATCTACGAAGATGCTCTTCGCCCTCCCATCCAGAGCATTATCAATCAACTCTTTGACGATTGAGCTTGGGTCCACAAGGACTTGACCGGAGCCAATTTGTCTCGCTGTCGTCGGTGGAAGTGCTACGATACCGGGCATCACACCGGCATCCGGCCTATCGAGCATCTTGAAGGGTTGAGGAGGGTGTCGCTATGATCAGGTAGGCGCAGAACACGGAGGCATGTAGGTTACTCCATCTCCTCGCGCGTCCCCTGATGAGGGCCTCCATCGTGCCTGCATCTCCCAACATGCTGAAGGCTGGAAGGGCAAGAGCAGTCGCGGTGTCAGGTGATCATCCCCCGCAGAGACTTCAACACCTATTGTTCGTCTTTAGTAAGCTGTAGATTGAATCATGGATCCATCATGTCAACTCGAAACGCTTGTAGGTATTAGGAAAGGTACGAGCATGCGTCATCGCATGTGCTTTCAATATGGCCAATCAGAGCGCATGTGGCCCTGGACCCTTCAACTCCAGCATGGATCTCAATCATGTCTTGAATACCAGCAAGACCCCACACCCGTCCCCTAAACTCCCAGATCAATCGTCACCCACTTTCTCAACCTTTGAAAGCGATCATCTCGAAACGCTCCAATCCCTCAGCGAACCCCTTTGGTCATCAAAAGCGCGCTCTTGAAGACACATCCTTGCTGATCCGGCGGCCTCTCTTCAAAGCCACAAAGGTACCGTTAGGTCAAAACAATCATTGAAAGCCTGTGGATTAATTAGATTATAGCAAAGGAGACTCGAGTGCTCATGGCTTACATAACTGACGCCGCTCGGTGGCGAGCGCTGGTTACTCGCGACCCAAACGCGAATGGGCAATTCATCTACTCTGTCAGGTCAACACATATTTACTGCAGGCCGACATGCCCTGGACGCTTAGCGCGTCGAGCAAATGTTGGCTTTTATAAGACCCCTTTCGAGGCAGAGACGGCAGGGTTCCGAGCTTGTAAGAGGTGCAAGCCGAACATGGTACCGGAGGATCCTCAAGAGCGAGCAGTAGAGAAGGCATGCCTTCTGATCGACGAGGCTTTCAAGAAGAACGACCCGAAGGTGTTCAGGCTGCAGGATCTTGCGAAAAATGTTGGCCTTACTCCACGATACTTTCACAAGATATTCAAAGACAAGACGGGCATGACCCCAAACGAGTACACGAAAGCAAAGACGGTAGAGCACGTCAGTCCGAGGGCAGCCGCAACCTCTACTGAAAGCGCCGAAACAACCGACTGGGAGACGTTCGACTTTAATGATCTGGTAGATTTTGGGGCTGATCATAATGCGATCTGGACGGATGACTTCGCCGCAGAAGCTGTTCAGGCATCTACGACTGGCATTGATATTGACATTGATGTGAATATGCTACTTCAATCTTGGAGTGCGGGCTACGAGCCTAACAATATAGATCCAAGCCTCGTCGTCATAAACGACATACTCTTACAGCCTTTCGAAACGACGCCTGCGCCTGGTGACCTCCACGGAGTGAAGGCGACACCAACTGTCTCAACCTTGGAGCTCGATGCTGCTACCTTACTATGTTGTGACAGCTGGACAGATATGCTGCATGCATAGAATCATATCACTAGGAAATCATCGTGTTTCGACCTCCCATGTTCTTACACTATCTTTGCAGTGACGAGTGCCAAAACCAAAGTAACACACTGTTGTGAGCCATCAAAACCATGCCATGTGCCAAGTCGCCGATTCGGTCGGATGTGGTTCGATCGTATGGACGTACGACTATCATCGGCGTGCGCACGTACGCAGAGGTAATAATGCAGTAGGCATCTTGACTGGATGATCACATCTATCTGTTTTCCTCTCGTCAGCAGGTATTCACGCCCAGGGTGTGCAATGTGCTGAGAAAATGTTGCTCTTCAGAGACCAAGTTATAAGCAGCGACGGCGTAACATATGTCGATGCTAGCCATACCTTTTCCGGCTCTTCCTAAAGTGTTTAATGGTCGATGTACATTTCATCTTAGAGCTTGAGTGCGTAGCGAAATCGTGCGAAGAAAGTATGAACGTACCTGTTGAAGTATACAGAGTTGCGACGACTCGTTACCTGTAGGTTAGCAGGAATGTTGGATGTGTCTCATAGCTGAGCGATTAAAACTGCCGAAAAGACACGACTGCTTTGCTCCACCTCATAGTGGAGTGATTTTGCTGAACAACGTAGGAGAGAAGAAAAGTTGGAGCTTTTCGGAGTCGGAGTAGGCAGCTGCGAGTGCCGTAGCGCGGCGCTAGCGCAATGCTAAGTCATCCACCGTGTCCCCGGTCCACATCACGTGTTGTTGTATCTCTTCCGTTTGCAATTCATCGCCTGATCTGGCTTCGTGGGTCCATTGATAAAGTTATGATATGTCCTATGAATTACGGAATTCAATGGTCTAGAGCCAATTGCACACATCGAAGTACGTCGTCTTGGCCCACGGTTGGTCAAACTGAAGTACAAAGCTTCGCACGAAACAACACAGCATGATGCATGCTTTCAGAATTCCACTTTTAAGTTCCACTAAAGGGCCGAAAGAATCGCTATCGTGAGATGTCTGTTGTTTGCAAGACCAAGTGACCGGTAGAGCCGAGCGAGTATATATATGCTGTCCATGTCCTACCTGATAAACATCAAAGAATCCGGCCGATAACTCAAGTAACAAGCTTAAAACGCAATGGCACCAGGCGATAACCTCCCCGACTACCACACCAACACCCCACTCGACCCCTCCTTCGAGAAAGACATCCTCGACACGCATTTGTTCTACGACTACGATGCGCAAGACAGCAACGGCAATCCCGAAAAATGGCGATACGAACTGTGGTGCTTTTCCAAGGATAGGGTAGTCTACGCTATTCACGGCGGACCCATGGCTGGTCGCGTCAACTACCAACGTGCAACATACCAATGTATCCGACCCGGTGAGCTATGGCAAATCAACTGGCTCGAAGAGACTGGCACCATCGTATCTGTTGTGTACGATATCACCAAAGGGAAGGTGTCAACTTTGATTGGGTTTTCTGAAGGCCATTGGAAGAGAGGGAAAGAAGCGCTGGGAGATAAGAGAAAACCGGAGGATTTGGCGAGGTGGAGGAAGTTGGCTGAAGTAGGGAACCAGGCAAGTCGGTTTATGTTGTCGGAACAGGGGGATGTTGTAGAGATGTTCAAGGGAAAGGGGAAGTTGTCGCCGATCAAGGATGATGATCCTCTCTTTTAGGAGCAACACTGAGTACAACCAAGAGGCGTCTTCGTTTTTGTACTGGGCTCTATAACTTGATAAGATGATGTCGTAGCATAGAGTTCTGTTTGGGCAGTATATGCAGTTTGATTGATCGATAGGAGATATGTGATGTAAACAACAGCCTACGATATCTTTTGTGAGTGTGACAGGCATCACGTACCTTGCATTAGAGGTTGACGGCGAAGGAAGGTTGTCGTTCCATGCGATGTGGTCTTGCTGAAAGGTCGCACAACAGAGGCGGTGAGATCAGGCACCCTGCCACAGTTCGGCGACGTGTTTGGCGCTCAGGCACCCCTCTTGGCGTCATGTGTAGCTTCAGGAGTCGCGGTCCTGTAAGGCTGTGACGGAGTCATATAGGTAGCGTGAGTGTGTTTTGTGCGATGAAGACTCCTCCAGGAAAATCCACCATGGTCCGCAAGAACTGGTGGATAGTCCACCATGAGTCCTCCGGGAAGTCGCCCTTCCAGGTATTCCATCGGCCCCAGCAAGGAAGCACTTGTTACACGAAGCAACAGAAGGCAGAAGGAATAATGATGTACGCGTCGTCTCACCGGGATCGCCTAAAGGGATATTGTGATCGGCCACGTCCGATTGGGTCCCAGCGCCCTTCTTGCTGGGAGCGCCATGGCGAATCATTTGGGAAGCAGGAGACGGGGATCGATGAAGTGACCGGCGCAACGGGTATCCGAACATTGTGAGCGCTGGACAACTAGCTGTGTTGGTGCAAAGAGCAGGTGTAAGTCTAACGCAACCTCTCCCCTTGATCCGATGTGTTCACTGTTGGGATGGCATGGGCTACTACTGCAAGGAAAGGACTCTCCTCCGGATATACACGACCTTGGAAACGAGGCCTATGTGCAGTAAGGTGTGGTTCTCGGGCACCGTGTCTTCCAAACCTCTAGCCAATCTTAGCCACGTTATTAAACCGCAAGTGTTGTGCCCAAGTTTCCCAGACGCGACTCGGATCCGGATGCCAGCCTATGGGGTCGGAGGCGTCTCCTGCCCTGTCCCAAGGCTGGTCTCTCGTCGCTCGCCATGAGCAGCCGCCCCTAACGAATTCGCTCCCGCAAGAATGTACCCACTTTCTCGTACCCGGAAATCGATCCGCCCCACATGGTTCAGCCCTGTGGGGAGGGAGCCTTTCCATCTCATCGAGCAAAGACGAGGTGGCGCTTCTACTACTCTCGTGCAACACAAAGAAGATAACGACGAAGATAAGCGCTTGCGACAGCGAAATGCAATACTGGCCTTGGCCGTTCCTCACATCTGACTGAGGAGCCGGGGGCGCCGCGTCGGCCGAATAACGGCTGTGTGTGGGGAAGAGTGACTGTGTAAGCAAGCAAGCCGCCTGGACCCCATGCAATGCTACACGCTTCACACCGCCATCCACTCTGCAAACAAATCCTCTGTTCCTGCGCGAGAAGCTGGCGCCACACGCGCCATCCCCCGCGTCGAATGTTTCGAGTGCTTCTCGAAGAAGCTTGTCAACAGGCAATGTATCGCGACATGGGCGGCGCACGCCATTTGCAAGGGGGCTGGGCGGGGGGTGAGCAGACCGCATATTCGGAGTCCGATGACTGCCTAAGCGCCTGCATTTCGCTGCTGTCGTCGTAGGCTAGGGACGGTGAGACTCGTCATGTGAAGAGACGCATGCAGCATGGCGGCGTCTTATGCCTGGGGGCAGGCATGCAAGAGGTCGAGCGCAGAGAAAGGGCGGAATGCCAAAACGCCCTCGCACAAAGAAGCAAACCTGCACACACCACCACTCAGCCGCCGTTGATGCCCAGGAGAGGGCCAGGCAGAAACCGGTCCATGGAGTCGCCGTGTCCGCGCCCATCCGCCTTCCCCGGTCGTCTAGCCATGGACACATTCTAATGTGCAGGTTTGATTGTCCGCGCCTGTCTCGACGCGTAGTTACATTGACTTTCAATCTAGCACTACCACAAGCAGACTAGTGTCTGGGCTGCAACCCCATGTCCACCGCAACTTGGCCCCGTGCCTGATATGCAGCTGAACGCATAGGTCAAGATGACAGGGGGCAACGGGCATGTAGCGCGTCTTAGCTACGGGTCCTTCCTGATGGTCGTGGTTCATCAGCTGTGGCCAGCCTAGGCGTTGCGATTACGCTTTTCAGCCCACTGTCCCTCATTCCTTCTATGCCTCACTTACTCCTCCTGTCCACATGCGACACCAAGGCTGAAAGACTACGCCTTATCTTCTGCCAGCCTGGAGGCCTCCAACTCTCGTCTCCATACTTCGCTCCCAACCGACTCTGGATCCACAACTCACCATAAGTCGTCCAATTCACAGTATACCACCCATCATGGGCAGGGTAGAACTCACATCGCGAGAGAACCTAGAGCACATTCGAAGCTCTGCTTTCGAGTCTGAACACGCCTGGCTATACGATGCGTCCTACCGGCAACATGAGGCAGCAGCATTATACTTGGAGCTAGCGATGGAGCAATGGCATGCGAGCATCTCGCCAGATGAGAACTCAGACGAGCAGATACGGATCATCAAGACGCAAATCACTATCCATAGAGAGAGGCAGAAGGCATTACGACCACACCTCGAGAGTGGGAGCGACCAGATAGACGAGGAGGGAAACGAATGTGTGTTTGTACCAGCACCAAATCAGTGGGGAGCAAATGGAGACCTAGACGAGGAGAGTGAGAGTCTCTCGGCAGTACGTGCCACCAGACTACTCCACTAGTTTGCTCCAGTCTGTTAACACGCCTCTAGATCCAAAACCTACTCACTTGGCAAACATCATACTCTCCCGTCTCTTATACCCCTCTATACGATCTGGACGAGCTTCCCTCACCCGATATACCTTATCATTCGCTGCTCGACCCCTCACAAGCCACAACAACGTACCATCTTCACCGCACACGCGAATGGACTGGCTCTTCCGGCTTTCGAAAATACATCTACACAGCGCGCGAGCACTCGGACAAGTACGCTTTATACATGCTCGAAACATCACATAGAGGAGATAGCCAGGTCAACGCCGCAGACTTCTTCCGCGTCGCAGAATACCCGCAAATGTGCATCTCCATTCTTCTCTCTGGCATCGACAAAAAACGCATTTCAAGCGATTCTTCAAAAGATGCAGCATACAAATCCCGCTGTATACATCTACGTGGCCCCTTCTCACAAGCGATAAAAGAGTACCCGGACCGGCAGCAGAAGATTCCATGGTCGCCGCGGCGCTTCACATATGGCGGTCGACGATTTGTATGGAAGCAGGGGGATCCGCACGACGACGCTATGCCCGAGACACTCTATGAATACCAAAAAGATTGGGCGAAGCCGGGAAGCAGGACGGGCAAGCGGTGTGACGATGCAAAGCCAATCAAGTTAGTGTGGGGGGAGAAGAAAAAGAAGGGCAAAGTCGACAGCTACACGATTCATTTCAGGGGTGGCATGGATCAAGTGTTCAGGGAGATTCTACTAGCGAGTCAGATGGCGAGGCAGGTGTGTCTATTTACTGCTATGGACTGACGGGGTCTGAAAGGTGGAGCAAGAGATGAACGAGCAGCACTGTATTTCTATAACGAATCTTTATTTCAGCGAAAGGAGTTGGAACGGATCGTCGGTCACGACACGGATACCACAATCAGGCGTTCAGGGAGTCCGCTTGGAAATCGAGCTTTTGGTCTACTTTGGGGATGGATTCTAGCAGGCTAGGACACCTGACAGAGGCTTTTGTACCCTCATCACATCTCCATTCTGTGGCTCAGCGCCCCATTCATTGATACGTTGATATCTACGCAATCAATCGAAAAACTCAAGTCTTACCACATCACATCTTCATGGACATACATCATATTCATAAGCATACAACACTGTGCAGGATCTTTAAGCTTACTCACGCCCCAACCGCCTCCCAGGCGCTGAGTGGATCCGCCCAGATCTCCCAATGCCCAATCAGACCCTGGTCATCAAACCCACTAAACCTGTAGATGAACTGCTCGTCCCATCCTTTGCCCGTCTTCTTGCTAGTAAACCGACCTTTACCTACCACACTAACCAGTCCCGTTCCACTCCCAATGCTATTCCCTTTCCCATCTATCACCGCCTCAGCATCTACAATGAATCCCTCTTTCCCAGGAAACGCATCCTCACTCAAACTCATGTCTAGCACCTCAGTCATCAACGTGAAGTACTCCTCACACCCTTCTTTTCCTTCGAAGGTCTTGGCCAGGAAGGGTAAGCGCGAGCGTGACCATTCTGGGCCATGCTCTGTGATTTTGGGTCGCTGAATGAAGAACTGAGACAGGAGCTCGGAAGGAGGGGGGAGCGAGATCAGGGCGGCGCAGAACGAGTGCGCTGTGTTTCGGAGGGTGGTGCTGCGTGTTGATGACATAGCTGAGCTAGCTAGCGAGCTCTTGCCTGTAGGGCGTCCAACAAGGAGTCCAGGAGCAGAGGTGTCGGGATTTTCTTGCGGCACGCGGTACGCACGTGTCAAGTTTCGAGTGTGCTTTTGTGCGTGTGTGTGTAATCTTTTGGTGATGTATGCAGGTTTGATAGTTCCGGCGTGTTAGACGATGGCGCTGTATGCAAGTCGCGTATATGGTTGTCTGATATGAGGTCCAAAGGACTGTGGCTTGCGTACGTAGCGGCTGTTCCGTGTCTCGGACGGTGTGGTAACAAGCTGTCGGATTTGTCGAAGCGGTGGGCGTCAGCTAGAGGGCTGTTGGTAAGATTTTAGTGGCCAGGATGAATTGCCAGCGTCGACGAAATTCCCCTCGAAGGCGTAGATGCACGCTAGAACGTGACGTCTCGTATTTGCATCTCTTGACCAATTAAGGCCACGAGTCAGCGGGGAGTTGAGTACTAGTGGGGGTGATCGCTTCAAGGTGTCAACGTAAGGTTGTGTATGGACCGGGATTGTGGGGGTGCTTGTGTGAGGCTTGATGCAAAGGTGTGGTGGCGCGATTACATCAATGGTGGAGTAGGTCTCTAATGGCGAAGATAGCAGGGGTTCTCACATGTAGGCGCACGTTAATTTGTATGTGTAAACTTGTTACTTGTGTGATGTTAAATCCCAAGATTTCACGGTGCTTCAATCTCTTACGTAACTCTGACCAACGAGTAGCAATTACTTCTAGAACACCAGAAATGCCTTGTTTCGAGCTGATCGGTATTCAAATCATGTCGCAACATGCGACGAGGCACTGCATACTGGAAGAGCTATTTTTCCAAGGCCTCACCACTCAATTGTCCCTAATCTTCCACTTTAAGTCCGGGGACTTGCGCCTATCACATATTGTACAAATTCTAGATGCCGTATCGTCCTAACCGATATCCTCTGATAGACAACTACCGACTGGTGGATCGTAAGAAGCAACGATCGTCAAAATTATGCCGCAACTCCAAAACCCCAGTTGGCCCCAATCGGGTAACGTCAGCAAAGTCGACATTTCAATTTAAAAGATATGCGGCTTACGTGTAGGCATTCAGGCTTCGCCCGATTCCTGAGGTGGGTAGCAGTTGATTGCCGATTTTATATTGACACGCACACTCGCCTCTTACGTCGTGCATGAATGATCGCGCCGACTAGGATATTGCTGTTGGACATGAGCGTGTAAGAACATCGTCATGAAGGTCCGCTGCTATGACTACCCCATAACGACGGGCTCTTCGTCTTGGAGTCTGCGATTGTATAGGTACGCGTGATACTAGATGCTGCCGAGCTCTTAGACCATGTATACAGGTCTTTCCTACGTTGCTGCGGCGGTGACTCTTGCAGATACCAAGAGTCGGTGAGATTAGTTGAGTCAACGATTTCATACCGAGCGCTATCTAAACTGTTGCATTACACTAACGGCTCGTGGGTGCTTGCAACACTGAGTTCGTGCAATGAGTCTTTATGATCGGGACCTTTTAGAGAACCACGCATGCAGATCTCGATAGGTAGACGAATATGCGTAGCGAGAAGTTATCAGATATGGCGATAGGCTAGATATTATCGTGGGATATATCTTCTTACGAGAAAATGGAGTCTTCCGGTTTAATCGAAGAGTACATAAGCCTTGAAGCCACAGTCGAGCCTGACGATGTTCGTGACCCCGCAAACTCGCTAACCGGTTATGGCTCCCCGGCCTTCATGAGTGCCAGGTGAATCGCCGAGGCTCTCCGCTCGATGTAGCTTACTCGAGCATCATATTCTCAAGATGTAGAGCCACCTCTGTTAATTTCGCATGTCGCCCGGGCAAGAAGAAGATAATACTGTCAGCCCACCATGTCCGGGACCACAGAGCAGAAGGCACGCCACGACCTAGATGACGACAAACTCGGCAAATATCTACAACAGGAAATACCGGATTTGAAGTTACCCGTACAATCGACGAAGATTGGATATGGGCAAAGTAATCCAACATATTTCGTTGATGATGCTGGCAATACGCGTTATATTCTTAGAAAGAAGCCAAGTGGGACGATCATTTCGCCAGTAGCACATCAGGTTGACCGAGAGTACAAGGTACTGAAAGCGCTTGGTTCAGTTGAGGGGTTTCCAGTACCGAAGGTGTATTGTCTTTGTATGGATGCATCGATCATTGGTACAATCTTCTACGTATGTGCCTCATCTCCGTATGTTATAAATGCAAGATTAATCGCTTTGTAGGTTATGGAGTTTGTTAAAGGACGCATAATAACCGACCCCAACTTATCGACTTTGTCCCCAACGGAACGCCGATCCGCCTGGTTCTCTGTTGTCTCCACCCTGGCCTGGCTGCACTCCATAGACCCTGATGCCATTGGACTGTCTGATTTTGGCAAGAAAACCGGTTTCTACACCCGCCACTGCAACACGTTCTCCCGTATCGAGGCCCAACAAGCAAAAGTAAAAGATATCGCGACCGGTAAAGAGCTGGGTCGCGCACATCCCAACTTTGACGAGATTGTAGAACACATCCGCAAGAATGTTCCCACTGATCGCACCAGCATCATCCACGGAGACTATAAATTCGACAATATGATCCTGCACCCTACGGAGCCACGGGTCATTGCGATACTAGACTGGGAATTAAGCACAATTGGCCATCCGCTCATGGATGCTGTCTATGTTGTTGGACCGTACTGGAATCGTGTAGGTAAGTCAGGTATATCTGGAGGCCCGAAAATGGCAGCGAGAGATGATCAAGGAGGAGAAGTGTATGAGCCAGAAAACCAAGCAGAAAACGGAATGCCAAGTATGGACGAACTGCTTGACGAGTATGCGAAAATCACGGGCTGGGATCCGAGGAAAGATCAGTGGGAGATTGCCAAGGTCTTCCATTTGATGAGGGTGAGTTGATTCGTAATCAATCTCTGAAGGGCTATACATAACTACAGTTCTGAAGCTCAGTACTAATATGATCGCAGGGAAGCACTATCAGCCACGGCATCCAAGCGCGAACAATCAGTGGGCAAGCAAGCAGCGAATTTTCACATGTTTACTTCGAGAGTACGAAGAGGGGTTTGAACGGAGCGCTCGAAATGGTGAGGTCAATGAAAGAGAAGGAACCCACCAGGAGTATGATTTAAAACATCACTTGCTCCTGCTTACAAATTGTTGAGAGCGTAGCCTCCGAAGAAAAGTGTGCTACTCGCAAAAGAAAAATCTTCGAGGACTTGAACACCTGTAAAGTACCGATGAATATCACTGCATGTGACGTACACTCCATTACCTGTCGCCACCTGGCCTGAGGTTCTTGATCGAAATCTTCATTGTCCGGTATCGCGCGACCGTGAACCTCTCCCCGCTATAGATTTAGCACAGACAACGTCACAATGTATCACCAGCCGCCCTCGCATGTCGCTACGGTAGTCTTTGAAGCATTGACTACCTCCCATACAGATCTACGCTTCACGTACTCCATCAAGTCCCCCCCGGCCACGATACCCTTGAACCCTTGAACCCTCATGCTTCATATATGCTGGCTCACATAATCTTCCGGGCTAGCCTCTACTCCCTGTTCCAAGGTCTGTAACTCTCATCCTTGTCATTATTGTTCGAATCGCTAAGACTTCTTGGCTTCAATGCTTCTAACAGCCAAGATCTGTCGTCATTCGGATGTACAAACATGCGTAGAGTTTCTCGAGATATCGGTTGCTCCGCTTGCCGTGGATTCGAGACTGTTGAGTTGTTTCAGCCAATCCGCCCTAGAGATTACCACTGTCTCCAACATTCGTCTGCTTCTAGTCTCGTATCTGGATTTCACTGGGTGGCAATTGGTCCTCGAGAGGTACAACATCAGTATCGTCCGAAGATTTCGTCTACTTAATAGGAATCGGCAATAAATGCACAGATGCATTGTTGAAATTCTAATCTACTATTGATCCAGTGAGGCCGTAAGGCACGTAGCCTAACATTAATCCAAGTGGCCAAATGCGTGTAAATCTACCATAGGTGTTTCCCTTCTCATCTAATACGCCGACGCTATGCAAAAGCTGTGAATGAAATGAGTGGTAGATTACAGGAAATATATCAGAGAGGCTTTTTAGTCTATTATAATGGAATGGATGAATACATGTTGGCGCTGAAGTGTAATAGCCAATTACAAGGATATAAACGAGGGTATATAGCTTTTGAAGTGCAGCGTATCTCTGTTGTGTTGTGCAACGAAAGACTTGTACATAGGGAAGAGTCCAATGTGGTGAGATTTCGGATGGATAGAGAAGTGGCCAATTGGTGGAGACTGCTAGATATAGGGCGATTGCAAATGTTGTGTTCGTGCTATCGCACATTCATGGAGAGTGCATGAGGAACACGAGAATTTGTTGCACCTAGTGGTCTGCAATATCCTCATCTAGTCCAGGGTACATAATGTCGGCGACGTATACGGCTCTCACGTGATTGAAAATCACAAAGAACCACATTGTGATGACGGCAATCGTTAGGCCGTTACCGACATAGAGAATTGTTTCGTCCTTGAGTGCCTTGCCGATGGATATGGTAGCAATGACGAAGCCAGTGTTGGGGAACACCATAGCCCACCAGCCTAAGTGGAAGTAGACAGCCCATGAGTTGATAACCTGGGACATTATATTAGCAACTATCATGGAAGTGATTTTCAAAGAAGAATACTTACAGCCACAAGAGTAATCATGAAGAACCACATTGCTAAAACCCAGAGGAACAGCGCGACGACCAGAGCCATGGTTCGAAGCAGCTTCGCGTCGAGAAGACCATCTCCCTGCAAATCGAAATCATCGGGAAGAGCATCGGCCATACCAATCAAAGCCAAGCATGTGAAAGAAGGCGGACCGACACCGATGAACATTGCCCCGCGGTGCTCGCGATCCGGGTACCCCACTTGCATGAGGCGACCGATGTAATGAGCATACATCAGAATAGCCACAGTGAAGCCAAGACCCTGACATCCAAGACCTGCTACGATTATTGGCATCCTCGATGCCGGTGGCTGATCTCTTGCAATGACCGAAGCAATGGTACCCGAAAGCATAACCGGGAAGATTGGTAGGAGCCATGAAGGCATGAAGCTGGTGAGCTTGTAGGTATGGCGACAGAACAGGAACGAATACTGAAAGGTAGCAAGACAAAAGGTAGCGAAGGTGTAGGCCCAGAAGGCCACGAAAATCGTGGTTATGGCCCAAGTCCGATTAGGATGGTTCATTTCGTATGATTCGATCACATACTTTTGCGTACCCGTAATGATGGTGGCAATTGAGAGGAAGAATGGCCCAAGGAACAGGCCCTCGCGTTCGTGGGTGATTGATTCTTTGAAAGCGCCGGGGAATTTGATGAAGCGAATAATCATGGCCGTGGTTATACTGGTGAAAAATATTAGATTGGTGATGTAGAAAACAGCACCAATCGTGATTAGACCTGGGAAGGCGTGTGGCTGGATAGCAATGAGAGTTGCAATACCGCCTGTAGCCATAGTCAGAGTGTACCAAGCCCAAGTAAAATGCTTGAGTCGCTGCGCGTAGGGGAGATACGGCTGATTAGGATCTTTGCGGCCCGGGACTTTGGTATGTTTGTCCCACCCCGAGTGACTTCCATCGTTCTTATGTTTCTCGAGATCAATTGAGTGTATGTCGATTTCTGGCGTCTTTCTCTTGTTGTCAAGAGAGTAGCCATTAGCATCGACTAGGCCAGGGAAGGAGGTTGCTTCGGGTGGATCAGACGCAGCAGGTGTATGCACCAAGGTGCTACTGCTGCTAGCTTGGCCATTTTGTAGAAGATATAGAGTTTGTTGATCAACGGGCATAGAAAGGTGTTGGCGTGGTTGCTGTTGCGGCGTTGGGTTGGACAGGCCTCGCTGCGGCTCGGAGAGGCGAGGGCCTAATGGAAGGCCATAACGCCCCTGTTGTTGTGGAGTGAGTAGACGAGGGCCTGGTGGGGAGACTGATCGCTGCCGCTGAGGAGAATATTGACTCTGCGGTTGGATAGACTGAAGAGGATACTGGTCTAGTTGCTGACCATCTTGAAGAGGAAAATGACGTAGATCGTCACCGTTGTCGAGATTAAGATTGAAAGAATTTTTCTTATCGAAGGATAGGCCTTCAGGTTGAAAGCGAGTATCCATTGCCGAAGTCTAAAGAGAGGTGTCCTGCACCGGGAGAGTTGATGACTGGAACCGCCAAAAATAAGTACAAAAACGATGCTTGTGGAATATGCAAAAGTAATGAGAGTAAACTAGCACCGGGTTGTGGGATTGATGCAGGAACGCGAAGTGGACGGAGGCTGAGTATTAACCAGCGCACAGAAAGATCAGCATGGGTACATGGGCTATTCCAATAATTCAACTTGCTGCGATCCACGTACCATGTTTTGTACTAACGACTTCAAGCAGCGATGGAGGGATGGGAGGAGATCTCAGTGAGCTTGGCAGAGGGAAGCGTTGCGTACCTTCTCCTGGGATCCACATTAGAGCGTGGAATAAGCCCTGGATCGGCATCAGTGCACGTGCTTTGAATGCCAATGTGAGGTTGTCTTCGCTTCATCCCAATCCAGGAGTGCAAATGCAAGCTTGGCGGTGCCCGCTCTGCCAAGAGATATGAACATAGCTTCGTCGTTGAGTGCTTATGAAGGGCATTTGTTGGGCGCGCCATACCTGCATAGCGGCTATGCTTGCTTGTGCACCGAACGACAGCAAACATGACGATTGCGCGTAGCTGTGGGTTAGAACCTTGCGTTTACAGGCCTCGACAGGAGCGCATGCTACAGTCCACCGAAGCTGACGAGGCAAGTGTTCCCACTGATAGTCTTCGCCCACTTTTGATGATATGGAGTTCCAATTGCGCAGCAGTACATAGCGACGAAAGGGCCAGGCCACACATGCATGTACAGTGCCCTGGACGGCCCTGCAGGGGGAGTCCCTACTGCTTCCAGGAACTCACGAACAATTGGGCTGGCGGTCTCTGATTTGGACTTCATGAATGGAGCGGACCGCCATCCCCCGAAGCATGGTTAAGGCGGAGGCTAGGTGAATAAACAGGGATTAAGATGCGGCTCAAGTTAGAGCTGCAATGATTCGCGCCGCGGAAGGCGCATTGAAACGTGATGGAACCCCTAAAGCGGATCCAATTGTGTCGACCTTGATGCCAAGCATCCCACGCAAACGCTCTAAGAGGAACAGCCCCACCATGATGGAGCCGATGAAGCCACAGCCGCGAACCAGATACGCTTTTGTGTAGATAAGGTCGAAGGGTTATACGCTAGCTGCATTGCGAGCGCGGCCGCGGGTCTCGTCTAGGGTCATGGCGAGAAACAGAGAGGGTGTCTCAACAATGCCAGAAACCTCACTCAAGGTCCACACTGATGTTTGACCCTCTCTAGCCAAGCCCAAGACTTAGGCAGAAAGCCTATCTCGACCTCGTTGACGGCGCTGTGCTCCACGTGCGTCCAGGAGCCCATTGTTGATGCAATCGTGGCTTTGAAGTCCTGGAAGATGGCATCCATGAGTAACACCGAAGTTAGCAATGCGTGGCGGCTTCCGTAGCTAAGCACGAAAGCGATGACTGTCGCGCATCGTTGCTACTTCTGGAGATTGCCACCTTCTTCCCAGTTCCCCGATTGCTCATATCTTCTCTTGAGGGACTGTGCCTGCTGGGCAGTGGGCGGTGCACTCAGCACGACTGAACGTGGGCGAATAGCTGGGGCCAGGGCCGCGTCAACGAGATCCACAGTTGGGCGTAGATGGAAATTTGACAAGATCGCAGCCAAGAGAAAAGAAACAAGATGAGGCTCGACGTGCACACGCAACGAGGATGACGCAGCCGAGGTGGCTGGCACGCTTTCCCGCATTAGGATCTGAGGGCACCAGGGGCTTACCTCGACCCCTGGATTGTCAACATAACCTTTTGAAGATCTGGAAATCTCACGAAAGCCGCTGTCTCGATTCTCTTCGGCTAACTATCTAGAGGGCGTTTCCAAACCCAGGGCGGACTTCGCAACAGGTCAAAGCAGGCGCTACGGGCACCTCGTTTCAGGTGCAGATAAGCAGCAACGAAACCCATCTGCATGTGAAAGCATACCGACACAATGGCAAGCTACTACCTCGATATCGTCATTTATCGCCGACTTCTCCGTACTTTGACGCCTTCCAATGCTTCAATGATGCACCTTCTACGTGACCCTGAAACACCTCATCACTCGTGTGCAGCCTTCGTAGGCCGCGATGAAACCCCCACACCAACTCAACAATTCCAATGCAGTGGCCCTCCTTAGATCGCCGGAGACTTAGCAGATTCCGCTGCCGGCGTCTGCAGGGCTTGGCGAAGTTTCCAACATATCATGAACCCTTGGTCAAACAAGGTAGATTGATTAGCACCCCCACCAAGATGATGTATTACACCAGACGAGTCACGCAGAGATAGACTCGACTGTTTGATTAGTTGGTCACAGAGACATATGGAGGCTCAACCAGTCCTAATTCCACCTTCCTAATGGGTGTGGTCACAATGCCTCTTAGCTGCCCAGCAATAGATACAAATCTTTTTATTCGTCATGCAGAGATTATGTCTAACGCATGTCGTCTTGGGCCCAGATGCGACAGAGGGTTACTTGTCACTCACACACCCTTCCCATCCTGAACGACGACAGTTTTCTCCGATGATTTGCGTCCAGCGGCTAGTCCATTGATCGGAAGTTCTTCAAAAGGAGCAACGCCGACCCTCTTTGCCTCGGCTTCTGTGAAAGTGCCATATATATCCACATCATCAATCTGGTCCATTTTTTGTACTGGAAATAAGATATTCAGGGCGTAGAACACGAGAGCACTTATGAAGAAGCCTAGAACAAATGTAAGCATGAACCGGGTGCTATGCTAATACGATCAGGTACTTACCGATCAGAAAGGCCGTGTAATATAACTGAACTAACGCCTTCGGCGGGTTGAGGTCTCTTCGAACAGTCACAACAAGGCCTCCAATCGTAGGCGCCCATCCACAGATCCAGGCAGGTATTGCCCTCCAGTTAACGCCCTTCCAGAAGTAGTAAGACGAGTCATGCGTTCTGTAAAGATGGCTCAACCGAATCCTCCTTTTTCTAAGCATATAGTAATCGCATGCCATTATACCAATAAGAGGCGCTAGAAAGACGGAGAACGATGAGAGGACAGCGATAAACGTCGTCGCCTTATTGATGAGCTGCCATGGTTGAACGACCCATGCAGCGACGAATGTAATGATGGCTCCGCGTCTGATATCGATGTAACGGGGGAAAAGACCTGCCAGGTCGATACCGCCAGCGATCGAGTTGCCACATATGTTTTCAAACATTGCGGTGAACGCAAAGCCCGCAGACAGAAAGAATACACCCGCCCGAGCCTTCGACGAACCGCGGCCACTGTCCATCATCCGCATCAATAAGTCCGGTGGGTTCCAGTAGACCTCGCCATATATCTTCTGGGCAGCCGATGCAGTGACGAGGCCAATGAGGGACACGAGCACGCCTGTTACGACGCAGCTGCTGATGGTCCCATATATGTAGGATCTGCGAGAGCGCGAATAACGTGAGAAGTCGGATCCGTTCGTAATGCCAGCAGCCAAACTTCCTATACCTTGATTGATGCCTGCCATGATGAGCCATGAGGTACCGAACGGAGAACCAGTGGGGATTGTCTGTCCAGAATTCCAGAGTGGACCGACACCTTTCGCAACTGATAATGCCCATATCATCCATGCAAGCATTCCGACACCACACCAGACACAAACGATTAGGAAAGGGACCTTGAAGTTTTCGGGTCTTAGCCAGAGGAATGGCGTCGAGAGGAACCAAAACACTACAAACCCGACAAATTGATCAGTCGTCGTAGGCATATTGGGACCAAAGGTATTCTTGATTTGCGCAAAAGATGGCCATATTGCTGTTAAACATACTGCGACAAGGCGGCCGCCGTTCCAACCTTGCGTGACTTAGCGTGTAATCTTTGTTGTTCATGAAAGATGTAGACTTACATTGAACGGCGTTCCAAATGAAGTTGAGTAATATCCTCTGAGACAGCGGAATAAAACTCCCTTTCATGCCCCAGCTATACCGATTTTGTACGGTGAAGCCAATGTGCCATTTCAATCCGATCCAGGCTATCACAGCTGAGAATAGAGCAATGAGTAGTCTACTGATAACAATGACAAGCATAGCTTGTGGCACTGAAAGGCCCATGGCTGCTGTGCGTTAGTCTTTTCATTAATGAACAAGCAGAACGGAAGAAAGCGTACTTAGGTAGGTGTTGGGTGTCTGCCAGTTCGACAGATTCAAAGACGCGATCGCCCAAAACCCAAAGAAGTTGAACCATCCCCACGTCCTTCGACTCGGCGGCAGAGGTATCAAATCGCGATTACTCCACGCATCGGTCTGCTCATGTTCCTCATCATTGCCTTTGAGGCGGATCTTCTGATCAACGCTTGTTAATCTCTTCCTCAAACCCATGGTTGAAGTCAAGCTTCGTTAAGCTCCAAAGTCTGACCGCAAAGAGTGAAGAGGGCGGTGTTGCAGATGTCTGAGTTCGTCCGGTAGTGATAAGCTCCTCATACTTGGCTGTGCCACCTGATGATATTACCCGAGCCCAACGTTCCCCATGCCAGCCAGCCGTGTTGATATGCGGCGTTGTAACCGTTTCGGGAACCGAGGACATGATATCGGGGAATTTAACTGGTTGATACGATGGCCAACCAGCAGTGGGGGTAAGAAGACATCATTATCTTATCAGATGAACAATGGTGCAGCAAGATCCTTCCAGGTTGCACCAATGGCCTGTGTTCTGCGGAAGACGGTAGGCGTAATGTACAAAACTTAGGTGGCAGGCCTGAATGTAGCCTCGGATCCGAACATGCGAAACCCCACCAACCCGAAGCTAATGATGCCCCACCTGTTAAATCTTATCAGATCTTCACAGCAACAGGTTCGGTGTACAGTTCGCTGAGCTACTCTTCTTTCCTTATTTGAGCGTTGAGCATTAATTGCTTATTTGCACGCTTGTTAGATCTTCTCTTGTCTATGATGGCCTCATCAAAGAACCTACGCATCGGCGTCGATGTTGGCGGGTAAGCACCGCGTGTGCATCGAAGCGAACTTGTAGCACTGCGAAACTAACTCATCGCGTAGTACGAATACCGACGGTGTAATCATCGACCCTACGAGGTCTCACGAAGCTGATCGGGGAATTGTTGCGTGGTAAGACCTATTCCTATACTCTTCCCCCAGTTGTGCAATAGCACGTGCACATGTATCATCACTCTAGGTGACATTAGCTTGTTCTTAGCTCCCATAGTATGAGCTTTGTTTTTATTACTTCTCCTTCATACAATACACTGAATTGCCTTAAAGATACCGCAAGAGCTCACACAACCCACCAGGCACAAAGCACCAACAACTACGGATCCTAGCCATGGTATCGCGAACGCCATCACCACCATGTTCAAATCCGCCTCCGTGGACTCATCTTCCGTAGCGAGCGTAACAATAGGGACGACCCACTTTGTCAACGCGGTAGTCACCCGTGATTCTACACGGCTTTCGCCGGTAGCAGTGCTTCGACTATCTGGATCCTTTAGTAAGCACGCACCACCGTGCGTAGATTGGCCTGCCTCACTGCGAAAGATTATCTTAGGGCACCATGCGTTCGTCAAAGGTGGGCTGGAAGTAGATGGTAGTCTAATATCTGATATCAAAGAGCACGAGATCGTGGAACAATGCAAGATCATCAAGGAAAAAGGCATCAAGAGCATTGTTGTGAACGGAGTCTTCAGTCCGATCGACACGGTAGAAAAGCAAGAAGAGCGTGCAGCAGAAATTATCAAACGGGAATTAGGAGAACATATCGATATCGTTCTAAGTAAAACCGTCGCAAACCTCGGGTTTCTCGAGCGCGAAAATGCCGCGATTTTGAACGCTTCTATTCTCTCTTTCGCCCGCAAGACCATCGCTTCGTTCCAAACACCGATCAAGAAGCTCGGGCTCAACTGCCCTGTCTTCATCACTCAGAACGATGGCACTATATTGGGCGGGGAGGCCGCTAGTCGGTTGCCCATCCGAACGTTCTCTTCAGGCCCAACGAACAGTATGCGTGGCGCTGCATTCCTCGTTGGCAAGCAAGAGAATGGCGAAGCGATGATGGTAGTCGATGTCGGCGGTACAACAACAGATGTGGGTTTACTACTTGCGAATGGGTTCCCGAGACAACAAGCAGCATACTCAGAGCTTTCGGGAGTGAGAATGAATTTCTCCTATCCAGATGTGAAAAGCATAGGGTTAGGTGGTGGGAGCTTGGTCAGGAGAGTTGACGGGAAGTTGCAAGTCGGACCTGAGTCAGTAGGCTATAAGCTTCCCGAGAAGGCGATAGTATTTGGTGGAGATGTGCCAACAGCTACTGACTATACTGTTGCCGCTTCCTCCGATGTTGTAATTGGCGATCCTGCGAAGGTACAAGACAAATTGGATGAGAAAGATATAAAAGAGTTCAAGGAACAAACGAAGAAGATGTTGGAAAGAATAATCGATACGATGAAGACAACGCCAGAGGATATCCCTGTCCTACTCGTTGGAGGTGGCGCAGTCATTGCACCAGATGAGCTCAAAGGTGCAAGTCGGGTCATCAAGCCCCAGTGGTCTGGTGTAGCAAACGCGATCGGTGCCGCAATGGCCAGAGTCAGCGCCATCATCGATACCGTTAAGTCAACTGAGAAGCACAGCCCGAAAGAAATACTTGCTGAAATCTGCGAGCAAGCTAAAGAGAAAACGATCGAAGCAGGAGCGTTATCGGAGTCCGTTGCTATTGTAGAAGTGGAAGACTTACCGTTACAATATGTTGCAAACAAGACGCGATTCATCGTAAGAGCCGCGGGAGAATTTGACTTTTCGCGGGCAAGCGACTTCACGAATCTCAATGTTACGAAAGAGGAAGATGGAACGGTAAAGGAGATTGACAATCCGCAAGACGCTATTGCCGCGCCATCTATAGAAGATACATCAGCTGAGGATGATGTAGCGACAGATGTTGATATCGCAACGTACACACCCAAAGTCATCAACCGCGAGTGGTGGATATCGGAAGTTGACCTTGATTGGATAACGATTGGCTGTTACATTCTAGGAACTGGTGGTGGAGGCTCTCCATATTCAACAATGTTACGCGTCCGTGGAATATTGCGATCTGGCGGAACGGTACGAGTCGTCAGCCCAGACGATCTCAAAGACGACGACCGAGTTGGATGCGGCGGCGGCGCCGGAAGTCCTACGGTAGGTATTGAAAAGCTATCTGCCGATGAGTAAGTCCTCAAATCCACTCGCTTCGATCATGCTAACCGTTGAAATAGAATGATGGACGCGCAGAACCACCTATACGACCTCTTCAAAGGCGGGCGTGCTACCCATGTCATTCCCCTCGAAATTGGAGGCTCGAATGGTCTACAAGGCCTCGTCTTAGGTGCATCGACGAATATGGATATACCATGCATAGATGGCGACTGGATGGGCCGCGCATATCCTACCAAATGGCAAACGACACCCGTTGTCTTTGGCGAACGCGAAATAATCTTTGCGCCAATCGCTGTAGCTGATGGCAACGGCAACACACTGTACATGGGTAGCGCAACGAGCGACTTGAAAGTCGAACAAGTAATAAGAGCAGCACTGAGTCAGATGGGAAGCGCTGTCGGCACAGCTGATGCGCCAGTCACTGGTGCTGAAACGCGACGATGGGCAGTCGAACACACCATCTCTCTATCATGGCGCATCGGTCGAGAAGTGGCACGCGCGAGGAAAGAGAATAGAATCGACAGTGTTGCGGAATCTATCGTCGACGCTGTGGGAGGCGCAGAAACAGGACGCGTGCTCTTCAAAGGTAAAATCACTGGAGTCGAGCGAAAGCTGTACATGGGCCATGTCTATGGCGAAGTCATTATCGAAGGCACAACCACTCAATACTCTGGGAAGATCAAGATACCCTTCAAGAACGAGAACATTGCCGCGATACGAATACACGAGGGCGACGAGAGCAAGGCTGGCGAAGAGAAGAATGAGGATGTACTAGCCATAGTGCCTGATCTTATTGCTGTCACTGATGCGCAGAACGGCGAGGCTATCGGAACGCCAGAGTATCGATATGGTTTGCTCGTCTCGGTGATTGGTATCAATGCTAGTGAGCGGTGGACGAGTCCGAGGGGTATAGAGCTGGGAGGACCGAAGGCTTTTGGGTTAGAGCATCTGGAGTATAGGCCGTTGGGCAAGTTTGTGAAGCCGATTAGCGTGATCGATGAGTATGATGGGCCGGCATGATCCGAACATCTAGAGCATTTGCGGTTCAAATATACAAAGCTGAGACAAGTCTGATGTGACTGCTCTGGGTTGTGAAGTCTAGTCTATGGAGCTTCAGTAGCTGGCGTATGCGTCACTCCTGGGTAAAGTGGCATGATGACCTTAACCACGGCTTCATAGCTCGTGAACAGAATACCGCCACTAAATACAGTCCGTCCCAATCGCATTGTTGTGCCTTTCCAGAATCCTCGGATACCATAGTCGAGCAAAATACTCTTAACAGCCTCGGCAGTCGATGTTCCTCTGGCGCTCTGAGATCGCGTCTTGATCACATCGAAAGGTTGGGTAGCAAGAGTCGTCACAACACCTGCAACCGATCCATTGGCGAAGTTAACAGCAGTATTCTGCTCAATATTCCTCTCCTTCTCGTAGTCCTTCAGAATATTGTACGTTCCCATACGAAACGCAGTAGCGGATGCTTGCTTCATCGTAGTTCCCGCAAATCCGCGGTACAACCCTAGAATTCCATGCTCTTTCCAGATTGTAGTAGTAGCATGAAAACCAGATCGAAATCTTTTTTCAGTCCTTGCGTCATCAATAAGGGCAGTTTTGATGCGCTCCGTGGGAGTGACTGCGGTGATGGATGCTATTACTCCGGCGGTCATGCCAGCAAGGAGGTTGCGCAGAGGGGAGAGGGTGCCGGTCTCTGGATCTGCGAACGATTCTTTGATTTGGTCGAAAAAGAGGAAGCGCACGCCATCTTTAGCTATCGAGCCCTGTGTTGCATGTTGGTCTTGTTCCTTGTAACTCTAAACTTCGGAAAAGTAGATCCGAGGGCGTCGATGAAGAAAACGATGATGAGAAAGAGAAGAAAAGAACAGGAAGAGGAAGACGTATGATATAAGCAAAAAGGCCTACTCACTACAACTAATGCGCCGCAGCCTTTGTATAACGCTCGAATACCTTCCTTCTGATAGACTTGCGTAACAACGAGAAACGGATTCCTGGGGGTCGGGACACCTTTCTCTGCCCTCAATTGCACACGGGTCTTTGCGAACTCCATCGGATACTGTCAAGGGACTTAGTCACGACATGAATGGTCATCTTTTCATTACTTGACGTACCGAAAGAAACCCTTCGACGCCTCCAGCCACACCTCCCGCGGCTAACGATACTACGGCAGGTGTATTTTTGTCCTTTGATGTGTTAGTATGGAGTACTTTGAGTTTTCCCAGTGAGCCTACATTGCCGCCTGAAACCATTGGTACCTAGAAAATTAGGATAAGATGATGTTGATTAGGTGATGGTTCCAATGCGGAAGGAAGCTGCAGAGATGCAGGTAGCCGAGCGATAGCCGAATTGATACCTAGTGGGTGGGGTGGCAGCAGCCACGTGAAGACACGTCCTACTGACAAATTATGCTAGTAGAAGAAAAACAATGAGGATAAATTTAACCAGCAATCAGCTTCTTGTCAACTATTTCCAATCGTGAGCTGGTTCAAAAAGCAAAAGCAAGGATCTCGACTATGACGTGGACGGCCCGTGCTCAAGACTCTCGGGTGGAAGTTGCGTGCTTCACTCATGACCTTTCTCCCTACTAAACCATCATCGTGTTTTCATTATTACTAAGGTATTTGCCAGGTTTACGATCCGAAGGTCGTAGCAGCTCTCCTAAGACTGCGCCTTGTTCACACTCAGGGACCTGCCCCATCAAGCGGCCATCGAATGTTTAATTCAATACACAAATTGCAAAATTCAACGTGCCGATAGATGTGGACAGTACAGAAATAAACACGATGTGATGGAAATTGAGAGAGCAGCTCTTAGCGGACATACACGACTCGCTGTTCCAGGCAGAGATAAAGGTCTTGTCCCATTCCTCACGTTTTCTTCCTCGAACCCCAGAGAGGCGGGATAATCCGCCCAGATCCATGGTAACACTTCGTAACGGAACGGGTGTTAAATACACACTGGTCGTTTACATGGCTTCGAAGGCCTTGCGTGCCCAATGTAACATCGAAAGATTCAAATGCATACGCCTCGTCGGGCTTCCTCCCGTGCATTGGAAGAACAGTCCAGTATCGGTGAAAACGAGGTGCCGACGAGATAGTAGACCTTCTTGGTATGTCCATCCTCTTGTGCCACATTTGCTCTTATTTGTAGACTCTACCTCCTTTGAGTGTATGACAACCAGTGTACTCTCCCGTATAGTGGCTGTCACTGAATCTTGGCGACTGCGAGTACTATTCGCATCGCGCTAAGTGAAATAAGCAGTCGGCACCAAGTGCGATCACTATCTACATCTTCTACCCTTCCATCCTCAACACATGTCTCCTGGATATAAAATTAATAGAGAGTTAATAGCAGGATTGGGACTTGAATGACTTCAACTTCCAAAAGAAAAGCATATTATAAGAGTCTGCCGCAGTTATGAAGTAGAACTAGTCGACCTCAATGCCGACTAAGCTATCGAACCGGTTGCCCCTTGCTGCAGCATACGCCGCCATCTTCTCATCGCCACTCTCACCATCCCACACCTTTGCCTGCCTGCTCCCTCGTAGCCTACCCAACTTCTTCAGCACATCATCCACATTCCAAGCAATTCTTTCCGCACCCACCCTCGCTCCAACCAAATTTGGCGCTCCAGGTCCTAGTCGTAAGCTCGCTAGTCTACCCGTCACAAACATGGGGACTTTGTCGTTCCACATCAGATCGTCGTTCAGACAAGGTAGGCCGCCGACATATTGAATAGGGTGCTGTTGCTGAAATGTCTCGAGGAAGGGTATGGTGCGGATGTCAGATTGGATACCGGTTGCGAAGACGATGTAGTCGACGGGCGGAATGACAAACTCAGGCGAAGAGGCCGTACATGTCCAAATCTTATATGACGAGTCCCAGGAAGCCGACTGAAGCGTTGTGTGGGTATGCAGTACAATTTTACCGCTGGCGACATGTGCGTCTAGAATCTTGCGATACCGAGGCGTAACGCTGCCTCCGTTGCGGGCTTGTTTAATCATCTCGAATCGCTCTACCGATAATTAGCTCATATGTCGATCTCGCATGAATTTGGCTTACCAAGATCTGTGTCCGCACTCCAGAATTCCGCTTGCTTGTAATTCCGAAATTTGCCTACCCAGTCCAAGTCCATGTCAAAGTACTTTACCTTCACCGGTCCACGCATCAACAGCCACACTCTGCTTACGCCACGCCTGATCGCGAGATCAGCCAGCTGGATGCTGGTCAAGCCGCCTCCGACTATGAGCATGTTTGTTGACTGATGGGCCTTGATCTTTGCCAACACATGTGGCGGTGGGAGTTGTTTCAGCTGTATCGCATGGGTGTGGCCTTCGTGCGGAGACGCGCTCTGCAGACCCAGGATGGACGGAATAGATGGCGCGTTCCCTGGGCCGACGGCGAGTATGACGATGTGTGCGAAACGGACGCCCTGATCCGTTGTGACACGGAAGATGTTCCTGTCGTCATCCAAGGCGTTGTCCGAGAGAACGCTGTCGTGTTCTGCTTCGCTAAAGGAGCAGGCTTCATTGTATTCAATGTTCACCACACATTCTTGCCGAAGTATATCTTTTCGTAAGCCATAGCGTTGGATGACATCTTCGCAGTGCGACTCAAACAAGTCAGTCTTTGGTACAAAGTAGTCCTTTCGATCCCTCTCGTCGACATCAGGCGTTCGTCCCAGAAACCTTCCCTTCGCGTTTAATTTCTTTTTTTTCCTGTGCTTGCTAATCTCTTTGCCCGCACACCCCGGAAGAGCTAGGATCTCCTTCTCTCGCTCTTTCTCGTACGTGTATCCGAGCAGACCGTCTCTATCGGATGGGTCAACGTGGAAAAACATGGGACTTCGTAGGTAGTCGATGCCAAAGGTTTTGAACAACCGATGCCACTTCGACATCCAGTTCGCTCCATCGGCATCAAGAATGAGCATGTCCATTGCATCATCGGGTGACGAGTGAGCATCGCACCCACAGTCCAAGTTGTCAGGTGTTAAAGGCGGCGTGGGTAATGAGTTTCTGTTCGTTCGGTGATTCTTAATATTCATTTTTTGACCATGCTTCTTTATCCAGTGGTACCGCTGATGCTCGTCGTCAGTGAAGGTAGCGGATGGGGTATCTTCGCGTAGTCTGGCAGCCGCTGCGAGCCCAGCTGGGCCGGCGCCAATTATGACAACGTCATGGATGTGCATCGTACTCGCTTTGACACTCGAGACCCTAAGTCGATTGAGGATGTGTAACGGGTCTTTCGAGCGATTAAGGAAGTAATTCGAGGTGTATGTTCGTCTGACCCCAAGCACCCTGATGGCTAGCAACCGTTCTGGGCAAAACCAGCATGGTGCTAACCTTCAAACAACCTACATGCCTAGGTCATAGCATCACTCTGACTAAAACTCCACGTTATGTATAGCCCTGAAAGATGATGGACACGGATCAATCATTCAATATTGAAAGGTCATTAGTGTGGCAAACACATCGAAGTGATATCGCAAGTTGAATGAGGACTAGCACTGACCGAGTCGATGGATTGGATCAGACCACACGATATGGATCAGGTCGCTGATTGCTGTTTTCGACACTCGGCCGACTTGTAGGACCATCCAAGCTTGAGACATGCGGCGACCTCGAATCATCCATCTCAATCGCGCTCGTAATGAAGCTCGGCCCATCATCATCTTCTTCTTTTTGCTTGCCCAATCCCCCATTGATGTCTTCTTGGCTTTCTGTGCGCCTGAAAATGTCGCGGAAACCCTTGGGTATGGGCTGAATCCTCGGTTCTGCCCAGTATCTGTGCGCTGCTGGCTGTGGTTGTGCTCCCGATCCATATCGGTTATCGATATCATATGTCTGGGAGCTCCAGTTCCTCAGGCCGAAGACGCGTTGGATAAGAGGGTAGGTCAGTGGCAGATTTGCGCAAAGTATGGCTGTATACGACTCTCTCAGATACCAGATTGTCCACTCCGTCCCGAACGGATGCGTAAAAGAATAATACTTGTTCAGGACAGCAGCAACAATTGTAAATGCACCGATGAGAAAAATGACAAAGAGAATGATCTTATTTTTCATCGGTAGCCGTACTTTGAACAGGAGGGGCAAGGGTATGCTAAGGATGATCAGGTCGCTGGTGATGTTGAAACATGCATTGATGATGAGATGATTCGTTGCGGCGGAGCATTGGCCTGACAAAATTAGCCTCAATTGTTGTGATGTGAGGGTGGTCTTACTCGAATTGGTAGGTACTGCCCAGTATTGATCGAAGGGTCGACACCAGACTGCGAAGTATAAAAGCTCCATGACGACCTGTCATTGCGGTTAGAATATCAAACAACGTAAGAGTGGCCGGTACATACAAACGAAACAGCGACATAGATGGATGTTGCTACGACAATCTTGTGCTGAGGCAAAACAACGGTCATGCGATTGTACATTATGAGTAGACACGCCTTGATCAGCCAAATGGTAGATAGTTGCATCTGTTCCACGACCAAGACGAGCTTAGAACCATAGATGCGGTTCCGGATTTCTTCTTGCGAATATTGTGAAACGTCATCCTCAGGAGGAATAAGGTTGCTGCTAGTCTTGACTATTAGAGTCGTAATGGCCATAAGGACGGTGTCCGTAGCCTGTACCGTGGTTTAGCAATTATTTGGCGGTGCGCTTGGATGTACGAACCATGGCTAAGAGGATCAAGTAATCGTCGAGCTGCAGGCGTTTCCATGATTTAAGGTGCAGTCTTCTCGACAGAAGCCGAATGATGACTACAACCCAGCAGACGCCGTAGAAGATGCCAGCCTCTGGCTGGACGATCGACATGCGTGATGTCGCGGCTCAAGAGCCGACGTTGTAGTAGGTGACGAGCGGAATAGAGAACGAGAGAGAATCAGCGGATTCAAGGGGAGACCTATTCACTATCAAATCAGCCCTAATCAAGAGCGACTCTCAATGTTGTGTGAACATGGCTGTCGACTGCTATAGGGAAGCGAGCAGAGATCGGGAGTACAGACGTGACGAAGAGCTACTACCGAGCGCCCGGTCCGCAGCGACTTCTAGTAAATAGAAGTCTCAATTCAGTGAACTCTCGGTGATACTTGTGATATCGACGAACTGGTTGCCGTGGGAGAAACTCATTGCTGTTTGCTCTGGGGTAGTGCGTGCTGCTGGCTAATCCGAAGTGCTCCACACGGAACGCCTCCAATTCCTAAATCGCGCAGGCGCAAATTTATCGTGCTACTCACCTTAGGGTGTCGCAAGCGCTCATTCTTCAAGGTGACTATTGGGCGATCTGACTCGGTGGGCTGGAGTCGGGACTTGTGGCACTGACAGATCGCATGGAACGAGTAGCAAGATTGGCTAGCGGCTGACATCAACTAAAATTAGGCCCCAACAGGAGATTGTCGCGATGATATGGCAATGCTGGCCTTCGTTTCGAAAGTGTTTGCGCCAGATTTTCCGGCGAGAGACCAGCGTATCGTAGAGTCGAAAGAAACAGGGTCTCCGGAGGAATGTGTTGCAAGGTGCGACTTAAGACCGTCTCTGGTACGCATGCGAAGGTTGCTTGTGTCTCGAAAAGTAACCGTCTGCCCGCGGCAATGAATCGCTGTTGAGCGCAAACATCTGGGCAGGTTATGCGACGCCATTATAAACTCAGAACGGTGACATGTGCGGCGCGCCTGCTCTATTGTTGCCCCAATCAACGGGCCATGGGCGGGACAGTGGGTGCCGCTATTTGCGCATCGTGGATCCGCCACAGGAACGCAACTCGATCTGACCTAGCGAAGGCAAGACTGAAGACATGTCCCGAGGTCATCTATGGAGACATCGGCCGATTCCGACTGTGAAAAGGATCCCGAGGTCGATTGTTACTACCACCGCGGCTCGCGCCCCCTTTTTCCTGTGGCGAGTTACAGATTCTATCGAGTTTGATCGCACGAAACTATCCCGTCATAATATGGCATACATCTACATGTGAAAGCCTCCAGACTCGCCTGGCCGCAGGAATAATAGTCTGTTAAACCTAACTAGGAAAAACCCTTATCCGAATAATCAAGTTTTCTAATTGGAGCAGCACAGCTCGAAGAGTCGAAGAGAAGGCCATGAAGCTGAAATATATATATACGGGAATATTACAAGCAAAACCTAATGGAGAAAAGAAAGAGAAAAAAAGCAACACATCCAATCACTTGTTCACGTCCCATACCCCAGTCCCCTCCAAAACTCCGCAACCTCCCGACTAACATCCCGCTGCACACTTCCCTTCTCCCAAACATCCTCCATATTACCCAAGACGCCAACCCACTCCTCAATCACCTGCCCTTTATTCCCATGACCTGCAAAATGCACCAAGTAATCTCCTCTTCTGACATGGTCCGCCTGCAACCCTTCTTCGTTCTCTCTCGTAGCAAATAGCTCTGCGCCACCCCGGTCATACGCGTTGAACCAGCTCTGCGGCACAAAGCGGATTTGGTGCTTGAAGTGGTCTGTTCGAAGGACGTGTTCCATGGCCGACTGCTCGGTAAACCGGAGTTCGACGTCTGGCTTGTAGTGGCGAAACGCAAGGATGGCGGTGAAGAGGTCGATTGCCCAGTGGTTTACGCGCAGGAGGAAGACGCCGTTGTTGAGGCCGTTCACGTCGCTGGTGACTAGTAGGTGGGTTGTGTTGTCTGGTTTGTCTGGCTGGTTCTGGTCGTTGCTGGAGGGGTGCCACCATGTTCCAAAGCGCGACTGCTCCGGTGGCAGGAAACTTGATATCGGGCGGCAATGGTCGAGGATCAGAGTGTCGCGGTCGACCCATTGGATCCACTCTAGACGCTCTTTTTCTGGCTTGAGCATCTCGCGCAGTAGCAGTTCGAGGATAAAGGCTGGCTTGTTCCACAGGGAGTCGACAATGGGGTCGCACATCACCCTAACTTCGGTCCCGTGGATCAGAGAATGGAGAAGATGATTCTCAAGTGCTTTCTGATAGTGTGGATTAGGCTCACCGAAGTGCGCCGTGGCTGTCGCGATGCGTGCTCGTCCCGTTATGAATGGCGAGTACTTGCGGCAGGTAGCGTGCTTGAACGCGGAGTGTTCGACGAGTTCCTGCGAAACTTTCGGAAGGCATTTCGAGTCACCGTGAGCAAGGAATTGTGGTATCGGCCGAGCATGTGGCCGTGTATATGGTACAGATAGGTCTTTTAGCGCTTCTCTGTGCCAGAAAAGGACTGAAACAGTAAGGAAAACGACGCATGTCAAGAGGACGAGTTTTGAAGTTAGGAACCTCGGATTGGTGATCATTGCCTTGTAACGAGAGGGCATAAAAGTCAGAGGGAGTTTGCCAAGTTTGTAGTAAGGAGTGGTGTTGCGTCTTCACTTGTAAGGGAGTATGTACGGACAGCCTTCTCCTCCAACAAGGCTCTCCATACTTATTATCTAGGAAACTGAATGTAACTATATCCCTAGTATCTGTAGGCGCTCTCGTCCCTGACCGCAGGCTTTCGTTAAGGCTGAAAAGCTGCATTATCCTTTGTCGGACTTCACATTCCGGACTTGACAAAATAGGCATGTGCAGATAATCACCAGACGGAGATGCCTAAATACTTCGCTTAGTTCTACGCAGCGAATTCCATGCCTCGTATGTAAAGATTGAAAAAGGGAAGCTGTGTAGGTTGAGGCGGCGTGGACAGGAGATGTAGTTCTCATCATGATTAGGAGGTTCTGCATGAAATATGCATTAGTTACTATCTTGCGCTTCAATGCTGCTTAATACAGCTCTGCTCCTACGATGCTGCCTCTCAGACTAAATAACGCCAACGCTATGCATTACAAAAATCAATCTCAAGGTATTCTTGTATGCCAATATACCCCGTTGACTCGGGCAAATATGCGACAGCTAGCTCTTGACCAGAAAACATATATGCGTGGCGACAGCGCCAGCATGGTAGTACCGTGAGTGATACAACGAATTTGCTTGCAAATCAAGCAGCGCTGACATCTAGTCCTGCCTTCTTCAGCCCTGTGAGAAACAGCCCTTTGACATCACTCTTCTCCTCGTCAACTGACTTCAGCTGTGCCAGCATCATCTGCTCGACAGCTTCAATGCCCGCTTCTTCCGCCTTGCTAAGTGAATCGCCAGTAGCCGTATCTGCCTTCTTCTTCTTCTTGCCACCAGTGGCTTCCTCGGGTTCTTCGCCCTGCACCATCTTATCCAGCTCAAGTTTGCTAACACCAAGGGCATAAATCTGCTCTTCCACGGTATCTTTCGTCACTAGTCGTACAACCTCGACCTCACGAGTCTGACCCACACGATGGGCGCGGTTCTCAGCTTGGATATCATCCTGTGGATTGAATGACGAGTCGAAGATGATGACCTTGTTGGCACAAGCGAGATTGATGCCTGCACCACCGGACTTGGTCGAGATCATGAAGAGTTGGATGGATTCGTCCTGATAGAAGACGTCCATCAAACTCTGGCGCTCGACGATGGGAGTCGAGCCGTCCATGCGCATGAAGTTGATGTTATGGTCGTCGAACACCCAGCCTAAGATGTCCATGACCGAGGTGAACTGTGAGAAGACGAGAGCGCGATCGCCGTTCTCTTTGTACTTCTTGAGAAGCTCTAGCAGCTTGGCGACCTTACCAGAGTCCATCCACTCCTTCTTTTGGAGTTCAAACTTCTTAAGCGCTCTAGGGTACTTGGTTGCGAGCTGGTGGCACTGATAGTCCTGATATAGTTGTAACTCCTCGTATATAATGTCAGGATTGCTCTCAGCGAACGTGTCTTCCTTCAAGCAAGCCTTGGACATTTGCCGAATCTTAGCATCGGTGTACCGGTGGCGGAAAAGTAGAGGGTGGATTGCAGCCTGTCGAAGCTTCATCATAACATTGGCGTGATCCTTGACCAGAATGCCTGCCGCTCGGTCCTCAAGAATCTTACGCTGCTTTTGCAGCTGCTGGCTATAAAGCGTCTTTTGCGTCTCCGTGAGAGCGCAGTACTCTACACGAGAAGTCTTCTTCGGTAGGTGCTTCAGGACTTGTGCCTTCTTTCGCCGGAGAATGAATGGCGTCAGCATTGTGCGAGCCCGCTGAATGCGTTGTGCAGACAACAGAGTGCTGTGCGAGTCGCTCTCGGTGACTTTGGCCTTGTGTTTGAAGAGAACCTGCAACATCTCCTGAACACTGTCATCATTCGCAGCGTGAAAGACGTCGGGCATGAGAAAGCCAAGAATGGACATGAGCTCCTGTAGACTGTTCTGTAATGGCGTGCCAGTAAGGAGGATCCTGCATTTTGTGCCTATGCGCATCAGGCTCTTGTAGCGAATCGTATTTGCATTCTTTAGGACGTGGCCTTCGTCGAAGATGCAAATCTCAGGCTTGCACTTTCGCAGGAAAAGGTGGTCTTCCTTCCTATTCGTCAGGTCGTATGTCGTGATGATAACGTCGCAGAGACCCTGACGAATACTATCGATGATGTTGTCCTGGTGTTGGAAGCGCTCGGCCTGTGGGCCGTAATAAGGAGTGAAGTTGATCGTATTGGAAAATCGCTCGAACTCACGACACCAATTTTCCAAAGTAGACCCAGGTACGACGATGAGCGTAGGCTTTCCGGTCCCTTGCTCCTTGAGATGGGACAAGAATGCAATTACTTGGCAGGTCTTGCCCAGACCCATGTCGTCTGCCAGGATACCAGAGGTGCCGGTCTGCCACAAAAGATTCAACCAGTTCAGACCTACAATCTGGTAGTCCTTCAGCTCCATGCCATCATTCATAATTGCTGGCTGCTTCAGGAGCTTCGTACGGCTGGCAGTTTTGCGGATATTGTTTGCTTCCGTGTCGCTACCATGCGTGCTCCGTGGCGTATGGTATCCCGAATCGCGTGAACCACTGGCATCGCTGCTATCGTCCAGGCTGGTGGCATCCACTCCTTCATCTGTCGAAGCTCCAAAGATGTTGATTCCCCAGCGAGCCATACCCGCAACCATCGGCTTGCCAAGGTTCTCGCACTTCTGGACCACTGAATCGATAGTAGAATACGCGTCCCATATATCCACTGCAGAATCAACAAGACGTGCGCCGAACGTGATTCTGGGCTTACGAGCCTTCTTCTTGTTGCCCTTCTCTTGCTGCTGCAGATCCACATGGACCTTCCGAACAGCATCAAGCGATGAAAATGGACGCTGGTCAAGAAGCTCGCGAACTTCCTCCTCTTTCTGGCCTGAGAGATCTACCATGGCTGCTATGGTGCAAGTGTTGAAAAATTTGAGTAGACTATTCTCTTCGAATTGGTGCTCCACGACCGAACCTTTTGCGTCAGAGTCATCATCCGATATTGCGACAATTCCCTCATCTTCATCATCCGAAACAACGATCGCTGGTGGCTTCTTCGATTGCTGCTGTGGGCGTGGCGGAGTCACGTCAGGCGAGGGCGAGCGATTGCGACGACCGCGAATCAGGCGACGCTTTGGTTTAGGGTGCTCAGACTCGGGACTCGCGATAGCGTTTGCGGTATTCTGAACAGGTGCCAGCCGGGAATACTTCTCTTGGAGCGACTGAACAGGCGCATTGAGACCACGTTGAGCCGTCTTCTTCACCGCAGTGTTGTTTGTGTTAGTCCGGGTTAGACCAATCTGTGGAGAACGAAGTAGCTCGTCCTCGGATTCCTGCTCGGCAAGGTAGCTGCAGGTATCATCGAAGTTTCCCTTCTTCTTGACCAAAGCCTCGTACACCTGCTTCACGGAACGGTTGGGGAAAATGGCCCGCACCCGCACAGTCTTGCGCTTCATGTCAAAGTCAGAGATATCTGCGGTAGTCATCTCATGGTCCTCGGTCAAGTCCACAGGCATAGCGCGCGAGGGTCCATTCTGCCTCGACATGGGCAACTTCTGCTTCTTTGGCGGTGTACTCGAGCCAGATTCGTCCAAGGCGCGTTTGCGGGATTGATTGTTATTATACGAGTAGCTTGACAGGTCCCATGTCGGCTTCTGCGGTGTTTCCTCGACCCTCGAGGTCCGTGAACTAAGCTCAACCTTGGACAGAGGTATGTTAGACCTGAATTCGGATTCCTCCTCATCTGGGTCCCGTTCGACCGGCGGGTCGTCCGAGGTGAGGTCGACAACAGGTTTGCGAACTGCTTGCGGAGGAAAGAAGGACGTGCCGGGGGGTGCCATAGGGTTTCCGTAATACCCCAACGGCCGCTGTGACTGCGATTGCGACATGGCGGCCGGAGAGGAGTAGCGCTCAGCCGCTGGGGACGACCGCGGTACTTGCAGTTGTGAAGACTCGACGGGTCGAGTGCGGTTCGTGCGTGGGGTGAGCATGAGTGTGGGCTGGGTAGTGTCTGTGGGTGCCGCGAAGAAGGGCGAGCGAGTCTCGAGGGCTTGGGTGGGTTGCGTGGCGTATGATTCTTGCAGTTCGTCTTCGTCCGCTGAACGCGCACGCGACGTGGCGCGCGGTGGGGAGGAAGATATTATGGGGTCGCGGCGGTACATTGCGTAGGTGAAGTATACAACGACAGGTCTGAATCGAGGGCGGTGTTGCGATGGCCGTTTGGTGTTGGCTTTTTAAAGGGTTGAAATTGAAGGAAACAAAGGCACAAAAGTGACCAACAAAGGCACGGAGACGGTAACAGAGTCTAAAACATGGTCGCGCTGTTGTGGAGGCGCGGTGATAAAGAGAAAGGGCGTGTGGCGGGCATCACCAAAAAAGTTGATAGGCCGCGAGACTCACTTAACGCGCTTTCGCGCTTCTCTGGCGCGAGGGCACGGGCCACAATCCATTACGTTGCTAGATTCGGCTTGCGATTTGCAGTCCAAGTCGAAACAACAATCTACCCTCACTATGACCACCAGAAGAATAGTCAACGACGAGAAGTCGTATCTCGACAATGATGGAAGGGGAGCGTCGGGGCCTTCTGATATTGCACCCGCGGTACCAACGTGCGTCGCCCCTTGCCTACATAGTATGGCTTCATAAAGTAAAGACAGCAATGCTTACATGACTACAGCTCCGTCATCTGGAAACTAATGAGCTTCACATTCGCCATGATCACGCTCCCAATCAGCACATACTTCTTCACAGTCAACTTTGTTTTTGGAGGTGCTTACTCCCCACCATTATCTCTAAAAACGCGATATTAACATCTATGCTCAGGCAACGCAACCTACGCGGGCGGTCTCGCTGCGCTCATGGCAAACGTGGTGCTTATTGCGTACGTTGTCATGGCGTTCAAGGACGACCAGGAAGAGCAGCGAGAAGAGGCGGAGAAATCAAAGAAGACGCTGTAAAGCTTTGCAAGAATCCCTTCCAATCCATGGCCCAATTCGGAGCTGTTGCAGCCCACTCTGTGGTGAATGGCACCGCTCGTTGTCCGCGTTGGAGCGCTCAAGAAACGACGAAGAAATTAGAGACAAATGTCAAAGTGTACAATTAAAGCAACACATACATCACATAGCCAGAGTGGAGAATTGTTTGCTTCCTCGTCACGCCATTACGATTACCACAATTACTCGCTCACAAGTAATGAGCTCGCTTCGACTTGTAGCAGAGATTCCCAAAAATAACCCATCAAGGAGTGACATTTCTTGTGCTCCCCAAACTCCCAATTAATAAAAAAAAAACTCCAAAAAAATGTTGTGTACCATGCACAGCGTCTCCCGGGGGTAAGAAGAATGACACTCGGGCCATCAGGGTTCTCGAGAAACAACCCAGCTGGGACGCAGCTCTTTCCAATCATCATGATACATGCAATGTCGTTCCATGCAGCCAGATCCAGCGGCCAGCCCTTCGCTTTCCTTCCATGAACGCCGAGATTGGTAGCAAAAGCGCACAAGCATGCGCATATCTCAAATAAGCACTCACACGGTGAAGGCTGCAAGATGCTTTCCCATCTCATAACATCCGTACATCTCACCCTCGCCAAACGCCTTTCTTGTCGGCATCTAACCTAGTCCTTGCTAAACCGCCTCTTGAACCAACTCCGTCTCTTGTCGTCACCACCATTGTTCTTGGACAAAACATGGGGGTTATCCGCGGTACCAGATGACGGTCCACTGCTGTTTAATTTGATAGGCGCCGGTTGCGTAACATGCTTCGGTGGTGGTGGGGGCCCGCCGTTGGCACCATTTTGTTGTTGTTGTGGATAGTAACCCCCGTTCGAAGGGCCCTGACCAAAGTCTCCCATATTTTGTCCCCTGCCGTAGCCATTGTATCCATACTGTTCGGACATGTCGGACTGCGGTGCCTTTACGGGCACACCGCGCTCGATGGAGCTATTCTCGCTGGCAGGATCATTCGAATAGGGACCGTCGCTGTGGCTTCCGTTGGATCCGTTTGTGTTTACTGTGTCGCGCGACTGTTGATATCCATTCACCGGATACACGTTGTTGCCATTTTGTCTGTTCCACCCAGGATCGGACTGCATGCGGTTGCCGTATCGCAATCTTGGTGGTCCACCGACGGGACCGCCCATGCCGTAGCCATTGTCAAAGTTGTCGCGCGTCTGTCTGTTGTTGCCATAGTAGCTAGCTGTGGAGTAGCGATTCTGCTCTTGTGCTCCTCCTCCTCCATAGTAGCTGCTCCTTCGGCTTCCGTATCCACTCATGACATCTGTCTGGTCGGCGCGCATGGAAGCCGCTCTGCGTTTGTATTCGCCATCGATGGCCGCCTCGAAGGAGCGGACCGTGTCGAGTGGGCGCTCCCATCGCGAGCGGGTGGGATTGGAAAGGTCAGGATCGGCTGCAGCACGTTAGCCTGAGCTTTTTTTTTAAGAACAACTGGAAGAAAGCAGGCTCACCGATGGGATTTCCAGCGGCATCATTGTGCTGGAACGAGCGGAGAGACTGTAGTGTGGGCTTTTCAAGCGCAGCAGCGACTGTCAAGTGTGTCAGTCAAGGCCTTGAAAACACAACCGATGCGTTGGCTAGGAACGGGGTGTCTATCGTACTGGGCTGGGCTTCATTCATGGCTGCGTTTGGATTCGCCTTGGTCGAAGGGTCGTAGTGGGTCTTGCGCTTCTCACTGGCGCTCTCTTTCCTCTCGTGCTTTGATTTTGAGGGAGAGTCGTGGCTTTTTCCGCTGTGATAGCTAAAAGTGGACTTTGAGCGCGGACGCTCTTGCTGGTGGGAATGGTCCATTGTGGCCGACATGGTAATCCTGTTCCCCTAGCAATCTTACAGAGCTAACAAGAATATGAGACTGGCGCAGCGATTGTCTGCGCTGGAGTGGATCGGAGCGCGGTGGACGAACTGCGATGTGGTCAGGGCGTGGTGGGTAGGTAGGTCGGTCCAATAATAGTCGGGTAGGCGAGGTTAACGATGGGGCGAGGCGTCTATATGGTGGACGGTCGCAGATGGATTGGAAGAGGCGTCAAAGGACGAAGCAGGTCGCGATGGGAGAATCAAGCGATGGGGGGGGAGCGAGCAGAGGTGAGTGAGCGTGAGAGTGGAGAGGGCAGAAAAAGAGTACGCGCGGAATGTGGAAGACGACGGACGGGCTGGCCGGCGTTGTTGAACAGTCTGCTGGGACTCGTCATCAGGCGACTGGCGCGGCCGGGCCCCAATGATGGAGGATCTGCCGGCTAGTAGTCTGCAGCGCCCAGCTCTGAAACATATTCTGCGCCGAAGAACTGGGGGCGGGTTGCGTCGTCGTCCTGGCACCGTATCGCGCTGGTCGGACGCACACACAGACACTCACACACACACCACGTAGTCGTGAACTCCATCATGGCGGCAGCAGCAGCAGCACTCACCGCCACGAACCTGCCTTTGCCACCCGCCGCGCATTGCCAGTGTCCACCAGCAACCGTTCCAATGTGAGAGCAGAATTCGATAGCTTGTCTTCCGCATGCGGTTAACCCGCTTGGATTCTCTGGTTCGCTGCCCAGCCATGCCCCAACCTCCTCCTCCTCCTCCTCCTCCCCCCCACCCCCGTATCAACAGAAGCCACATGGCTGGGTGCCTTGTCATAGCCGGCGACTCGCAGGAGGCGTGGATCCGAGACAATCGCACGCCAGTCATTGGGAGAGTAGCAGTAGTAGTAGCAGCAGAACAGTCAATCACGATATCGCGCTGCATCACTATCAGCATCCAACACATGCATGTACACGACCAACCAAGCCACTAGCAAATGTACATTCCACGTTCAGACTCCATCTGTGGCC